GACTCTACACAGACATTCTGCGACTCTACACAGACATTCTACGACTCTACACAGACATTCTACGACTCTACACAGACATTCTGCGACTCTACACATTCTACAACTCTACACATTCCACGACTCTACACATTCCACAACTCTACACATTCCACGACTCTACACATTCCACGACTCTACCTCCATCTACATCATCGGCGAGCCGCTCGCGAACCCACCCACCAAGGCGCTGATCAGCTGATGCGCAATGGCCGTCTGGGGCGGCAAACGCAGCCCGCCCTCCTTGTACTCCGGCCCCGGCCCGTCGCCCAGACCACTAGTGCCGACCCGCAGCGCCTCCCGGACCTCCTCAGCACCAAACCACTTGGCGTCCTCGAGCTCCGCATCGTGGCCGAGATGCACCTTCTCGCCGTCGGGAATGGCCTGGCCAATGGCGCCAATCATCAGGTTCGCGGGGTACGGCCACGGCTGGGTCGAGTGAATGACAACACGACCCAGGTGCACGCCCGACTCCTCCCAGACCTCGCGGCGCACAGCCTCCTCGACGCTCTCGGCGGGCTCCAGGAAGCCCGCGAGCGTGCTGTACCAGTACGCGGGCCAGCGCTTCTGGCGGCCGAGCAGGATGCGCTTGCCGTCGGCGCTGACGACGGCCATGATGACGGTCGGGTCGGTGCGCGGGAAGCACAGGTTCGAGATGCCGGTGCGTGTCGCGCAGGGCGGGCGCTCGCCGGGGGTCGCGGCTTGGACGGCGTGCGCGACGTCCTTGGGTGGGCATGTGCGTTTGAAGCCGGCATTGACCGAGAGGGTTTTGTAGCCGCACGAGGCGCAGAAGGGGTTCCGGGCGTTCCAGTCAAGCAGGTGGCGGGCCTCGGCGTAGATGGCGGCTGGGGTGTTGTCAGTGACGTGTTCTCGACAGAGAGATGTGAATGTTGGGCAGTGAATGTTGAGCAGTGAATGCTGAGCTGTGAATGCTGAGCTGTGAATGTTGGACGGTGAATGTTGAGCAGTGAATGTTGAGCGGTGAATGTTGGGCAGTGAATGTTGAGCAGTGAATGTTGAGCGGTGAATGTTGAGCAGTGAATGTTGAGCAGTGAATGTTGGGCAGTGAATGTTGAGCTGTGAATGCTGAGACGTGAATGTTGGGCAGTGAATGTTGGGCAGTGAATGTTGGGCTGTGAATGTTGAGCTGTAAACGCTGGGCTGTAAACTGCGCTGTGAATGTGGGGAGAGCTGCAACGTTGAGCCGTAAACACCAGGCCTACCTTCTTCAGCAGGCAGCGAGAGATGCATCCGCCCCTTGGAGAACTCCAGCCCCTGTCCCTTCAGCCTATCGATGAGCGTCTGCGCCTGCTCCCTCACACTCTCCTTGGGCGTGACATCAACGGCGAACCACGGCTGCCCCTTGTAATGCTCCTTGTACACAAACCCCTGCGTGCGCTCATCGAGCCCCAAGAACACCATCTGCGGCACATACAGACTCGAGTTGTACTGCGCAATCACGTCCTCCTCGGTCGAGCGGAACGCATCCGGGCCGATGATGGGCTCGACGTCGGCGAACGAGACGCGCGCCAGCGCCGTGGGCGACTGCACCAGCGGCTCCGTGGCATTGAAGAGGATGAATGTCGCGCTGGGGTGGCGCAGGGCCGAGCACAGGAACGCGTGGTCCGGGCGCAGGAAGGATACGCGGTTCAACGGCGAGCCTGAAGGGCGTGTTAGGGTGACCTGGCTGCGGAGGTGCAAGGCATTGAGGTACCGGAGAAGTAGTTGGCCACTTCCTTGCCGAACTTGCGGCTCAGCATCGAGTCAATGTGCGGGTGCGCGGGCTCGGGGAGGTCGGGCTGGGGGAGCGGGGCCATGATCTGGTGTCGACTGTGTGCGAGGTGCAGTCGACTGTGTGCGAGGCGCAGTCAAAGGTGTGCGAGGTGCAGTCAAAGGTGTGCGAGGCGCAGTCAAAGGTGTGCGAGGTGCAGTCAAAGGTGTGCGAGGTGCAGTCAAAGGAGGCGTGGACGAGAGACCGAGGCCAGCGACCGAGGCCAGCGACTGCCGACGCGCGCAACGGCGACATAGTCGGACATAGTCGGCGTCTGCCCCACGGCGGGGTGGTGTGCTTGGTAATGCGTCGTCACGAAGAGTGCGAGCGGGTGCCGAGAAACTCTATTTGGACAACGCGCCAGGACGTGTTGTGGGGTGCAAGCGCCAACAGGTCGACCGCTTGCAGGATATAGAATCCACAGCCCCGACAGCTGCACAGGCAACATGAGCCTCCCCTACGTAAGTCATCGCTGCTCCCCACACGCCGCCCCGTCGCCCGCCAACACGCGCCAGACGTCAGACAGCGCGCGCTCCGAGTCGGCCGAGTCGGCCGACTCGGCCAGCCGCGACAGCCTCGACGACCTCCCCTTTGCCCAGCCGCTCGCACGCGCCGACTTCCTCTCCCCCACCTTTACGCCATCATCCTACCTCTCCACCCTCTCAAGACGGCACCAAACGCTCGAAGACCTGCGGTCGGAACTGCGCTCGCGCAGCCAGCAGCTAAGCGCCGAGCTCCTCGACCTGGTCAACGCAAACTACGCCGACTTCCTGACGCTGGGGCGCAGTCTGCGCGGCGGCGACGAAAAGGTCGAGCGCGTGCAGGTCGCGCTGCTGGCGTTCGCCAAGGATGTCGCGCTGCTGGAGCGGATGGTGCGCGCGCGCGAGGACGAGGTGGGGGAGCTGCTGCAGCAGCGCAGGGATGCAAGACGGGAGATTGAACTCGGGCGGCGCTTGGTCGAGTTTGAGGAGCGGATGAGGGAGTGTGAGGAGGGTGTTGCGGTGGCGCGGCATGGGGGTGGGGGGGACAGCAGCGATAGCAGCGGTGACAGCGATGACAGCGAGAGCGAGAGCGAGAGCGAGGAGGGCGTCTCACCGCGGTACGGTGCCGGTGTTGCGCGGCTGCGGAGGAACGTGGTGCTGTACAGGCTGGTCAAGGAGGGCATACAAGGGCTGGAACAGCATCCGTTTGTTGCGGCGCAGACGCTGCGCCTGGGAAAGCTGCGCAGCACGCTGCTTCTTGACTTGGGCTCGGCGTTGCGGCAGGCCAGGAGCGCGGGCGCCGCTGCGTCGGGCGCGCTGATGCAGATCATGGACATGTATGCGGCTATGGAGGAGCAGGGGGAGGCGGTCAAGGTGCTCAAGACGCTCAAGTCGACGTGAGGCTGTGAGTGATGTCTGCATAGCAGCGGCGTTTACCATGTATTTCGGCGGCGCTTACCATGTATTTCGGCGGCGCTTACAATGTATTTCGGCGGCGTTCACGATACATTTCGGCGGCGTTCACGATACATTTCAGCGGCGGTCACGATACGTTTCGGCGGCGGTCACGATACGTTTCGGCGGCGCTACATGGTACATTTACGTTCATATGGTACATTTTTGCACAGCGTAAAGCTACACGATCCTACAAGGGGCCGCTGAGCTACACGACCCTACAAGGGGCCGCTGGGCTACACGATCCTACAAGGGGCCGCTGGGCTACACGACCCTACAAGAGGCCGCTGGGCTACACGACCCTACAGGGGGCCGCTGAGCAGGGCCGGGGATATCGAGCTGGGGCCCTTGAACTCGCCGTTCAGCGTGAAGCCGGGCGAATTTGTGGAGCTGAGGACCTGGCAGATTGTCAGTGGCGGTCGTAGAGTCATAAAGCTTCGAGACCTTTGAGAGCTCCGAGAGCCTCAAAGTTCACACAGGACGGCTTACCACTTCGTGCACCTCCTTGGACACGACGCGCGCCATGTCCTTCTTCAATGTGTCCATGAACAACTTGATGTTCTCCTGCAATTCCGCGGGTGTGAAGCCCAGCCGTCCAATCGCCAGACGGACCACGGCCATTTTTTCCCTGTACTCGCTGCCGTCCACCATGGTTCTGACCGTAGCCCCAATGTTCGTCACCACCGTGCCGGCCTTGGTGCTCGGCATGAGCCCCTTGGGACCGAGCACCCGCCCCAGCCCCGCCTTGTTCAGCTTCTGCAGCGAGTCGATGTGGCAGATGCACCTGTCGAACTCGATGTCGCCCCCGCGGATCTGCTCAAACACGTCGTCCTCGCCGACCAGCGTCGCGCCCGCGGCCCGCGCCTCCTGCGCGTGCTTCGAGTCCGGCGGCGCAATCACGCAGAGGCGCAGATCCGTCTTGACCGGGTGCGGCAGCCGTATCTGGTTGCGCACCACGGGGCCGTTCTTGAGGCTGCGCATCCGCACGTGCAGCTCGTACTTGACCGACGACGGGTTCTGCCCGACTTCGAACGCGCGGATGTAGTGCATTGCGTCGACGAGGGCGAACTGCTCCGTCTTGCTCAGGTCATACTGCCGGTACACGTTGCGCACCTTTTTCTTCTTGGCCGGTTGTGTCTTGGATGTGACGGCGCATCGGACGGTCTGGTACGAGGCTGTGGCGAAGCGACACACGTCGGGACGGAGCGTCGACAGCGAGGATGCAGCGAGCCGTGTCGCGCCGAGGGACGCAGCGAGCGTTCGTGGGGCGGCCATTGTCGCGGCGTTGCTGTTGCTGGTGGCCGGCGCGTTGTGAGGCTCCAAAAGATTCACCATGGCTCGGCCAGTCGGCGTTGCCGGTCTTGGCAAGCGCCTTCAGATCCGGAGACCTGGCCATCGCCGCCAACCTCCCATTCGCCGCCTGTCCACACTCCGCATGACTTTATTTTGTAGACATCAGTTTGTTTTCTCGGCATCCGTTCGGCATCAGTTCGGCATCAGTTTGTTTTCTAGGCATGAGTTTATTTTCTAGGCATCAGTTTGTTTTCTAGGTATGAGTTTATTTTCTAGGTATGAGTTTATTTTCTAGGTATGAGTTTATTTTCTGGGCATCACTTTGTTTTCTGGGAATGAGTTTATTTTCTGGTAAGTTAATGAGTTCATTTTCTAGGCATGAGTCCATTTTCTAGGCATCAGTCTGTTTTCTAGGTATGAGTTTATTTTCTAGGCATCAGTTTGTCTTCTCGGCATCATAAACTACAAGGCGGCGGCAGTGATTTGCAGCAGCTAATTGAATTATGCTGGAGCAGCCGCAGCTGCAGCTCTTCTAGGACAAGTCGTAGTGCTGTCTTGTCTTGTCCACGACTACCTGTCCACACATCCGTGCATTCTCTCTGCTCTCATCGATCGCTTACTCCGTGACGGCTTAATGTGGTGCCTGCCAGAACTTGGTCGATTTCCCTCACACTCGCAAGACCAATGTCCAGCGTCTCGGGGGTCCGCTTCGTGCACGTCCCTTTCCGTGGCGCTGGTGTGTTGTGGAACACAACCTGCGTGGTCCAAGACGACCGGTGGTCTCCCGTGCACACGGTCCGTGCGCCTCCAAGACGATCGACAACAAACAAACACCCGTCCACCTCGAATCCGCCGTGAACAACACGACAGCCCCCACAATGCCAGGCAGGACGGCAACGCGCTCGACGCGTACAGCACGCGCTGGCGCAGGCACCAAGTCGGCGCGATCGTCGACCATGGACGTCCCCGACGAAGGCCCCGTGACCTCGCTGCGCACCCGGATTGCGCACGTCTTCAGCGATGCCTCCAAGACAACCGCCACACAGCGCAAGCTGGTTGTCACGCTGCGGAAGATCCAGGAGCAGTGCTGCTTCGAGCCTCCAGACACCAACAAGGGCAGGAACGACGACCGTGAGACGTTTGAAGAGGACGATTTCACGGCCGAGATGGGACGCGTAGTGCTGCGCGTCATGAATGTCAAGAAGAGTGAGGCTGCTGGCGACCGCGTGATCCGCTTCCTCACCACATTTCTCAAGTACGCTGTGGAGAAGGACGCCAAGGTCATCGACGAGACGTCCCAGGACGACGGCACGCCCAGCAGCCGCTTGAGTGTCTTCATCATCAAGACCGTCCTGCCCCTCCTCCAATCGAAAGACAAGACGGTCCGCTTCCGCGCCACCCAGACCATCACACAGCTGCTCAACAACCTCGAGGCGATAGACGAGGACATGTACTCTCTCATCATTTCCAGCCTGACCAAACGCCTGCGGGACAAGGAGGCGTCCGTACGCGTGCAGGCAGTCATGGGCCTGGGGCGCCTTGCGAACGACGAGGAAGACGAGGAAGACGAGGACAGCGACGACGAGGCCAGCACGATCCTCGAGAAGCTTGTCGACATCATGCAGAACGACCCGGACGCCCAAGTGCGACGCACGATTCTCGCAAACATACCATTCTTCAAGAGCACCATAGTGATGCAGCTCGAGCGAGCGCGAGACGTCGATCCCGCCACCCGAAGACTAGTCTACGCCCGCATCCTTCCGATTCTGGGCGACTTCCGCCATCTGTCGCTAGTGCAGCGCGAGAAGATGATACGCTGGGGCCTGAAAGACCGAGACGACGCTGTACGCAAGGCTACAGCACAGTTGTTCTCCGAGCGCTGGATTGAAGACTGCGCCTCGAGGCGTGACACACGGCCAGAGGAGGAAAAGGCAGCGGGTTCCACGGCCCCTCCAAGCCTCGAGGCCCTGTGCGAGCTACTGGAGCGTCTTGATATCATCCGAGCGGGTCAAGAGGAAGGCATGGCGCATGAAGCAATGCGACAGTTCTGGGCCCGAAGGCCCGACTACGTCGAGGCTATCGAGTTCAGCCATCAGTTCTGGTTGGATCTGGATCCCTCAGCCGCGTTTGTGGCGCGGAGCTTGAACGACTACGCACAGAGCATCGACGACGAGCAGACACGACAGATGATCGAAGACAAGATACCCGAACCCCACAACTTTGGCTTCGTTCTCGAGAGGAAGCTCAACGATGTGGCGGAATTCATCGACAGATATGCCATGTTGGACGAAGACGACCCCGATGCTGCCGATGCACAGGAAGAGGTTCAAGATGCCGAGTTTGTCGCTGAACAAGTTCTGCACATGGCCATGTCGCTTGACTTTTCCGACGAAGTCGGTAGAAGAAACGTGTACAGCATCACGCGGACGGCGCTTGCTCTTGCTTCTCTGCCTGAAGAATGTACGAAGCTCTGCATCGAGCTCCTGCGCATCGTATGCGGCAACCGCGGCGAGTCCGACTTCTGCGCAGTCATCATGGAGGCTGTCAACGAAGTACACGACACGCTGAGCGATGATCCAAACGATGCAAGCGGCGCGGGAGACGACGCAGAGAGCTTTCACTCCGCACAGTCTGAGCACAGCAGCCCTCTTCCAGCACGCAGGAAAACACCAAAGCCGGCCAAGACAGCTGAAGAGGAGGCAGCGGACAAGTGGACCGAGATCATGGTGTACTCGAAGTGTCTCCACATTCTGCAGTGCACGCTCCAGAACGTGACGTGCGATTTGGAATCGGACACAAACTTGAAGACCGCATTGAACACACTCATCATTCCCGCCGTGCAGTCAAAAGAAAACATCATTCGTGAGCGGGGTGTCATCTGCCTGGGACTGGCGTCTCTCCTTAGCAAGGTATGCATCGCATGTACACCTCCCTCCCTGCGCTAACGGCTGTAGGATCTTGCGGTTAACAACCTTGATCTATTCTTCCACTGCTTCACCAAGGGCAACGACGAGCTCAAGCAGATCACGCTACAGGTGATTGCTGATGTTATCATTACACATCCACATCTCCTTGCACCACCCGCATCGGATCCAGACACGACCGAGCAGTCCGAGGTGCCGGAGCAAAGTCCGCTACTGAGGCCGCTCAGGAAGATTTTGCTCAAGGGGATCACTTCAGAAGATACGAGTGTCGGGCGCGTTGCTTGTGAGGCAGCACAGAAACTGATCCTGCATTCTCTTCTTCCTGAAGAAGAGACCGCGGACATTGTCAGGGCATTGACACTGACATACTTCGATCCCGATGGCCAGAACAAACCCGCCATGATACAGGCCCTGGGCTACTTCCTTCCGGTGTTCTGCCACTCGAGGATCAAGAATGCACAGACCATGGCGGGTGTTGCTGTTTCCGTCATCGGCAAACTCCTGGTCATGCGCGACGACGTCGACGAAGACGAGGATGCTGCCGAAATGGTTGGCTGGCCGAGAATCACAGCTTACTTGGCCGACTTGACAGACGGCCGCAAGGTCGTAGGTCAGACGGAGACGGGGAGTGATGGAAAGACTAGCTCGAGTGGTGACTCCGAGGTGCCGCACATTATGCTTGCTGTCGAGATCCTCGAGCGCGCGCTGAACGGCACATGCTCAAGGGACGAGCGCAAACCGCTTCTCGCGCTGCTGACCAAACTCCACATACCGCCTTCGGCACCACAGAAGACAGTGAGCGAGCCAACCGCCGAGCTCCTCGAAGCCCTTCAGGCACTCGTCTCCGAAGCCGTAGAAGACAGAATCGGCGTGGACGCCACCCAGCGCAACGCCCTAACCAAGCTCGACGCAACTCTAACCAAGCGCCTAGGCGACGCAGCAACCGCCGCCATCGCCCCAGAAGACCGCGAAGCCACAGTCACACCCGAGGCCGCAACTGCCCGCGCAACACCTGCAGAGGAGGCGCGCTCAAGCCGCGCCCGCTCAAGCGTCGCGCCCTCCGTAGACGGCAGCGACATGGACGTCGACGTCGACGACGAGGACTCGATGCTCGCCGGCATGCAGGGCGAGAGCACACGTATGCCCCTCGAGCCCGACGACGGCGACGACGACGGCGACAGCACCCCCCGCGCCTCGAGGGTGCGCTCTGCGCGCGAGGCGACGGCGAAAACGGAGGCGGATATCGTGGATGAGCTGCTCGCGAGCGACGAGGAGATGAGCATGTAAATTAGATTGTCGCGCTGATGTGTGTTATGACTTGGGCTGGGGCTGGCGTTTGTGCGTCGCACTGCGGATTGGGCTTTTTCTGATACCCCTTCATTATTTATCTAGGGTGGGTGCAGTGCAATGCATCGTTTGCCGTTCCTGTCTATTCTCCACACCCGGTCGTGTTCAGGCACTGCTTTCCACGGCGTGCGCGGAGCTGGCTGCAGTGCTGTGCTCGTCTGAGATCAACCCCCCCCCCCTGCCTCGCGGATCCCTCTCATTCCCTCTGCGCGATCCACTTCAACACCACCTCAGCGATCTGCTCGTTGTTCTTCTCGAGGTGCATAAAGTGCGCATTCCCCTTGATGCCAATCTCGCCCAGCTTGATCCACTCAGGGTCAGCGCCTACTTGCCTGAGGTAGTTGACAATGCAGTGGTCGTACGTGATATGCACGCTCGCCTCCGCGGTGATGAGCACATACGGCACCGACGCGATGCCGGGCAGCGTGCGCGCGGGCTCGACTTGCTGCACACACTGCCGCAGCGCGGTCGTTGCGTTCCCGACGGTCTCGGTGGCGAGCTCCGCGGCGCTGGATAAAGCTGGGAGGTAGCTCAGCGGCGTGGTGGAGAGACCGTACGGGTTGTATGGGATGCTGCCCGTGCCGAGAGTGTACCATGTGAACGGCGTTGTGCTTGCTTCGAGGTTGATGCTGCCGGCGACGTGCTGTGGGCAGTCGTTTGAGAGCAGGATATTTGCTACGCCGCCGGCGGAGTGGGCGATTAGGTACGAAGGTCCAATCAGCTCGAGGAGTTCGCATCCTGACTTGCGCAGGGCGAGTTCAAAGGCGGTGTTGTTGGTCGTATAGGGCACCATGGATTTCTTAAAGTTCTCGAAGATGGGGTCACCGGCGCGTCCTGTGCCGGGCCATTGCGTGTGCAGCTGAGACTGAGGGTATGTGTCGTAGTGCTTTACTCCCGTAAAGCCTTGTTCGACCAGCAAGGACGAGGCTCCAGCCGTCATGGGGAAGTTGGCAAGGTCTGCGGATGCACTGCGGCCGACAGAGGCGGCATCCACGAGGTAAACCGTGTACCCTTTCTCGATGAAGTACGAGGCGAAGCCTCTCCTATTATCCGGCGTGTTGAGCCAAGATGTTGCTGTGCATCCTCCTCCGTGGAAAAAGACCAGAGGTTTTGACTTCCGGGCACTTGAGGCCGGGACGATCTTCTCGACGTAGAGCTTGTCTGCGGTCAGTTCGCCGGTTGCAGATTCGAGACTTCTACCACCGACGTAGAAGAAGTCGCGGGTGTAGGCCTTTTCAGCACTCTGGCATTTGGGATTGATAGCATTGATCCCTGTGCAGTTGGTTCGCTGACTAGCTGTCAATGTTGCAAGTAGCGCAACGCAAAGTGTTGACACGAACATTGTTGGATTACCAAAGATTAATAGCAAAACTGTCCTAAGCAAAACTGTCCCAAGGGCAACTTTATGTATCCGATTTTACTGGAGGCTCTTGAACGCGCAGGCACCCTTGTCGTGTCAATCTCACCTTGCATGCACTCGTGCATGATGCGGTGTAGTTTGCTCCTTTGATCCTTCCGGCATCGGTTTCCCGCCTGTGTAAGGGCTCGATATCCTTCCACGGTAAGCTCCGAAATTTGGGCTTCTGGTACCTGCATGCGACAGTCTGACATCGATCTACAGTGTCTAATCCCTGAAGTCTTGTGCGAGCGCTCGATCTTCATTGATATCAGCGCGCTTTGGGGCTTGATCTGGACCACGAGAGTGTAGGCAACCATGAGCAACGCCGCGATAGATGAATCTTCTCGCGCGGGGACAGATGGAGAAGGTGATGTTCATGGCATTGGGTGAAGAGTTGGGAGTCCGCTTGGTGCACTGGTCCGCTTGGTGCACTGGTCCGCTTGGTGCACTGGTCCGCTTGGTGCACTGGTCCGCTTGGCGCGCTAGTCTGCTTAGCAGGTGGGTCTTGACTCCTTCGTAGGGACTGTGCCGCACTGGGGGGCTGGGTAAGTTGGTCCACTGTATACTTCAAGACCTTGAAGAACTGGTTCGCCTGTACCTTTTGTATAATCGGCTTGGACCTCCATTGAAGCTCATTGAAGAGGTTCAGAGACGGCTACTGGTCGGGCTGAGGTTTGCGGATAAAATGGATTCTTCCGGGTAGTTTGATGAAACTTCCGGAGCGATCCGGTGCATACGTACCATGATCCATCTCTGCTGCGACACCAATCGGTCAATCAGGTCTTCAGCTCTTCAGCTCTTCGGAATGTCGACCAATGCTGCTGTACCCGTCATTCATTCCACCTCGATGTCGATGTCGAATAACCCTCTGCTACTTCCAACAAGTGGCCCGTCGGCTTTGATTGGGCGCCCTCCCAATAATGTAAAGGACTATTACATCGTCAAGGGCCTACTTCGAATGGTCGGCATGGAGGACGCGAATCCAATGATCGGCTACTTCCTAGCTGATCAGCCACCCCCAAACTACGTACACGAGAGTCGTGTGGTCGGGGTCCAAATAGGTCTCATCGTTGTCATGTTGTCGATTGTGCTACCAACAACCGCACGACTGTTACTTCGAGCGCGAAAGAAGCACATGCGGTTTGGCTGGGATGACTGGACTATACTCGCGGCAGCAGTAGGTCCTGCATTTCTGGACATGTGTGGTGTAATAATGAGGCAGCTAACACTCTGATAGACACTTGCCTTTACCTATCCCCTTGCCCAGACGATCGGCCTCTACTTCGGCGGCGCAGGACTGCATACATGGGAAGTGACCTACGACCAATACGAGATTAGCACCACGATAGGGGTCTACTGCAAGATCACCTTCTACCAAGCTGTCGGCCTGATCAAGGTTTCCATCGCCTTGTTCGTTCGACGTATGACAGGTGGAGCATCGCAGCGGTGGCGATGGTTCTGCAACATCTTTTTGGTCACGGTGGGAGTATACATGCTCGTGGCTCTGTTCTGGTCGCTTTTTACCTGCTATCCAGTCCAGGCTCAGTGGTCTCTTCACGCTCGTGGTGCGACTGAACCGCTTCCACGTTGTCTCCACCCGTTTTTGCAGGGCCGGATACTCAGTGGGATTCATGTAGCGCAAGGTATGATACTGCTGTCTGCACCGATAGTGATCCTGTGGAATGTTCGAATAGATCGAGCAAAAAAGATCCGGCTGTTCGTATTGTGGGGTTTGGGGGGCATCACAGTGCTTGGTGGATTACTTCGCCAAGTGCGACCGGTCACCTATCGAGATATCACTTGGAATTACGTGGAGATCCTGACATGGGCCTGTCTAGATTTGGCATTGGGTATAGTGACGGCCTCGCTGCCTGTGCTCGATGGCATGCTCTCCAACGCATGGCATCGAGCCATGACCAGTATAGGGGTCTCTTCTCAGGCGACGGGTGGAAATCCATCCAGCGGAAGTCAACCGGGAGGCTCCGAGGCAACGAGACGAAAAACACCTGGAACGCACGCTCCATCAGCGTCCGAGGAGCATATAATCAGTAAGGCTGATGAGACAGAGATGGGAATCATCAGGACTCGAGTGGTGCATGTCCATTCTTCGTCGCGGTCGAGCCTTGATGCATTCGGTTTGGGAAACAAGTAAGCACCGAACCTTCTGCCACCCTGCGAACATGTTAGGACTCTAGAGCATAAGAAGAACAGTGGAGCATGTGGCCACAGAAGGTAGACTCGTCAACGTCTTATCGTGATGCATGTGATAATCATCTGGTGGATCACTCATCGCAGCTGACGCGCCTCGATCCTCGCTGTGACGTGACTCGCGGCGCGTGCAGGTGCCTCGGCTCGCAGCTTCCCCACACCTGAGCTTTATAGCCGCAGCACCATCTTGCCGACCGTGGAGCCTCCAACTCCTAATAAAGTCGTCACCGCCCTCAGACGCGATTCTTCAGCTTAGATTTCTTGTCATCGCCGAGATCCATAGAATACCATGCCGTTCAATACAGAGCTTACACGTGCCCTTGGTATCAGGAGTAAGCTCCCATCGCGTTATTCTCGAAGCCCACACTGATGAGCTCCAGTACCCGTTGTCCAAGGTGGCATGCAATGGGTAGGCTACGCCGAGTTGGCCTCCGCCGTCTCCAACGCCGGCGGTCTAGGAATCGTAAGCCCTCGCCCTCGCGCCCACTCATCCCTCTAGTGACTAACACCCCCAAGCTCACGGCCCTCACACAACCCACCCCTGAAGACCTCCGCAAAGAGATCCGCCGCTGCCGCACCATGACCAAGTACCCATTCGGCGTAAACCTCACCCTCCTCCCCGCCATGGTGCCCCCCGACTACGCCGCCTACGCGCGTGTCATCATCGAAGAGAAGGTGAAGATAGTAGAGACAGCCGGCAACTCGCCCGGCCCCGTAATCAAGCAGCTGAAAGCCGCCGGGACCACGATCCTGCACAAGTGCACCACAATCCGACACGCACAGTCGGCTGTAAAGCTCGGCGTCGACTTCCTCAGCATCGACGGCTTCGAATGCGCCGGTCACGTCGGCGAGACAGACATCACGAACTTCATCTTGCTGTCGCGAGCGCGCCAGAGCCTAGGCGTGCCATTCATCGCATCAGGTGGATTCGCAGATGGTCAGGGCCTCGCTGCAGCGCTGGCGCTGGGCGCATGCGGGATCAACATGGGAACGCGCTTCATGTGCACTGTCGAAGCACCGATCCACGACAACATCAAGAAAGCGATTGTGGACGCGCAGGAAACGGATACTGCGCTCGTTCTGCGGCGCTGGAAGAACACATCAAGGCTGTTTGCGAATAAGGTCGCGCTGCAGGCTGTGGACATCGAGAAGACGTCGCCCACGGGGAAGTTTGAAGAGGTCGCCGAGTATGTGAGTGGGAAGCGGGGACGCCAGGTTTTCTTGAATGGCGATCCGGATTTTGGCGTTTGGACTGCCGGACAGGTCATTGGGTTGATTCATGATATTCCGACCAACGAGGAATTGCTGAAGCGCATTGAGAGGGACGCGATCGAGACCATGAGGCAGAATCAGACGCTCTACGTTGAGGAGGGGCAGGAGGGTGTTGCACCTAATGCGAGTATTGGGAAGAAAGATAACAATCCTGGCGCGGAGATTTGGGGCATTGGGAAGAGTAAGCTGTGAGCGAGTAAGGCGAGCTCAGTGTGAATGGTAGACTACGAAGACACGAAAATCAATGCATTCAGTGAATGACATTCAGACGCTCTTAAGCGCCAGAACCATCAGTTTTTGTCATCGTAGGCACTTAGCAAGACTGGCTACTAGTGCGCTTGAAGTACTGCAAATCGACTACGATGAATGCTGAAAGTGTTTGATATCAATGTGGCATGTCAGAAGAGGTCACGTCACAACACGTAAGTGAAAGAGAGATCATCACAACAAACAATGCCAGCAAAGGCAAAACAGGAGTGAGCAGGAAACGGCTCAGTTGATAACTACATGCAGGAGCGTCCCGCCTTCGCGACTTCCAGTGATCTCCTCCGGCCAGAAATGTTTTTGCTGACTCAGCATGGCTGATGAGACCTCCCACCTACGTACAAGGAGAAAGCTATCTAGTGTGCGCCCCTGCCTCACCACACACGATGACACCCGCCGATGTTTTTTGCCTGCAAGCCGGAACGAGCAGCTGGTGCCTCCCAAAACAATGCTGAAGGAACGCGGACGATGGAAATGCCTTGGAGAAAGACTGACGCGTAATGGAGAAGAGTGAAGTGAAGTGAGATGGCGGCGGAACGGTTCGTATTATGTATTTTTATGACTGATAACCGAAACCCTCATAGGCAGAACGCTTCAGCAGCTGTCGGCGCCCTGGCCGTGTTAGCATGTTCATGCAAAAAGAGGGGAGTACAAACCAGTAGTGTCCAGGGCGGCCGTGGGTGGCATCAGTCAGCCGCAGCTGTTGGCAGTGACCATCCTACCATTTTCCAGGAGTCCTGACAAGTGCTAGGATGGCGAAGGAGGGAGTGGAGAAAATAGGGGTGGAGGGCGAGGTTGTCAAAAGCAAGTGAGGGCGGGGTAGGCGAGGTATTTATGCTCTGAGGGCCAGGTCGTACGTTCCTCCGCAGCGGTAGAGCACTGAGGCTTTGAGAGCTTGGGCCAGAAGCTGGCTGAATTTGTGCTGATGGCGAGGTTGGAAGGGCGTGGAAAGTCGAAGTGAAGGTAAGTACGTCATTGTTGCGTTCGATGTACCCAGAAGCACACACTCGAGGGCTTGTGGCCATTCTTGGGGCCTTTCTTGGCTGAATGTATACAGTCGGCGATCAGTTATGAAGATTTGGTAGTTCCATGTGGCAGTGAAGGTTCAGTCAAGTGGTTTCGCAAATCACCTCACGAAGCGGAAGCATGGCACAAGGTATTGGCGAAAATTGTGATCTGTTTTCATTGCATAATCGGCTAGTCTACAGGTGTAGTTTACACAAAAGTTATCAAAGTTAGTTCTCGCAGTCCATACACCAGAAGTGTCCACACGAATCGCACCGGGCAGGGTGGTCATCGGATTCTCCTCGTGACCCGCAGCAGCACCGCCAGGTCACGCTATTGACTGGATCTGGGCGGCGAATTGTGTGCTCATCGATATTACGGTTAGGGGTCTTAGCGCGCGTGAGCTTAGAGGAGTGTGGCATGCTGGAAGCAGTGAGTTTGATGCAAAGTTCTAAGGTAGACACCTTGATATATGTGGTCGGATGTTGAAGCGTGAAGTTGTTTGCTGGATTTGGTGATGCAAATTGGAAGTTTTGGGGGTGTGAACTTGTAGTAGGCATGGCATAAGTAATGTTCCTGCACAGTGTGAGGATGGCGTGGAAGTGCAAGGAAAGGCGCATTGTTGGAAAAAACGCTCATCACCTCATCGTGAACGGCGAACGCCACGAGACGTACCGCCAGACAATGCCCTGCTTCGATCGCGCTCTGCCTCTGCTCCCTGGAGTGATCGTTGCGTATGCTTGCATTGTACTGGGGTATCTTCCGCTACCTAGTGCCTTGTCTGCGCATCATCCTCCAACTTCAGTGATGCGACCAATCTTGTGCTATCCACGTCTACTTCTTCCAGCCCTATCAGCCCAACAAGTGCTTCATCAATGGCATCGCTTATCTCCGGCTTCACGCCTGGTTGCTGTCCATGAGCCGCTGCTAGTCTCAGCTCCGCGATCTTCTCATCATCAAACTTGGTGAAGACTCTCTGGTTCTTCTTTCCGGGCTTTGCGTGCTCTTCTGGCTTGAACTGGTATCCCCTGACTCTTGGACCTTGACCTGTCTTCTCTGGCAGCGCGGACTCGTAGTAACGCTCGAATGCCGCAACGTCGGCGTCAAATGTACCTGCCTCGATGGAAGTGCGAATACCGGCGAAGAATGAGGACAGAACAGCATGGTTGTGGATTTGTATGAGCGCCCAGCCCAGCATTTCCTTCGCGGCAAGGAGGTGCTGAATGTACGCGCGGTGGTGCTTGGTGCACGCATAGCACTCACATCCCTCGCTCAGCGGTGTGACAGAAGTCGCATGAATGTCTGACCACATATCAAGCCCAAGGTCTTGCCGTGAGCTAGTGGTTGTGCCTTTCGGTGGGGCAGGGAAGGCGAAGTTGAGCGCGATGCCGGCGTCGGTTGCGTCTATGAGGAAAGGAACGGTGAAGATGTCCATGCCCAGACCGACTTGGCGCAGGATTTCGTGCGGGCTGGCGGGTGCGTGGAAGGAGAGACGTGGTAGATGGTGGAGTTCTTCGGACAGATCGTCAAGAAGGTAGGCGTCGTAAATAGCTACGCCAGAGATCTTGTCCACCATGTCGTCGACCAGATGCTCCAGATACCAGCTCTGCAAGTCACGCTCTATTGGTAGAATAGGCGCGAAAATACCCCAGCTCGGTTCACCATTGTCTAATGTAGCCTTCTTCGCAATTATGTCGCGCGTCCACACCTCGGTCCTGTCGCTCATCCTGTCCTTCCGTTTTATCCCTATCGTCTCCTGACCGAAGGGAATGTCAGCCAGGCCTACCACAATGTCTGGCTGGAGCTTCCTTGCAGCAGCAGCATAATATTTTGAGCTCAATGCCTTAAATCCAACAGAGGTCAGAATACCCAGCTCCTTGTTTGTGCTGTGTATTGGGGATGGTATAGGCGGGTTGCGGCGTGGGCCGAGGACGAGGAGCGCGTCTTGCGGGAGAGCTATAAACCTACGGAGTGGCTCGGGGATCTCGTACTGAAACACGGGTGGTGTCTTTTGGGGGATTTTCTCAATGACTATCAAGGTCAGTGAGGCGCTGCGTCATTGGTCTTAAGTGCGTTTACAGTCTTCAAGGGCAACGTAAACACCATCGAGGCTGAGGCTTTTCGAGAAATTATCCTGCGATATGTGTGGAATGACACCGCGCGAAGTGATGCCGATGAACCCTGGAGTTGATATGCTCTTGCGCTTAGGAAAGGAAAGGTGGCCGAGGCGTGGTGCGAGTGTCCCCGTCGCTTTGAGAATTGCGAATTCGAGCATTTCTGGCTGCGACTGGTCTAGCTCTGGTGATGGGCTCTCATCTTGCGCCGAATCGGGCAATAGTGAGGACAGCAGCTCCATAGTATGTGTGACTTCCTTCTTCTGGACCTGGCTTTATGGTCGCGTGTAACTTTTGGTGTCGTGCGGGTGAATCGAATGGCGCGCTACCTAGGTAAAATCAGGGTCCACCGCGCGCGTCATCTCAACACTCCATCCCAACTTCAATACAATTGAGATCTGGGAAACGACGGGTGTTTGTTCTCGACACGAATGACACCACGTATACTCAATGCTCAAAGAATAGACATGTTGTGCTCAGTCAGCATCACGCGAGCAGCCCCTTCCATGCTCCTGACTCGTAGAACCAACAAGAAAAGGACTTCCTCCGCACGCTTTCAGATCTTTTGCTTTCCTCACTCGTACCAAATCAAATTTCTTCGCCATGCCACCACGATGGCTACAGCATCCTGTCACAGTCTTCTTGGTTCCTCTCACCATTTTCTTGTGTCTACCAAACCTCTATAAATTTCTACCATCTGTTACCGATCCGTCATATGATGAAGCAAGATTGCAAAAGATAGCCAGCCTGATGGACGAAATATACACGACATTGGCCGATGCCACGTTTATCCCACATAATGCCATCTCTCGTGGTCCACATGTCATCAACACGACATCGTTGCCATGCAGACCAAGTGTCTCGGTGCTTCGCCTCATGGAGCTCTTGCCGTATGTGGACTCGTCACTAGTCAATGAGCCCGACTGGATCCACGGCGGCCATTTCATGGACTACAAGAATACGGAGCACCTCGCAGACTTGTGCGATCCTTGTCGTGGGCGGGGCATCGATTGGACCGACTACATGTCACAATCTGATATTGGCTTGACCAACTACGGCACCGGAGGCTGGAACGGTGACCGCAGTTGGGTGATGATCTATGATACTAAGAGGGATGCAATCAGGATCTATCGAGGCGAGCTGTGGGTTACTCGTGGAGGGGCGGAGCAGGAGTTCGGCGAAGAGATGGAATCTTGGTGGTTCGAAGACAACGGCGAGTTGTGGTGGGACAGGGACGATGGCGCAGCGCACATTCTGCGTGCTATTGCGAAGAACTACCGAACCCTGAAGTGGACGCCGTGGGGAACATCGAATCGAGAGAATGGATTTGGCGTTCCTCCCCAGACTATCAAAACTCTCCTTCAACGAAATGGCTGGCCGACAGCGTTCGATTGTGACCAGTTCAACGTCGAATTCGTCCGCAATAAGCACAAGCCTTCAGGCAAAGGTTACGCCGAGGCAGCGCTGAAGGAAGATGATAGTGTCGCGGGTCGGAGTTGACTTATCGTATAAAATGGATGGACGGAACGGGACGAGTCTAAAGGCGAGTGATGGTATGCGCAGGACCGATTGAAGCACCACCGTCAAGCACTCGCAGACGTCACCGATCTCGAAGAACAACAGGTATATTAATGGCACAAATAGCAAAACCTTTGGCGCCTTGAAACCTCCAAGGGCGCCTAGAAACCGCTCGAGCAGAAGCCGCAAGGTTCTGTCCTGACGGTGTTTGTGTGAAAGAGAAGGACTTTATCCTTTAGGGCTTTGGAGGTCGCGTACACGTCAAGCTAGTAGTCTGGAAGGCTCGGGAAACTCTGCAATGTGCTTGACCACTTGTAATGTTCTAACATGTCACGAGCTCAGCAACAAACGAGGACCACCTTGTTTACACACATGCGCTACATAACCCCGAGACGAGATGCCTTGCGTTCTTATTCAACCCCAGCCATGGCTTCTTACAAGCGGAATGATGAATCTGCCCGATCATCGGCCATTCCCAACGACGATCCAGAGGCCAAATGAGTACTTGGGGACACTCAGGAGTCCACCTGCCTATCCACCGGATTGACGGAATATCAACTAAAACAAATTGAGGGATGGCGATCAGGTCGAAAGCTCTGGCGTGGTGTTTTGAAGCAGCTTCACGAGCCCCGCTCAGCAAAGCCAGCTCCCACGTCGTCGAGACCTAGCGTGCAGCATAGACAGCTTCCTTATCCGGTTCTTAGATAATAGATTACCCAGCCGAGCTGAGAAACCACATTTACGCCATATGTATCGCAGACGATGCCGCAGCATACACTGCAGAATCTAAGTCCCGAAACTAGAGCTACGCCAAGCCATGGGTGAGATCAGGATTAGAAAGAGAGCGTTCCAAAAGCCAGGCAAGAGCACTGCAAAAATGCGGACTACCCGAGGTCGAGCAAATGTACCTCGACGCCGCTGTCGAGAACATGTACGCGGACCATCATCTATTGCACGCATGTTCTGATTCCGAAGAACGCGTTGACCAGTATCGCTACCCCGTGGATGATGATGCATCCTTCAACCACGATCAATCCAATAGCATCCTAGTGAAAGCTAGCGGTAGTCTTCACCGCCGGCCACCGTCTATCTTGGTTGTGTGTCGACAGGTTTTCCAAGAGACTCATAGCCTCATGTATGCCCCATCGACCAAGTTGGAACTGCAAACAAAGAAAGATAGCCCCATACCGGCCTTTCGCGTTCTGGCCATGTTGATTCGCAATGGTATCGTTGTCAACGGAAGCTTAATCAGGGTCAAGCTCGAACCTGGTGAGATTGTTCACACCGCAGTGAAACGCTTGATCATCTGGCAGATCTGTCCCTTATCTGCACGTATAAGTTTAATGCCTCAGCGAGGGAACGCAGGCCCTGTTCATCATCGATCAATACCTATGGTATTTGGCTGCGGTCATGCATCGCGAGCAGAATGTCCGTCAGAATGTGCTTCCACCTGCGATTCCCAGACCTGCGATTGCCGGCAAACTAACACATCGAACAATTTACCCAGATTTGCACAGCTCTGAGCTCTTTTAGCTAAAAAGAAAAATAGACCCACCCAGATTGTCGGTGTTGCCGGTCGGGTCCGGAACGTCTTCGTCCGTACTTCGTACACGCACCCCCAGTACCGGTAAGCGTGCCGCCTACTGCGTCGGACGTTACAGCTTCCGGTGATGATTTGTCGTCCTGACAGTCCGTGAGTCGTTGTATTGCAACGGGATGGTCCGTGTCGTGAGAGTCGAGAACGGAGGTGTCTCCACCAATCAGCTCGTTTGAGCCAAACACACGTGATGAGCTCTGTCAGTACCACGAATGGGCTATCCTGGGCGACGATTGCCCTACAACTTGTAGATGCCTACCGGTATTGACACACGATAGATGTGCTGAGTCCTAGAAGTCGATGGCAGAAGTCAAGGGAAGATGATGCAACGTCATAGGCCCTCGATGACTCGCCGAATCATCGTCAGCGGAGCACACCTTCTCAGAGTGGATCATCTCCAGAAGTTGACTACTGTACTTCGTAAAGCCGACAACCACCGAGCATGATCGGAGTGTATAAAGGCAGGATCCGCGATCAAGCTTGAGGACTAAATTAGCAGCAACATTCCTACCTCGTCCCAATCCACGGCATCACACATAGACCAGCAAGATGACAACACCAAACCTGACAGTCAACCACCTTCAAATCGGCCAAGGCGAGCGCATTCCCTGGTTATTGGAAGAACTCAATATCCCCTACAATCTCGTAAACTACAAGCGCTCTCCGATGCTCTCCCCACCAGACCTCAAAGCCAAGCACACTCTCGGCGCCTCTCCAGTGCTAGAAGACACCACTGACCCATCTAATCCCATTACGCTGGCCGAGTCAGGCGCCATCGTAGAGTACATCATCGGCAAATATGCCGACGGCAAGCTGGCCCTGGGTCCCTCACACAAGAACTTTGCGGACTATTTGTACTGGTTTCACTTTTCCAACTCAACGCTGCAGCCTGTGATTTTCAGACGCGCGATGCTAAGGGGCGCAATTCCGAACTCTGCTACGGATCCTAGATATCTTGGTGCAGATGGCAGAGTCAAGATCGCCTTGAACCACATGAACACCCGTTTGCTGTCTAATGACTGGCTTGCGGGTGACGACTTTACGGCGGCGGATGTCATGACAGGCTGGTGTGTTACCACGATGCGGGTATTTGAGCCGATCGATTTGACCGAGTATGAGGGCATTCTGGCATGGATAAAGAGGTTCAGTGGAAGGCAGGCATGGAAGACGGCAATGGGAAAGAGCGACCCGGATCTGAATCTGGAGGAGACGACGAGTGTAAAGGGCCCAGCACCGATTGAGCTGTTTGCGAAGGCCATGGCGGGCAAGATTTAAGTCAGTCTGCACTCTGCACCCATGTATTAGTCTATCAAAGACAGAATACCCCACCTGATCAAGGATAGCCTGGATCAAAGTCATTCGTAAACGATAGGAACAGAAGCTGCAATCAGATACTGCTAATAGCCCAGTGCTTTCGCCCTCTCCTCACCAAGCACGTCGACCAAGCTCATCAGCTTGAAGCTGGCCTCAGCGCTCGTGCCACCACCGGCAAGCTCATTTGCGTCGTCATGGGTCACAAGCAGACCGTAAGGATAGTCAGCATTGAGCTTATTAGGCACGGCTGCCAGACCATCGGTGTTGGTGACATGATCGATGCCCATCTCTTCGTTGTCGACGATAGTGAACGTTGTGACATATTCGTGTGGCGGCGCGCGCTCATACACCAGGTACGCGCTGATCCCCTGGCTGCTCACCATGATGTATCCGCCCGTGCCGTTCTTCGCAGTGACGAGCGTCAAGCCTTCAACGTCAGCATGGAGTCCACCATCGCCGACTTTGGCAAACTGGAGACCCTCGTTCGATGCATCAGGCTCGGCCCCATAGCGCCAGATGCCGGAGGGCTCTTCGCCGAGAAAGACATAGCCTGCATCTTCGTCGGCAACGCAACCTTCGACTTGGCCGCCCGAGCCACCAGTGAATTTGCGAACCAGATTTGTCTGAAGGGTACTGTTCGCGGTTGCTAATAGCTCGTACTGAAGGTATTCGGCCTTTTTGTTGTTCACGAAGAGGTACTGTTTCTTGGTCTTGGGGGAGAGATAGGTGCAAGAGCCATATGGCTCGTAATTCTCAGGGAGGGCCTGTATGCCACCGGTGATGTTCTTCAATGAACCGTCGCTAGTGACCTCCACTAGACAAAGGGTATTGTCACCCCGACATGCAGCGTATGCAAGATCGATACTGCGGTTTCCCACGGGGAGACCGTATATGATGTCCACGTTGTTCGGCTCCGATGCAGACGAGTGCTGCAGCAACTTGCCTGTGAGGTCAAAAACCCCGAATCCTTCGCCTCCTTGAGATTTGGTTGTGGTGATAATTCTGCTCTGCTCAGGCTGCGTCGGGTGGATCCAGATTGCTGGGTCGTCGCCATCGCCGCCGTTGGCCTCAGTCTCGTATTTCGCCTTGACCGCGACAAAAGAGCAATCGGGGCCGGCCCACTCAGACTCGCACCTGCACGCATTCGGACCGTCGCAGCTGCCATGGCCGGAGCAGTCGTTTTGACATGTGACATTTGAGCAGTATGTGCCAGAGAACCCAGCAAAACAGCTACAGGTGCTGTTTCTTAAAACCCCATTTTTTGAACAATTATCGGAGATGGGGTTCGCGCAGTATTCACACGGCTTGGTATGGGGATCATATGCGGTGTTCGCTTGGATCCCAAGCGCGCTGAGAGCATCACCCAGGGAACCAATTGCGATTCCTGTCTCGTCATGCCCTTCAAAAGCGAACGTAAGGGCTCCTGTGGGGTAGCTATCAGAGGTAGACTGCAGTACTGAAACATCGCCTCCGATTGAGAGATCGGCAATACCCTCTAGGCTGACAGAACCCTTCTGCTTGAAGCTTGCATCGTAGACTTCAATCACATTGTCGTGTGCAACAAGGAGATAGTCACTCGAATCGCCGTGGTAAGCGCCGAGTCCCTCGACTTTTACGTTTTCGCCCACAATACGAACCTCAGGTGGTTTGGTGCTCTCAGTAGCCTGGAAAGAGTACAACGTGTCGCCTTTGCCGCCAGAGAAGAAGATCTGGCCATCCAAGAAGACGGCAGCCGTCTCGCCCTCGATTTTAATGGGAAACGTTTGAACCTGGTGGGCGTGAGTGAGAAAACAGCAGTCGTACATCGAGATTGACTGTGGTTAAGAATTCAACACGCCAGGAGTTACGGTGTTGACAAACTCACCTCAAGAATCTGCAAATTATCGCCATCACCCCTGATCAAAAACTGCACGACCGTCTTCTTGCCAAATAAGAAGACATAGTTTTCTCCACTTGTCTGACTGCGCCAATGTCGCGCTACACTCCAATCACCCAACTGGTACTTCCGAGAACCTGCAACCTCGCTCCCAGTCGCAATATCGTAAGCGCGAATAATGGAATTTGGTGAAGGGATATTGAAGATGATGTCTCGACCGCCAACATCGTAGACTGGGACCGCGATCTTTGTACGCCCAGATATCTCATGTGAGCGCTCGCTGAACGTGGTTGCGTTTATGGAGTTAGAGGCAGAGAACGTACGGAAGCCGCCTTCTGCTGCACTACCATCGTTTGCGAGGAGAATCGGCAAAGATGTATAAATTAACGCAGCATTGTCTGAATCGAAGCCGGTAGCTGCTGGGGCGAGGGTAATGCTTGCATTCTGAGCAAACGCTGCGGGTAGCAAAGCTGCGACCCATGTGCACTTCATGAGATCCTTCATCATACTTGCTGGTATTGTGTAGTACGGAAGGAATGACCCGAATATATGTACTGGTAGACGTGTCTAGCTTCAGGCCTCACTCTCCTATGTGAAAACGCGCGTGCCGCATACGCTCGCACAATGGATAGACCTAGACCCATAAATGACCCTTGATCTGCACATAAATCATTACCTGAGAGTGAGGAAAGCATTTTGTTTCGATGCCAAGATGTTGCTGGATTTGTTGCGTCCTGATTGACACCGGCCGATGTTTTCACCTGCTCGATGGGGCGTCTGTCCGCTGGCGCTTCGACCAATTACAGCGCGAAATCGTGCAACGTGAGACAAGTCAGACAATCCTATTTGCCGCGATCAGTGTGATGTTTCATATGAGCACCCGCATGAAGGCAGCGACATAGTGCTTGGTATTCTGGGCAGTGTGCACGTCATGGATGGGGAATCGGTTAGTATTTACTGCACGTGTGGTGGATTCATGAAAGTACGGCGGAAGCATATTGCCATGAAATTGAGTTTAGGTGAGCGAATGGACGTTGACATAGGGCCAACTCCTCCGACATCCTGCATTATCAGATGAACGGCTCTTCGAGACAGAGCTTAGCCTTCTTCACTGCCCTACAATCGAGCACTAGAGCATCGATACGCTTGGGTAGCAGCGGGCTGTGCAAAGGTGAGCCAATGGAACCAAACTTGATGTTCGAGAGAGCGACCTGAGCGTTGGGGAACTGAGCCTCAACGTCGGAGGGCTTACCAGACGTAATGGGGCATTCGCCGCGAGCAACACCAGGCTCGCTGGGGTCCTTTTCTATGGGGTGAGAAGATTCAAGCCGAAGCACGTTGGCGTAATGGTCGTCCCACAGCGACATGACTAGATTTATGCCTTGAGCCATGGCCTGTACCGTAGTTAGTGTCCATGGAGGTAATCGAGAGAGATGAGGTGGAAATTACGTTGCTCATAGAGGCTATACTGCCTTATTTGTTGAAGGGTAGGCATCTTCTTTAATACCTGCTGCTGGTTGTTGCACTATAAGTCTTTGACACCGATACGGTATGGATTGAAATGACAATCGTTGGCGTCGCACGGTCCAGCATAGCGATCAAGTGAGTAGGTGCCTCCGCAGTTACACTCCTCGCATACGCTGTAGCTCTCAGGCTGGCAGGAGTCAGAAGTGAGCGTAGTGGACACGGAGTTGGCCTCCCAGACTTCCATCTCAGCGCTGAATATTGTTAGTGCAAAGAGCATCGCAGTCTCTAAAATGTAGCATCCTTACCAGCACTCGCTAAACTTTCCGACACTGGCATTAGTGTCGTTACTGGATGGCTGCCACCCCTTAGCGTCAGCCTTATCGTTGATGTACTTGAGGTCACGAGCGCATTGAGCGTCGCAGTATCCTTGAATTTCATGTCAGCACCGCGTTCGGACAAAAGAGCAGTGCACTTTAGCAGTTCAGTACTTGGCACCAGGTGTTCCCTGTCCCTTCTGAGGCATGGACACAAAGTATAATGCCCCGTTGAGACCGCAAGGCAATTGAGAAAGATCGACATCAAAGCTGAACTCATTGCCAATAAGATTGAACATTTCGTTTGTTTGCGTCCTGCATGAGGTGTGTTCGAGAGCCGATGTTGGTCGAGTACTGTCCCTTTGTGATGAACTTGAGGTTGAGTTGGTTGCCAGACGTAGTGATGCCGTGGGTACCGCTGTAGTCAGATCCTTCAATTGCACAGTTTACTGTGCAAGCCGTGTTAGATGAGCACAAGGACTCGTTCCAGGTATTGCCGTTATAACAGTTGGTGTAGCTGCCCGCAGTCTTGTCATGGAGCCTTGACCGGATCAGTAATTGTCCGTAAGGGCCCATCGTACATTTATCAGCGCCAATTAGCATCGATGACAATTTCACCGTTGACTTTCGAACAGCTGGTTCCGCCACTACTCGTGCATCGCTACCAGGTGAGCTTGGGATGAGTCTCGGTTTGCTGTGTTCCGATAACACAGGCTGAGGCATCTGAAGCGAAGAAGGCTACAACAGTCTTCATGGCGAGTGGAGATGGCATTGCTAGGAGCTTGGAGGGTTCTGGTGAAGTCGCCCGTTGCCTGCCGGGTCAAATTGAACAAATTCACTCTCTTTATAGTTTCTCTTTGATGTGGACTATGGTCGCCACACATTGGTACATGCACTTATTTCCGTCGCATAATCTGGGCAACTTCGTCGAGTGCTCTTTCATCAATGATAATCGATTCGGGGCTCATCGGGCGACGGTCCGATCAGCTCCATCTCCGGCTTGGAAATGTGTCTGTCGTATGCCTTGGAGGCTTGGTCGTACGACCACAGAGATCTGTGACCAATCCAGGTACTCGCTTAGGTAGCATCCCGGATATGGACGACGATCCGTGTAGTATAGCGCCAAGGTGATCATTGTCAAAGTAGTTGTGGGTTTGACGAATCGTGTCTGGCGCACTGCTCATTAAGCTTGTTGGCGTATGCCTTGAGTGATTTACTCTGCTCGCATGGTCTCCTGACCATTCGTGATGTTCTCACGAAGTAATGCGAGCCATGCATACTGCACCACCCCGCTTACCGCTGTAGAATCTTCGTTTACAGGTTGAACGAGACAGGCTCAAGAATAACCGGAAGTATGCACACGTTTAGCCTACACACCAAAGAGTGCTGTACAAGTTGGACGTTGCATCAAAATGATAGAAATTGAGCCACTGCAGTTGGAAAATCTGCAGAAGAAAGTGTCGTTTGCCGCTGCGATGCCTTGCAGTTGGAAGGATCGTCCGTATGTCGAGAGTCTTCGTTCAACGCCCATGGGTTGGACTTCTGCTATCAGTCATCTTTGTAATGTGAAACTCGAAGTCTCGTATCGAGAGTCAAGTACTCATTAACCATACCGATATAGTCCACCGGCACATAGGCGATATATCGCTCTGCCCACCAGCTCTTATTCTGCTCATTTGGCACACAGACGTCCTTTAGAAAAAGATCGAAGTTCGGTAGACAATCGACCCACAGCTCAGGGAAGCGAGCGCCGAATTTGTTGCTGTAGCGTCACTTCCCAAATCGTGTGTGCAGGACTGTTTCAAAGAGAATCCGGTCAGAATTAAGTGAGCCTTGAAACCAGGGACGAGCTCCAGAACGTGTTATCAAAGAAAGCAGTGATCCAGAGAGCCTTTGTCTGCGCTATAAAGGTGGTCGCCAGGCTCCTGTACGCCCCGCTGAATGCAAGTGTGCGACTGTCGATGAATGCAGGCGGAATCATGAAGCGATACAAGCGGGAAGGCTCAGGGGTCGTCTCCTCGGTGTCTTCAGTCGTTGGCATCGTCTTTCGAGAAGGAGGCTGGTTCTGGAGCCTAGGACAAGCCTCAAACACTGCAGAATCTGTCTTAGCAATGTACGGCTCCGCACTCGATGACAGGTGGCCGGGAAGACCAAGCAGCCTCTCGGTGTGGGAGCCAATTTGTGTGGTGTCTTTCCAGCCTGTGCCGCATATGGGTATGTCAGTTTTCAGCGTATCATTATTTGACAAGTGCGCAGTCTGGTGACTAAGTTTCGCGATGTCCGCATTGTGTACGCGGACAGTACCATTTCGGACGAACTCGAAGAAGTCCATATCGTAGTTCGGTAGACCACGATTTGTACCAATAAAGAAGACATCGTCGCTCGGATGTAGAATGGGGGTTTCTGAGTGTTCGTGGTACCTGTTGCTTTCTTCGATAATGTGCTACGTCTTTGCAAAGAATGTGTCAGCGATCTTGCGACTGGGCCATTGGCAAGAAGAGGAGTGATGAGTATGGTGGTTGAACTATCGATTGGTACTATGGAGAGTGGCGACTATCTACAGTGCGGAGAGCTAACCAGAACGAGCTGACCAATCGGAGAGCGTCCTTCGCAGACAAGAAGTCTCGGATATAAAAGAACCAATCGTCGGGACTGAGCCAGGTGATCAGCCTGGTTTGTAACAGCAGCTCAGGAATGATCTCAAAAGGCGTGAGTCTCGGCGGTGTTATCCAGCATGGACCGAGCCCCTATTCGCAGATAATCCAGTCGACTTGCACGCCAGCCGAAGCGTATACGCATGCGATGTCCCACGAGAACTTTGCGCCACTGAGCAGCACTACCTTTTTGAAAGAACCCAATTCATTTTCAGTCTTGGCAAGCTCAATTGTATGATATATTGTGGCGTCAAAGCTATCTCTCCCTTCAAGCTTAGGCAGTAACGGCTCTGACGTCAAGCGCGTAGCTACGATGAGTTCTGCTGTTTTGATTAACGTTTCTGACTCCTCGCCGGACGATCTGTCAGCTACAGTAAGCGTCCAACCTAAAGGGCCACAGTCGACAGCCAGTTCGACGCTAGAGTTGGAGCGCATGTGCTTCAGGAGATCGAAAGTTCTCGCCAAGTCGTGAATATACCCATTAACATGCTCTCCAGATATTGTGATCATCTTTGAGGTCAAACCCATCGCTTTTCATGATATGGTCGCTGTTCTGCATGTTGAGTAAGCATTTACTGGTACGCAATGTGAATAAGCCAGCTGACCTCAAAACCGCTTCATCTTAGCTAGGTGCATGCACTGTGTTCTCGACGCAACCTATGTCCGGAAATGGTTGTTCGTATGCAAAACAGTGTGCAGTCTCTCCTTGGCCCGGACACCTCCCAGAGAGCTTCCTTTCTCGATGACTAGGTTTGATGCGCTGGGACGTACATCACAATGTGTCTTCAACATCGTCAGGCCGTGGATACCTGCACATGGCTTTAGTGGAAGCAGTAGATTTCAAAAGCTTGAATGCGCTTGCCTGCACCCACAATGACAAGATCAAACACGGCCATGGCTAGATCCACGTGATCATGACACTAGGAACGAGATATTTGGGACGGAGAAACACGATTCAAACAATGGAAGATACGGCAAAAGACGACCATACCTCAAAATCACGTATGGACTTATCGTATACCGTGCAGTCTGCAGGTGTGTACGAGTATCGAGATGGCAGGGGAGAGCGCCACGCGAGTTAGTGCTTGGCTGAGATTGAGATCATCATGATGGTCCATTGGTTCTTTTCGACTAGAGTTCAAGAGGCTGCTGAACTAGATCAAGTGGCGGAAGACTCGCTGCCGCCGCAGGCCTCAGTTGCCAGCCGATCAATGTCATGTCTTCCGCGAAGGTAAGCACCAGCGGGTGACTAAGGGGTGAAATTGATCTGGCGTCAGCATTGGAGCAATCCTGTAGGGCAGGCTGCACAAGACCGGGTCATCCTCAAGCAGTCGCAGATGAGAGGCTATTTCAATGAGCTGAGATGATCGCGCTTGTCGCCACTGGTGTCTGTTACACGACGCGCCGAAGCCCTCGTGGCTACCGCACGTGTCAGCCGAAACTCGCCAGCAAGCACGGTGTGAAGACAGCAAGGTTTAATTCCCGAGTGCTCTGGCGAAGTACATTCTTGAGATGGAAAGCTTAATGGTGAAGTTGTGAGAGCGTAGAGGTTACTTGCGGAGGACGCGCGACGGGCCGGCGACAGATACGGCGCCGTCGCTTGGTAGTTAGTAAGTTAGCCGCTGCCACCCCCGCAAATTCTCCACCATAACGTGCACAACACAACGCCCAAACGCTATCTCAAAATTCCGTTGCAGGCTGTCGGCATCAGTGCTAGAAGGTCCTGCAAATTCAGCATGGGGTGAAAACATTTATCCATGTAGTGAGTACTAAGCCAGATGGGAACACAGCAACGCTCGAGACGCCCAGATACCAACAGGAAGGCCTATCGTTATCCGCGCAGTGCCGGTATTGTGGGCGGTATTGTGGGTTATCACTAAAGAATACCTAAGAAGGCACCTATATCTCCGCATCGGCCTCCATGTTACTTCCGATGTTACTTCCGATGGATGTCTACCCCAGCATAGCGACGTTCTGCTCCACAATGACGAGGTGGTGAGTGATAACCGGCCGTACCTGACTCGGGGATCAGCGAGGACCCTCCGAACCTGACTGTACCAAGACTTCCGCAATCTTTGTACTGTGATATATAAGATACGGCAAGCATGCTTGTGTTCCATTGTCTTGAGAATCTGTTGCGCTCTCCGGTCCTTGGTCTCGACATCATGGGTCTCAGCGGTGTTACTCAACGCTACCTCACAGCCTTCGCGGTGCTTAGCAGTGCTGGGAGTGCTTCTACGGTTACCTTGCCCGGGTATGGCAGCTTTTTCGGTACTACTGTCGGTCAGTATCTGACCAAACGACCTCTGCCAGCAACAGTCGATGCCTGGTTCAACATCGATTACGCAACCCAGCCAGTGGGCGGCTTGCGCTTCGCGCCCGTAGGGCCACCAGCAGCTTTCTCCGGCACTAGGAATGCTACCGCATACGGACTTTCATGCATTCAGGATGCGTCAATGGTACCATACCCTCAGGACGAAGCATGTCTGAATCTGAACGTCTTCCGTCCCCAGAATGTCTCCGCCGACAGCAGACTCCCCGTGTTCATCTGGATCCACGGAGGTGGCTTCGTGTCTGGGTCTGCGAGGAGCTTCGACGGTCCCGCTTTCGTGGCCAACTCAGAAGAGCCATTAATCGTTGTGAACTTCAATTACAGGGTACGGCAGTACCGTCTACGAGATTTGACCGTATACTGATCTGACACAGATCAATTCTCTTGGTTTCTTGCCGTCTCCCGTCTTCGATCGCCTGGGTCTTCTGAACCTCGGATTGTTGGACCAGCAGTTAGCCTTTGAGTTTGTGCAACAGCATATCTCAGCCTTCGGTGGTGACCCCGAGCGTGTCACAATCGGTGGTCGCTCTGCTGGTGCCCACTCCGTTGGTATCCATCTGTTTCATAACTATAACAAGACCCAGGGCGCTTCGCCTTTGTTCTCCAAGGCCATATTGCAATCTGGAAGTGTCACTGCTCGTGCCTTCCCCAACGCTTCCTACCCACTGTATCAAAGGCAATTCGCCGAGTACCTTGACCTTACCGGCTGCGGTAGTGTTGCCAATGGCACCGACAACGAGGTCATTGGCTGCCTCCGCGCAGCGAACATCACTTTGATTCAGGAAGCGAGCAACAAGCTCTTCTCTGACTCCGAGTACAACATTACGTGGCCCTTCCAGCCCACTCGCGGTGGCCCACTCCTTGAGGAAGCAGGCTCAACAGCTGGCATCAATGAGCAGTTCTTCCACGTGCCCACCATTACGACCAACGTCCGTGATGAGGCCAAGTACTATAGCCCTGGCGATATTGAGACAGATGGAGAGTTCCTGGACTTCTTCAAAAACTTAATCCCGGCCCTTTCTGCGCAGGACGTCTCTGACCTCAAGGCTTTGTATCCGGATCCCACCAACGACACCAACGGTGACTGGTCGCCATACGCCCACAGCCCCAACTCCACTCAGTATGATCGCATCTCTGCTGCGCTTACGGACTACATGTACGCTTGTGCAGGCCAAGAGACCGCGGTCCGGATGTCCGATGCCGGTGTGCCTGTCTATAAGATGCACTGGACAGTCAACAACACCTTTCCCGACTGGAAGGGTATCCCTCATACTTCTGACACCAAGTATACGTGGGCTGAAGGTAATGGCACTGGTGGTGTTCAGTACCCCGAGGTTGGTAAGCAGCTGCACACTTACTTCGCCAACTTCGTGGTACACGGCGACCCAAGTGCTGGAAACAGGACTGGTCTGCCGAATTGGCCGAAGTACGTCGACGACAATGCTGAGGGGATACCTGGACTTCAGCTACGATTTGAGTCTTTCGGTAATACCAGGGTGGAGGGTGATGCCATCAGGAGAAAGCAGTGCGAGTGGTGGAGAGCTCCAGAGAGAGCAGCGAGGCTTGAGAAGTAGCATACTGAATAGCTCGTCTAATATAGTTGGTTTCACAGCGTTAGATGATTGGCTTCAAGAATTGACAGCAGCGTAACCGTGAGTCCAGCGACCATCGCGCCTCCTCCGTGGACAGGTGCAGATTTGAGCTGGGCTTGTGAGCAATAAAGAACTGTAGAAGTTCCCAGTACAAACAATTCATATCATGCAAATTATCTCAACCATCTGTAAACTGTCTGCGAGATGGCGATGCGAGCAATAATTCCTTCGCATTCGCCAGGCTGTTAAGACCAACTGAATAATCTCTCGGCTTTACCGGGCCGAATAAAAGCAGACGTAGAGACCTACAGCATTGTCGCGCGTGCGCACGTTGACACTTCTGTGGCCGGCTAGATGCTCAGGTTATTAAGGCAAGTTGCGGTAAGCTCGTAGTATCAAATCCTGAGCTCATGTCGGGATCATGCTCGACGTGTGAACTTAGAACACAGTCCGAAGTCTTGAGTTCGTGCACGCTGTGTCGTTGCTTGAATTAATGATGTCAGTTGTTAATCTTCCCCACTCATTAAAATCGGTGGCATCGCGCCGATCATCCTCTGCATTATCATGTGTGCCTGGGAGGTCGTGGACCGACTTCATGTGTGGTTGAAAGATGCATTAACAGGTATGAGCCCACCTTTAGCACATTGGCGCTTGCAGACTGCTGAGGAATGTCCAAGCAGGTGGGTCGACATAGGGGCAGAAGAGCAAATGTAAGCGAAACAAGTATGACCTGGCCTGCACACCCAGCCTTTCACCATTGTCTCTTTCAGCTACAATAGTAGGTGAACATAGATCCCGTAGTCTCATTTTTCCCTGCATCTAGTATGGCCGCATTGTACAAACGCCAGTATAATTTTGTTTTGTCGTGTCTGTAGAACTAGCCCCCTAGCCAGTGCGGCGATAAAGACGAGCAGAACAACCATGAAGCTGTTGTGAAAGCCGATCGCATTACGAGAGATGCTGAGACGCCGAAGTGAAAGATCTATCGTTGCTATTGCGAAGGTTCCATCGTGACTTGACAAGAACACGCAGTACGGAGTTTTGAGGAGCAGACGTCATCGCTTCAGCTTCGAGTTACCTAGCGTCTCTTACAGTAAAGTGCAAAACCACCATCAAACAACGGAAGCAACCAATCAACACCCGTGGACTGCTTTGGTCCTGATATGTAACCAAGCCTGTAGAGAGCTCCAAGCGAACCTCCAAATACGCTTGACCCGAATAGCTTACCCGCGGAAGCAATGTTAGACGAATAGAATTGCACTCTGACTACAACTGCAGCTGAAAGCGGACTTTACGCTTTTTCCACGACGCCGATGCTAGCTCGAATCGATGCCTCGAGGTACACAAAGGTAAATACAAAGAAATGTTGTCAGTTCACGGATTAATCCCTTAAACAAGGATTCAACTTTCTAGAAAATCATCATGGCAGCCCTCGCAAAAGAAATCGTGCTTGTAACCGGAGGCAAGTCACTACAGACACGATGTGTCTTCATACTGATTCTTCCACAGCAAACAGCGGCATTGGGTTCGAACTCGCTCGCCAACTCCTCGCGAAAGGCACCTACCACGTCCTCCTCAGCGTCCGCTCGACCCAGCGCGGCACCGACGCCCTCAAAGACCTTGAATCTCGCAATCTCCCAGGCAGCATCGAGTTTCTGCCCCTCGACCTTCAAGACGATGCAACGATCGCACAAGCAGCCACCTACGTGACCACTACTCACGGCCACCTCGACATACTCGTTAACAACGCAGCCACCGCCTCTTTCGCCTCCGCCGACCGCGCCGCGTTCAAAGACTCCTTCGACACTAACGCCACCGGCCCCTACCTGCTGTCCAAAGCTCTGATCGACCTGCTGCAGAAAAGTCAAAACCCTCGCATCATCAACGTGTCCTCGGGCGCTGGTTCCATCGGCCGCCGTCTCACTCCCGCCTCACCCATGTACAAGATCCAAGCCGAGCCGTACCGCACTAGCAAGGTAGCGATGAACATGTTGACGATGTGTTTGCATGTTGAGTATGGGTTGAACTATGGGGATGATGGGAAAGGCGTGAAGGTCTTTGCGCATGATCCGGGTTTTACGGTGAGTAATCTCAGTGCGGCGAATACTAAAGAGCAAGGAGCACGGGCTGCGGAAGAGAGTGTGAAGAGCTTGATGGATGTTGTGGAGGGGAAGAGGGATGACAGGGTGGGCAGATTCATACATAACTCCGGGGAGTACCCCTGGTGATTTTGATAGGTGGAGCTCACACTTGTGCAGTGGGGGATGGATGGTTTTTGTATGAGTATTTTGAACTTTTTTCCGGTCGCTCTCAGACTTGTATACACTGTGTGAGCCTTATAGCTCGAATTGCGCATTTGTACGTACTTCCATCGCATCGTCATGCTCCAGGCCGTAGCCGAGCCTTCATCACTCTCCATTCGTTGTATCGTACACCTATTCCTCTTTGATCACACCCCTTGGCCTGGCCTTGATAATAGTGCTCATGTCACCAACGGGAATATCGGGGATGGGTAGCTCCATGATAGCCACAACGAGCGCCAGTAAGAAGTAGAACCCTAAAACTCCTGTGGCGAAAAAGCACGCTCCAAGCCCAGTCGCCAGCCGTGTACCAACAACGATGTTGCCGCGTGCGAGGTGGAAGAAAGCACCAGCACCGAGACCGAAGCCGATAGTTGCGAAGACGAAGATGATGACGAAGACCAAGTTCGTGCGGAGCGAGCCGATGAGGAAGATGAAAGAAAGGATGCACATGACCATCGGGTAGAAAGCTTAGAAACGTCAGCTTTTGTCAGTTCTGGTCAGGAGCTCGTTGTTTGACATACCAAAGCTTGCAGCGAACATTGCAGTCTGATTTCCAGGTCCTGGGCTTCCAGCACCTGAGCCGTCAGGGTTGAAGTAGCCAATAGCATTATACCAGGGAATGAAAAGTGTGGCGTAGGACAGGAAGTGAGCACCGTAGGCGAAGAAGACCATCATGGGAAAGGTGTTGCCGAGCAGGAACTCGCCGACACCAGCGATAAAAAGGAGGACGCCGCCAAACCAGATGTTGACGGTGGTTGTTGCAACTGAAGATCCACCAGAGCCTTGCCATCCCACTGGTGATGGTTAGTTCGATGTTTGCTCTCTAGAGTGTGCTACTTGCTGAAGGAGACGGCGAGAGGAATGACGCCCACGGAGAACCCGAGCACACCAATGGGTGTTGGGTTTCCAAATCGCGTACGGAAATCACCCGAGACCGGCGTCTTAGGAGAGATGAACAGCCTCTCGTACAGCTCTGGTGTTAGGGTTACTGTTTTGGCAAGCTCATAGCGAAACTTCTCCTCAGAGTCGAAGTGCGTGTTGTTGGACGCGACGGCATGGTGATCTTGGGAAGCCATTGCCGTTGTTGTTATTATTATTGTCGCAAATAAGATGTCCGTCGATGATCAAGGATGGAAATGTGAAGATAAGAGGCAACCCTGACCTGATTGATACCTATGAGAAAGGGGGTAGGCAGACAAGGGATATGTATACAAACCACTCAGGTACCCCGGATCGAACATCTAGCCATGCTTACTCCTCAACCCATCGACGCCAACATAGCGCCCTTCCAGTCGTCCATCAGCTTTACGGAAGCCACGGGGCTTGAGACCAGACGTTATTCGTCGATCTGAGCAGAGCGTGGCATCTGCAACACCGATGTCCCAGACCATTGGAAGACCTGGTCTCCGACTTGCATGAATCTGGACTCGAGGCTCGAATGGCACTTACCATTTCCAGCCTTAAATCAGTAGCCGATGTCTTGAAAGTCGGCTTTATGCCCTCGACCACTCGTTTGCCCGCGAATGTCCCGAGAGCACAGATGGGGAAGTGTCGAGGCGGTCTTACCCACCAATCAGACATTGACGGATATAGGGCCAGCTTCAGACTTGAGCCAGACGAAACCATCAACGCACTCATCTCAGATCTGGGGGAAAACGCGGGGTGCATAATGTGCGGCTGTGTCAGCGGCAGCCAGAGCTTAAAAGTGAGATTTGTGTTCAAAGATGATATTGGCTGTCTCCAACTCTTTCACCCGTTTGCACCCTCGACCTCGCATTGTCTCGCGCGCCGCTCAACAGCTCACCTCACCTTTTAAGATAATCCTACATCCTCCGAAATCAAGATGTTTGCTCTGGCCGCTGAACGACTCGTGCACACTTGTCTTCGCCGCCCCCTCTTGTCGGAAGCTGCCACGGAAGGCTAGCGTCGTAAAGAGCGTGATAACGCATTGCGCGGTGCGGAAGAGGCGTTCGAACGAAACCGTTTATGTCAATAATGGCATTTCGAAAACAAACGCGAATGCATTGTGAGGGCTCAGTCGATTGTTCGCTGGACCTGACAAGCAGAAGGTGAGCTTCGATGAGTCCCACAAACTACATATCTCGCTATTCATAAGAGAAGGTAGACCCAGGTATACGACTCAGCGGAACGCGCCACAGGTAGTTCAGCGAGAGGTGCGTGTCGGGGATCGAGATGCTTGAGCGATTAAGGTGTTCTCCTCCACACTGACGTCACCGGCTGGTCAGCTGAGACAGCTGCCGTTGATATGCCTACTCACAGTGGGCGGAGCGGCCAAAGAAGAAGTCCACGGATGCATCGCAGCGGTTAAATAGAAAGATCGCTATACTTTAAAGTCTGTAGAGCGCGGGCAACTGCTTGAGCAAGTGAGCGAATTAAAACTTGTCTGGAGGCCCATCGCCGCCTTCTTCCACCTCGAAGTCAATATGCAGGTCAATAGCCCTTGGGAGTATTTGCTCCACAATCAACTCACCAGCTCGCGATTCATTCAAGCCTTTCACCACGTATCGAGCGTCCTCCAATACCTTGCTGGGGACCTGCACGCCAGAACGCTTAGCCTTCAGCAACTCACCAAGCTCCTGGCTACCCGATGCCGTCATAAGAACGTACCCAACTATGAAAAGAAGCTCGCTCTCCTTCTGCATATAGTCAGACTCAAAGATGTGGACCAAGTCGTCACGGACATGATCTTTCACCGCACGTAGCAGACGCCAGCACTGTCAGTGTAGCCTGAGGTAGTCGAATGCGATCTCGATTACCTCGACGTGGAGGAGGTCGCGAATAAGGCCGACGCATTTGGAGACAGAAAGCTGCCTTGCAGGTTTCTTCTTGGACGTCTCGCCAATGACCTTTTAGACCTGCTGTGCGTGATCGTTGCCGTCCAGCTTATACTCCCAGCTGCCCTTCACGAGCACCTTTTGTACGTCTTCGGTGCGAATATCCTTCGGTCCATTGGCGTCGCAGGTATGGCTTTTGAATGCCTGCATGGTTGCATCGAGCTCCTTCAGTCCCTTCGGACCTTCCTCGAAGTGGATTAACCCTCTCTTTGTGCCTGTCGACTCAGCGAGGTTGGCGGCAAATGCACTCATGGCAACTGCGAAGCGCTTTAGACATTCGTCGGGCGTTTTCGGTGCTTCGCCGATGAAGAAGGTCTTAGGCTCCTGCAGGCCGATAACGACATCGAAATCCTTTCACATCAAATTTTGAGTTTTGCCACCGTTAACAGCATTGTAGAGGTGAGCGCTTGACATGAACGATCCCCACGCATTGACAAAGGCGATGCTAAAGTTGTGGAACTGCATCTGCACCCAGTACTTCCACAGTCCGCAAGACCATGGGGGTATTCGATAGAGGTGGAATGGTTGAGGGGTGTTTTTGCGGTTCAGTCGTGGTGCGATCTCGCGTTACTGGTCTTTCTGCGCCCACAACTCGATAGTGTCGACGAAGCATCGCAAGACATCATCATTCTGCTTCGGCCATTTATCCATCTTGATGTTTTGGTGTAACTTTATCTCCTCATCGATGTCGCCGGTGACAAAGTGGGTCACGTCTGTGAGACGCTCGAAGCCATGATCTACCTCTGCGCGCAACATATGGTGGATGTCGAGAAACAATGTTGCCGCAAAGACGAGCGGAAAAGTGACTTCCTTGGTTTCGAATATTCTTCGCGGCAGACGGGTGAGCTCGTCTTCCACTGGCGAAGGATTGGGCTTGGTGGTGCTGCAGTAGAACTAGAATTCGGGCAGGATTTCGAGGAGCAGGATCTTGTCTTCCATGAATTTGTCATTGTCGCTCTTTCTGTCTCGATTCGACGACGGGCTGTACGTTCCATAGAAGCCAGTTTTCGTCTCGGCGTGCGGGTTGACCTTGTGCATCCCAGAGAATGCGTCAGGAATTAAATAGGCTGGCCACATCAGGGCGTCGGCAACCTTGAACATCGCAAAGTTCATGTCGTCCGCTGGTCGCTGCTTGTGTGCCTCCGAAGTGCCAGAAGCAACACATTGAGAAGCGTGAAAGATCTGCAGCATCCTGCTCGCACCGCCGTGTTTGGCAGAGGCAATTTTTAAACCTTCCACCACTGAGTGTGACAGATCCACGGCGGTGTTCGTCGTAATGGAAGCGGCGATCAGGTCGTATCCGCCCTCCTTGTATCCCGCCCAAGCGTGAGAGACCTCCGTTCGCATTTTGGGCAAGCTGTGGAGCAGGAGATGTAGCGCAGAAAAGTCCCCTTCGAGATCGTTAGGACGCTTGGCCTTGTAGATGGGTTCAAGTGCTGGAGTTGCGTTGAGGGCGTGATCAAAGGCCTCAGACATCTCCTCGATTCCAAATGCCCGGACATGTTGAAGATCTCATTGATAGTTCTTGGTTTGCTAGTGGGCGCATGTGCTACTGAAAGAAGGGGGCTCAAGATGCTACAAATGTTCTTCAAGATCCCGAGAAAGAACGCATGACAGTTGTTGAAGTCGTTGTCGGCATTGTCCGCCAATATTACCGTAATTTTCTCAGAGTAAGACTGTCGGCGAAGGATGGCAGTGTCGAGTAGAGCAGCGAGCTTAGTGGGGATGGCGACAGGTGGATCGTCCAAAGTGGCGATGAATTCTGCCATCGGCGCCTTTTCTTTCGCTAGGATTGTGTAGGTAGGTCATCCCTGTGGCGTCTTTCCCCCCTTTGCTGGAACCTTTAGTCTTAGGGGAAGTATAACCTCTGCTCTTTGCTGTCGTCGCGAGACATTACGCTATGTAATCTCTGTCCAATCTCAGTGCAGGTCCTGCAAAGGCCCTGATGGATGGGCTTGTGGTCCCGCCACTTTGTCGTAGCCAGTAGCCAGGTACTCACGTATGATTACTATACTTATGGTACGTGCTCGGCAGATCCTTTGGCAGCCTGGGAATATTGGCGGCTTCTCGTTTTGTCACATAGATAGGGAAGACTGACACGCGAAGGTGAAGAGCCTTCATGAAGTACCTACAACAAATGCTTGGTTTTGTCCCGCTGGAGCCGCGCATAGATCTCGACGCTAGTCAGCCGGTTTCAAACTGAGGAGTGGATGTCCTTGCATTCTGCGGCTGCGTGCTGCAAACTGCATTGTGGTTTGTGAAGGTATTCACTGCCTGGTTGGCTAGACGTTTCCCCAAACTTTATGGTATAGCTGGGTGGATGCTTTCCCACCTTTGTTGAGCTTTCGCCTCGTTTTGCACAGGACGAATCTGCAGTGTGTCTGCAACAAATCAAATATTTCTGGTGAGTAGGCAGCTCTCGGCCAGAGGTCTGGGTGAAATATCGTGATCGAAACAATCGCGGCCTGGACAAGCAAGCTGCGAAAAGATGAGTAGTTGGGTTGCGCCACTGATTGCACAAACGTATCTCAAGCAAGATACCAAAGGTCCTGGCCAGCTCTGCGCCTCTTCGCTAGTGCTTGTTGACTGGCTGACTGAAAGCTCGCTCTGAGTACCGCGGCCAGCAATGGTTGGGCTCCCGCATGACAGCGCGCTTGGTGTTTCACATGACGTGTCTCTCACCGCAGTTTGTCCGTAAGCTGCAGCGCAAGGCGAGCAACGTAGGTACCGGATACCTAGGAGGTGCTGGGCATGATCAGAGGGCAGATGACCGCCTTCTTAAGAGCGAACAGTGTACGGCGCGCGTGGTGGGGGCGATTCTAAGCAGCGATAAGCGGCGATTAGGAACCCTGTGACGGCTCCACCCGCGCGAATGCGGGAGCCTGTACTCTTATGCAATGATCCAGGACCTCGATACTGCATGATCTCTTAACGAACGTACTGGCACCATATCCACGTCCTTCTCTGTACAACGCCTTGTTGCTCGTGCATTGGCAGGCTGTTCACAGCCCGTGCCTGCCAAGTTGGAGAGCTTAATGCTAGCAGCATCACCATTCAGCCAGCTCGACTAAGGGAACCCCAAGCTGCTGTTCGCCGCCCACGACGACAACAGGGGCCGGTGACAGCTTCGAGACTCGCCCTACTGCCCTCTCCTACTTTTGTGGAGGCAGACAAACGCACAGAGAGCTGTTGTCCAACGACCGACCGCACCGGTGCCTTTACCATCTCTCCGCTTGTGACATCGTTCACTGCTTTCAACGACCGAGCTTCTACGCGACCCCGCAGACTTTCTCAGTGCCCCTACCGCAGCTCTGCAGCTTCTACACGTCTTGGACCGCTGTATGTCAGCTACGTGACTACCACTTTGCGCGCATCAAGAGCTACAACGTTACTACCAGCGCTTCTCGCGTCATCAGCGGGAAACCTGCCTCGGCGTTCGTCCTGGCAGACGAAACGACCTCACATCCTAATCCCCTAATCGCCTCCGACCGCCCAGCCACCACGAATCCCCCAGCTTCTTCTTCCCCAGAAACCTCTGCCCACATTACTACCCCCGAACCCTCCGCAAGTGCTCCCGAGCAACCAGTCAACGCCACAGCCGCACGTCAGACCTCGGCCGAACAGCATACGAGTGGAAAGCGCAGATATAGTACGCCTGAGAGCGACGAAGACCTAGAGAGCACAGAGCAGCAGGACAGTACAGCAGGGCCATCCCGTCATAGATCAAAGCGTAGGCGCGGGCACGACGGGATAATGCGCCTCGACAACGACACATCAAAACCGACGCGGTCCCCCTCACAGAGCTTCACAAATGGGTCATCACGCTCGACAGGGCCTAGATCGCCCTTGGGGAGAGTTGCAAATGGGGACTCGCAAGGACGTGCGGAGAGTCACGGCTCGCATACGAACGGAAGCTCGACAGCAAATGGCAGGCCAGTGCCAACAACATACTTTGGGCACAACAGAGATGAGGTTACTCGAATTCTCATTCAGAGTTTGACGGATCTGGGGTATCATGATGCAGCAGGAGCGCTTTGTAAAGAAAGTGGGTGCCAGCTGGAAGGGCCAACTGTGGCGTCATTTCGCCGCTCGGTGCTCAACGGAGATTGGGAGCTGGCAGAAGAGCTGTTGTTCGGAACCGTAGTACATGACAACGGTGGTGGTGTAGGTCTGGATGACTCGTATCGCAAGTCTTGGGGCAAGACACGATCAAGGGCGAACTCGCAACGTTCGGGAGGCCTCACGCTCGCCGAGGGCGCCAACAGAGACGAGATGCTATTCTGGATGAAGCAACAAAAGTACCTCGAGCTCTTGGAACGGAGAGATCTGGGCAACGCCCTCGCAGTTCTACGCCACGAGCTTACACCGCTGCACCAGGATGTTGGGTGGCTGCATGCGCTCTCAAGGTAAGAAAATGAATGCTCGAACTTTCGATGTAAATACTGACGGACTGCAGCCTTATGATGTGCCCATCAGCAGAAGGTTTGAGACATCAGTCGCAATGGGATGGCGCGCAGGGCGAGTCGCGAACACAACTGCTTTCTGATCTATCCAGTACGTTATCTATAACCCCGCAGCTGTTTGGTGAAGAAAGCTCACATAGGACAGAGTCAATATCTCCCAGTGTGATGATCCCAGAACATCGATTGTCTGCACTTCTGAATGAGGTCAAGGATATCTGGATCAGCAATTGCCGCTACCACAATACCACCGACTCGCCCTCTCTCTATCTCGACCACAACTGCGAACGAGATAATTTCCCTACCAAAGCAGTATTGGACCTCAAAGACCATACAGACGAGGTTTGGTACCTGAAGTACTCGAACGACGGTACAAAACTGGCATCAACAAGTAAAGACACAACTATCTTCATCTACGAGACTTCGTCCTACAAGATCCTGCACCATCTTGAGGATCATCAAGATTCGGGAGTGACGCATCTGGCATGGAGTCCAGACGATTCTAAGATCATCACATGCTGTGCGCAGCCAGAGAACTCTGCGCGGATCTGGGATGTGAAGACTGGCGCGTGCATACTATGCATCAGTGACTTCACGTATCCGTGTACGACAGCAGCATGGGCGCCTGACGGTAGGCACGTGGTCATTGGGTCGCAGGACGACAAGCTTGGATGTGGTGTCTGGGATCTGAGCGGTCGCCAAGTACACAACTTTTGCGAAGATGGCTCAAAACTTCGCCCAAACGATCTTGCGATATCCCCAAATGGCGAACGTCTCGTTGTTGCGTCCGACCATGCAATCGCGGTCTACGATTTCGCCAGCTACAAGAAGCTTGTCGAGTGGCACCCTGAGTCCAAGTCGACGAGCATCACAATCAGCCAAGATTCGCGCCATATGTTGGTCAGCATGAACCCGGATATGATCGAGCTCATGGAGATTGAAAGCGCAGACTTGATCCAGAAGTTTGAAGGGCACCAGCAGAAGCAGTTCATTATCCGCTCGGCATTCGGCGGGGCAGATGAGAACTTTGTTGTCAGCGGCAGTGAGAGTGAGTTTGGAGCCTGGAGCCACACATCAACGATGTGTCACTGACATCCTATTAGACTCGAAAATTTACATCTGGCGATCTAACGGACTTCTTGTCGAAACTCTCGACGCCCATCTTGGCTGCGTTAATAGCATTGCATGGCATCCCACAGATCACAGCGTATTTGCATCAGCGGGCGACGACCACAAAGTCAGGATCTGGAAACCTAGTCGGGCGCCCATTATGGAGATCAGCCGCAGCGGTTCTAACGGCTACGGAAGGTAATGGATACTGTAAGAGGCGCACATTGTCTGTTCGGTCAGGAATGCATATCTGGCGTACGGTCAAAGACATATATGGGTGTTTGGGTTCGGGCGGTTGAAGCGAGCCTCGATACATGCTGCAACTGGGAACGGTTCATGTTTGCTTGCTTATTACACCTCAGTGTAAGAATCGGAATGGTATCAATTATTGCTAACAAACTATCAGTGCAAAGACGTCTTTGAACATACTCTGGGCGGTATATACTAAACCTACTACCTATTGCCACGAGGTGACTGCCTCCCATGTCAAGCAGCGGCGTCTCAGCTCTGGTCCCCCGGTCCGCCTGGACCAAAAGCGAGCTTGACCGATCGCTCAGTCTCAATAGCTGGGACGCCGTTTGTTATGAACCTGCAGTTGTACGAAGTACGCAAGTACCTACCAAAGCTTCCCCGCGCTACTCCTGTCTCCACCAATCACGTCACCCATACAGTTACGCTATACCTCTCTCGGCACGGGCATTGCTGGGGTCAACTCTCCGCCCAGCTGTGCTGATGACGTTTGCTCCAATTTTTTAACGTCGGTACGTGGAGCTACGTATTCACCCGCGCGCGATGAAGCTTGGGCCCGGCTTAGCTTCACAACTCCAGCCAAAAGTCGACAAGAGACGAGCATCCTGACCCACATCACATCTTCCTTCGAGCCGGATCTGATTATGGCAGATGCGGGGATCCATGCATGCCCAGCTACATGCACCGCGAACAGATGATGAGGGACGAGAAGACGGCAGGACGATATGGGCGTACATTAGCTAGCCCGGTCTTGCCTCGATACTCTGTAGGATCTGTGTTGCTCTTAAGTACCTACCAGTTCCATCAAACTTGCTCTGAGGCAATTTCAGCTTCCAACTGAGTCGCGATGTCCCAGCCAATCTCCTTGCTTGGTCTTCTTGTAGCTATTACGCCTCTGGCACGAGCACAGTACAGCGATAGCTCCACACCATCCTTTACGCTGCCGTCCGGCTACACTGTGTCCAGCTTCAACAACTCCGCACAACCCACAGCATACAACCGCAGCGATTTCTCACCCAATGCCCTCGCGTCGCTTTGGGATCTCGTAGGCCCTGTGGCCACTGGTCCAGTGACCAGTACAGCTTCTCCGACACCAGAACCCACGGCGTATGCTCAGCCAGATGGCGAGGTCTTCCATCCGTTCGTCAGTAGTAGCTACCCAGAGGCGAAAGATTTGAAGCTTCCTGCTGGCTTCAAGTGGGGATTTAGCTCCTCGGCATATCAAATTGAAGGTGCCGCGAAGGATGAGGGGAAAGGACCGAGTATCTGGGACTTGCTGTCTCACCGCGTTCCGAACTTTGTCAGCGACAACTCTACAGGAGATGTAGTTGCGAGTAATTACTGGCTTTACAAGCAAGACATTGCGAGACTCAAGGGGCTGGGCATACCTGGTATGCAACCAAAACATCTCCAAAACAAGGGTGGGTAGAGATTGACTTAATCACAGCATTTAGCCCCAGTTTCTCGTGGCCGCGCCTCTTCCCCTTCGGCCATGGACCGGTCAATGAACAAGCGGTGCAGCATTATGACGATGTCATCGCCGAGATGCACGCCAACGGCATTACACCCGCTATCACTGTAAGCCCAGCCAATTTCTTCTGACCCGGATACTGATGAAAGTAGCTCTTCCACTGGGACACACCTCTCGCTCTGTTCACCGAGTACGGCGCCTGGACCGACCGACGCATTGTCGATCACTTCTTCAACTATGCCAAGTTCGTGATTTCTCGTTATGACGAGTATGTGGATGAGTGGTTCACCATCAATGAGCCACAATACTGCAACTGGCAATACTCCTACTATCCAGCTGGAAAGTACTACCCAGCGCCAAATAACGTCACCGGCGGTCCTGAGGCCCGCTTCCTATGCGGTCACCACACGCTGCTAGCACACGCCAAGGTCGCAAAGTGGTATCACAACGAGTTCAAAGGCCGCCACAGAATCACCTTCAAGAACAGCGGCAACTATTACGAAGCCAATAGCACATCACCCGGCGACGAGGAAGCACGACAGCGCAACTTCGACTTTAGCATCGGTTGGTTTGGAGGACCCTGGACTGATGGCGACTACCCGGCCTCTCTGAAGTTAACGCTAGGCGACCTGCTGCCCAATCTTACACAAGAAGATAAAGACATGATCAAAGGATCCTGTGACTTCTACGCAATCGACCCGTACAGCTCCTTCCTCGCCTATGAGGTCGACGGCGGCCTCGAAGCTTGCGTGTCCAATCGCTCGCACCCGGGCTTCCCGGACTGTGCCGGCAGCACGAGTCTCGCACCGAATGGGTTCCCGATTGGCCCAGCTGCGGATCCGGCAATGAGCTGGTTGTACAGCGCGCCGTCCGGCGTGAGACGGTTCTTGAAACATATCACTACCGAGCTGTTTCCTAGTATTCCGGATATCGTGGTCACCGAATTCGGGTTCGCGGAGCCGTTTGAGAGCCAGTGGAATACTCTGGCCCCCGCGCTGTGGGATCTGCGCAGAGCGGATTATTTGCAGCAGTATCTGGATAACATTCTATTGGCTATCCATGTGGATGGGGTGAATGTTACTGGGGCGTGGGGATGGGTAAGTACTCCTTTGCGATCATCGATGAAGGATGAGGGACTGACGATTGCAGGCGATCTTTGATAACTTCGAGTGGGGCTTGGGCACGAGTGTGAGGTTTGGACTGCAGTACGTGAACTACACGAGCTTGGAGAGGACACCGAAGGCCAGTGTGTTCCAGTTCTTGAATTGGTTTAAGGAACATGAGGAGACGGGTAATGCGACGATGCGAATGGTATGAGAAGAACAAGGTTCTCCAGAAGTGAGACTTACATCTGTTACCGGAGTCGCATGTAACGTAAAGTTCGAGAAGGATTATAGATGAGGCAATCCCACAGACAGTCATCCGTTTCGCGGATCAAAACTTGAGAAGGTAATATGAACGATGCACCCTAATCGGACTACAATCAAACACAATTTCATCGTGTCAGCCCCTTATCGTGAGACCGATTAGATGCAAGTTCCAGGATTGGGCGTTGTTGAGGAGGAGCAAGACATCAATGGCGAGCTCGAATAACATGGGTCGCGGTATCGATAAGCGTGTACCCACATCCCATTGGCCAAAACTGACGTCGGACCAAAATTTTGGGTTGGAGAGGCCCTCGAGCTTCTCAACAGCAGCTCTTCGCAGAAACACCACTTGCCTACCAGCAATCCTACGTATAAACAATGTGAGTCGCATATATCCGGCGACAACGAATTGTACTAAGTCATGCCGTTTCTGGAGACTGCAATCGCTTATCGCACACCCAACATGGCCCACGACCACGCCGAGCACGAGCAGACCCCAGAGCAGCTCCAGGTTCAATTCGAGCAGCTTGGTCTGCTTGAGTCGAAGTTCGAGGATGCGGAGGAGCAAGTCAGTAAGTAACACAAGAAGAGTCATGTCCCAAGCAGCCACTGACAAGGCCCAGTCCGCAAAACCGAGGAGATCAAGGCTCCGGTCTACAAAGAGCGCACCGAGTTCGTTAAGAACATCCCTCACTTCTGGACCTTGACCTTCGAGCAATGCCCGCCCGAGGTCGAGAACTTCATCCAGCCCACCGACTCCGAAGTCTTTGCCGACTGCTTCGAGACATTCGAGGTCTCGCGCTTCGAGCTCGACGACCCCAAGGGCTCGCCCAAGAGCTTCTCGCTCAAGTTTGGCTTCGCAGAGAACGAGTGGTTCGAGAACAAGACACTGGAGAAGAAGTTCTGGTACCGCCACACCCAGGATTGGGACGGCCTCGTCTCCGAGCCTGTTAAGATCAACTGGAAGAAGGGAAAGGACCTAACAGGCGGCCTCACAGATGCAGCCGTCAAGCTGCATAAGGCACGGACAAAGGTCGCGGATAGGAAGAAGGAGACTGCACTGCCAGAATATAAGGAGTTGGCGAAGAAAATCGAGACCTCTGCAGATGCGTCAGTGAGCTTCTTCGGGCTCTTCGCCTTCGTCTCCGGGTACCGATGGGTTAGCGCCGAGGAGTCTGAGAAGGCTGTGCAGAAGGATAAGGAGGCTCTCGCCAAGATCAAGGCCGGCAAGAAGGTCGACGAGGAAGAAGAGGAAGAGGATGAGGATCCTCAGGACTACCAAGAGACAGAGGTTTTCCCCGGCGGCGACGAGGTCGCTACTATCATTGCTGAGGACATGTGGCCCAACGCTCTCAGGTACTACAAGCAGACCTTCGAGCAGGACGGAGAGTTCGACGATGAAGAACTTTCTGAGCTCGAAGTCGATATGGATGAGGATGATGAGTCAGGCGAGGAGGTCGATATTCGCGCTCTCGTTGGTAAGGGTAAGAAGGACAAGGACGAGCCACCTGCGAAGAAGCAGCGCAAGGCTTAAAGGGCCCGTGTTCGCAAAATGATTGAATGGCTATGATATCCTCAAAATTTCTATACAAGACACAATGTCGTCATACACAAATGCGTAGAGCTGCATTCTCAGGATTTTGTGTTCACTGCATGAGACGCGCAGTCTGCATGTAGTGAGTAGTCCCATGTTATACCAAGCGCGCCATCACGGTTCCAACAACTTTGCAACACCGCAGTGAACAGCAAACGTCGATGCGGCCTCCAATTCCACAACTCCGGATATCTCGAATTAGTGGCTTCCAAGCAAGCAAACCTATCGCCGTTGCTAGCCGCCTCGTTTCTCTGCAACACACGTGGGCAGTCCTGCATCACGGTATGGTGAATTTTTCTCGTCCATGACGCAAGCTCCCATCGAGCCGCTCCCGCCTCTCTCGCGTGCCCCCATGCATCATCAGATAAGGCACGCAAGCGACACGAAAATTTTCAGTTTCGAGGGGGTAATACGCCTGGGATCGCGGTTTTGTAGGGGTAATATCGTAGTTTCGAAGGGGTAATGGAGTGTAGTTTCGAAGAGGTAATATGTTTGCGCGGATAAGACTTGATTGGCTAGAATATTTCGCTAGTGCGTTTAAACGCTTTCTTGAGGTGTCAAGCGGTGCTAGATCTCATAGCATGGGCGCGACCGCTTGATCTGGAAACCTGCGGCTGATGCTTGTTGAGGCAAGCTGCGCTGGGGGGCGCAAGCAGGGCTAATTTTGCTGGACTCGACTGCAGCGGTGGAGATCGCGGTCTTTTAGTATTGTTGTTCGAGTGAAATGTCTTCGTCCTGTAGCCCTTGGTGGTCTCCAGTAGTCAGGGCTCTCTGTGCGGCTTGCAGCGGTACCGACCATTGCCAACCGCAGCCTCGGAGGAATTTTGGGCAAGCGCGACGCTTGATCTGGACTACACATATCTGTTATCAGGCTTGCACGCTGCTGCCACACGTGCTACATACTCTATCCCCGTTATCGACCGAGACATTCGCGACTTGGGTCGCTTCAAGAGATAGTTTGGGATCGAAGATTAGCAGTGTGTGCCTAAGATTCTGGTAGCGACTGCCGAATATGGAAGACAATGAGTTTACGGAGCTGCAGCTCCCAGAGTCACGAGTTTTGATTATCATCACAGGTAGGTGATATTCTGATACTGCTATGGGAGGGGACAAGAATGCTCCAGGCTCCTGTGTATGCAAAGGACCAGACTGTTGGCGACTAATGCGGTGCAGCATGAGATGTTTGGACGATTACTGACGACATACAGGTGGGACAATGTGCATGCGGAAGTCTAAGGATGGTCTCGTTCCCGCAAAGGGCTTCTTGAAGTCAGGTCTTGCACCGCGGCCGGTATTCAATGATGGCTCCTATCCGGAACCCTTGGAGATTGTGACAGATGCGAAGGGCACACGCAAGGCCGTGCAAAGCTTACGCACGCCTGTCAGCACATATGAGCGCCGTGTCAGGTACTGTGTGCTCGAGTTCGAGAAGCTGCTGGACAGCAGCTCGATCAACGCGCAAGACTGGGATCAAATCGCAAGAACCGTTCAAAGGAACTACCAGCTCTTTGACGGATTCGTCATCCTGCACGGTACAGACTCGCTGGCTTACACTGCAAGCGCATTAAGCTTTATGTTTCACAACTTGGGCAAGCCAGTCATCCTCACAGGCAGCCAGGCACCCATGATGGAGTTGCAGACAGATGCTCAAGATAACCTGCTGAACTCACTCATCATCGCTGGTCATTTCATGATTCCAGAAGTCTGTCTGTTCTTCAACTTCAAGCTCTTCCGAGGCAACAGGTCTAAGAAGATCTCAGCCGAGAGCTTTGATGCGTTTGGCAGTCCGAACATGGTACCTTTGGCTACTGTATCTTCAACGAGGACAAATGTGCTTTGGCACAGAGTTCATCGGTCAACGGACCTCGACCCCTTCAGCATACAGGAGAATTTGGACACAGCACATGTCGTTGTGCTCCGGGTCTTCCCTGGTATGACGCCTGCCATGGTGGATGCGGTGCTCCATTTGGAAGGCCTCAAGGGGCTTATCTTCGAAACCTTCGGAGCCGGAAATGCACCAGCGGGACCAGACGGAGCCATGGTGCACGTTCTTGGAGATGCAGTACAGAGGGGAATCGTGATTGTCAATGTAACACAGTGCCTGAGCGGCAACGTCAGCCCGACATACGCTCCTGCAACGATCTTAGGACGCGCAGGCGTTGTCTTTGGACAGGATCTAACCACAGAAGCGGCTCTCACAAAGCTTGCTTATCTGCTATCCAGACCTAATGCATCTCCTGCAGATGTTGCGAGGCGGATGATGATCTCGATCCGAGGCGAGCTGACCGAGGCAACACGGACGCACTTCGAGCACCCTCAGAAGAGCGGTCTGATGACCCCAGAATTGACAAGTCTGACGGCTCTCGGATACGCAATCCAGAAGGGCGACCTGCAGGAAACAAGGGATATCATTAGGAGTGAGCCTCGCTGGCTCCTGAATGACGCAGACTACCAGGGCTGTACCCCAGTTGTAAGTGGCATCTCTCCAGTCAGCTTCCCCATACCTATCTCTAGACTCGTTCGACCTGCCCAGCCGGCGCGAATGTTGAACAGACCGCCTGTACCTGAGACAGTATCTCGCACACCGGTGCCGGTGTCGGAAGGAGTCGAATGACAGCACAGCAGGTAATCTCAGGCTTCCCATTACCACGGTCATTATCTCTGATAGAGAAGTACCCCGTCGGCACTGGCGAGTGGTGAGCCAAACAGCTGCCAGCAGCCTACCAGTTGGGCGGTAATACCATGCAGTCGCTTATCTTTACCGATCAACAGTCCGGATCTGGAGCAACATTATTCCAGAATGACGTGCCTCTGCTGACACAATATCACAGCATCTCGCGGCGACATGTAATAATGTCGAGATCCTTCGCGACTTTCTTGCCCAGGGAGCCTCGGTCCATCTACGCAACCGCACAGGCAACACCCCGCTTTTCTTGGCTGCGGCAACAGGGTTGAGAGATCACGTACAGATGCTCATCGATGCCGGCGCACATCTTCACTCTGAAGAGCTGAGTGCAGCAAAGCTGCATGCAGCAGAGGGCGACGGCAACACTGGGGTCTGGCAGCTTGTCATTGGCTGAATGGCGTCACATACAGCATGCACCTTGAGGATGTCTGTTGCGGATGCTGGTGGAAATAATGGGAACGGCGGGTAATTGTGGTCCTTTTGGGCGCACCAGGAACTCATTTCGGACGCTGTGATTGACGCATGGCGTCCCAAGATGTCGCTATGTCTGGGGCATCAGTCTTCAGGGTCTGGTGACGCACTACTGGGATTCTGCCCGACTCGTATCCAACGCCTTCGAGATTGAATCATGTGGTTTACGTGACGGTAACTCGGTGGCTCGATCGCGCTGTTATCGACGGCCCGCACGGTTGTCGTTGAGTGCTGAGATTGCGGGGATGAGGTATGGATGTCGTGGGGAAAAGGTAACTATTGCTTGCAAAATGCCCCTAAATAGTCTCAGTGGCACCCCCGAAGTGTTCAAAGGCAACATGACAAGGTTGTGAGCATCATTCAGGGGCGCGGGCACTGAAAGATGTCGTTCGGTCCGCTCGCCGGGATACCGTGCCAAGCACCCTGCTGTCTGTAGAAATCTATTCCGGGGCCGCCAACGCGGTCCTATTCTCGATGCCGTCGGCAGGTCAGCAGTCTCGAGGCGCTTGATACCGGCTTGTCTCTCCGGACCGCGCTTCCCTTGCGCGCATCAGGCCGTTCCTGCTTTTAGCGTGTTCCCCCGCATCATTGATCCATGGCTTCTCTCACCATGCCCTAGAACCCTCTGGCTTGCCTCGCGAGCAGAGTTTTAGGCGGGGCCCGTGTCTTCCGGCCTAGCCTACCAAGAATCGCAGTACAAAGGCGTGGTACAGGTCTTGCCCAGGCTCGGACGCGATGTTTGCGTCTGTATGTCATGGCCTGCCTCACGTCCATGCGAATCCTTCTGGATAGTGCCACCCAGGTCGCGAACCAAGATCCAAGAAACTGCACCGCTCAAGATGCATTCCGCTTCGGCTTGAGTACTTTGCTTAGCCTCACCGCTCCGATCAGGTGCTCACAAGAGCAGATGCTGGCGTGCTAAATGCATGCTATTCGTCCCCATAGACCAGCTATTAGGTAATTCCTCCCCAGCGTAACAAATGACGAACCCAAACCTGGCCCGAAAAGTCACACAGCAAATGGCTTAAAATTGCCTTTCTCCTGCATCTCCGACACGCGTCATGCCATCTGAGAACGTGGTGTTTGGGGTCCATTTCCTTTAAGCCTACCTTAGCACCCATCTGTGCCGGCACTGCGTCCCATTCTTACGGCAAGCACACTAAAACGACCCTGCCCTGCATACCCACACCTACGACATCCGCGACTCACGTGCAGTTCCTGGTCAGGCTATTAAAGGTCGATATCAAATCTGTTTGTGCGCCTTGAACACGTTTTTGCCAGGGCGCCGAACTGCGGCATCTTCTCACCGACTTGCCGCCGTCACCTCTTGTGACCTTGACAGTCACACCACTGCTTTTACTCGATCTTGTTCGCCAGTGCCTCCGATTCCGCTCCCTCCTCTCGCCTAGCAAAGCACACCGTTTGCCACAGCCCTAAACTTGTCCACACTCTGCAGTACTTCACCAAGTTCACTACCTCGCTCCTTTCACGACCATTGCATGCCACTCGATTTTGAACGTCAATAACAAACCCGATTTTGCCGCCTTCCACATCGGACTTGGAGTTGCGTAATTAATCCTCTCACCTTCACCGAATTCCGAATGCAAAGGACTGTCGTTACCATCAACAGCAATGGCCGCCAATCGGCGAGCTTCATTCGAGTCGCGTCCGCACTGGGGTGGCAGGTGCGCGCGCAGATGAGAGACCTCAACGGCGTGGTCGCGCAAGAGATATCTGAACTGGACAATGTCACCGTCTACATTGGACGGTTGGAAGACCGCAAATTTCTGGACGATCTATTTAGGAGCGCGCAGTACGCGTTTATTAACACAACGCACTGGGGCGACGAAGTTGCGATTGGTCGATCATTGGCCGACGCCGCGAAAAGGGCCGGAATTCAACACTACATCTACTCAAGCATGCCAGATCATTCAGTCTTTGGCCAACCTTGGAGGTCACTACCACTATGGGCTCCAAAGTTCACCGTCGAGCAGTACGTTCGCCAGATCGGGCTGCCTGCAACATTTGTGTACTGCGGCATTTACCACAATAACTTTACGGGCCTCGACTTCCCTCTGTTCCGCATGGAATGCCAGCATGACAGCAGTTTCATCTGGCAGGCACCTTTCCATCCCGATATGCCTCTCCCGTGGCTCGATTCGGAGCACGACATTGGACCTGCGATTTTTCAGCTATTTAAGGAAGGCCCACGGAAGTGGAACGGCAAGCGGTAAGCGTCTTCTGCATCTGCATCCTTTTCTCCACCCGAGGCACCATTCCCCACAGTCGTTCGATCCTGTGGCCAGCATCACAGTTTCCATTGTTCACGCTGGCTCCACTTTGTTTGACAATCTGCAATAACAACAAAACTATGACTACGGGCTGATGAGATTACGTACTGACAGACCTAGGGTTCCGCTAGCCTTTGCATCAATGACTCCCAAGGAAGTTTGCAAAGCATTCAGTCGAGGTCTCGGAAGAACCGTCCGCTATAAGCGGGGTCCGGTGGTGATCAACGTACCAACACCCATTGGCTACCGCGAGCATCTGTCCGCACTGGCGTACACGCTTGGTGAGAAGGGCGCTCCTTACTTCGGACCGGACATCGAACCCGACTGCCCCAACACAGCTCTGGAGCTGTGGGAAGGCAATCGATCCATGGAGGAGTACGCACGAGAAGTGTTCCCCGTAGAAGAGGCCGCCAATGGCCTGACATGGATGGAAGAGGTAGAGACGCCACGCCGAGAGGTCGAACTCGACCTACACAACGCAATCAACTGCTGACCACTGGATTTGTGTTCGCAGGGAGGACTGCAAGCGCAGTACCAGTACGCCAACGGCAGCAGCAACGGCATCAGCGGTCTCGCCGACCAGCTCAACCAGGCTCGACTTTGATATTCTCCACTCTGGCACCTTTGTACCTTCCATTTTCGTTGGCGTCAAGCGGCAGCATTGCAGTGGTGTCCTGGTCATTTCTTTTATCTTCCCCGCGGGAGTCTGGAGGCAGTCAACATGCAGCAATGAGCGCGAGCATGAAGGACGAGAAAAGTGGAACGTTGCACACATGACACGATCGCTCATGTGGCACGGATGCGACAGCGGGACTACCTGCGCCTATCGAACTAATCTTGCGTCCCAGCATGGAGTTTTGGTTTGCGTTTAAGCTTGAGCGGAATACTTGCGGGATCGGGTGGAGATCTGCATTGCATGGAAAAGTTAGTTTTGATCCTTACGCACACGACGGAGTAGCGGTTACTGCACGCTGTAGGCGGGAGACTCCACACGGATGTCTTGCGGACGGGTGTACCGTGGACGGGACTGCCGGCTACAAACAAAAGCAAAAGAAGAAACAAATTCGAAAGCACTACTGCACAGTGCAAATCAGGAATCGATGTGACAATGCCAACGCTAAGATGACTTGAACATGATGTAACTTCGTGCTTGGCTTGGTACTTGATGTCAATGTTCATCTTCGTGCTGGATGACTAAGCACAACCTCGGAACCTCGAAACTTTGTCCACCACGACATCCAACAGCCAGCCCTCACGCTCCAATGTCCGCCGCGATATCCTGCACGAGGGCCGCGGCCCCACGCCTTGCCATCCGCACACTACGATGCCAGCGCTACGCCAGCACGCAGGCTGCCAATGCCATTTTAGAGAACCGCGAAATGATCATCGAGACAGCGCCTGTCGCCCAAGTCACGACACCGACACGCGCTCTCAAGGCCCATAAGAATGTCAGGGCGCCGACACTGGCTGAGCGCATGCACAAGGCGCTGTATCCGGATCTCTATGCCAATGGCCAGCCCCTGGCCTGGCAGCTGCCGAGGGAGCGCAAGGCGAGCGAGAATAAGAAGCCTAGAAGTACGTCTACTTTGCACACATACCAGCATACGACGCCCTATGAGACACAGCCAAATCACCACTACTCCTCAGATGCAGTGAGCTGGTACTTACACACCCCAGACAAGACCCACGGCTTCAACATCGTCGCGCCAGCCACAGCAATCAAGAAAACCTGCCCAATCCCCATCGCCACAATCACCGCAAACTCGCTGAAGCAGCTCGATCCCACAGGCGCCCGCACCCGCCTCTTCGACAAACTCAATCCCGAAGCCGCCAAGCTCGGCGACATCCTGCTCGTGCGCCAGCGCACCGGCGACCCCTTCGCAGGTGTATGCATTAACATCCGCCGGCGGGGCGTCGACACGGCGATCCTACTGCGCGGCCAACTGACGCGCGTGGGCGTCGAGATGTGGTACAAGGTCTACTCGCCGCTCGTCGAGGGGATTGAGGTTGTGCAGCGCGCTGCGAAGAGGGCAAGGCGCGCGCGACTGACGTATATGCGCGACGTCAAGCACGACAGGGGGAGTGTGGAGAATGTTGTCCGTTTGTATTTGAGGCAGAAGGCGAGTTTGGGCGCCAGCGAGGGGAAGAAGAAGGGTGTGGAGAAGCAGAAGGCCATGCAGGGTGGGAAGAAGAAGGGCGGGAAGAAGGTCAACAATCGCAGGTAGACGACACGTCGATCTTTGGTGTATCAGACTGGGGCCTGGGTGGCCGAGGTTCTTGAAGGCCTGGAGGGAGACTGTACCATATGTACCACATTGTACGAACTGCGTATTGGACTTTACACGCACGTGGATTATCTACCTGAAGCGCTGACTGAACAGCAAGCGTCTCATGGAATCTCGCTGACCAACGCCGAATATCTATGCTCTCCCTAGCAATCTCAATGACCGCAACTCTGCTGGGCTGATTGAGCCACTTGCCATCCATTACCAGGACATCATCAATTCCGCTGTTTCCCTGTCTTCAACTACTGCGCACTCCTCCTCTTCTCTCCCTGCCCTACCTCGAGCCTGTACCCCTCAGCGCCCTTCTCAGTCTTCAAGTCCTTCGCATCGACCTTCTTCGCGCCAATCTCCGGGAACGTAAATGCCTCGCTGCTCCCACCCTCAAGCCCCTTCCACACGCCCAGCGTCCGCCAATTCGTCCACGTCAGCGCGCCAACCCACGGCTGCACATTCCAGCCCAACTCCAGAGTGACATTCTGCCTGTTCTGTAGCTTCCCCGTAATGTCCGTGATTTGGTATTTCGGTCGCTGGGCCTTGAGGTGGAGCTCGCCGACGGGATACGGGGATTCGGGGTTGGTCTTTTCCTTGAGCTGGGCTTTCTTGGACTTCTTGGGCAGTTTCGATTTCGAGGTGGAAGGGTGGATGTAGTGGTTCTGGTGCCAGGGCGCGGACTTGGAGGCCACGATTGCGTCCCAGATTATGGCTTCGGAGGAGGGTTCGGATTTTGTGCCGGGGTACACGGCTTTCAGGTACACGAAAACTTGCTTTGTATTCCAGTTGAAGAGCGAGCTCAGGTCTACACCAACATGTCAGCATCGGTACGAGCGAGGCAGCTATGTTGGGGTTGGCTGGAGTTGAGCATGGGGACATACCGGTGTCCAAGTCGAACTTGACGTGCGCATACTCCTCCTTCTTATAGCTGTAGTAGTGTGGCCGCCCCTTGACTACCTGCACATTGCGCAGCTGGATGTCGGCGGTGGGACTCTGGGGGGAGATGAAGCTGCTGAGCGCGATCACGGTGGCGACGGTGAAGGCGACAGTGGTAAAGAAGCCGAAGACATTCTGCAGTCGCACCAGTGCAGAGTGCATCTTGTCGGCTGTATGGGGGGAGTGTGGTTTGCGAGAGTTCAAGGTCAACAGCTGGTCCTAACACGTATGGAGCTTATTCGCGGAGGCCCGAGTCAGCCCTACCGGTACCGTACGAGCGACGCTAGCGGGGAATAAGGGTCGCACCTTCTCCAGCACGTTCACTCCAACACCTTGATTAATCAAGTTGTAAAACTTCGTCCGGCATCTGGAGTGAGTATGAATCGGCCAACAAATAGCACCAAGACCTATAGGGGGTAGAGTCGATAATTTGCGGGTGTCATTCGGCGTTGACCTCCCTCTGACTCTGAGATGGCAGGCAGCACAAACATCAACCTTGAAGTTGTTTCCTGTTTCCAACCTTGAACACCAACATTGTATTCTCGTCCACCGCTGAGCCTTTCGCCCCAGAACACGGCGCATTTTGGTCCTGCATCACCAATATTCTGACTACCTCCAAGCTCAGCGGCTATCCTAAGCTTTGTGGCCCAACTGTCAACCAAACAGCTTCTTGCTTGATATATATGCAACACTACTCAGCCGCAGTCCCCAATATCTCCCTCTCCACTAGAGCTTATCGCTCAGCTTATAGTGTGCTGCTGCGCTGAATTGCATCTTCGAATACAGCAGCGATGGGTGGTAAGGTATTCGACTGTCTAGGGCTCCGAGTGCCTCGAATGTCGCCAGAAGTCTACCAGCGAATGATTGCGGAAGTCTACCCAAAGCTCCAACAATTCTTCGAAAAGGTCGTTGTTCCACGAGATGCGCCCGGAAAAATGGACCATGGCGATATCGACTTCTTAGTGGGAGGCACTCGCCCTCAAGACGGGTATCTGTGGAAGTTGGTACAAGGCGCCCTCGGGGCACATCACCATAAAAGCCAAGGGTCTCATTCATTCGCGCTTCCTCACCCAGATATAGAGGGCGCGCACGTGCAGGTCGACATTGAGCTCTCTCTGGGTGATGGCTTGCCTGGCTCCTGGGAGTGGTTCGAGTGGACAAAGCTGATGAAAGGCGACGCCGATCTCATGCAAATCATTGGCATCGCACATCGACCACTGGGACTTACATGCACCGACCAAGGTCTCCATGTCCGCTTAGAGCAAATAGAGCCTTACGATAAGAAAGAGGCTAGGCTCTTCCTGACTCGGGATCCAGATAAAGCCCTGCGATTCTATGGCCTCGATGTAGACAAATACTTCCAAGGGTTCAGCAGCGAAACTGACCTGTTCAACTGGGTAGCTGGTGGACGATTCTTCAGCCTGGAGGTCTTCGCGCAACGGGTCGAGAAAGCGGACGATCGAACTAGATCGGCAAAGCGACCCATGTACCGGCACTTTGTCGAGGAATATATGCCCAATGTCGTCAAGAACAACGAAAGCAAGATCTGGACACGGCAAGAAGTCCTACTGGAAAGCCTCAAGACGTTCAACGTGCAAGCTCAGTACGATGAGAAGATGGCCAAGCATGATCGGGAAGAAGCAGAGAAGAAGCTCTGGGAGGAAGTCAAGGCTACCATACCCGCGACAGACAAACGCCTGAAGGCTGCTGTAAGGGCGCTGAGGCGCTGGGTCAGGTTCAAAAATAGTAAGCCTGCGAAGCTCGAACATCCACTGCTGCCGGAGCAATATCTTACATGGTCAAAGTATGTCGACCAGAGCAACAAGAGCGATGTTTTAGAGTGGGTCGAGCGAAACTGGCAAGACTTGAAGAGTCGTGACAAGGCGTATCAGAACACTGCGAATGCCTCCTCATCCGGCGGTGTCGCCGAATGACAGTTTTAAAAGTCAAATTGTGGCAAAATAGGGTACTACACGGCGCTATAGTAATCTAATGCGTCTGCGAGGAAAAAAACTTGAGCGCCATTGCTGCGAGCAGATGTTGGCATCTGCTAAAATTTGCAGATGCCGAATCCTCTCAGCTATTGCACTGCGGGGTTTGTAGGATATCCACATCGACCTAAGCGTAGCTTTCCGACGTCAGAAGTAGTGACGGGAACCAAACAAGCAAAGGCACAATTGATAGCAATGGGGTGAAGCCTTATCGTGTGCAGCTGATGTATGCTACAGAACTGCTGATGAATATTTACAGAGAATATGGCAGACCGGCCATGACACGGCGATCTCTACATAAGCGCAAGGATCTTGGCAGCAGCTTGCTCTGCGACCGCAACGATGTAAGAAGTAGGGTTGGTCGTGATGTGACTGTAATGTGTTAGCTCGTGTCACAAGTGCCAAGAAGTGCATCGCTTACGCAGGGAAGATGGAAGCATCAACAACGTGAATGTTATCTGTTCCGTAGACCTTGGTGTTCAGGTCGACGACAGAGGTACCGCCGCTGAGACCGCTGTCAGAGCCGATCTTGTTGGTGCCGATCCAGTGGTTAGCGCGGCGTGCAGCAGGAGTCTTGGGCAGACTGGCGACGTAGGCCTCGATGGTGGTACCGGCAGGTGGGACTTGCATCTCGATCTCAGGGTTCTTCGAAAGAGCCTTGACCATGCTCTTCAGACTGGCGATGACGGCATCGGTGTCGGCCTGGTCGCGCAGGTAGGGCGATGTGGACACTTGCATGTTGAGCGCGCCATTGATCGATGCGACTCCGCGCGATGTTGATCCGCGGCCGAGGTAGTTGCTAATGGTCATAGAGTGAGTGTCGTTGACATCGGGCCCTTCGACACGAGCAGTCCATTGGAATTGGCGCTCGGAACCATCACTTCCCTTGATGACCTCCCAGGCCAAAGGACCGATGTTGGGAGCAGACTGGGTCAGGATACCCGCGCGCTTGTTGAGGTACGCATCCTTATCAGCCTGGATGGGATTGCTCCAAGCCTGGTAAAAGTCGTAGAATGAGACGTTCTTGTGCTGGACAACGAGATCGGTGTTGACGTGGTCCAACAGGTTTTGGCCAACAGGCAGGTTGATCCATTGGGCCTCGGGGATGAAGGTCGCTCCGTCCTGAGCACTGCCCTTGACGACGTTGAGCTGGTCCTTTGGCCCGATGCCACTGCGGTACAGAAGCTTGGCTGAGCCGAAAGTACCGGCGGAAAGAATAACACGTCCACCAGAGTTGAGCGTGACGTTGCCGCAGTAACCACCTTTTCCACCTTCAAGCTCGACGCCTGTTGCCTTGCCATTGGTGCGGATTACGCGCTTGACAGCGGTGTTTGTCCAGAGCTTGAAATTGGATCGTGCCAGGGCGGTGACCATGTATGTGCCGAGGGGACCCTGTCGCTGACCGTTTGCATACATGTAAGGAGTGTGACCGTACACGCGATGCTTCTCGTTTGGCTTGTCATTCGGCTTGAGGCTGGTCCAGCCATCTGCACTAAGAGCGCTGGCGAGAACGTCGAATCCTTCCTGCTTATATAATTTGCCGTCTGAGGAGGGAGTATCTGTTCCGGGAATGCGCTGGAATGTTCGAGCAACAGCAGCGCTCATGTCGTTGCCCTTCCAGCCATTAGGAAAGCTGGTGTCCCAATCCACGGAGTTCGGCTTCCACCAAAGCGCTGCATTGACGGCAGCTCCTCCACCGAGAACGCATCCAGCCATCTGATCGGTATCAGTGCAAGCTACGCCAGCGGAGTCAACCCAGATCTGATTGCAGAGACCGGGTACGTCGAAGCGAGTGAGACCGGTACCCTGGAGCCAAGCAGGCCCCATGGTGCCACCAAACCGACCAAGGGAAGGCGGGCCCTTCTCGATGAGCAAGACCTTCTTGCCGGACTCAGAAAGCTTATCGGCCACAGGAATACCACCAGCGCCACCGCCAACGACAATATAATCGTACGAGCCAGAGGGAGCGGCACTACCAGTACAAGCCGTTGGACCGGTTGGGGTAGGGACACTTGTGGCACTAGAAGTAGGGGTGGTGCCACAAACGCCGTTTGGACAGAAGTTCTTCCAGGTGTCGTAATTTGCGTTCCTAGCAGCAGCGATTGGGATACCGAAGATACCTTGTCCATTGTCGTGCTGTGCAATGTCGGAGGCACTGTATACCTTCTTGTTCTGAGCCCATCCAATGATCTGAACCTCTGAACTAGCGCCCGGAATCTGAGAGTTTGTGGCGCCCCCCTGGTCCCATGCCCAGCACTTCTGGCAGCGGTAGACAAGCTCGAAGCTGGTCTCGGTGACTGTGGCGTTGAACTGAGTCAATGTAGCACCCCCAGTGTATGCCACGGGTTGAACGTAGCCGCTTCAGAACGTCAGTATGTATCCTCAACGCTCCAAACATGCTGACTTACGGTGCCCAAGTAAATGCGGTCTTGACAGCTGTGCCCTCTGCCCAGACTACGAGCAACAGGGAGTTTGGCATAGCACCCATGTGACTGATTCCCGAGTATCCCTGCTTTCCGGTGGTCAAAGGACCTTTCTGAGCTGCATCAGCATAACTTCGACACACTGGTCTATGATGCCACTTACGATATACCCAATGTACTCGTCATCAGCAGTACCAGCAGTACCGGGCAGAGCGAATCCCCATTCAAAACCACCAACAGTCTGAGATGTAGAGATCGTCTGCTTGTTGAATGTGATGCCAGTCCCGGGGTGTGTATATGTGGCGATTTGAGCATCAGCGGATGCGAAAAGAGCGGACAGCAGCGATGCTGCCTTGAAGAATGTAGTGACCTTCATGTTGGAAAGACGTCCAGCGTATGATGAAGAGGCCGATCAGTTGAAGTCGCCAGTAAACCAGTGAGCGAGCTTGAAGTTTCGACACATGCGATACTTTGAGATTTTATACATGCTCGATCTGCACTGACTTTGTTGCCGTCTCCAGGCAGCGTGGTCACAGCAACAATCAGCCAAGACATGATATTACCAGGTAGCGCCGTGCGCAAGACTGGTCTAGGTATGCCAGGTACGGCTTCTGCAGTGAGATGCATCTTTTCGAAAGGGATGTGCTTCGTGAAAAACGGCCTGATGATCATTTGCAAGTACGTGATTGGGTGATGCGGCGCCAAAAGACCCGGGCAGAGGTCCGAGGCTGTTGTGTAATCTGTGAGCGCAATGTCCACGAGGTACTTTGATTGATATAAATTGATGAAAGACGGGATGCGAGGCCTATCTGCCGGATACCCTGTCGGCCAAGCAGTCTAGTACAAAAAAGGCGACCCCAGATTCGCTTGGATGTCCCTCATCGGACTGTTAGTGGCGTTCCGTGCTACCCACGCCGTTCATCAGAGACGTTCTCAAACACTTTTGCTGCAGCTCGATATCCTTTGAATTCGATTATTCCCCCCTCCCACCATGTGCCACGCTGGCATGCCCCCTGCAGTCGACGCCGACCCCAGTTCCGGCAGCTCTTCCACACGACTACCCCAACCAAGCGGTGACCGCTCGCCAATGTCTTGTATCTTGGCTTGAAACAACTCTATTATCATTACAGGACAATATAATAGATTGTTGTGTCCTTCGCGGTCAACCTTTTGAGTTTGTCTCGGTCATTTCTTGGGCCTGCAATTACCCAGCGATTAATCTTCTCTTACTGACATTAACCGCCACAGATGCGCCTCGCAGGCTGTTTACAGCGAGACAGCTTCCAACTTGAAATGTGTGGCCTTTGGGCCTGCTCAGTCTGAAATTCACGTGCCGTCGCACATGGCGCGTTCAAGCTTCCACACGATGCCATGCTCGCTTGGACTTCGATTGAATTGCTACTCCTGAGGCGCAGCGGCACGAGCATCTAACCGGTCTGAAATAGCATCAAAAGCATCAAAATCATCTTACTGAGATCATCCTGCCTTCAAAGATTGTATTGAGATCTCACTGCGGAAGGCCTAGGCCGAGGCGGACGTCGCGATATATTGTGTACTATGAAGGTTTATTGACGGCGCAGTCAGGCGACTACATACTGCAAAAGCTTACGCTGCCTTACTCTGCGGTCTGTGTATGGACTGCCGACAGGTCCGTACCCAATTTGGCAGTCTCGAAGCCGGGGTACGGGTATAGTCCATATAGAAGCCGGTGGCATAACAAAAGGCCTGAGTAGTTAGCCCGTCTTCTCCGCAGTATCCACAGCAGAATGAAGTATCTGATCACTCTAGGCGCTCTATTCGCTGGTGCCTCAGCACATACTATCTTCACTCAACTTCACGTCAACGGAGTAGGCCAAGGCCACACCAAGGGTGTCCGAGTACCTGTAAGGCGGCCTTCATCGTGCGGCTGCGGGACACCACTAACGGGTCTACAGACCTACGATGGTCCGATCACTGACGTGACTTCCAATGACATGATATGCAACGGAGGGTAAACTCAGCTCTTTACTCCATGAAGCCCAAACTCTTCAAGCTCATATATCCTCCAGTCCCACAGATCTTAAGAATCTGTGTCTCAAATCTCACAACTAATACATCCAGTCCCAACCCACTGAACCAACCCCTCCCTCAGGACATAATCAACGTCAAAGCCGGCGATAAGCTTGCCACAGAATGGCACCACACGCTCGACTCAACCCCCGAGACCGACACGTCCGATCCCATTGACCCCGGCCATCTGGGTCCCATCATGGTTTACCTGGCCAAAGTCGACAGCGCCCTGACGACCACCGTGACAGGACTAAAGTGGTTCAAGGTCTACGAAGACGGTATGGACTCCAATGGCACGTGGGCCGTGACACGCCTGTACAACAGCAAGGGGAAAGTGGAATTCACGCTGCCGAAGTGTGTGCAGAACGGACAGTAAGTTTCGCCTTTTATGGTGCATATGCAGGACGAGTACCACGCGCTCTGCAACTACACCCGGTGCAACTTGATTTCATCTCCCCTCGCACCAGTCCCACTCTCGTCACCCTCTCCGCTATCCACACTAACACTCCCAGATACCTCCTCCGCGCCGAAATCATCGCACTGCACGCCGCATCCAGCTACCCTGGCGCACAACTGTATATGGAGTGCGCGCAGATCGCTGTGACGGGCGGCGGAAGCGGCACCCCATTGACCGTCAGCTTCCCGGGCGCGTACGCAGGCACAGATCCAGGCATCAAATTCTCGCTGTACTGGCCGGTGCCGACGAGCTACACAATCCCTGGACCGCGGCCGTTCGTTTGCTGATCATGTCTCGGGTGGAGAGGTGAGGAGGAAGGCGAAGGGTGGAAGAAGAGGGCGAGTGGAGATGATGCGTGACGAATAAACGAACAATGACGACTTGACGAGCATCTCCCATGCTGAAACTATGGACCGTGACACCGAACTCCTCGCTCAAACCAAATCAAAGCACAACCCCCTTTCTCACTTGACATTCAACCCCCCAAAGACCCTGTCCAGCTCCTCCGCCTCCCTGTTCCCCTGCTGATGGCCATGGTGTGTTTGCTGCGGCCCCCCAGCATCCATCAAGCCCTGTTGCTGCGCCTTCACCGCCCTCTCCGCCTCCACATTCTCTGGCTTCAGCATGTGCACCCCGCTATCCAACCATCCGGGCGCAACGCGCCTTTTCTCTGCAAGCTCCTCCCTCTCTTTCTTCTCCTTCCACACACTCAGCGTCTTCCGTGCGTCGTCTTCGAGTTTGGCGAGGTGTTCTTGTAGCGCCGTGCAGGACCGCAGGATCTGGTCCGGGTGCGCGGTTTGCCCGGATGCCGACTGGATGTATTGGGGTGGTTGAGAGGGGTCCGATTGGTTCTGTTGCAGAATGGACGGCGGGAGGGTCGAGGGGAGAGTGACGTAAGAATATGGAAGAGGGACGCTGTGGGGGAGCGAGAGGAAGGGGGATACTGTCAAAGGTACCTGGGCGAGGAGCGGGTGTGGATCTAGGTGGTGTTAGTGAGAGTTGGGTGTGATGCGGGGTGCGAGAGATTTACGTTCGTCATGCATGTTGAAAGGGCTTGTTTTGTTTGTGCGATTCGGTGTATAGTGTGCGTTTCGAGGTCGAGATGTTGCTGTGCTTGCTCGTGTGGTGGGTTGCTAGGATGCGGGATGATGTGTGGTGGGGAAGATGGAGCTGTGGAGCTCTGATTGCAGGTACGAGCATTGGCACATGCTTGCACGTGAAAGCAGCCGTCATGATTCGAATCATTGCCAACTGTCCGAAAGTTTGAAAGTAGATGCAATGAGTCCACAGAAGTTGTTTTACGCTACCACAGCATGAACATACTCCGCATCACAGGCAACAAAGCACGGTATTCCCACGACTTAACTGCAATACTAGAGCACGGAACGGCAGTGCGACCAGCCGCACCAAGCTCAATTAATCTACCAAGTAGAAAGCTATAAGGTATAACATGCTACTCGAGCCCCCAAACCCAGTACACGTTTTCGTTCAACCTGGAACCCGCGACCCCGACGCGAAGTGGCATTACAAACATATGGAAATTCGAAATAAAGAGGGGAATCTCGGAGGAAGAATATTGAAGATCGACGCCTTGGTGCAGAGCATCCGTTGTTGCTGCACGAACCCCATGCGAATGCTTAGCGACGGCCGTGCGAGCGGTTGATGCTGCCCTGCATAGAGTCGACCTCGGTCTCGAGACGCTTGATCTCGGCGTGACTGGCCTCGAGATCCTTGTTGAGACGGTCGCGCTCTGCGATGAGCTTCTGCTCCCATTGCCTGAATCGCTGCTCCTCGACCTTGACCTGCTCGGTGAAGCGCTTGCGGAGAGCCTCCTCCTCCTCCTTGAACTTGGGGTTGTCCAGCTTCCTCGGGCGGGCCTCGCCAAACTTCCTTGTCTCCATTTGCTGTGCGCGGTATGCCTCGTAATGGTTCTCCTCGGTAGTGTGAATGAGGTCGAGCATGTGGGTGCGGATAAGGATGGCGCGGAGCTTCTTAAAATCGCAGTGCTCCTCGTTCTCGACTTCAGCGACACCCCAGGCGTACTGGCGGCCCTTGACAGTACGGCCGTCGTTGGTCTGAACATCCTTCTCAGAGCCAATGACGGAGAAGGGCATAGCGTCGATCAAGCTGTGCGCGTGCGCCATGGCGGCGGCATCGTCGTCCTCAAGCGGCGGCTGGTAGATCTTGATGCCCTGAGCGTCAATGACTTGGCGAACCTACGTATTGTTAGCGTGGAAGTCGCCAAACTAGATAGTCCAACATACCCTGGCCTTGAATTTCTGGAGATCCTGGGGGCTCAAGGTGTCGGCCTTAGCAACAACGGGGATCAGGTTGACGCGAGTGCACAGCTTCTTCATGACCTCGATATCGAGGGGCTTCAGGGTGTGGCCGGTGGGGCGGATGAAGTACAGGCAGGCGTGCACACGGAGGTCGATCTTCTCCTTGCGCTGGGGCTGCTGCTCCTGCAGCATGTAGGACTCGTGCTGGTCGTCGAGGAACTCGATAATGGGCTGCCACGAATCGCGGTTGTTCACGTAGTCGCCGAAGCCGGGTGTATCAATGACAGTCAGACGGACTGTAGCTGTTAGCCAGGGGCTTGTGTTCCTAGAAATGGCCAGACGCACCCTTGAAGAACTTCTCCTCGAGCTCAGCCTTGGTGATCTCGATCTCGACGGTCTTGTCCATCTGCTTGTGGTGTCGTCGCTTGTGGTCGGCATAGTTCTTGATGGTAGTGGAGAACAGGGTGTTGATGAAGGTTGTCTTTCCGAGACCGGACTCGCCAGCGACCTGCTCGTGTCAGCATGGCACACAATACTCAGATAGAGTGCAGTTACCATGATGGTAAAGGCAGCACCGCGTTTGGCGACGATCTTGTGCCTGTCCTTGTTTAGTTGAGAACGCTACATGTGTACTGAGAGGGGTCGCACCTCTGGTTGGGCAACTGCAGTAAACGTCAGCACAGAATTCGCACAACATGCAAAGAGGGTCTACGTACGTTGGCAATGCCAATTGGGGAAGCTGACTCGGCCATTGTGAGTTCTTGTCTTCAGGCTGTTGTGTGTACGGAGGTCTGGGGAAGGCGTTAGTCGAGCTGGGCGGTGTTGGCTATCTTGTTCGCGTGTAAAGACTAACATAGACGGGTCGTAGACGGATGAGTGGAGCTGGCACCGTCTGAAGAAGTGCGCGCTGCAGTCGTGGGCGGAGAGTGCTGGGGAGAGGTGGTGTTCGTACAATTTGGCTGTCCCCTTTCTGCACGACGCCCATTCGGCAAGCACTGACCCTGAACGGGGAAGTCGCGCTAGAGGCGCGCCGGCGCTTTTCGACCCAGTCGCGCATGGGCCTCCATCCTGAACTTTTTCGAGATGATCTGATGCGCTTGCACGCCCCGCTGCGATAAGTCGACAGTCTCGAGGTCAGAAATTTGCTGGAGACCTCCACGATGAAGACCGATTTCCAGGTTCGCCTTGCGACCATACTTTGGATGTCGCGCTTCCGCTAACCCCAAATTAGTTCTCCAATCTGCTCGGTACTGTCTACAGCAGAGGCAATCTGCTGTTCACACCAGATGGAACATGTCTACTGTCGCCGGTCGGCAACAGGGTGACTGTGTTTGACCTTGTCAAGTACACAACTCTCTGGCACAATCCTCCCAGAAATGTTAACCATAGACAGCTCCAAATCGCACACCCTACCATTCTCACATCGAACAAATATTGCCCGCCTGGCGCTGAACCCCAGAGGCAATTTGCTCCTCTCTGTGGACGAGAACGGTCGCGCGATCCTTACGAATATACCCCGCCGAGTCGTCCTCTACCACTTCTCGCTCCGAGGAGAGGTCACCGCTCTCGCTTTCGCGCCGTCTGGACGACACTTTGCAGTAGGTATCGGCAGGCAGATCGAAGTATGGCACACTCCATCCACACCGGACGTTACGGAAGGCGATCTCGAGTTTGCACCGTTTGTGCGACACCGAATGTATACAGGACACTACGATAACGTCCAGAGTATTGAATGGTCAAGTGATTCGAGGTTCTTCCTCAGCGCATCGAAAGATTTGACAGCAAGGATATGGAGCGTCGACGAAGAGGAGGGCTCTGCGCAGACAACGCTTGGAGGTCACAGGCAAGCCATCGTGGGCGCATGGTTTTCCAAAGACCAGGAGACCATCTATACAGTCAGCAAGGACGGTGCGCTGTTCATGTGGAAGTACATGCTGCGATACGATGCGCCCGAGGATGCAGACGAGGACGATGACGACAACCTACAATGGGGTATTGCCGAGCGACATTTTTTCAACCAAAACAATGCCCACGTTACGTGCGCCGGTTTCCACCCCGAGTCGAAGCTGCTGGTGACAGGTTTTTCGAACGGCACCTTCTTCATCCACGAACTACCCGAATTTGCGCAGATCCAAAGCCTGAGCATTTCACAAAATGACATCGACTATGTCGCAATCAACAAGACCGGAGAGTGGTTGGCTTTTGGCGCATCAAAGCTGGGGCAGCTGCTGGTCTGGGAATGGCAATCTGAGTCGTACGTTTTGAAGCAGCAAGGCCACTTTGACTCGATGAACACGATCGCCTACTCGCCTGAGGGTCAGCGGATCATCACAGCAGCAGACGATGGCAAGATCAAAGTATGGGATGTAAACTCGGGATTCTGCGTTGTAACTTTTACTGAGCATATGGGTGGTGTGACAGCCTGTGAGTTTGCAAAGAGGGGCAATGTCTTATTCACAGCAAGTCTGGACGGGTCAGTAAGAGCTTGGGATCTGATCAGATACCGTAACTTCCGTACATTCACAGCGCCTTCGAGGTTGTCGTTCTCATCACTAGCAGTCGACCCCAGCGGCGAAGTCATTTGCGCGGGTTCAATCGATACATCGGACATCCACATCTGGTCCGTACAAACCGGCCAATTACTCGACACATTATCTGGACACGAAGGGCCAGTCTCGACACTAGCGTTCTCGCCAGACGCATCGACACTCGTCAGTGGAAGCTGGGACAAGACAGTCCGCGTCTGGAATATCTTCGCCCGCACACAAACCAGTGAACCGCTTCAGCTGATGGCAGACGTCCTATCTGTTGCCTTCCGCCCCGACTCGAAGCAGATAGCAGTCACCACACTAGACGGCCAGCTCACATTCTGGAATGTATCGGATGCTGCACAAGAGAACGGCGTCGATGCGCGCCGCGATGTGTCTGGTGGCCGCAAAATGTCAGATCGTCGCACAGCAGCCAACGTTGCCGGCACCAAGTCTTTCACCACGGTCAGGTACAGCGCAGACGGGTCGTGCGTCCTTGCAGGAGGCAACAGCAAGTACATATGTCTGTACGATGTGCAGTCCGGCGTCTTGCTAAAGAAGTTCACTGTATCCGTCAACTTATCGTTGGACGGTACACAAGAATTCCTGAATAGCAAACTGCTCACTGATGCAGGCCCGCAGGGTCTCATCGACGAGACAGGTGAAGCTTCCGACATCGAAGATCGCCGCGATACCACACTGCCCGGCGCCCAGAAGGGTGTTGGTGCAAGGAGAACGCGACCCGAAGTCAGGGTGCCAGCGGTCGCCTTCTCGCCAACAGGGCGTGCTTTCTGCGCAGCATCAACAGAGGGACTAATGATCTACTCACTTGACAACGTGTTCCAGTTCGATCCCTTTGATCTCGATATCAGCGTCACACCCCTCACCACCCTCGAAACCCTGGCTCAACAAGAGTATCTCAAAGCACTCGTCATGGCCTTCCGCCTCAACGAGCGCAACCTCATTCGCCGCGTCTACGAAGCCACACCAGTCGAAGACGTTCCTCTCGTCGTCAAGGAACTGCCAGCAGTCTACCTTGGCCGGTTACTACGATTTGTGGCCGTACAGGCTGATGAATCGCCACATCTCGAATTCAACCTAGTGTGGATAGAGTCGCTCCTCAGTAAACATGGGAGATGGATGAAGGACAACAAGAGCGGTCTTGAGGCTGAATTGCGCAGCGTGGAAAAGGCAGTCAGGCGTATACAGACAGAGCTCGCAAGATTGGCAGATGAAAACATCTACCGGATAGAGTATCTGCTTGCGCAACCTGTTGAGAGGACGGAAAAGTCGAGAGGTCTGGACTTTGAGGTCAAGTCGATAGGAAATGGCGTTGTAGATGAGGAGATGCGTGACGGCGAAGACGATGAAGACAATGAAGACGATGAGGGAGGCTGGGAAGGGTTTGATTAAGTGTGCTATACAGGTTCAACAGTCCGCAAGACGGGCATTTTCTGGTTTATTGAAAACGCCTTTGCGACTTTGACAGCCGGAGCTTTGAGCTGAGAAGCTAACTTCGTAGATCTGACCGCGCCTTCCAGCCTCGAGCACTTGCCAACCCACGCTAGTGACCCCACATATAGCCATCCTACGTCAGCCATCACTCATGCGCGCCAGCATCTCCCAACATTCAGAGCTTGCGACCCCATCTTCTCAACACCATCAACTTTTCTCTGCCAGTGGAGATAAACTCTGAAACGCCATGCCTTCCAACTGTCCCTCGACCGCGCACCCAGATACAGCCGCAACCAACGTGAATGCGCTTATCTACGAGAAGTACGAGAACGCGCCAAAAGACGACTGGAACCGATTACTCAAATGCTGGGGCATTGAAGACTGTGGAGATTGCCATCGTAGTAATGGATCTTGTGGATGGTGTCCCATCGTAAGCTGTGTCCTATCACTAGCCTCTGTCATCGAAACAGGAGTGGACATATGACGTATGAGGATCTTGTGAGCTAACGCTCACATCAAAACAGTCCTCAACATGTCTTCCGTTGCCCAGGGAAAACTTCCTGGACAGAATATTCCCGCTATTGACGCCAGTCCGTTACAAAGGCATTTGTGCCCTCGGCTCGGAGCGTTTCGAGCTCAGAACTGGCGGCCTTGGATGTCAGGTCTCAACGATCACATTCTTGACCGCGCTCGTCACCATCTTCGCAACCATCTTTGGACTCCTAGTCATCTACGGCTTGGCGACTGTCACCAGATGGATCTACCTTGCCATCAAAGGAGGCAACAACGGGTGGGTACAGTACGAAGACGGCACAGGCGAGATCTGGGTCAGACAGGAAAGCTGGGGCAAGTGGTGGAGGAGGGTGACTGGACAGCAGAAAGAGTGTGAGTTCGAGGAAGTTGACGAGGGTACGAATGAGAGGGGCTGGAACTGGTGGAGGGCAGCCAAGCGGAGCATCAATGGTTCAGCGGATGAGGGTCGTCTGCGCCTGGAGTAATTTGCGACGCGCTATTTTGGTTGCCTTTGATTACAGTATTTGATGAAGCGTACGATCAGGTATAGGCGCGCAGTTGCGATCGATATTACGGTCCTCACCTTCACCTTCAACTTGAACACCTCAGCACACAACGTCATCGTCGGCAAAGCGCGCTCTGAGCCCTTCTCTCACTTGCTCACACTTGCATTAGTGGATCCCTCCGCTCCGCGCCCGCATGTAATCTACACTTGAACCTCGCTGCAACCTTCCCTCTTCACCCACTTCCACGATTCTCACAACAGATCAAACATCTTTCACCCACCTCACATCAATCGCTACCACCATTTTCAAGGTGCGGAGTAGCCACAATGGCGTTGGGGCAGATTCAGGCGACTTCGCATACGCGTGTGGTGCAGAGTCCATTCGTACACCGTCAGCGCCCGGCGTTGCCGCTGAAGCCCCTACTTCTCGACGGCGCTCGGCAAACGGTATGTTTTTGGGTCTAACACTTGAGCAAGTCTAACTTGAGGACAGGCTGGTAAAACTACGAGGTTGCAATCAGCCGCGCCGACATTAACGATCGCCAGCCCGCGAGCGACGAGCGTCGTGTCGCAGGCGGCCGCTTGAAGCACAAGTGGAGCGCGGTGAAGCTCGCAAGTGCCGGCGGGGATACAGCCAAAGAACAAGCGGGACAGATTATGATTAAAAGGCCCCACGCATTGTCCTCAGCACTACAAGAGACATTACTACAATCGCGCAAGCAAAACAGGTGTGTGGTCCTCAAGGCACTCTTTGTTCAACCTCTTGACCGTTCCGTAGCAACTTCGGACCTCAAAACAAGGTGCAGTGCGAGCAGGTCTCTAAACGATCACCAAAAGCTGTTTCTGCTAAACCTACTGCTCTCAACGAGGATGTGTAATGGGCGCTTGAGTTCGGCAAAGAACTCAATGGTGATCTCAGTCGAGCTAAGATCGAGCGCCATCTAGAGTGGTATGTCATCCATATCCATTACCATCTGCAAGTTCTGACAAATCTGGGAATCGCAAAGCTAAGCGATCCTGAGATTCTGCACGCGACGGAGCTAGAGTCGAAATTGGTTCCGTCGGCCTCTCGAACCTGACGACTACCACCTTACATGGCATGCCTGTCTATGCACCCGACGCTGTTCCTGCCAAGACTGCAGATACTCCCGCCCCGGTATCTTCTACTACACAAAGAAGGTAGCCTATGAACGAGTTCAAGCTCTCCTCGAGGTCAGTGTCCCGCCTTATTTTGCATTCACTCACTGACTTCCTTAGGGCTCAAGAAGCGAGAGACCTCGCAGCTGCTCGTTTCAAACACGCCGAAATTAACACTTTCAGCAACATCTTGCACCTGTGCGATCCATCACAACACTTCTCCAGTGCATTCAACCCTCGAGTGGACCGGTCAACTTGTTCCCGTGAGGACGATGTCAGGCAGAAACGCCTCTTCCTTGGAGAGCAGGACATTGGAGCGGTTCGACATCAAGGAGCTCAGCGGTCTGCCGACCAGCTACACTATGGTGACCTACTATGGTGACCTTCGAAAGGCCGAAGCACATTGCCATGGGTACTCAGCTGGCCAGTGGAGCACTGCTGCCGCATCGTTGGAGTCCAACAGTGGATAAAATTCCGAGATCCTGGCTGGAAGCTTCCCAACAGACCACTTTGATGACGAGACACTCGGCAGAAATGAAGATGTGCACAAAGTCGATATCGAAGATGGCGGTATGATGTACAGCCCACCTCCTCCAGTTTACCTCGGTAAAGATCCTGAGTGGCCTTTTGGGGCTCTAGCAAGTTCGAGCTCCGGCATAGTATCTCTCGACCTCAACGATCTACGACCACAGGAGTTCCGCACTTCTCGTGGCTCATCACATGCGTACGACTCCGACGATGAAACCGCCGAATCAACCTTGGGCTCGGACAGCGGCGAATGTCTAGAGCGACGCATGATCGAAGACTTCGGCGGTGATGATGAGGTTGCTCATGCACGATCTTCAACGTCGGGTCTTTATACTCCGACTTCCAGATCAGACGATCAGGAGCTTCGATAGGCCAAGGCTACCGATGACTGCGAGTCTTGGTGTAATCGCAACTGTGGATGTTTTCCCGAGAAGTTTGTGAACGAAGCAAAGTCTGTATTGCGCGAGGTCCTGGAGTCCACTGTCGAAGAGGATGAAGCAACGGAATTTCTGACACCCCCTCGACAGTCTGGCACACCACGCTCAGCCCCGCGCAAACAATCTCTTGAGCAGGCGTTCCAGATTCTCGGTCTCGAAGAATACACCTCCGTCGACATGCCCATGTTACAGGTTCAGCTCAACGATCGCCTAGTACGTGGGATAACTGCGGACCGCAGCAATGTCACCGAAGCTTTTGCCACAATTGTACAGCACCAGGATACGACTGGCTGCTGGACTAAGTGTTGGCGCCAGGAGCAGAACAAGCCTTCGGAGTGCGACGCTGAGATCGAAGAAACTCGATCTGTCATCGCCATGATCGAGATTTTGTTGGAAAGCGAGTGCAACGGTCGCAAGTTCTTTGATAAAACGCTCGCTGAGCAATACAGCAAGCTTGATAGGCTGGAGCATACTAAGTCTCTCCCATACGTCACCGCCAACACTGCCGACGACTCGACAAAATACGCACATGAGAACGAAGGAGGTGTGGGAGTGTCCGTTCTGTTTAATAAAATCCTTCCAAAGGCTCACGACATCACAGCCGATCTTGCAGCTCCCGATGACAAGTCTTCAGCTTGGACAGCAGCACAAGATAGGACACTGATGCTGCTGCGATCCGAGTTCCGGAACTCCTCCTGGCAAGTCACTGCAGAGATTCTGGAGAAGGAGGACCAGCAATGCAAAGACCGCTTCATGCAAATCAAACAGAAGGATTGGACGCCGAAGGACAAGAATCAGGACAAGAAGCAGACCAAGTTCGACGACGGTAAATCACAGAAGAAGCCAAAGTCGTCTATCGCAAACTCAGAACCCAACGACGCCCCTACACACACTTCAGACGACGGTGGTTGGGATCAGCCCTCTGGCTGGTTGCCCTCAGACACTGTTCACTCTTCTGATGAAGAGCTTCTAGCATAATGCAGCCACTCTGGACGGAATTTTAGCTTTTACAAGTCTGGTTGGGTCGACGACGTTGCGGCAGACGTGGCCGCTGTACGTATCGATGGAAAACCGCGCTGAGTTGCTTGCTAGCTAGGAGGCGACCATATATACATGTCCTGAGACGTGCTAGTCCAAGGTAGTCAACAGAGGTGACGATCAAGGCCTATAGGACGACTTGCACTTCAACAGATGATGGCCCTAACTCTGGTCGGAACACTGGCGGCTTCGGCAAGGTTCCGCCAAAGCAGACCTATCAGTTCCCAACATGGTCCGGACTTACCTGCGATATTCATGATGCTTCAAGCGCATGTCCTTGAAATTACCGCCGAATACCAACAAAATTGTTTCAGATTTGAGTCGTCTTCTCCTTTTCACAAGAGCTTCACCAGGCCTCACCACCTTCGACCTTGAGATCGGTTCCTATCATCACGTCGCAGACCGATTCCAAACAAATTTGGAGGAAATGAGGATGGAATCAACGATTTGGGCAGGAGAAGCAGATCGTCTACACCAGGACTAGCCATCTCGAGCCGGTCTTTAGCAGACTCGTATTGGTGCTGGTGTAATCTTGTGGCTGTGCACAAGAAATTACGGAGGGGATGTGTAGATGTAATAAAGGCATGCGCTGAGTACGCTTTGGCGGGGTAGATTTATCCGTGTTTCGCCGTGTGGAATCTGCTTTAGGCAGCTCTTACCTACTTGCCATCTGTTGCTGTCTCAGTGTTATGCTTTCGATTGTTACTCATGTCTTCCAGACCGGTATGTTGAAAGTGTGAGTTGCTGCTCCACAGGCTGAGGAAGAGGCGAATGTGAGGTCTCGGCAAGCGCTCATGTTGTTGTCTCCATTGTAGTCTGGTGGAGAACCTATTTTTATGGTTGAATATAGACCGTTCGTGCAATTTAGCGATCAAAATAGTCGTTAGAAGGAGATGGAATAAAGCTACACCCCGCATTTCCCTCCCAGACGGCAGGCGCACGTACTTCTTTCGCAACAACAGAAAACACCAGCTATTAGAGTGGCCTTTCTCGATACCTATCCGTATCTCTCAAATTCGCTTCTCGCTTTCAGCTTGATCATTAGCGGTGGCTTGGACCACACGAAATACACTCTCTGTCCCTGGTCCCACCCCTCACTCTCGGGACACAGCTCCATCTCGAAGTTCCACACTAGCCTGGCAAGTATACTGCGCATCTCAGCCCATGCAAAGTTCTGACCGATACAGTTGCGCGATCCCATTGAGAATGGCTGCAGCACAGAGCGTCTGTCACTGGCATACTCCTCATCGCCCAACCAACGGTTTGGCGCGAAAGCGTCCGAGTTCTTGAAGTTAAGTTCTGAGCGAAACGCTGGATACATCGGGATGCCAACGCGCGTGTTCGGGGGGATATACGTCCCGGAGATTGTGGCACCTTCCTCGGGTGTCATGCGCGGTAGATCGACTGGCAGCGGTGGGTACATGCGAAGCGATTCCTGGATGATACTGTTGAGGACTTTGAGCGGAGCGAGCGACTGGAAGGTGATTTCGGATTCGCTCTTGAAGGCGCTGCGAAGCTCGACTGACAGCTTTGACAGCCAGTCTGGGCTCTTCAGAAGGAAGTATATGGCTCCACTAAGGCAAGTGGCTGAGGTCTCGCTGCCGGCGAGAATCAAGATACTGCTTGTTAGTCTGAGCTCTTCGAGCGCGAAGCCTTTTCCTTCCGTGTGTTTGGTCATATGGCTGCAAAGTGTCAGATGACGTATCTTGTGGGTTGTCCGTGTCTCGGCTTACCCGATAAAATCGTTCCGATCAGTCTTTGAACTCAGTCGCTTACCCAGCCTCCGATCAACATAGCCATGATACTTTTCCCTCGCTTGTGCCAAAGCTGGCAAGCTCCGCAACAGTGCAACGAATGGTACCCCTATAACGGGATATTGCGAAAGTGTAGTTCCGAGAATGACCCATTTCAAACCGTCAAAAAGATGCTCGATCCATGGATAGTGTGCATCAGCATCCAAGGCACCGAATGGCTCGCCAAATGTAAGATCTCCGGTGATATCAAAAGTTGTAGCGTTCAGCCAGCGTGTCGCATCGACGGGAGACTGTTGCTTCGCACGCAGGTGTAGTTTTGAGATCATGAGGCTGACATATCCAGTAATGATATCTTCTTGACTACGCAAAGCCTGCTCAGAGAAGGCATGGTTCATGGAGCGACGCATACGTGCATGGTCCTTATCGCGAGCCCCTGACACTGATCAGAATGACTCGTCTTTTGATTTGACGTGATGACCTACTTAAGAGATCGTCGACTTTGTCAAGTGGATCGCGATTGTAGTAACGCCAGTCCTTCTGCAGTTCCTTACCGAGTCCATAAATGTCTGTCACTGAGGTCAGCGCGTACCGCCTGCATCTGCTATTAATGTGACAAATACCTCGCCAGGCTTCAGGAGAGATTATAGATATATTGTCAGGTGAAATTCGAACGACCTCTCCATACTCCTCGTGGAGCAGGCGCCAACTGATTATGTAATTACCGCGAAGTCGCTCGTAGTAATATGGAAAGTAGAAACCGGCGCGCAACTTTGGTCCAGGGAACCGTGACAGAGGTGAGAAGTAGACGTTATACAGAGCGCGTAGGCATCCGTAAAGCAAGTACTGATGCTGTAAGCAGCATCCTGTTAAGGGCCGAGGTGACCGCTTACGCCGAGAAGGCTGAAGAGCAGGACCTGTGTTGGTGGGACACTGCTCAGTAAACGCTCTGTGGCCATTTTGAGATTATGGGGTATGAGTTGTGAAAGGAGTTGTGAAAGGAGTTGTGAAAGGAGTTGTGAATTCTAGCACTGTCGTGAAGGTCGCCAAGTTGCTCGAACTCGGAGACGAGCAGTCTTGTTTTAAAGAGTGATTGCAATATCCCATGTGAGCGGGTTCTGATCATGCCATGGTGGATCGTCGATGAACCTTTACAGGCGGGCTGAAAGGCAGTTGATGTCGTGCAACCCACAGTTTCGATTTGACGAATAAGATTCGTAAGCGTGGTGAGGGAAAGTTGCAGGTGGAAGATGATTACCAGACTGGCGGTCCTCCCTTCCGCTATTGGCCGCCTTCGCGTGCAAGGCAGTCGCGACAATACCAGAAGACAGAAGATGATGAATGGAACCAGGCTGCAGGCACGGAAAGGATGTTTGAAGAATAGTGCATTGAAAATAAACGCTATGTCGCGCAATAACAGCTACGGAGGCAAAGATATCCATGTGCGGACCAAACGCCAGTCTCTGTAGACAACCCAAGCCCAACCAAACGCCAGCATCGTGACAGCATCGCATCGTGATGTGAATTAAGTACATGAACACGCTACAAGGAACACAGCGCGTCATTACGGTTCGCCTACTGCCTCAACGACTGGCGGTGCTATTGTGGCTTCCTCTTCCGTCAATGTTGTTGATTCACACTTCACTATCGCCACGTGCTCAGCAGCAGGCGCGAACTGAACGATCTTCTTTACTGGATCAACGTTCTCGGACGGCGACTCGACATCGACCTCCTTCGACAACCTCGACGGCCTCTCGATCCCAGCATCGACGGTGACGTACGAGCTAGCATCGCATCCATCAGCATAGAACTCGCTCGGGGACAAGTCGCCCAGCGGTCTGCGATCCTCGTCCATTGCGTCCTGGCTGAGTTTCCTGAGGCGAGGGCGCTTGACAGGCTCTTCGATCTCGGTCTCCTCACCGTCATCAATAGCTTCCGCTGGTGCTGTCCTTGACTGCAGAAGCGCGAAGTCAATCGGTGGGATATTCTCCTTGCCCTTGGACAGCTCCTCGTTCCTCGTTTTTGTCTCGGCGTCGTCGTCAGAGCTGATGTCCAATACGGTAGCAGAGTGCGTCATCAAATTGGCAGCTTCCTGCTCGGGTGTGTCCTCGTGGATCTCGAAGAACCAGCCCTTGGGCATGGACTCCTCGAGCGCCGAGGCCTGCTGAGGTACGGGTGCCGATTTCGCTGCTACGGCAGGCTTTGATGTGTAGTTGGAGATGGTGCCGCTGAGTGCTGCATCGATTGAGAAGGGCAGTGCGCCTTGCGAGAATGAAGGAGGGTCCACGCGACGGAAGGGAGAGCTGGATGTTCGACGTTTGGTGACACCATGGAGACGCTTATTCTTTGGCGAGCCGCGGCTATGGCTGATAGGAGTCGACTTGGCTGTGTTTGGTTCAGAGAGGGACTTGCGAACGGATGGCACAGAGGTAGCGGGAGAGGCGGTGAGAGAGACGCTGGTCTTGGCCGGCGACGCAACCATGGAAAATCGGGCGGGCTTCACAAAGTCATGGCTGATGTTGCACGACTTCTTGAAGGGCGAGCTAGAGGCAGCCGGGTCGGTGTTCTCGCAATCCTCGTCCTCGAAGATGTCAGGCTCGCGCTGGCGCTTGCCGATGGACGATGGCGCGCTGGGCTTCAATGGGCACACAAAGCTGGGAGTGGTGGGCGACAAGGCTGCACAATGCGTTCAGTTACAGTCATTTCTCGACCATCAGCTCGTCTTACCGTTCTGCCTGTTCTTGGAGCTGCCAAGGGCCTGCAGGCGCGGCGTGCTGATATCGCCAAAGGGCTGGCGCGTGAAAGTAGCCATTTCGACCGGTCTACAGCGAGACGAATGGTGGTGCGAAAAGACAGGGGGATCCGAGCTCAGTATTCGTGATTGAAGTCGAAAGCGCACGCTTTGACGGCTGAGGCTGGTGAGTGCGCTGACGATACACGGTGAGCGGGGTCCAGACGAGTCGCGATTGGGCGGCTTCAAGGTCAATCGTTGTCCAAGCAACAGCAACGGTAAATCTGCAATCTCTCCACAACAGTGATGGAACTGAACAAAGAGCAGAGCAGGAGAAGGAAAGAAGTGAACGACAGCAATCCGCGTCCGTCGGGAATTACCCTCCCTCAAGCGGGCACACGCTCCTGATCAATGCTGGCGACGCGTCCCCGTCCCGCCTAGCGCGCCAGGTCGCGTTGCTCCACTTGGACACGCAGAATCGAGCGATGCCAGCTCCAACGCAGGGATCCGTTCCCGAAACCTTGATTTGTAGCACGCCACTCTCTATGCGCGGGCTACTGACTGGCTGGAGAGGCTCCACAACAGGTTTCGGTAGTCTGCAAGGCTGGCTCGGGTTCATGCGCTGTTAGCTGTCGCGAACGCGATAGTGCCGCGAAACTTCGCGTGATGCCGTGAGCGTGGTCGTGAACCCCGGATCATGCAGCTCTAGCACTCCAGGGTGGAGACGAGCCGTTCAAAGAGGTCTGGATGAGGTGGGGCTACAGACGATCGTTGAGACTACATGCATACAGTCGGTGAGCGCGGCTGGGTGGCCATTTGTACTCGTGGTGTTGCACTCTCAATTGGTGCGTGCTCCTGCGAAAGTCGCGTCGACGCATCTTGTACGCGTTTGGGTCACGACGTCCATACTCGGAAAGCTCGCAGCTGAAACCAGGGCGGATTCGATCTACAGCTTCAAACAATCCTGCATGTACCACAGCCGCAATTCGGGTCGATCGCCGGAATCTCGCCCTGATCCTCCACAACGGACCGTTCCTTCCTTTGTTCTTCCCCAGACTCACACGTCCTTCTCAGTCCCACCCCGCAACACTGTTATGCGGCGACGCTACGCGTACAGGAACGCCACCCCACGCCTCGTTCAAGTACGTCGCATTGTCTTCGTCGAATCAGTTATGGTACTTTGTGAGACTGCCCTTCTCGCTGCCGTGTTTGCTCTTGGACCAGCTGTGGTTGCTGTGCTCGCTGCCATGTGCACTTGTGGGCCAGTTCTGCTCGCTTTGAACAGCGCTTCCGCCCCAGTGAACGTCGCTGCCGGCTTTGGAGGCGGCTTGGCTGGCGGGCCAGTCCGGGGGACTGTGTCTGCTGCTCCTGCGAGACGTGTGGCTGCGCTGCGTGCGCTGCGTGAGATGAGTGTGCACGCTGTGCTGGCTTGCTGGCCAGCTACGCTCACTTCCTCCAGCTACGCTGACTTCGCTGGTCGTCTTTGGCCTTTCGAAGCCGTCCCACTCTTCGTCGCCATGCTTCGAATGGCTCTTATCGTTGCTCCTCCCGTGAACGCTTCCGAGCTTGCCTCCAGCTCTACTCCCCTCGCGCCCATCCCCCTTCGCCGACCCACCCCACCCTAGATCACTACCGGTATCTCCATGTCCGAAGCTCTTGATCGTCCCATCCGCAACGTCCTCCCAAGCACCACCACCACCCTCACTATTTCCCTTCTTATCCGCATCACTCCAACTGTGCGCACTCACTGCGTTCCCACCCCAGCCGACTTGTGAGTACGATACCTCGTCCAGCGGTGTCTCGCCATAAACCACTTCAATGATGTCGAGGCTTCGGTGGTTCAATTTCGTATCTTGATCGTCGTCGTGACGGGAGCCTTGATTGGAGAGAGTGTGTCTGCTGTCCCTCAAGCTCCTCTGCCGTGACTGCTGCAAGGAAGCCGCTTTGAGGTACGTGAACGTAGAGCTGCAGACTGAGCTCGTGGGCGAGGCGGACGGAGAGAGCCAGCCGTGGGGTACCGTGTGGCTTGAATGATGGCGTGGTGGGACAAATGCTGGTGGTGAAGGGCTTCTCGCAGCCTTGATCCATCGCCTGCTTTCCTCTGGCTTCTCCACGGTCTCCTTCACGGCTCCAGAATCGTACTCGCCCCGATCGTCAATGACAACCACCCGTCCATCATCACCCTTGATCACGAAGGTCCCCCATTTCAGCGGCGCTGGCACACTCACAACCCCCCTCCTCTCCCTGTGCTCTTTCTCTCCCCTCACGCTCGTCTCAGAACGCTTGACCTGCACTCCAGCAACGCCCTTCATCCTGGCCAGACTGCGGTGGATATCGCCGCCAACAGCGCGCGCGATGTCGTCGTTCCACGCGCCGCTGCCTTTGCCGCGCCGCTTTGGGGCCTCGTAGAACTTCGCGTCCACGCGTCCGAAGCCAGGTGTCGAGCCGGGTAGCAGGTCGAGGCCGTCGTCGATGTAGCTGCCTGTGTACGCGGATGCTGTTTCTGGGAATAAGGGGGTCGTTTTCAGCCAGCGCGATAAGTTGGTGGATGAATCTGCTGGGGGGATGCGCCGTGCGAAGGAGCGGCCGTCGTCGATGTAGGATGGTGCTGTGGAGCTCATGTTGAGAAATGTTGCGTGCAAGATGCAAAGGCGGGTGGTAGAAGAGAGGCGATGGGTTAATGGGTTACAGAGGAGAGGTGATGGGTTGCAGCGGAATGAGGAGATGGGCGTGTAGGAGGTAAAGTGAAGGTGAAGACTGGATGGAGAAGTGTGCCACGCAACGCGGACGAGCAAACGAGATTCAAGACGACCTGTGAGACCTGGCCGTCCTACAGCCTCTGGCGGCGAATTACTGGGACATCGTACTCGCAAACAAACACACCGTGTCGTCTCGTTCGGGCCCAGTGTCCCGCCTACAACTTCGCCTTCTCCTTCTTCTTCGTGTCCTCCCAGCTCAACTGCACCCTCCTCATATTCCACCAACTCCACAGCCCACTCACCAGTCCCAGCGGCGGAAGCACCCACAGCAGCTTCCCCCACCACCACGGGCTCCTCGCGCGCACATCATCCATGACCCGCTTGACCTCGCGCTCCAGATGCGCTTTATCACCATCGTTCCACACCACTACGCCCTTCCCCTCGCCCCGCCGCAGGCACCGCTCTGCTTTCTCCCGTATATCGCCCTGGCTCATGACCCGATTCCGCGCATCCTCCTCGGTTAAGTGCGCATCCCGTGCGCGCAGGCGCTGGATCTGTATCGCCGGATCGCTAACGCCGACGACGATGATCGACCCGCAGTACCGCTCCCACCCGCTCTCGAACAGTAGCGGCACGTCCAGCACAACGGCCCAGTTGCCGCGCAAATACGCCCAGATCATCTGCCTGTACATCTCCCTCCTGATCGCGGGGTGGACAATGGCATTCAGCGCCTTCCTGTCCTTTTCCTTGTCGGCGCCAGCGCCGAACACGCGGCGCCCGAGAGCTGGGCGGTTGATCGGTCGCCCCCGCGGGTGCGAGGCGTCGGAGAGAAGCAGGTCGGGTGTGCTCGGCGCGAAGTACGAGACGATTGCGTTGTAGCCGGGTGTCCCGGGCTCGACGACTTGGCGCGCGATCAGGTCGGCGTCGATTATCGGGAGCGAGTACGGGGCGGCGCGCAGGAGAGTCGAGACGGTGGATTTGCCGGTTGCGATGGAGCCTGTGAGGCCGAGGAGGAGCATTGTGGGGGGTTGGTGGTGTGGCAGTCTGGGGTGGATGGGGAGTATTTGCGACGGGGCAAGGGAGGTAACTTGGTGATGGTGATGTTTATGGGACGCTGTGGAATGTTTGAGGCTTGTGGTTTGGTGTTGGATCGCAAATGCCGCGTAAAGTGACGGACGCGGGGAGCTTGAGCTTGAGCTTGGACGGGAAGTTGTTGTACCTCGGCGGTTGTCACGGTTATACACATGCACAATTGATCATAGTCAAGACATGTCACTCATAACTGCACGTTTTGTTATAATTGATTCAATTGCAATTGAGAGCTGACGCTGCTCTGGATATCCGTTTTGTGCGCCGAACGCCTCCATGTGTTCGATGCTACATGTATCCGCTCCGTCCATCAAACTCATTGCGGCACCTTTTTCTTCCTTCCAACTAGCGGTGCGTGCGAGTCTAGGGCGTTTCCTCTGTGCAAGCTGGCGGTGGACGAGGACGAAGCTTAAAGTCCTGCAGCGGTAGAGGTGCTCCCATTGGTGGAGCCCTCAGAACATCGGGCAAGCTCTCGTTGGTAGATACTGCCTGCGACCGCACGTCAGTCACAAGAAGCTTGACACAACTTAGAGTCTAGTCTGAAACCTCTCCGTGGTTGACAGTTTGTTGGACAGGCTCAACGAGCTTGCGGGCAGGGCGGAAGATCTGCAGCTGGTTGTCTTCTGCGGCACCCATCATGACCCAAGGATCGTTCTTGTTCCAGTCGAAGTCGCAGATGCGGTTTGTGAAGCCGCCGTGCATGAAGAGTCTAGGTTTGTCAGTAACATGTAGAGATTAGAGTGACAGAAGACTTACAGCTCAGGCGGCCCGTCCTCAGCCTCCTCCTCTGTCTGCTCATCACCAATCTTGCTGGTGTCCCACAGCAGGATGCGGCGATCATTGCCTGAGCTTGCAAGGATAGAGGCATCCTGTGGGTGCCACTGCAGGCTCATAACTTCGCCCTTGTGCGCTTGCAGGCTGTGTAGCGGCTTCTCGAAGTTGCGGAGGTCCCAAATGCCAATAGACTTGTCCGCAGACCCAGTGGCCAACAGTGAGTCCCACTCGGGATGGAAGGCAATGCTGTTGACAGCGTCTTCGTGCGCCATCTTTCTCCAGAGCGCTGTCTTGTGCGACTCCATGCGCGTGTCGATGACCTGCCATGTGAGGTCGTCGGACGCCGAACCAATGAGGTGGTTGTGGATGGGGTGGTACTGGATGTCGTTTACTGTCGCGGTGTGAATGGTGTACGTGGCGGTGGGGCTGATGGTCTTGTTGGTCTTGGAGAAACCGCTCTTGATATCCCATGTCTTGATGGTGGTGTCTTCTCCACCGGTGGCCAAGTGACCCTCGTGGAAGGGGCTCCAGCTAAGCGCGAACCCTTCCTTTTCGTGACCCACACACTCGGCCTCGAATTGGACGGCATCGCCCTTTGGCTGCAGGGGGTGTTTTGTACGGTCGAAGATGAGCGCCCTGCCGTCTGGACAAAAGGTCGCAATGATGTCTGGATTCTGCGGCTGGTACCGCGCCTTGTTAACCTCGCCGGGGTGGTTGATCTTTTGCACGATCTTGAAGTCGAACGGCCGTTTCGCATGGCCGTGACCGCCGACCTCATCGCGGTCCTCGCCGACCTCAGACAGGTCAGGCGTGCGGAAGTCGGGGATCTCGCAGTGGGCGATCTGCAGGTAGTTCTGCGCCTGGTTCGATGTGTGGGTGCCCAGGATCACGCGGTGCTGGCTCATGTTGGTGCCGTCGACGCTGCCTTCTGTCAGCCAAACTGTCTTTCACTTGTTGGCGCGGGATCGACGCACGGCTTCTTATCAGGCAGCCATTGTGTGGTGAGTGTAGGCCACTCGAGCGCGCGCCCGTAGAGCATATCGTAGAGGAAGACCGAGTTCTTTTTCCAGATCTTGTACTCTTCGTTGATGATCTTGTGCTGCCTCTCCTCATCCTGGTCGTCGTTGCTCCGCGAGCTATGTTCATCGCTCATGGTATCGTCCATCGTGGCCGCGACAATCGGTGTGAGTTTGTTGAGAGTTGGAGGTGTGGTCGTGCGGACGTCTTCAATAATGATACCGAAGTGTGAACTCGCCCAAGCTGTGGAGCCAAAGCGCGTTGGAACCGCGTTTCGCGTTGCGCTAGCGAACTGTGCCCACCCTGACCGCCTGCGCTACAAGGGTCATCGATCGCCGCGGCCGCCACTATGTCGCGCCTTGGCGTTGTAGCATCATATTAAGCAGCCCGCGATGCCTTCTCCTACTCTTTGAAGACCACAGCGTCGAGAACCATACCCTCTATTGTTTGCCTTTGCGCCCACAGCGCTGCTGCGCTTTCTTCATTTGATCACCCACAACTTTACCGCTCCCTCCTGCGACACAGCCCAGCGCCCGCGCCTTTCGCCTCCACGTATTGCTACACTATCGCTAGACGGCAGCAGCAATCATGGGTGTTCCCAAGTTCTTCAGGTGGATGTCCGAGCGATACCCGGGCATCTCTCAGCTCATTGCTGAGAACCGCATCCCCGAGTTTGACTGTCTTTACGTATGATCACTTTCAATTCGTCCTGCAATGATGACTCTGACACCGCATGCAGCTCGACATGAACGGCATCATCCACAACTGCACGCACAATGACTCCGACGGCCCTACTGCGCGCATGACCGAGGACAAGATGTTCATCGCCATCTTCAACTACATCGAACATTTGTTCGGCAAGATCAAGCCCAAGCAGCTGTTCTTCATGGCCATCGATGGCGTCGCCCCGCGCGCCAAGATGAACCAGCAGCGAGCTCGCCGCTTCAGAACTGCTCTCGACGCTGAAAAGGCTCGAGAGAAGGCCATCAAGGAGGGCGTGGAGATGCCCAAAGAGGCGCCTTTCGACAGCAACTGCATTACCCCCGGCACCGAGTTCATGGCGAAGCTCACACAGCAGCTGAAGTACTTCATCAACAAGAAGGTCTCCGAGGACCTCGACTGGCAGGGCGTGGAAGTCGTCTTGTCCGGTCATGAAGTCCCTGGAGAAGGCGAGCACAAGATCATGGAGTACATCCGTCAGGCGAAAGCCCAGCCGGAGTACGATCCCAACCGCCGTCACTGCTTGTACGGCCTTGACGCCGATCTGATCATGTTGGGCCTGCTCAGCCACGACCCTCATTTTTGTCTTCTGCGCGAAGAGGTGACATTCGGTCGTCAGAGCAAGACCAAGTCCAAGGAGCTGGAACACCAGAACTTCTACCTGATGCATCTCTGCATTGTTCGCGAATATCTAGAACTCGAGTTCCAAGAACTAGAAGAGCCTGGTGCTCTTGGCTTCCCATTCGACATGGAACGTGTGATTGACGATTTCATCCTCATGGCTTTCTTTGTTGGTAACGATTTCCTTCCCAACCTTCCACATTTGCATATCAACGAGGGCGCTCTGGCCCTCATGTTCAACGTTTACAAGACGGTCTTGCCCAAGGCTAAGGGATACATCAACGAAGAGGGTGTAATCAACATGGAGCGCTTGGCGCTCCTGCTCGACGAGCTCTCAAACATCGAAAACCGCCACTTCGAATCCGAGAATGCCGACGCCGCGTGGTTCAAGGGTAAGAAGCTTGGACGCGAAGACATCATGGAGAAGACTGCGCGACGAGGCACAGTCGTAATGTCCACACAACAGAAGGATCTGTTCTCAAAAGTGAAGACCTGGGTTGGCAACCATCTCCAAAAGGTCGATCAACCTCCTCTCGATCTGCCTACAGACTTGAATGCCGAAGACCGGAAGTTTGTACAGGAGCTTGCAGACAAGCTTCACTTGCCGTGGAAGTCTGTCTCAGACAATGATGGCAACCGCCATCTTCAGATCTCAGCCCCACCCAAGCTGGTCGAGAGTGACGAGGACGACGAGGACGACGAGGCAAACGCCGAATCCACTAAGGCGATTGTCCGAGTTGTCCAGAAGTACGAACAGGCCAAGATCGTCGACATTTCGCCTGAAGAAGCGCAGTCGGTTATGCAGGCGAAGTACGACGAGAAATTTGACGCTTGGAAGAACGACTACTACAAGAGCAAGTTTGACTGGGATCGCAGCAACGAGGAGGAGCTGCGCAAATTGACCGAGAACTACGTGCAGGGATTGCAGTGGGTTCTCTACTACTACTACCGTGGTGTAGCATCATGGCCCTGGTACTATGGCTACCACTACTCGCCGATGATCTCCGATGTCAAGCGAGGTCTCAAGGCTGATATCAACTTCAAGCTCGGACAGCCCTTCAAGCCTTACCAGCAATTGATGGGTGTGCTGCCTGATCGCAGTAAGACCATCGTTCCAGAGGCTTACCATCCCCTCATGACAAACGCCGACTCCCCTATCATCGACTTCTACCCACGCGACTTCAACCTCGACATGAATGGCAAGAAGCAGGATTGGGAGGCCGTAGTCAAGATTCCATTCATCGAAGAAGACAGGCTGCTCAAGGCGATGGCGACGAAGGAGCATCTACTAACACCCGACGAGAAGGCTCGCAACTCCTACGGTGTTTCTTTGAAGTTCACTTACTCCAAGGACGTGGACTTTGTTTACCCGACCTCCCTTCCAGGGATCTTCCCGGATCTGCCCAACTGCAAGTGCATTGAAAACATTTTTGATCTTCCTACCATGGAAGGGCTCGAGTACTACATCGGCTTGATGGATGGCGTCAAGCTTGGCGCATCTGCGTTGGCTGGCTTCCCTAGCCTTAAGGTCCTTCCGTTCCACGGTGCGCTCGAGTTCGCAGGCGTTAATGTCTTCTCACAAGACAGTCGCAACGAGAGCATGGTTGTCACTCTTGTCGACACCGAACCCAGGACCTCAGTCACATACGCACAGAAGTTGCTAGGAAAGGCAGTCCACGTTGGCTATCCATTTCTGCACGAGGCCAAGGTAGTCAAGGTCTCTGATGAGCTTTTTGATTACGTGCTTCCCGGCGACGGCGTTGCAGCTCCTCTTGCATTGGAGCATGGCCCTATGGAAATTTCCAACTGGAAGAAGATGGCGAATCGCATCCAAGAGACCTACAGCAAGCGTCTCGGTATCATCGCTGGAGAAGTGGAAGCACTGGTGCATGTCGAAATGCTCAAGGGTCTCAAGAAGACCGACGAAGGTGCCACCATCAAGGAGTACGCTCCAGTCCCCGGACTGCAAGCTGAGTACGCTGCTCAAACCATCGTCGGAGATGTTATCAGCCCCGATCAGCGCTTTATTGAGAAGGACGCTTTACCCATTGAGGAAGAATTCCCTGGAGGCTCTCGCGCCTTCTATCTCGGTGACTATGCGTACGGTCGCCCTCTGCAGGTCATTGGCCATGCGGACCACAAGGCTACAATCATGGTCGCCAGACTGAAGAAGCCAGAGCCAGACTTTGGCCGTCAGATCGTCATGCACGCTGAGCAGACAACGCCATACCTGCCATCCTACATGGTTGCCAGGCAACTGCACATGCCTCCTCTGGCTTTGTCGAAGTTGACATCATCATTCAATGTTAACTCCAGTGGTCTCAAGCTGAATCTGGGCTTGAACCTGAAGTTCGAGGCTAAGAAGCTGAAGGTTCTAGGCTATTCACGCAAGTCCGCCAATGGTTGGGAGTACAGTCAGAAGGCTGTAAAGTTGCTCACCGACTACATGCAAAAGTTCCCTGAGTTCTTCGCCGGTATCATGATGAACCCAACGGGAGATGGCTGGGAGGATACCGACTTCTACCCTCCAGAGATCGCAAAGCAGAAGGTCAAGGAGATTGGTGCTTGGCTCAAGGAGGTACAGACGAAGAGCTTCGAGAAGGTTCCGCTTGATGCGGAGCAGCTTGACTCGGACACTGTCAAAGCTATTGAGCAAGCTGCCGATGCCAACCTTGCACTGCTGCAGGATGTTGAAATGAAGAAGATCGGCAAGGTCCCGCGCAGCGCGATTTTAAAGCCGTCTGACGCTGAGCAGCGTCTTGGTCATCAAGGTTTCAGCATTGGTGATCGTGTCATCTATGTGCAAGACTCCGGACGAGTTCCCATCGGATCATCAGGAACCATCGTTGGGAAGACCAGGACAGCTCGCGCTGTGTTGCTGGATGTTGTTTTCGACGCAACCTTCATGAGCGGAACCTCACTCAACGACCGATGTTCACCATTCCGCGGATCAACTGTGCCCTCTACTTCGGTGCTGAACTTGACCGACAAGCAGGTCGTGTCTTACTCTACTGCAGGTGCCGCTGCTGCCGCAGCTAAGCAGAGAAACAACCAGAACTCGGGCTACTCCATGCCTCGCTTGGGTGCTCCTGGAGGTCCCCAGCTGATCCCGGCTACCGCTCCACCACCTCTTCAGGGCTCTTACCGTGGGGCGTTCGGTGGTGCCAACGGCAATAGGGGAGGTCGTGGCGGTGGCATGGCGCCTCGTATTGGTGCCGCGAATGGTGCTCAACAGACCCTGCCAATCCACGGAGGACCTCCACGAGGCGGTCGGGGCGGCTTCGCTCCCCGCGGTGGGCAAGCCAACGGCCACGCAGATCAAAACCTGCAATCCAACGGCAACGGTGTGCCCCCTGGCGGCCGCGGTCGTGGCGGTGCTGACTTTGTCCCGCGAGGCCGTGGAGGTGTTCACAAGGCTCGTGGTGGATTCACGAGTGTCGATAACAGCGATCCAGCTGAGGGCATTGTGCAGAACAACCCCAGTTTCCGCCCGCAGAACTACTCGAACGTGCCGCCGCCTGCTGGATTGGACGCGGGCCGTGGTAGGGGTCGCGGGCGCGGGCGTGGAGGATTCAGAGGAAGGGGCGGACCGAGGGGAGGCGCGCCTGCGCCTGCTGCTCAGTAGAATAACTGACTCCAAGGTGGGGTTTGAGTAAATAGAAAAAAAAACGAGCCGAGTGTGATCAGAACAGTCGACCTGCCCATCTCCCACCTTCTCCCTTTCACACTATATTTCATGCACCACCACGACCATGCTGTCCACGTTCTCCTGTCCCCACTTCACTCATCTCGATTCAGATGCGACACAGGGCGGATTAGTTCATAGTCCGAACAGCAACATGTACAACAAATATGATCTCACGACTAGCCATGAGAGGAACATGAAGAAATACCCGGCCTTGGTGGTTCAATCGACACCTCGCCAGGACCTCAATCTCATCAGTCCGAACAGACCCCACTCTGGCTGCCCACGAGAGCATCCTCCAATGATGACTTGGCGCCCTTAGTGTTCTTCGTGGCAGCTGTAATGTACGCTCTGTGTGAGCGAGCAGGTGTCAAGTTGAACCTAGGAGTCTGGAGCTAAACGCAAGTTCTGGAACGGCAGAATCATGGCCATTGTACGCCAGCAGGCGAAACTTGATACTGTGACGAAGTTAAGATGCTGACAAATCGGTGAGTTGGAGCGGCGAAGGCTGATGTGAAATGTGTTATTGGTCATTAAGGTCTATTCTACGCTCGTATACTAGTATGTACATATTTACAGGTGGGTTCGTAAGCTTAGTCGTTGTTCCGTCATCGTCCTTACTACTCGTCACTAAGCTTACACCTAGTAAGTGTAGACAGGAGAAGTAGTGTTGGGGTACTGGCCAGAGCCGAAAGGGTTGGAAGCAGTGACCGCTTGGCCGTTGATGTCAGAGACACCGAACCAGGCCAGCTCCTTTCCGTTTACAACAGTGACGACAGCGAAAGCAGGAGCAGGCTGAGCAACGTATCCCCAAGAGACAGTGTAGTCGGAACATGCCTGGTTTGACCAGGACTCGGTAGCGGCGTCCTTGCCGGGCATGCGGATAACGGTGCAGCGTTCAGTCTTGCCGTTGGCCTCGATCTCGAAGTTGTAGTCGCAGCCAGTGTTGCCTTCACCGCAGTAGCGAGTTAGGCTGTTGAGGGCCCATGTCATATCAGTCTTCGTGGGGCTGGAACCTGGGGTGCCTGTGGGAGCCGGGACAGAGACTGATGGCTGAGCGGTGGGAGTAGGGCATGAGCCAGGGTGTGCTGGGTTGCATCCTACATCAAGTTAATTGGTGCTTCACGAGATCGTGCAGATCACTTACCTCCGGGAATGCCAGAAATCGAAGAGAATGAGGTGGGTGTGGGAGTAGCCGACGAGTAGGGCGTGCAAGACTCTGTCGACGTCGGCGCGGGAGTAGACTGCGTGCTGGTGCGAACGATGGTCGCGGTAGCAGTGGCGCAGAACGAGCGGATACGGTCGTTGTCTTCACCGAGACAGAATGTCGAGTCGCACCGACAGGCATCAATGGGAACACCGGAAGCGATGCAAGCGCGGTATGCGACCTGGCAGGGATTGTCGCTCTGGCGTTTGTCGAGAGGGCTTGCGGTGACCACGGAGGTCAAAGCGAGAGCGAGAGCGAGAGCCTTGGAGTACATCTTGGAGAGGTGTATTGATTTATGGTATGATGATTGTTTGGTCGGTTGTGTATTGACTAAGACTGACTGCAGGATCGAGTGACTGATGTTGGTGTAGATGGACATGAGATATAAAATGGTGCGCCACCAACCTTTATATATTGACTTGAGGTCTCATACAAGTCCAAAGTTTGGACACCATCATCACCGTACTCATGTCACTGCAAATGACGTCGATCCTCGTGTTTTGGGTCGAGGCTGGCGAGGGTCCAGCTTTGCGCGCTACTTCGCTAGTACCCGTGTATTGACTCTAAATTTGACTCTTCACCACTCCACTCGCCACCCGGAGCCGTGTCCGACTCGGAACCTGCGGCTCTGTAGAGGGATGCCGGGCCGTATTTGCTGCGCTGTCACGGTATCTTAGTGCCTTCCAGAATAACCCGGGGAGCAGGTCAAGTCACATGAGGGCGGTGGCAATGCGACTTTGGGCGTCATCGGGTCAGTTCGATAGACCGCTAATCGAGTAAAGCGACATCCGACAGCCCGACCACACTCGTGTCATGGCCAAAGCTTCAGATGCTCTCGTATCCGGCGTCTCTTGTCCGCAATCAGTCTAAAGTTAAGTTGTTAAAGCCTGCCAGCCTCCAACGTCACTCAACTCGTATACAACTTCGACTGGAAAGGAACTTTGCATCGGTTAAGAATGATCTTCGACGCCGGCATGCAAACTTGTCCGCGACTCAAGAGAGCTCAGATGACCAACTCGCCACGAATGCGAGCTGTTCCGCTGCCCAGATACGGATCCTGGTGATCTGTGGCCGGGATGGAGGTGCATCGACTCCACTGCTACAATACCGATATCACCAGAAATGGCTGAAGCTTGGGGGCAGGTGTGGACTCTGTGGAGATCGTCTGTGGGGCAGATCACCATATCGTGAATTTTTCAATACGTAGTCGAGTTATCTTTCATCTGCTGGGGTTTGTTATACAATGTTTCCTCGCTCACGATAAGCTCTGAGCCTGATCGGAAAAGCTCTGTCGGCGTATTTGCATGGCCCGCTCTTTACTGACCGGAGATCGCGATTGGGGTTGCGATACTCATGAGACCTCACCTCTGCCTGAAATTCATGGTTGTAATCCACGGATGGACAGTGAGGTTTGGTACACCGTGAATCACAGTGGCTGGGAACACGAGACGGGCCGTGCGCAATAGAGCAGTCGACTGTCGTCCAGTGGATCTGAGCAGAATCGCGAAATGGTCACGTAGCACCGTCGATAGGACTGCAGCATGCCGGACAGGTCTGCCGAGAGGTCAGAGAAAAAGTATTTGCATTCTGTTCTCGAGCACTAAACGAAAGTAGAAGAACTAGCGTATCCTTGAGGCATGACCTCACATCTAAACGGCGAGCAGAGCAAGTCCACCTAGCAGGCCAGCCATACCAGGCGATAGCCCGTATTTCTCTGCAGCACCTGTGAAGGGCTGAACGGTGTTTCTAGGCATTCCACCACTTCCACGGGCTGACGCTGTCCCTTTGGCGGTCGATGTTGCTCTGCCATCGACCATGAAGAAGTTGCCAGCCATGGGTGCACTGACTTTGTTCTTGGTCATAAAAGCGTTGATGTCGAAGTTGATCCGGGCCGATGTCTCGTTGAAGTCGGAGGCTTGGATTTTGAGGTCTGCAGGCTGCTGGAACAGTAGCTGAACGTAACGATGAGGGATGGTGTCTGTTGGCGGCGGGCTGGGGGGAATGTATGCTGCTGGTCCCTTTTCAGTCGATGTAAGTAGGGTGGCAGACCCGCCGATCTTCTGCTGTGTCGCCTTAAAGCCTGTGTTCACAGCGTGGAGTAGAACACGGCGCTTTGTGGTCCCTTGCATTGGCGGCACATCGAGGTCGAGCATGACGAACATATACGTCGCACTCGAGTTGGCCATTCTGCTTGATAGTGCAATCTTTGGCTGGCTTGCTGTTTCTGTACATTGTCAGCTGCGACTCCTTAATATGGCCTGTGTTTTCCATACCCGCTTTGGTAAGCATTTGGCCTGGTGTCATGACCATAGTCGAGTTGAAGAAGATGTCTAGCTTGTTGCTTGCTGATGGAGTAAAGCCTGAGGGTGTGACACTTTGCGCCTGCGCCAAGCTTGCCAGAGCTGCGATGAGGACTGATGACGTGAAAAGCATGTTGATGGAGATTAGATGAAAATGATGACTTGGGAAGATACTCTGAATCCGAAGCTGTATATAAGATGCAACATACAGTCAGTGCAGCACCTGACGGTGGATGGCCCGAATATATCAGCCGCGCATCATGCACGCGGCATCAAGCCGTCTGTATCGAAGCTGGCACTCGTCGTCGCACGCGCTCTGGAGTGCATATTCCCTTACACCCATGATTCGAGATCTTGAAACAGCTATCGCGTGAAGCCTCCACCGTAATCCTTGGCGACAGCGATGCTTCGTGGAGACGCACGGTGCAAACTGACTATCTCACGAAGTGTCAACATGCCAAACCTTTCTTCTGCGCTTATTCACCTCGATTTTTTTAATGGATTTTGGAGGCGGTTGTCCTCTCCGTGAGCACGGGTCGAGGTAAATGAATCCTGAGCTTCTGTGGTAGATCAGCCTAATATGAACTTTGTTGCGTCGAATATTCTATAGTATGAAGAGGGCACAAGTACAGCGGGAGCCCTTCGTGGTTGCGATTTGATGTTGCCGATGCCATGCGGCTCGACTTGCCAACGCGCACTTCGAGTCGGTGTTCGCGATGGAGGTCGAAACATGCACGTCTGAGACGCGACCTGTAATAGGCGTCAACGGCCTCGAATGCGAAACTTGACATGCGGAGGGTGTGCCCAATCTGTAGGGCGTGACAGTTTCAAGCTTTGAAGCCTTCGAGCCAGGCCACACATCGCAGCTAAGCATTCTTAGCTGGTTCACCAAGAAGATCCACCACCGCAAAGGAGCACTATGGAAGGCTACTCATCATTGCATCTAGAAGTGGGCTGCGACGCCAGCGACATGTTGTAACTTTGCACCTGGCCGCCGGCGTTGTGTGGTAGTCGAGGATTTGTTACAGATGGACGGGGTGAGACGCCGTGAGGCCACAAGGTTTGAACAACACTAGCAAATGGACCCCGAAATAATACCATCTAGGCTCCTCAAATGCAGTGCGGTCGAATGCCTGGTAAACTCACTTGTTGACGTTGGAGTGGAGGAGCCGCGGTAGTCAAAAGAAGCAAGCGTGCACGTGTTCTCGCGACTTAGCGCGGTGGCGACTTCTTCACTCGACGTAATCGACCAGGGTCGAGCACATCAACAATAGACAGGCTGTTTTCAACAACACCCCAGTCATTAGTCACGCTCGTATGTCTTGGCGGCGATCATCTGTGATGACCGACTCTGAGCCTAAGGCAGCGATTCTCAAGTTTGCGACATGCAAAAGCAAAAGCGAGACGGCATGTTGGCCACTCAGCTTTCGAATTCCGCCTGAAGCGCAGCATCAATCTCAGCAAGGTCTTGCAGCATTCAGCATCACTTCAACGAAGGAGAAGCCCAAGAAAACATGGTGGAGCCACCAGCTATACCGTGGACCAAACGATGAGCGAGTCCAGGTGCAATACAGCAAAACGAAAGCGGACTCTGAGATCCTGGCCAAGCAATTTTTGGACGAGAAGGTGGTCGGGTTCGACATGGAATGGCCATGGAATGACTGGAAGCTGGACAGACTCCAAAACAAAATCGGTCTCATACAGGTCGCTACGGAACACAAGATTGCACTCTTCCACATTGGTCTACACACAGGAAAGACAACCGACGACATTATAGCTCCATCGTTACGCAAACTGATTGAAAGTCCGACGATTGGGAAGATCGGCGTTGGCATACTCAACGCTGACTTTGCCCGGCTAAGCAGGTACTTCCAATTGCAACCGAAAGGAGCAGTTGAGCTAAGCCATCTACATCGCCTCGTCACCTTTGGCGGACGGAAGCCCGAGCTTGTCTCAACTAAGATGACAAGCCTCGCAAATCAAGTTGAACAACACCTCGGACATCCGCTTTTCAAGGGTGACGTGAGAACGTCCAACTGGAGCAAGCCGCTGTCCCGGGAGCAGATCGAATACGCTGCAGGAGATGCCTACGCTGGGATTATGCTGTACCACTACCTGAACTACAAGCGCCTCCAGATGGACCCTGTTCCGCCGATGCCCATACATGCGGAGAAATACATGGGCTTCAAACTTGCTGGAGTTGGCTCGCTCTATCTAGAGCCTGTAGAAGACGGCGGCAAAATTATGACCTCGGCATTCTTCTTCGGAGTCCCGACCGCGTTGGAAGATCTGTCTGAATCCAAAAAGGCAGGTGAGGTAAGGAGAGCTTCAAAGGTCTCCGAGTCTATGATCGAGACCAGGCCAACGACGATGCTGAGCGGCACACAGACGGACGTACAAGTCAAGGTCCGTCGAGTTGTAGAGGCAGATGTGTCTGATCTAGACACTACATCGTTAGCTCTCTATCAAGAGCTTCGCGAGTGGCGTGCAGATACCGCCGCTGATGGCAGATCTCGCATCAACAATACGGTCCTCTCCCAGCTCGCTGAACAGCGTCCCCTCACTTTCGAAGCCCTATTGAGAGTCAAAGGTCTCGGAAAGGTGACTCAGAAATCATATGGCAAACAGATGGTGGAGGTCATATTGTCTTTCATGAGCAAGAACGACATGGGCATACCCGGGTCCGTTGTCACTGCGCCATCCGAGACTACTCAAGCGACTTTGAGTGACGACGTCGAAAAAGTAGTGCTTCCCAGCACACCAGCCCACAGCTCCCTGCGTGCACAGAACCTACAACCGTCAACACCAGACTCGTCGCCTGCGTTTGGGACGCCACCATCACCGCGTACACGGCAACTACACACCGGACTGTCATTCACATTAGCAGAAACGAAGCTAGCGGTGGACTCGGACACGGAAGACAGCCTAGCATCACTTGACTTCGGCTCACCTCCCTCAAAGCGGAGGACGTCAGGCCAGAAGCGCAAACGAAACGACAGTCTAACTAAGAATGCACCTTGCAGCTCGCAAAAGCTGCAAGAAGTGATCAGCCCATTTCCGTACGAGGAAGGCGATTCCGAGAGCAGAATATGGCGGCTCGTAGACACCACGCCGTCGCCTAATGCTGCAGCAGCCGGCGCACTCACGCCTCGGTCCAAGATGTTTCACAACAAGCTCATGGCTTTCAGCAGGCTTGTCGCGACCAAGAAGCGAGCGCAGCCGGAGTCGATCGTGTCGGCCGCGACGCTCGAAGCCATCGCACGGAACCCACCGCAGACGCACGACGAACTCCGGCGGGTACCGGGGATTGAGGCATTCTTCCTGGCGTGCGTCGATGTCGATGTGGATCTGCTTGCGAAGATCCGGAGGTTTGCGCCTGAGGGGAGGGTGTGAGATGCACTGCTTTGATAATTTCTCCAAAGAATCCAATTTGCTCTAGAGCTACGCCGCTTCCGTTTTGCAGACACAGCTAGACACAATCACGTGACTCTGGAGTGAGACATACCTACCATACTTCCTTGGCCGCAGTGGATCAATTGTCGCCATGGGACGCGCACCGATCCCCAAGTGCGGTGGACGAAGTCCTTACAAGTCATCTCCAGCCGCGCACTGCGCCCCGGCTGCCTTTCAAAGTCCGCACACCACCCGGTGTTTTGCCTGGTGCGCCAGATGACGTGTTGTCTGGATAGCCTCTGGACGCTGGGATGTGTACATGGCCGTCTTCATTGGGTCTTCGCCGGCGGCTGTGCGCTCGGGGGCGCTTACTGGGATCTCATGTTGGAGGGGCTGAGGAGCAGGGTTAATTGCATACGCTGAGCGACTGGTTGGAGGCTTTCCAGCAAGCTCAGATGTGCATGGAAGGATTTTGCTTCACGTGCCATTTCACGTGCGTAGCCATATCAAGTCAGCAGCCTTGCTCATCAAGATGATGCAACTAGAACCTATAAGAGTGTTTCTACAGAGCAGTTTACCATGGCGCAGAAACATGGAAGGAGTGACTAGCCGCGAGTACAAATGAATGAATCGGATAAACGGTTCAGGGATAGATGGGGAAATTAACACCGCCGAGGCAGAGCTCGAGTCCGACCTTTTCAAGGGAAACGCGGATTTTGTTCCGGCTGCGGAGTCTGCTCAGGAATATCTGAAGCCTGAAGCTGCCATCGTTTTGCAGCCACTTGCTGGGTACTGCGGCCAGCTGGCCCAGTGCTAGACTGAGCATGGTTGCAAGTGGCAATAGGATGGAGATGCTTGACAAGGTATCGGCAGATACAGGGCTCGAGGGATTTGTTCGGTTTTGGCTCCGGAGACAAGGGCTGGTGTTCTGGAGGGTGTCGCGTTGGATTGACAGAGACATGTGCCAGGTGAAGGTGACATAGTGACACTTTTTGATACCAACTGCATCAACTACTCCATCCACGCAACCCCAGCTCATCAGTTGACAGTGAGCCGAGCAATCACTTCACAAACGCACTCGCCGCCCCTTGGCGATGCGCAACCTGCCTCAACAACGGACTGCTACTGGATCTTGTGGCTCTTGCTTATAGCAGTAGCCGTCACGGTGGCCTGGTGGTCCTACAGACTGGCCTACAGCAATGCACTGCTTGCAGGCGCGGGCGTTTCCGGATTTCTCTACGCAGCCACACAAAACGATACCAGGATTGTGAAATCGCTACTCGCAGCCGCTGTTGTCGGCTACCTACTTTTTTCACATCAGCTACTGCAGCAGCACCAGCTCGGTAGACGAGCTTGGGTACCTGTTCTTCCTGCAGCGGCATCAGCTCGGTAGACGAGCTTGGGTACCTGTTCTTCCTGCAGCGGCATCAGCTCGGTAGACGAGCTTGGGTACCTGTTCTTCCCAACGACTGTGCTGTTTACCGTCATATCCTTTGGACTGCTGTCTATCACGTCCGGGTCGGGTTCCCTGTGGGTCGAGGGGACGGGATTGGGTCGTGTCTGGTCGCTGATTCCATTGCACCTTGCAGTTGTGGCGATTCTGGCTTGGCTCGTCAGGATGGGACATGCAGGAACCCGTCGTACAAAAGGTCCCCTCCTACCCACGTCAACACGCAGTCGTGGCGCTGTGGAGTTGCCCTCGGCCCACGTTGTTGGTTCGCAGCCGCCGGTGAGGCGCGGTACCGTAGAAGCAGAGAGCACATGTTGAACGGAGGATGGGGCGGATACGCGCAGATAAGCTGCACATGTCGAACGGAGGACGGGGCGGATGCGCGCAGATAAGGTGCACATGTCGAATGGAGGATACTCGCAGATATAAGCTGGAGATGCGTTGGCGTGTTAGTGGACCCTGCGTCTTGTGCAGCAGCAGCAAGAGGTGGACTGTTTCTCGCTGGGCATACATCGTTGTCAATATGAAAATCGTTCAAGCCTTGATCAAGGCCGTACTTTATTCGACTTGATTAAGGCTGTACTGTATTCGACTTGGTCTCTCTATTAGCATAAAATCAGTAGCCGGCCCCATGTTGTACGTCGGGCAGGTAGTGGGCGGTTGCTCCTCTCTCGCTGCCTTGAGCTCGAAGCTCTCCGTTTCAGGTTAGGCCAGGCAGTGGCAGAACCTTGATGTTCTGCCACCGCTTTGATTATGCCATCTTGAACTACAAATCAGATTTCACGCTGTGGCAGACAGCACTGACATGGTTATTTACATTGGACATGGTTATTTACATTGGACATGGTTATTTACATTAGACAGTTATTCACATTAGACATGGTTATTTACATTAGACATGGTTATTTACATTAGACAGTTATTCACATTAGACATGGATATTTACATCAGACACAGCTATCCACATCAGACACAGCTATCCACATCAGACACAGCTATTCACATCAGACACAGTTATTCACATCAGACATGCTTGTCTCCGCCCGAGGAGGCGGGGCTGCATCGGTAGTGCAGCGTGCAGTCGGCGTGTTGTGACGGACGTAGTGAGCATCTGCTTGGCGGAGTATTCGACTCCCTGTGCGCTGGGAGACTTGGATGATGATCGCACGTGGAAAGGGGACATGGCTCGCGCTGATTGGCCAATGGCTCGCTCTCGACAGACGCAGAAAAGTGGGGCGTATCGTGAGATTGCGCTGGATGCCGCACCCTCATCCACACGCAATCGCAGCGCATCTCGTATGCAGCGTCTGCTGCGGCGGCAGTGGGCCTCGCGCTGTTGAGCCGAGGAGCGCTGCAGTCGTTGCGCGCGACGGACGAGGGCTGCGGCGTGTGTCGGCGCATCAGCGGCCGACTGTCTCGGCGCCACTTTCTTCACGACCGGGTTCGCGTCAGGGCTGCGGGGGAGCGCATATAGCTTCCCCCCCTCGGCGAGGCGTGATCTCCCGGCAGAAAATGATGGCGTCGGCACTGCGTGTGTTGCGGACGGCCAGCAGCCCGCTGTGCCGTCTGCATGTTTGGAGGGCACTCTGACGCTCTGCTGCTCTGGCACTCTGCTGCTCCGACGCTCTGCTGCTCTGACGCTCTGCTGCTCTGACGCTCTGACGCTCCGACGCTCCGACGCTCTGACGCTCTGCGGCTCTGACGCTCTGCGAGGGTGCGCCGTGCTGTGCGGTCGCACACGTCTCGCGGTCCCATTGCGTCGCTTAGACGCTGGACCCGTAGCGACGCGCACTGGATTGGGCGGCCGTCGCACTCGGAATTGCGCACGACTAGCGGTGTTTAGAGCGCTGGGTGGCGGCCGGATCGTCGCGACATGTGATGCGGGCGTAGTGTGGCATGTGAGAATCGCGGCTTTGTGAGGGCCAGTAGCAGGCCATCGTCGCTCCTCTGCACATTCTGCTTGCTTGCTCCTATTCATCCACTGCCCGTTTCGCTCGCACTGCCCGTTTCGCTCGCACTGCCCGCTGCGCTCGCACTGCCCGACCGTCCGCCCCAGCACCCGACAGCTCTCGACACCCGACAGCTCTCGACACCCGACGGCTCTCGACCACCGACGGCTCTCGACAGCAGACGGCGCCCCGCGCGACTCGCAGCGGCGGCGGACCCTTTTTCTCCCGACGCCGTTGCTGAGATATTCCCCGTCCGCTCGATCCCCCTCCCGCCCACCGCACGACGGGCAGCGGCAACCACGCGCCGACTTGGTCGTGAAGAGTGTCTGGCGGACGGCCGGACGGCCGCGACCATGCAGGAGGAACGGCAGCGCGCTCCTCCCCCAGCATATGTGCAGCACGCGCCCGAGAGCGTCCAGCTGCCGAGCGTGCCCACGCATGCGCCGACCCGCCAGGCGTGCGGCAGGCTGCCGGGCATCCAGGCGCTCGACCTGCCCGCGCCGTTTGTCGACGTCGGCAGCCCCATGGACACGGCGAGCGTGCGGAGCGAGACGAGCGTGACCATGGACGACCCCGACGTGCGTCTGGCGGCCGAGGCGCTGAGCGGACTGGGCAATCCAGGTGCGTCGCGGGCCTGTCGCGCACACACTGGCGCCGTACTGACGTCGCACGCAGACTTTGTGCGCTCCCCGACGACGCGGTCGCCCACCGCTGAGCCGCCGCAGCCGATGCTCTCGCTGCTGACGTCGAACCACCCCTGGCTCGGCGGCACCATCAGCGGGTCGCTCGCGGCGTACAACCTCACCAAAGACTACTCGCCGCGCTTCGTCAAGTACGGCGCCGAGCTGGTCGAGCGCAACGTCGGCTCGCCCGTCGTCAACACCGTGTCCTCGGTCGGCCGCCGCACCGGCATGGAGGAGAACCTGCGGCGCTACCTGGGCGAGCAGCGCCGCGGCCCGTCGGACGTTGAGCAGGGCGAGCTGCACCGCCGCCCGTCGGACGTCGAGCACGCTCCGCGCAAGCGGCAGCGCGCGGCCAGCCCCGGGCCCGAGGCCATGCAGGTCGACTCGCGCACGTCGTCCCGCACGCGCGCCGGCTCGCAGTCGTCGTGCGCCGAGTCGCTCCCCGCCTACGACGACCAGCGGTCGCCCAGCTACGAGGAAGAGGCCGTCGTGGGCGACTCGTCGGCCCCCGCGACGGCCAAGGACGCTGGGCGGCGGCAGCAGCCCTCGGCGGTGCAGGACCGCCGCGTCGCATGGTCCACACAGCTCATCATGACCACGTCCGGCCTCGGCGTGGCCCTCTCCGCCGCCTCGCTGCGCTCGCTGAAGCAGTGTCTGCACCTCCTGCGCGGCGCCACAACGCACATTGACGGCGTCATGCACGCGCTGAAGCTGCTGCTCGCCGAGTACGAAGCGGCCCTGCGCCACCAGCGCTCCTCCGACGGCGGCGACGGCGGCGGCGGCGGCGACGGCGAGCCCGAAGGCGAGCGCGCGGACCACGACGTCCGCGCGCTCGCGGCCAGGATCAAGACGCTGAGCAGCGACATCTGGCAGACGCTGCAGGGCGTCGTGCAGTCCGTCTCGCGCTACACCGGCGGCGCCCTCCCGCAAAACGCCTCCCAGGTCGTGCGCACGCAGCTGCTCTCGGTGCCGCAGCGCTGGCAGCTCGCCGCCCGCCGCACCGCCAGCGCGCCGCCCGACGAGGAGTCGGGCGGGGCCGAGGCCGTGCGCGGCGCCAACCGCATGCTCGCCTTTGCCATTGAGGGGCTGGACATGATGGGCCAGATCACCACCGTCGTCGATGGCACCGTGCGCAGCGCCGAGTCCTGGCTCGCCTCCATTGGGCGTCCGCCGCGCCAGGACCGCGCGGGGCCTGCGGACAAGACGGCGGCTGGCCGGCGCGCGTCGGACGCCTTTTCTGCCGACCAGAAGCGGTAGTTGGCCGGCGGACCAGGAGCGGTGGTTGGCCGGCGGACCAGGAGCGGTGGTTGGCCGGCGACGCTGCAGCGCATGCCCGGAGGTTTTCTTTGTCCCTGTCTGCTCAGCGAGGCGCTGTGGTGCTGCTTGTGCGTGTCGCGCGGGTGCTATGTACACTGTCCCTTCCTAGACGGCTTTTTCTTCTCCATTCTTCTCTTCTCGTGCGGCCTGGAGTTCGGAGAGGGTTGTGAAAAGCGAAGCAGCTTGTTCGTTCAATATACCATTCCCATTGTCCTGTTGACACACCTTTTGTGCCGTTGGATGGTGCAGCTCTGCCATCGCCATTCATGTGTCTGGGGCTCTCGAGTGATGCGAATGTTCTTCTGCTGCTGTGTGCATGCTCTCTGCTGTGTGCATACTCTCTGCTCTGTACATACTCCCTGCCGTGTACATACTCTCTGCTCTGTACATGCTCTCTGCCGTGTACATGCTCTCTGCTCTGTACATGCTCTCTGCTCTGTACATGCTCTCTGCTCTGTACATACTCTCTGCCGTGTACATACTCCCTGCTGTGTACATGCTCTCTGCTCTGTACATACTCTCTGACGTGTACATACTCCCTGCTGTGTACATACTCTCTGCCGTGTACATACTCTCTGCTCTGTACATACTCCCTGCTGTGTACATGCCCTCTGACGTGACCATCACCACACGATCCCCATGCCCACGCTCATCGAGCTCAACACGACAGCGCCACACACGACAATCGCCGTCCACCCATCACCACCCGGTCTCAACCCCGCAGCGGCATCCGGGCTCGCACTCGCACTCGCACTCGAGCTCGCCGCTTCATCCTCCGTGCCGCTGGGATTCGCGTCGCCACCACCCGTCTGCTGGTCCTTTGTCGTCACACTCCCACTCACACACGCGCCCTCGTCCAGCGCGCCGCCATTCCCCCACGCGACCTCAGCCGTCTTCGCCCACAGACTGGTCACGTTCAGATACATATCCGGCTGGTACCAGATGCGACAACTCGCCGTATCATTGAGGAACTGCGTCGGCACGCCAGCACCCTCCTTGCCCTTCCTGATGTTGTCCTGGAAATTGACGCTCGCATCCGACACGGCGATGGCGAACGGATTCGGTACGAACCGCGCCCATTCGCGCGCCTGCGCTCTGTTGTCTGCAAACGTCGCGACTACGTATTGTGCCAGCGCTTGCAGGAATTCAGACGGCGTGACGAGCGTCCCCTTTGTGCCGCCGACGGGTACCATGGGGCCCGGTGAGGGACGCCCGCCGACCGCGATGGTGCGCACGCCTGATTGCTGGACCATGAGCTCGAGGAAGATGGCGCACGTGGACGCGCAGATGCCGTCGGACAAGATGACCATGTCCTCGGCGCGGAAGGGGGGGGTCGTGATGTCTGCGCGGTTGCCGTATCCTGTTACTGTGATGCCGATGGCCAGGCTCTCGCTGCTGGTTGTCAAGGGGTCGGAGAGGTTGTAGCGCAGCAGGCTTGTGAACTTGTCGTTGTGGTGCCGCACGGGCGGGTACATGTCCGACCAGGAGCCGAACTCGTTGCCCTCGGCGTCCATCCAGGATGCTTTGCTGAAGGGGCTGACGTACAGGTTGGCGTTCAGAGTCGTCAACGTGTTGAACGACGAGATGGATTCGCCGTAGATTTCACTCGCTGCGTGCCCGCGCCAGCGCGACTGCGTCTGTGGCTCTTGGTCCGGGAAGAACTGCTTGTACATGTCGTAGCCGGACAGGACTTTTCCGCCGCCGTTCTGGCGCACGTCGATGACGATACGGCTGACGCCGCGGGACTGCGCAGAGGAAATAAAGTCGTCGGTGACTTCCTGGAACTCTTGCGCACCAGCTACATCGTCTGTGTTGAAGGTGCCTACAACCAAGACGCCAACCTCGCCGGCACCCGTGCTCACAAAGTAGCCTGCGAGCGGCACGCGATCGGCCGAGTGAGCTACTGCCGGGCTGGGGTAGTTCAACGGAGCGGATCCCTGCTGGATCGAGTTGTAGCCTTGCATCTCATGGTCGCGAGGGTTGTCGAGGTGGAACGGTATCGCATTCGGGTCCCGCTTCTTTGCCTTTGTCCCCGATGAGCTGCTCGTTGAGGGTGTAATGTACACCGAGTAGAAGTCGTCTGGGCTAGAGATGCTTGGCCACGTCTCCGGCTGCAGTATCACGGCTGCGTTCAGATATTCCCTAGTGGTTCCGTTCTGGTATGTGACGCTCGTAGTGGGTCCCGGGTAGAACCTTGGGCTCGTGAACAATCCGTATGCCTCGGCGCTGGACATGAAAAACAATGCGTTGTACCTAGTGTCAGGGTCGTGGTAGGCGTTTCTCAACGCTTCCGCTTGGAGGAATTGCTGCACGTCCTGCCCGTCAATCTGCGTGATCGGAGATGGTTCGTAGCCAGTTTGGGAAGCATTGAAGTCTCTGATGGACCAGACCTCAGGGACAGCGCTTCCGTCTCTTGATGCAGAGACCAAGGCGATGTTGAGATTCCTTCGCCACCGGAAAGCGCCGCCATATGCCATGCCATTGAACGCCAGATGTCCATCGTGGGCCTTGATGAACAGTTCCGCAATGTCGTTCTCAAAATCATACTCGTTCGTGTACGTGCCGTCGTTGACTTTGGAAGCAATGTCATCTAGTCCAGCAAGGAGGTCTACAGGTTCATTAGGCCAGCCAGTGGGCGGTTCTTTGAGGTATGTTAATGTCGACTGAAATTCAACCATCTGCTTGATCGAGGTGACTGTGAAGTTCGCTTCGTCTGTACTTATGGGAACAGACTTGAGACATGCATACGCTAGCTACGATACGATCAGCTTTTTGAGCTCAGAGCATTTGACTTCTGTTTGGTATGGTACCCACCTCGGCATTTACGCTTGGGAAGCGTGATCGCGAGCCGGAGACGAGATTTGCAACTTCTGCGCACGCCTGACCTGTTTCTATCGGCCCCGACGCCGTCTCTGTTGCTGTTGGCTGTACATCTTCTATCGACGAGACTCGACGTGTGGTTGTGACCAGAAAAGATTGCGACTGGGCTTGAACTGAAGCAGCGACCGCGATGATTGCGAGGAAAAGTTGGGAAGACCTCATACTCATTCGTAAACAGGACGGGCTTGTCGATCGTGTACGCTTTCAAATGCGGGTAACCGTCTCTTATTACAGTGTATTCAGGCCCCCGTCCAAGATTATCTTCACCGGGACAAACAGCGCGCAGCAGACAGGCACCGGGATTGCAAAAACAAAAATCAGCGTCAAATTCTAGCGACGCAGGGCGCATCGCACTTAACATCTTCCCGCACCGTTGCCTGAGAGCCTTACCGCAGCATCCTCGTATACGTCGGCCAACGCACACCAAACTTGGAAGTGCTAGGCTTGTGGGTTACAAGAGCCGCCGCCTTTATCTCTTTGAGACATAGGAACGGCGATCAGCAAACGATGGCACGAATTGGGGCGCCACATGCACGTTGCAATGTGCACTTGTGGAGGGCCAAGACACCAGCTGAGCCAGCTACTGAACCTCGGGTGCTGCTGGAGCTCTTGGAAGACGGCGTTAGTGTGCGATGGTGTGCGTGGCTGTGCGGATCCTTTCGAAGCAAGCTAGGCACCATTGAATACTTGGAGCATTGGAGGTGACGACATGCATTTTGCGTGCGATGGAAAGATTGATGCTCGAACACAAGAGGCGGCTGAGGCACGAGGTACCGTGAGGTGTGGCTTTAGCGCGTCGATCTGATTGGCGCTGAGTGACCTGTCACACATTTGTCTCGATCGGCAGGTACAAGCCGACCTCAGCCCGTCCACAGCACAGTTTAAGACTGCTAAATTTGGAAGGTGCACAGCTTGCATGAATGTGCTTGCAGATGCAGAGTTGTGGCTGTTGTCGCGCGGCTGATCGACGTGGCTCTGACACATGCAGTCCTCACTCTTTCGATTGAGGCATGGACGGCAGCCCACCACTTATGCTCACATCGTTGACAAGAGATAGAAGCAGCAAAAATTCTCGACTACAGGTCGAACCTCACTCGAATTTACGAATGTGTTGAACAGAGCCGGCCCTGACCCAGGATTGCGCAATCGACCTCCGCAAAAGCGTAATAAACTCCAGCACGATACAAAGCAGGATGCAACCCTATTCTACCAAAAGCGCCAGTCAGTACCTGAGCAGCGGAGCAGAATCCTAACAGCAACGACAACAGCAAACAACAATGTTACAGCCCACCACAGCCTGGCACAAATCCGCTCTTCACACAAGTACATGCAAATCCCAAGCCAACGATCGGACTTCACAAGAGCAACCTGCACCAGGCCCTAACACCTACACTCTAGCCGAGCGCTTCCCCTACTCCGCCATAACCTAACACTCCTGTCCACCCCCTACTCGTCCACGCATGCCGCTGCACCTCCTGTCAGCGCTCCACCTGTCCTTCGCCCTGATAGAGGGATGTTAGGCTAGGTTATTTGGGGGATTGGAGGCTCTCACGAAGCAAAATCAGAACGTGAGCGCATTTTCAGCATCAAGGGAAGTCTAGGTTTGATCAGGAGTGGGAGATCAGAGTTTGAATGGTGTTGATAGCTCTGGCCTCACTGGAGCAATCAGCCTCCGTACTCGGTGCTTATCCTCGCTAGCCCTTGTCTCCACTGTACTGCCAAGAGACCTCTTCAATGCACTTAAGTTCAGGCTGGCGGATGGCCTGACCAGTGACGACATTCTAGATGTCAACGTGTTCGACCTGAGATAAATACTTACGCCGTAATCGATTCATCTCTTCCTCTCGTGCATGACCGTGAGCTGGTCGTCTAGCCACGTACTCGCCTCGTCCAGAGCTCTCTGCGGCTCTTGCTTTCGTGTGAGGAGATAGCCCTGGATGGCGGCGGGCGAGAAGACGCCCTCTGGCAATTTGTCTGCGAAGTCTTGGGCCATTTGTCTTAGAGCAGCCTTGTCGAGGGTCTGACTGACAGGCTTCTTGAACAGTAAATCCTCAACAGCACCCCCCTCATCCTCGTCCTCATTCAAGCTCTCCGTATCGCTGCGTTCCGGCTTCGACGAAGGCTTCGGATTCGCGTCCACAACGTCGCTTTGTGAGAGCGATGTGCACACATCAGCCCCGTACATGCGCCTGAATATGTCCCTGATCTGAGTGCGCGTCGCGAGCGTGAACGGAATGCGGATATCCACGCGTCCCGGGCGCGTGAGCGCGTCGTCGAGGGTCTCAAGGCGATTCGTGGTCATGATGAGCACGCGGCCTTCATGTGACGCGACGCCGTCGATGACATTGAGTAAGCCCGCGAGACTGATGAGGCTCTTGCGCGGGCCTGGGCGGTCGCTTGCTGTTGGTGCTTTCGAGCCGGGGACGGTGGGCGAGGCGGGTTCGGGCGCGGGCTCGTCGTCGCGACGTAGGCCTGCGGAGTCGATGTCTTCGAGCAGCACGATGCAGCGACGGGGGAGCTCGTTGAAGAGCTTGTTCAGGTCTGCTTCGCTGAGGCCGACTTCGCTAAGCGAGATACAGTAGATGTGCAGTCCGAAGATGCCGGCGAGCGCGAAGGAGAGCGAGGTCTTGCCTGTTCCTGGAGGGCCGTGGAACAGGTAGCCCCTTCGATACGGAATGCCGCGTGCGTTGTACCAGCGTCTGGTCTTGGGCTGGAGGTATTCGTTGATGTCGCTGACGATGATCTTTTTTTGCTCGCGGCCCAGCGACACTGTGCGCATCGGTCGAGATGCGCGGTTCGATTGTCTGTTCCACGTGGTATCGCCGCTGTTCTCTATCTTGGGCGAGGGTCGGTATATGCTCGTGGTTTGGTCTTCGTCCTTCAGAGTGCATTGTCTGATGTGAAGGAGGAGGTCTTTGATGGGTTTTGTGCTTCGGCCGTTGCACCGGATAGTCATGAACTCGGCCCACTGCTCTCCCCACCAGGCGTTCTTCTTGTCTTTTCTCTCTCTGGTTAGATAGTAGGTGCGGCCTCCATGCACAAACCTGACCACCCCGTAGTTGGTTTCATAACGCGGGGGCACATTGCTCACCCATTTCCCATAGTTGAAAATGCCATGTTTGCCCGACTTGTCGTCAGAGTAATCGGGATCATCTCCGGAGTCGTACTGCGCACCTCGCGACTTTGTCTGCGCTCTGAGGTTTCTACTGATCCTCGTCATCCGCTGTTGTGTGGCCCATTTCATGACATCTCGGTAAATCTCGTCATCACCGTCGATGGATACCGACGATGTGAAATAGCGATCGAAATATGAGTGAATGTATGAGTTGCAGAAAGAGACAGTATGCGAGAGACAGAAAATGACAACCAAGCCAGACACAACAAGACCTATGTCAACACCAAATAGACGCAGGATGATCTGTGAAATGATACCATACCCAGGAACAAAGCTTTCCAAGAAGGTGGATGGAAGGCTAGTTGTGGAGGTATTCGATGCCAGGAAGTCCGGTCCTAGCTGATATAGTCGTGAGAAATCCATGTCTGCGAGTATGCAACAAGAATGCAGAGAGGCTAAGTGAGGAGAAACAGAACGTATTTTTAGCGACGAAGGGACCAGGTGACTTCCTGAGCATCATGAGACGGGCGCGAGACTGGCCTTATGGTGCACGGTAAGCGCCAGTGACAGTTATATCAACCACGTTCTCCAGGCAGCTGAAGACATGGTCGTTCTCAGCTTTAGCGCTTCGATATCTGGCAGCCATCGCGATCATGGTGTAGGACAGAGTTTGGATGTTGAGGGCGGTGCCATGAGTGCAGGCTGTGTCAGCGTCGATTGGTTGTGGCTGAGTGGCTGTGCGACGCCGCAGATGCGACCGACTGCAACGTGCAGCAACAGCGACCAGCTTGCCCACCTCCACGCCCCCTGTGACGATGTTATGATCTTTAGCGATTTGTTTGCGTACGACGACATCTAGACACCGCCATGGACGATCTCAATGGCCTTGATTGGTCACAGCCCGCCAAACAGCCGGCAGGCACCCCCGCGGCGTTTCCTCCCTTCCGCCAGAACCACACGCCGCAGCTCTCTGGCCGCTCTACACCTCTGTCTGGGCTATCTGGGCTGTCTGGGCAATCGGGACAGCAGTCTGGAGGTGCACAGCAGGCCAAGCCGTTCAAAGCGCTCTCGAAACCCGCGACCCCCGCGAACGACAGCTTCGCAGGCTTAGTCTCGAGCAAGAGCACGAAGCCTGCGGGAAGTGGCCTCTCGTTGCAGGAACGGCAAAAGCAGCTGCAGGAGGAGAAGCTACGGCAGGAGGCAGAGCGGAGGAAGCAATATGACGCGAGCTTTGGGGGTGCCGATTCGCAGTTCTGGAATAATGTAGGGACCGGGAAGAGCACGCCAGAGCCCTCGACGTTGGGTGTCATTCCTCCGCCTGGCTCGAACAACCCCTTTAGCAAGCAGACGCTGTCGCAAACTATCAACAGGCCATTTGCCGGCCTCGACACCACCTCGACGCGCCCCATACAATCTCCTCCCGGTGAGGACGACCTGCTCGCGGCCTTTAATAAAGCAGCCCCAGTCGACAGGTCGAGCCACTTCCCTCCTCCTTCCAATGGCAGCGGCCGAAGCACTCCGGTCTTCAGCGCAACCGCTTCGAGGGGCCACACGCCTCTTCCACAGTCGTCCAATTTGAACGCTTTCGCAGACGCTGCCGACGACGACGACATGTTCGGACTCAAGCAGATGGCTCAGAAGTCAGCTTCACCGGCTCCACCGCCACCCACCAGCGCCGACGATGACGACATACTCGGGCTGCTGGGGAAGCCTGTCGAGGAGTTCAAGAGGGAAGAGCCAAGGCTAGTGACAGAGGAGCGACAACCGGAGGCACCGCGAGAGAGATCCTCGAGTCCCATGAACGCCCACGACAGGGCTGTTGCTGAACTCGTAGACATGGGGTTCTCAGCAGATCAATCTGCCATTGCACTTGCGACCACCGATTCCGGACTCGACGTACAAGCGGCTGTAGGGTATATCCTGAACCAAGCGCACGCAAAGACCAAGCAAAGATCACAAGAGCCGAGCCGAGACAGCTCGCGGCGAAGGCCTGATGAGTTTGAGGACCGCCCCAGACGAGGCAACAGCAGACCCGGTGCCAGGGAGGGAAGGGGCAATGAGCCCGTGCCGGCTTGGGCGCGGGGTGATGATGCCCGCAGCCGCTCTGGCCAGCGTCGACATAACGGGCAACAGCAAGAGAAGGACGTCGCACAGGTTGCCTCAGAGATCGGAAGCAACCTGTTCAAGTCGGCCAACTCGCTGTGGAAGCAAGGTCGCAAACAGGTGCAGAAGGCTGTGTCTGACTTCCAGCAAGATGGTGGTGATCCGAACATGCCGAAATGGATGCGTGATGCACAGGCAGCTGAGGCAGCTCCAAAGACAACCAGACCGCAACGCAACGACGCTAGCGCAACTGACGAAGCCATGATGCTAGAAGCCGGAGGACGTCCCAGCAAGCCGGCTCGTCAGAGCCAGCGACCTGACGAACTGCCTGTGCGGCAGAGGCGAGAGCAGGAAATGTCTCGTAACGGCCTGCCTGACAGGATGTCTTCACAATCTCCGGCGCAGTGCCAGCCTACACCGAGCTTTGCAAAGAGGCCTGCAGCGCGTTTGACTAGGCAAGACCTGGAAGAGCAAAGCGCTCAAGCATATGTCAGCCCTGCGCGCCGGAAGAATGCAACACCACAGCCTCAGCCGGAAGTCGATCTGTTCTCACCCGAGCCAACACCGTCAGCACCTAAAGTGCGCCAATCAGTGACGACTCAGTCGAACAACCCCTTCCTTCAGACATCCTCAACACCCAAAACACGAACGCCCGCTCGCACACCATCTCCGCCTAGACCGAAAGCACCACCTCGGAGAATACCCCCTGCCCCTTCATCTGCACTCAGCACATCTGCTAGGGACCGTCAGAAGGGGTCAGAGGCTTTCAAGCGTGGTGATTATTCCGCTGCTCATATCGCCTACACGTCTGCTTTGGGACCCCTGCCTGATACACATCCGGTCACCATCATCGTACTCTGCAACCGAGCTGTGACTAACATCAAAGTCGGGGATCCGAAAGCAGCAATCGTAGATGCCGATGCTGCTTTGGCCATTATTGGTGTCTCCAAAGGTGATGGCGAGAAGATAGCGTCGGGCGGCGCCGAAGGCGACAAAGACATGAAAGAGTTCTACGGCAAGGCGCTGATGCGCAAAGCCGAGGCTCTCGAGCACATGGAGAAATGGGCGGATGCGCACAAGGTCTGGAAATTGGCTGTTCAAGATGGAGTCGGCGGTGCAGTCAGTATCTCTGGTCGTAACCGGTGCGAAAAGGCGGCCGCTGGCGGTAACAATGATTCCACGCCACCACCTGTCAAGCGCCCGCCTGTCCGGAAGCCAGCGTTGAAGCCCTCTGCGATGTCAGATCTTGGTGGCAATGCGCCTGATTCGGAGGCTGTAAAGAGGCTGAAGCTTGCTAACGCGGCAGCTGAGAAGGCCGACGATGAGAAGTTCGCTCTTGCTGATCAGGTCGACGCGAAGCTCGTGGCATGGAAGGGTGGCAAGACTGACAATCTACGCGCGCTCCTCGGATCTTTGGACAATGTGCTCTGGCCTGAGGCGGGGTGGAAGAAGGTCGGCATGGGTGATCTTGTGATGCCGAACAAGGTCAAGATCAATTACATGAAGGCGATTGCCAAGGTGCATCCTGATAAGGTATGTCAGATTCAGAGCTTCGCTACACTCAATTGCTGATACACTTAACAGATTCCTCAATCTGCCACCACAGAGCAGAAGATGATTAGCGCATCTGTATTTGCGACACTGAACGAGGCTTGGGACAAGTTCAAGGCCGACAACAATCTCTGATCCCAGTCGGATCGAGGGCCATCGAGTCATACGGAAGATGCGCGCCATAGGAAGCGTGCCTTGAGTCTTCATGAGCTGGAAACATATAGACGCATGATACCTACCTTCAATCTACTTGTTCTGGCTGATTCTCAGCGATTGCACGTGATGCGGCTCAGTCCTGGTCGCATTGTGCCTTACAGCTTACCCCGGATCTTGGCATTACCAACCGCTCGCGACTTTTCATCTGTGCAGTCATCGCAGCACGAGCCATTGACAAGCCAACTTCATCACACTCATCAATGATTCCAAAACACTATCTCATCGGACTGTGAAGGAGAGTTTCTTTCCATTGCTCCGACACTGAAATAAGCATCCGCAAAAGAAGGAAGCTCGGTCACAGTCATTTCTTTAAGCACGCGCCATTTTCGTTCCAGGACGCAACCAGCCTCTTCTCACTTACTACCACTACCGTGGTAAACTACCACAACCTACACTCGAAGACATATCTCGACGTGCCCGACACCGTTTATCTTTTGAATAACACGATTAGGCGCGACTGACCTTGCCTGTGGCTGAAAGAGAAGGAGCAATCGAGGGCTGAGTGTGCGCATACGTCATAGGCAAAATGTTTCCACCATCACAAGGCCTGCGGCTGGACATCGATGCAATCAGCCAGATTTTTGGTTCAATCAGTATTGCTTGTTGGATAGGTCAGTTTTCTTCCGTTTCACTGTTAAACGCACAGACTTGCGGTGTTGCTGCTGCATACGCATACTGAAAGGCCGCACGCTCACCGAATCGCAGTGGTCTTCTCACCTCAAATCATCGAAAACTGGAGGAGGGGTTCCGCCGAAGGCCTCTCGGTCGTTTTCATTATAATATGGCTTCTCGGTGACTTCTTCAATATCTTCGGCGCCGTCCTTCAGGGCGTGCTGCCCACCATGACTATCCTGGCCGTATACTACACCCTGGCCGACATCGTCCTCCTGCTCCAATGCTTTTGGTACAAGGGTTTCACGCTCCGCGACATAGTCAACAAGCCCGGCGACGAGTCGACTGATACCGGCTCCCCCGTGAGCGAGGACGAGCCCCTCCTGTCTGACTGCCGCCAAAACGGCGCCTCATACGCCAGCGTCGTTGCCAACGGCCACTCCAACGGCCACCCACCCCGCATCTCAGACGCAGACCGCCGCCACTCAAACCACTCCCAGTCCTCCTTCCGCGAGCGCTTCCTCTCAATCGACGGCACGCACCTCTCGCCCGCCACGCCGCTGCACGGCGACGCCAATGGCGAAGTTCGCGTCGAGCGACGCCCGCAAGTTCAGTCAACCGTACAAACCATACTATTCAACCTCGGCACCATCATCCTCGTCGTCGCAGCCGGCATCTTCGGCTGGTGGCTCAGCGCCATCCAATCCGCACCCGATGACGGCGCGCCCGACGTCCCAGACGCGAAGCCGGAGTTCAGTCTCTGGGGCCAGATCTTCGGGTACATATGCGCGGCTCTGTACCTCGGGTCGCGCATCCCGCAACTTCTCCTCAACTACCGTCGCAAGTCTACAGATGGGATCAGCATGCTGTTTTTCCTGTTTGCGTGCCTGGGCAATCTGACATATGTGCTGAGTATCGTCGTGTATAAACCGAGGTGCAAGCACCATCACTGCAGAGAGGGCGAGGCCATGGCTATCTACGGGCGCTACATCGCGGTTAACTTCTCATGGCTGCTTGGTAGCTTTGGTACGCTTATCCTGGACGCGTGTGTTTTCGTGCAGTACTTCATGTACAGAAAGGAGGAGGATAGTGATGATGAGGAGGATTAAGGGGGGGTGGAGAATGTAGTCTGGGTGGAAAGAACCTGTATAATACCCAAAAGTTACTGAGCTGATGCATATGGAGTCGCTGTACATATCACGCGGAAGCGTTCTTGATCGAATCAAATTGGATTTACGCACACCCATGTTCTGTCTGCACGGTTCAAATACCAGTATGATGTTATCGCCTGCTACTGCAAGGTCCGTTTATACACTCAGGCAGCATGCGCGCTCGCATGCCATTGCGACTCTCCATTGGCCCAGATGTGAGCTCGAAGTATGCAGCATCGTTTGTCAACGACGCCTCGCCCGGATGGCCACCATAAAACCATTCCTTCCTTTCTCATTCCCTCAATCCGCCACACATCTTCCTCGAATTCCCAAACCAAAGACTCCATCATGCCCATGTCCGCGACCCTCAAAAGTAGCTCCCCCTTCCCCCACCCCCTCACAGCACACCGATCCCCTCCAGGCACAGTCTGGACCGCCGTTCACGCCATCGAGCGCACGTTAACATCGACCTATCCGCAGCGTTTTGCGGATATTAATGGCGCGAAGCGCCACGTCCAGGGCATTTGCGATGCGGTGAAGTTCGACTTTGGGCTAGGCGAAGCGTTCGACCTCTGTCCCACTGACCCTCACCACGTCGTCCCTGTTTTCAAAGATCGAGCGTGCTTTTTGGTCGCTGTGAGATCGCACGAGCAGGGCGAGTTCTATCTCAACGAACCCCTGTCGGATTGGCAGCTTCTCCGCAGTGCGTACCACAACTCACTTCAGCCTGGTGTCACGATCATTACTGATGTGTCTAGCTGCCATCGAGGCCGATCTTCCGCACGTCCTTGCCCTTGTTCAGACCTGGCCGCCATGCTTTGCGTCCGCGAGTGTGGCGGCGAAGTACGTTGCTGGCGTTGCTGTGCTGAGCGAGTTCGAGTACATGAGCATTGAGGGTGTGAGCGAGGCAAAGTTTCGAGTGTATGTTGATTGGAATGCGGCACGTCGCGCGTGGGAGAGCTGGTCCTTCGAGCTGGATAGTGTGCCAAAAGGGTGGGTGAGGAAGGCTGAGAAGAAGGCGGCGACGATGACAGGTACATTCCTTCCTTCTGCAAGGATGACCGAATAGTTCCATGGATATGGGAGACTGACACGTGCAGATGCGATCGAATCCGACATCACCCGCCTTCGCACGTTCATGCCCTCCTCCATTTGGCCTGCTACATTCACCGACCTCAACGCTGCTCGCAACTTCGTCGGCCAGTGGTGCTACGACAACAGGTTCAAATACATGGGCTGGCCGGATGTGGAGCTGCGCAAGTACCGTCTCTTTGTCAACTTCAACGCCGCGAAGTATGCGCTTAAGGCCGGTATTTTCGAGGTCGAGCGTGCTGTGCCGCCTTTGGGCGGCGAGGGGAAGAGTGCTAGAGCTGTAAGAGGAGGAGCTGTTCAGCAAGGGGATGACATAAGGTTCTCGAGATCGAAGTGCCTATCGCTCAAATGGCGGACGGCTCACGTATCTGTGACGAAACATACCAGACCCAGAACAATGACGACCTGCCGCCTTCCGATGATTGCGGCGAGAACCACCTCAGACCTTACGTGCACTCCGCAGCTGTGTCTTCTTTTAAAGCAGATGCCATCGGCAACGCTGTCCTCACGCCGATGACCGAGCCGGAGAAGAAAGAAGCTGCACTTATCGATCCCTTCAAAGTAAGTCTCTCTACACCCTCTTCACGATCCGGTCCTCGCTGACCGCATTTCACAGGATCTCATCGCTGAGCTCCAGCGTGGCTATATCCTCAAAGCTGCCTTCGAGTGATTGACCTGCAGGATACTGACATTTGATTGTCACACGGTGGCATCTGCGAGTACGATATGGAATCGATACACGAGGAAGTTGAAAAGTTCGGGTGTTTGTCATAGTTGTGGTACGAATGTTCCAGGTACGTTCTATTGCTTCGGCGGATGCGAAAATGGTCCGTAATTTTGGTGTCTGTCAGTCCGCCACAGGCGGGTCGATTTCGAGCATCTTGCTTGAAAGGTCTGCTGAGGTGTTCTTCAGCCTCGATACCGAAGATGAGGTTGCTCGGTCCTGGGGCACGTGCGAACAAATGAGCGAATGAAAGAAGTTTCTCGTGACGTCACACGGTAATTTCCCCGGACTGTTCGGTTGCAACTGTCCCGAGTTCGTGAACACAACTGCAAGCGATTCAGGAACGCTACGGCTCTGCATTTCATTATGCCTCCAATCAAGCTTCTCTACGCAAAGGCTTATTTCCCCGCGTTTCCTTCGGGATAGATCAGTCGGGTGATTGCGAATAACATAAGGCGACGCTGGTCTGCGCCAATAAATGTTGCCAAACTCTAGCCCTCTATCTCTGTGAATTAGACAATATGAGACTCCCCTCACCATCACTTGCGGCCCTTGCCTTGTATTTTGCTGTGGCATCCGCGAGCATCAAGCACGTCACCCTTCCCAACGGACGTCGGCAATGCACCGTACACGCCAACGGCAATCAGATCGACGACGTTCCCAACCTTCTCAAGGCCTTCGATAGATGTGGCAATGGCGGCGACATCATCTTCCCCAAGAATGAAGACTACTACATCGCCACACGCCTCAACCCCGTCGTCAACGACGTCCACATCCACTGGCACGGCCAATGGACATTTTCACCCAACCTCACTTACTGGCGGCAGAACTCCTACCCGATATTCTTCCAAAACCACGCCGCCGGCTTCGTCCTCAGCGGTGACGGGATCTGGATCAATGGCTACAACACCGGCGGCATCTTCGGCAATGGCAACACTTGGTACGTCGCCGAAGCCGCATCGCCCGTAGGCGACACACAGCCCGGACGCCCCATGCCGTTCGTCTTCTGGAACGTTTCAGACGTGTCAGTGTCCAATTTCTATGTCCGTGATCCTCAGCTTTGGGCTATCAACATCATGAACGGGACGAATATGGCGTTCGCTAATATCACGGTCAATGCGACAGCGCCGTCTGCGCCGAAGAACGGAACGAACTGGATTCAGAACACGGATGGGTTCGATACCATGGACGCGAATAACATCCTATTGGAGAACTTTGTGTATCAGGGCGGCGATGATTGCGTGGCTATCAAGCCGAGGAGCTACAATATTAAGATCAGGAATGTGACGTGCTATGGCGGAAACGGTATTGCGATTGGCAGCCTGGGCCAGTACCTCGAGGACTCGAGTGTGGAGAACGTGGTCATTGACGGCGCGAGGCTCATTCGCAATGAGTGGCTGCACGGTTCTGCGCTTATCAAGACTTGGGTTGGTGTGCTTGTCAACCAATCGAGTCGCGGCTATGAGTCGGCATATGTTCCCCGCGGCGCTGGTTGGGGCAGCATCCGCAACGTTCTGTTCTCGAATTTCCATGTTGAAGGTGCTGAGGCTGGGCCAGAGATCAACCAGGACAGCGGAAACAACGGCACCAAGGCGTTCCAGGGAAGCAGTCTGATGGAAATCTCGAATATCGTGTACGCGAACTGGACCGGATATCTTCACCTCGATGATGGTGCCAACAAGACTGCTGAGGTCTCATGTTCAAAGGTGCATCCTTGCTACAACATCGACTTCAGGAATGTGAGCCTGACGGTGGCCGAGAACTCCTCGGACACAGGCACGGGCGGGTGCAAATTCGTAGGAGCGGGCGGCATCCACGGATTGAATGGTACGGGATGCTGAGACGAGACACTAATCGTAATAGACGTAGACGCAAATGAAACATCTCACTGGGAATTATTGCCGGTGCACCTTGACAATAATTGCGGAAGCTGGCATTTGACATGATGAACCTCACATCCATGTTGTCATGATTCAGATTGCCAAGCCAACCAGGCATACGCCGTGATAAAGCTTAGCTAACGCCCGCCATGAGTGGGCTTGCGGTGAAGCGCAACGACAATGAGGGTGGCCTTCCACTTGAGCTGGCGTACTTAGACCACTGAAAAACCCTGCAGATCGCGTGGCAAGAACGGACTTGCTGTTTTTGGTGCAGATGCCTCACGTGCGCATCCGTGCCGGTGACGCTACTGACTGCTGTGAGGGGAAAGACTCCGGCGCTGTCGTCGTAAGCTCTCAGCCGGCGTGGACCTAGACCTGCTCATCTTGTAAATTCTTGTAACTCCAACGACCGAGTCGTATCATCAAAGTAAGGTAATCAGAGGAGCACGAGATTGCACGCGCAAGGTGGTGTGGAGGTGGAGCGACAAAAATAGCTAGCCCCGTACGTCCGTGCACAGCGGGCGCTTCGATCGTTCCCATCCAATGAGCCAGCCCTCGTAGCGCCCAACCACCAACAGTGAAACGTTCACTAACGTCTATCCAATGACCTCAGATCGATATGCAGGTATCCTTACACACGGGAAGGAAAAAACATGTTCCGCACCTCGAAGCGCCTACGCGTAGCCATTTTCCATCCTTCGTACCTGCGGTGCGCTCCGTGGAGGCGTCAGCTGGCGCTCCCTCCCTTGACTGCGGTCCTGGATAGCGCCCAGAGATGCATGCATGTTCTATGAACAGCAGCCTGGGGGTAAGCCAGCGTATCTGTGAGTGGTTCGTGCTATGTATGCTCATCTTAGTCTATCAAGGTGCAGACGGATCAGACCTACAAAGACACCAAGGCGCCTCGAGTGCATGCGAGACGTTTGAGCGTTCATCTTTGCCGTCTCTTGGCCAGTGCTCGGTGCTAATACCCCCAGAGCTCGAATCTGCGTTGTAGCATAGCTTGCTGGCCTCAAGCATCTTTATCTCTATCGTTCATCATGCCGTCTATTTCTATCTTCGTCTCTGCAAGTGTGCTGTTAGCTCAGTCTACAGTTGCATTCAACTGCTCAATCAAGCCTGTCTATGTCGACATTCACAAACGCGTTGTTCACGACTCGTTAGCACTTCAGTACGGAGCGTTCATCGGAGTCGGCACGGGCGAGACTGCGTCAGCAACGTCAGCACAGAACCACAGCTTGTGGCCATCATTATCACAAAATCATATGTCGTTTAGTGCGCATAGCTACTGTGACAAGAGCACGCTCAGCAATTGCGAGGACTCGACCGGTGGTTTCTTCAGCAGTAACGACTCTACATCGTAAGTCACCCGTATGTTCGAGAAGTAATAGATGTCGCTCACACCTGCCAGCTTTGTGGAGTACAAAGACTTTAAGACCTTAGATTCGGATCTCAATAACACCCTCGAAGGCTACTTTGGTCAAGACAGCCTCCGGCTGTATACTCACTTCTTCGAAACAGATGGGGCATCACAGACTCTCATTCCGAATTCGACTATTGAAGTTGCTACAAGCGGAAATGTCGTACCCGGAAGGATTGGGATGGGCGCAGAGTCAACACTTCTACGAGATCTTGCCAGCCGCGAGATGATCACAGGCAAGACGTACTCACTCTACATCGGCCAAGGTTTCGATCGTGCCGGAGGCATGGTCAATGGCAGCAACGTTTTCGGAGGCTACGACTCAGGTCGCTTCACAGGGACTCCGCATCAGTACCCCATGGACCTGAGTAAGGTCAACCCGATGAGTGTACGCATCAAGGATATTGTCATTACGCAGACAGGGAGCGGATCGAATCAGTCCTTGTTCAGCACCAACGCTTTCCCTGACATGAAGTCAACACCACAGACTTTCGAGGCTGAAATCACTACTGAGCAGTTCCCGCTATCACTACCATATCAGATCACTCAGAACTTCATTAAAGCCGCCGCCGCTCAGAAGGACAACTATTGGGGCGACAACTCCCTGAAGGCGGACGGATCATTCAACGTCACACTTTCAATCGTGCTGGAGGACGGTCTCACCATCACTTTCCCGCCCGAGGTCCTCAGGAACACCTCAAATATCACTCCCATCCAGGACCGTGACGAGAAGGACGACTCTCCATTCCTGCTCGGCTCCGCCTTCCTCGGTCAAGTTTACCTCATGGCCGACTACGAAAGCAGCAACTTCTTCCTTGCCAAAGCCGTACAGAAGAACAACATGGTTATGCCCGTCACCTTCTGTCCCAAGTCAACACCTGAGGCTTACGAGCGACCCACGCAGAACCAGTGGCAAAGCCAAGGTCTGATCGGTGCTGTTATCGGAGGTGTCATCGGAGGCATCGGATGTATTGCTGCTCTGTACTGCTTGTATGTTAGCTGGTTGAGGAAGTCGGACGAGAGGAGGTTGAAGAGGGACTTGGCGAGGAACAGTGCTGCCAAAATTGAGCAGATGGATATTGAGTCCGCACCGAGCTTTGAAGGGCCACCAAAGACAAGTGTGAAAGAGAAGGCGACGTTCTGGAAGAAGGGGTAGTTTGGTGCTAGTTTTGTTCGTTACGTCTAGCTTTTGCAATTTCGATTTGTTTCGTTTCTTATCAACAATATTTGACTAGTCGTGCAACTGGATCTGGCACTAACCACCTCCTGGCTCATCAATCCAGGCTCTGTTTAGTTCTTCATCTCTACAGACGAACTCAACTTCAAAGAATACCTCTGCTGTCCATGAGTCGTGGCTGCCCAGTTTGAGTGGGTTACATAAGCAACACGCGACTTTGACGCGGGCGCATTTTGGCTTCGACCACGATGGATATCTCCGCCAGACCTCACTCACAAACAAGGACTCCAGAGCACGACTCTTCAACACGTCCGTGAAGGCAACGAATTTGTCTCAGACAATGTATCAGCCACGCTCAATGCGCCTCACTACCAGCAGACTGGTTGAGGTGCGCGGGGAAGCTGCACGTCATCACTTTGTCTCAACACCACGACGGAGCGCCAGTCGCGCTTTGCCATGTACCTGGTACACAGATGCATGATCGCCATTTTGGTGGATGTGTGGTAGTCGGTGCTCAAGACACTGATCGGTGGGAAAGTCCAGTCTCATCCTCCCTTGAGCAGCTACCGCGACCGCGACAGCTTCGCAATAACATGTTGCACTGACGTAGCCCAGCCTGCTTTTCCCGCTGCGCTTCTGGTGTAAAGGGTATTGAGTGATCTTCAGCTGCCGAACAATCGAATCATACTCAGCAAGCCTGTGCTGAAAGGGCAGTCGAGCATGTGCCGTTGCTCCACCGCACCACGCGGCGCCTGACAGCCGCGGGAACGTGCAAGCAGCTCCGACAGGAGGTGTTAATATCATCTATGCATAACTTACCTCAGCAAAGATTCGTCGCGTGATGCGCGGCCAGACCCAAACCATGCATTCCAGCTTCATCCCTCCCTCGGCGCTATCGACCATTGTTTTGCTCCCCATATTTGCCTCGCATTCCATCAACTTTACCCAGACGACGAAGAAAGAACGCCAAAATATACCAGAATGTATGTTTACTTGCAGACAGCCCAGTGTTCGGTCTATTTTGGCATAGCCTTTGTCGTGGGTTTCGTTGCGCCGGTTGTTGTTGGCCACCTTCACCGGCCTGGATACTGGGATTGAAAGAGGAGGATACTAATTGACAGCAGAGTACTAATACAGCTATATAGCAATCGCCAAGCCGCCCGATCGCGATCAAATCGACAGGTGCCTGAAGTCAGGCTCGACATTGAGATCTCGAAAGATGACTGAAGCAATGGCAAATCTACGCTCACGCGCCGAGGCTGGCGGATCCTTGAGCACTACTGCGATCGTCGCCATCGTAAGCGCCATCGGCGTCGTCATTTTGGGTCTTCTGGCCGCCCTTGTTCTACTCCTCATTCGGGCAGTACGCAGGCACAAGCAGCTACTCGCCGAATTCGACGAACGAGGCATGAGCTTAAGCCAAGCGCAAAAGGAGGGCAAGCTCAATGAGGTCGCAAGGCCTCGCGCTGTGCTCAGGCGGAACACTATCCTTCCCTTCAACGCGAAGTCAGGGTGGGGAACACTGCCATCAGTGGAGACCATCGGCTCCGCAGCTCCCTCTACCGACGGGCCATCTGGCTCGGCACCGGAATACTATATGCCTCCAATACCCATAGAGCCAAACAAGAGGACGAGCAGTCTGTCATGGCCGTTCCACAGTCGCAAGCTGTCGGGCCACACTATGAAGATGAAGCACTTGAAGGTCAACCGACTTTCCGCTGTATTGGAAGATCCAAAACCATCTTCATTGGTCCCGATCCTAGGCAATATTCAACTTTCTGGCTCGAGGCCACCTTTGGCACTGCTTAGTGAATGCGAAAGTCAGCCCTCGTCTTGTCAATCACTATTGCAGTACCATCCGGCTTTTCGTAACCAGATTCATGACACAGATTTGATAGAGCCTGCACCACTGGATGTTTCGAAACGCTTGCAACGAGCGAAATCGGTCACTGAATTTCCACTCGAAACTGAACGCCCACAGATCCGGCAACGATCTACAAGCCTTCACAGCCAGGCTTCCGGTAAGGCGCCGGACGTGATCTTACCACCGCTCCCGCTCGACATCGCTCGCATCAAAGATGAAGTTAGGCGGAAAAGCCAGCTCCGGCATCAACCTTCGAAGAACTCAATCTCAAGTTTTGGTTCGACAGATAGCTCCATACTCAATCCCCGCCCCAGTCCGATCATCATGCAATCTTCTAGTGCGCGAGCCCCAAAGATCACCAAGCGGGAGCGGAAGAATAATACTATCGAGAAGATGAACCCTGTCCTTGAAACCCGCGAAAGCATGTACAGCTTACATGGTTCGATGAAGAGCAGCGCGGCAGAAGTCGAGATAGCTTCGCCTGAAGCACGGCGCGAGTTTGTTGAGGACTCCACTACTCTTCCTAAGGAATCAAGCACGCATACGCTCGGCTCGATCCGCACGCCTGGCTCCGTTGGTTCAGTCAAGAGGGCTGAGTCGATCACCGTGAGCAGGGTAGTTTCCGCACGTGCAAGTCCGCGTTCGAGGACACCGACGCGCAGGTCTAAGACGCTTGTGACCTCGTCAGGGTCTCCGGAGAAGTACTGCCAGATTACGACAAACCCGAAGTTAACCTTGAAGTCGCCCAAACGCCAAACCTCGCGAGCATCGTCCAGGAGTAGCTGTGGCAACCCGTTCCAGTGGGATCCCGCGCCCATCATTTCCACCAGCATACCTCCTTCTGCGCTGAAAGGGAGCCCTAGCGCACGTCAAGGCCACCGACGAGGACATAGCGTACGCATCTCTCTTGTCCCTACTATTCACTCTATTCGAAGCCGAGCGCCGAGTCCCGCCTTGGTTTACGAGAATGAGAAGCCGTCGACTGAGATGACACTAGCGAAGAGACCGTCCGGTCTTGGTGTTTCCAACACTCACTCGCTGCCTACGCCACCCACGTCTGAGACCTTCGCGCCTGAGCTTAGCTTTATGGCGACTTCGCTCAGAGCATCGTTGACGCCTACATCCGCCGCACTACCTCTAGTCAGCTATGACCCGACTTTCGTTGTCGCGCCAAGCGATCACGTACTACCGGAGCTTTCGGATCGTGAACAGAATCGCTTGAGCACTGGTTCGGTTTTCAGTTTGTCTCGCTTTCCCCTTCCGTCATCTACCATTGAGCCTGATGATGACACCGTCATTCACGTCCCAGATCACAGCTTGGTATTTCCAGTGCCCGATACACCCTACCTGCAACAATATCCTTTCAGAATGGGCACGCTGGATCGCCAATCATTTCCGTCTCCCACAAGTCCCATAGATCTCGATGAGTACGATCCGCAGCAGCCTGGTTTGGGATTTGAGACACCTGTGAACGCTCCATCTCGCACGTATCAGTCAGCATGCACTACAATTCCGGAAGAGTCCTCGGTCGGATCGAAGGGTACTATAGATCACGAGCAGGATCGCTATGGAGACTCTCCGCCAGTTTTGCCCAAGACTAGCTCGCCTCCGGGGTTCATGTTGAACGACCAATACAGTCTCCCAATCTATGCTACAACGATCCCAGAAGAAGAATCTCCCAGGACTATTGATCCATCAGTCCTAACTAGGGACAACTTCAGCCTCCTCAACAGCGGCTTCGAGTACTCCCACGGCGGTATCACACAATCCGCAAACAGCAGTCGGACGAGCATCGCGATCCCCGCCACACCAGGCCTGCTGGACCCTCTCCTCAACGCTACCTTTTCATCTCCCAAAAGCCTAGACTCACCAACAAGCTCCCTCTACTCCTCACCAACTCACTCTCCCCACGCATCCCTCACAAATATTGGCTTCCACGCACCCTGCTCGCCCCGCCCCGCTCACGCCTCCCTCCCAGCAATGGGCCTTAACTTCAATAATATGCCACAATTACACCCCGGTACAAGGGGCCCGCGCGTCTCACCCCCAAAGCCCTTGCGTAGCTCGATACAGCAACTGCGCCGCATGAACAGCGATGCATCAGATGCGCGCAAAGACCGGGCCGGGCGCGGTGAACGTCGCTATCTGCGTCTCGGTCGCGAGTCCAGCGTGCAGCTATCCGGTGACGAGAGCTGGCTAGACGAGCTGGACGAGTACGAAGTCGAGGGGATTGAGCTCGACGATGAGGAGGTGAGGAGGCTTGTTGGGACGGTGCTGGAATGCACCGATGACGAGTGCGATGTCAATCGGACGGTGCTGGATCTGGAGGCTACGCCGCGCGCTGCAAAGGCGCTGGGCGGCGGGAGAGGTGTGCCTGAAGACGCAGTCACGGGTGCAGATCAGAGCTCGAGCAGCATCTGGGACGAAAGCGATGCGTTCTGGAGCTCGAGTACGCCGCCGCCGGAGACTCAGCAGCAGACTAAACCGATATTGGGAGCGAAGAGCAAGAAGAGACAGTTTGAGGTTGCGAAAGATGAGCCAAATACCCCGCAAGAGAGTCCTGTGCTGGGCCATGCAAGGAGTGATAAGAACCAAAGAGACGGCTACGAGGTGAAGAGTGACCGCAAGAGAAACGTGCTCGGCGACGGGACGCCGAATGTGGGTGTCAGGATTCAGGTCATGAGGCCGACCACGACGCCGAGGAGTTATTACGATGAGCAGGGGTTCCTGAGGGCTTAGTGCTGCACCTTTTGTTACTGAAGTGTTCTGAGATGCAATTTCGAGGACAGGGTTGGGAGCATTGATAGGAGTCTTGGATGGAGCCGCACATATGGCATTGGGAGAGTGTCGTTATGGAGATATGATCAGATAGTATAATTCTTAGTCAATAGTGTATAATGCAGCATTTGCTACCCTCAAAAGCCATCCTGGTCGAATCGCGCCTTGGATAACCAAGCCTGCTTTGAATTGTTAATACAAAGGTCGAAAGTAATCGTGAATCATTCGTAAAAGTCCAGTGTCATCCCTCAAGGCTTGGGCTTCTTCCGCACCAGCCCAGCGCCCAGCACTTGGGCGCCGTACGTGCTCCCTGCCGAAGGCACAGGCGTAGGTTCAATCTTCGCCTTCTTCCGCACCAAACCTGCGTCCAACGTATTTGCCCCACTCTTATTCGCTGTCGATACATCACCATCTTTCCTCTTCTTTCGCACGCCCATAACAGTGATTGGCGTCGCTCTTTCCACTGTACTCGCCACCGGCGCTGCAACCTCTTTCTGGCCCACTACAGTCCAACCCCACTGGGTAATACCGCCGAGTACTCCGACCTCCTTCTTGAACTGCTGGGTACTTCGTGCGGTAGCTGCGCGGGTGGCGAAAGACGAGTGTATCAGGACTTCATGTGCGCGATTGTAGTTCTTCTCGCTGAAGCAGATTGTGCCGCGTGATGAGGCTGGCCATGTAAAGTACAGGCTGGTCTCTGGAATTTTGGATGTGGATGCTAATGAAGTGGCGGAGGAAGTCGAGGGGTTCGACGAGCCTGATTTGATGCGTGGAAGAATGAGGGGAATAGGACCCGTTTTCTTCTCGGGTTTTATTCGGCGCTTGTTAGTAGACTTCTTTCTTCGTGGTGTGGACAGGCTCTCCTGTGAGTTGGGAGCTGATTGCTGGGACGCTTGCGAGAGTTGAGATGCTGTGTCTCCATCCTCTTCTGCAATTGCATCCTTAGGTGGTGTCAGGACGACCCATATGAAGCCCACTATCCGCCCAGATGAGCACTCCTGGCGAAAAGCCATGAATTCCCAGAATTGGTCCAGTGTCTTGACACTCTTCCACATGCCGCTACTGCGTGACGGCGTGCCTCCATCGACTATTACCCCTTCGCCTCTATCAGGGAGCTCCTCGTCCAGCTCGTCGAGGAAGCGTGCTTTTGGGTCGTCTGGGAAGTGTGGTACGAGGCAGCGAGGTGGTGCAGCCGGGTGAGGCGCGATCTGTAGCAATGGGTGCGCGGCAGCCCATCGTCGAGGAGTGTTCGGTACGGGCGAGGGAGGTGCGTATCGAAGTGTGTCATAGGTTTCGTAACCTGGAATGACCAAGTAGCCTTTGGCTGTGGTCCCAGAACTTGCAGTGGACACACTGCCGTTGCCTTCAGTCAGCCTTTCTTGAAAAGGCTTGCGGTCCTCTTCAGCCTGATATTGCCATATTATTGGGTCCAAGACTTTGCACCACCACTTTACAAGCCCTCGATCATCGAGCACGTGCTTCTTCTTGTTGTCAATGCTCGCTGGGAAGAGGTACTGATCTTGTGCTCTTGCAAATAGTGATATGACCAGCTTCTTGCCCGCTCTCTGCCGTTCTTTCGCTAGCCATGATACGAATGTACCGCATATTGTCTTCAGTGGTGACCCACTTTGAGATCGTGGCAGTTGTAGCTCCGAAAGATACCCTGTCGAGTCCGCTTTCGAGACGAAGATGGTCGTGAGGTGCTTTGTGGTGTAGATCAGGACTTCGATGGCAAGGACGATCAGCTCTTCAGGCAATTGCGAGCTTGCGGCATCTTTTGGTACAATCGTTGCGGAGAGGAAGTGTGATTCGCAGTACGTTCGTTCTGATTTGGCGTGCGGCGGCGCGGAGAAGAGGGCCGGGGACTTCGAGGGAGGCGTCGAGTAGTGGTAGAAGGTAAATGGCACGTCCTTGGGCAATTGCTCGGCAAATAAGTCACTCAGAGACTTGCGATCGCGACTGGGCATGTCCGCCATTTGCAAGAACAATCCGCAAGCTGGCGAGCCTCGCGTCGCGCTAAAGACCTCCAAGCTGAGGGATGGGGAGCGCGACTTGGGCTAAACTTTGTTGGGTCTTAGTGCATTTGACGGCAACTTTTCGAACTTCACCAGCATCAACCACCAGGCATCGCAGTGTGTCGCCCGCCTGCGCTCTCACCTTCACCAATCCCGCAAGTTACAATGGCATCAAAACGGGCGACCCGAAGCGTACTCTCCTCAGCTGCGCCGTCCCTGCGCTGTGTTCACGCCTCTAGACCTACCACACTGCTGCGACCCTCGGCATGCGCATTCTCGACCACGACTCCATCACGTGCGCCCGAATACGACACCGAAGCAGCAGACAGACCACGATGGCAACAGACGCCGCCGCGCATGCAGGCGCCCTTCAGGGTACGGCCGGCAGCGAAAGGAGGTGTACTCAAGGTCAACGAGGACCCCAAGATATTAGACGATGCATACGTACGAATGCTGGGACCTGGCGGTGAGAAAGTGCTAGACGACGAGGTCAAATGGCTGGCGGTGACACACAAGAGCTTCGACCACGGAAGGCGAGGTTTCAATGACAGACTTGCATACTTGGGTATGTACCAGTAGACTTGAGATGGGAAGGCAGGAATTGACAACCTGCAGGTCGAAGGATAGTCGAGCTCCAGACATCACAAGCTCTCGTCAAGTCTCCACAAGCCAAGTCGTGGCCTCGCGACGCATCAGGCGAGCCGAAGGTCGACAACTACGGTCGAAGGCCCTTCCTCCACCCCGCGCTGAACGGCCTCGAGGGCCTGTCCAACGAGGCAGAACAGAGAGTCTTGGACAAGACACGGCTAGCCCAGCTCGCAGAGCGCTACGGTCTGGATAAGGTCACGAGGTGGACACCAAAGCGCGCAGACAACCTGCAGGGCTCGGGTCTGGAGTCTGTCCTGATGACTTCGTTATATGCCATTGTCGGTGCGGTTGCTATGGAGCGTGGTGGCGAAGAGGCCAACAAGCTTGTGCAGAACAAGATCCTGACACCGCTGGGCTTCACCTTCGATGTTGAAGCGTAATGCGGGGTCTTGAAGGTATACATTGTATAATAACTGTATCAGGCATCATGGGCGAGGGTTTTGCGCCCTGATAGCGACTGCATTTGGGACTTCGAGCTGCATTTACCAACCGGCCAAGGGCAATGAAAGCACTTTGACGATGACATATGTGAATGCTCCAAAATATGTTCGCGTCATGTTGACTGGACGTTGGTGATCCGGTCCATGAATGCTGGAAGTGCGCGGCAAGTTCGGAGATGAACGCGTTTGTTTCACGGCCTTGCAAACGACTTTCGCCCAACGTCAAAGACACACAAATCTCTGACTACATCCAGGACCTCGTACAGCCTCCAAGTCTCACCTTACCATAACTGGGGGGGTTGATCACGCAACTAAAACTACACGGGATTGTGCCTGCCAAGCCGCAAGTCAATCTGTCAACCCGCGTCGCGCATCCCCCATTCCGTGCCTTCCCCACACCTTTGCACAACTAAACGCGCATGCGCCCTGAGCTCCTCCACGGCGCTGAGACCAGCAATGGCTCTAAGGCGCAATACTATGCGGCTCTCGGCAGTCTCATTTGGTGGGTGATCGTTTGGAGCGTTTGTGGAATCGGGTTCACACAATTGTATGTTGACTGCCTCCAGGCTGTCATGCCTTCCCGTACTGACACCCAAGCAGATTCCGCTACTACTGGAGAAAACCCCAGCCGGCAGCATGCCTTGAGATGAAAGAGGAAGACGTGCCTCACGTTACCGTCATTCGACCTGTCTCTGGCCTCGACCCCCGCCTGTACGAGTGTTTAGCATCGAGCTTGCGCCAGACTTACCCCAAGCGCAAGATTGATAACGTCTTCTGCGTCGCCAGGCGCTCGGATCCCGCCTTCCCTATCCTCGAACGTCTCGTGCGCGAATTCCCGGACGCCAATGTACACATTACGGTCGAGGAGGAGGATCCGCTGCTTAAGAAGGACAGAAAAGCGCTTGGACCAAACCCCAAGATCAGAAATATGAGTCGAGCCTATCGAGAAGCCAAGGGCGAGGTCGTATGGATTCTCGACTGTAACGTCTGGGTCGGGAAAGGTATTGGTGCTCGCTTTGTCGATCTGCTATATGGATACAGCAAGGATAAGGGAGGGCAAGCGAAGACAAAATTCAAATTTGTGCACCAGACACCACTAACAGTGGATCTGGACTCGCAGAGCTTGACTTTGGAAGAGCGTAAGGAGCTGCTGGGTGGACAGCCAGAAGAACGTCAGGACAGCACAGCAGCCGCCGCCAGCTCCTCATCGAAAGCCTCCAGCAGCGCCTGGAAGCGGCTTTTGCAGCGTGGTGGCGGACGTTTTGACGAAGCCTTTATGTCCTCTGCGCACGCGAAGTTCTACCAAGCTATCAATACCGTCAAGGTCGCGCCCTGCATCATGGGCAAGAGCACGATGTTCCGTCGCTCGCAGCTCAACTACGTTACCTCTTCAAACCCCAAGTATGCACCTGGCATCGACTTCTTCTCCGATAATATCTGCGAAGACCACCTTATCGGCGACGCACTATGGAAGCAACCGCAAGCATTCGAGAAATGCGGCTACAAGCCTGCGCCAGGTGAGAAGAAGGAGAAGTGGGGGAAGCATGAGATGCTATTCGGTGACTTCTGCTTCCAGCCTATAAGTCACACGTCTGTGGCTGCGTACCTGGATCGTCGTATACGCTGGCTGCGAGTCAGGAAGTATACGGTGACCCTGGCTACATTTGTGGAGCCCGGCACGGAGAGTATGGTCTGCGGTGTATACGGTTCATATGCACTGACCACACTACCGTACTTCCGCACATTTATCAGCCCGACCTGGACCTCATTTGCTTTGATTTGGCTGCTGCACATGGCTGCTTGGTGTTTGGTAGACTACGTACAGTACCTCCTCTTGCACTCTGCCAAGACTGTGGAGATCGACAAGGATACTCCAGACTTTGTTCTGCCTCAGCGATCGAACGCCGCTTACCGCCGCGAAGAAGCATCGAAGCCTTTACTTGCTGACAAGACGAGTGCTCAGCCAAGTTTACTTGACGGCAAAAGGAGGAACTTCCGGGAGTTCTTGTTCGCATGGCTTGGCCGGGAGTTCTTTGCCCTGCCGATCTGGGTCACAGCCTTCTGGGGCGGTGCGACAGTCGAGTGGAGGGGCAAGAAGTTCTATGTGGGTCTTGACACCAAGGTGCATGAGATTGCATCCAAAGAGCAAAAGACACCCTCTGCAGATGATGGCAAGGCCAAGAAGTGAGATGATCCCTGACTTAGGTCGGCTCACGATAACAACAGTTGTTTAGATTCGCATAGCGTTTGCATATGATATCCTAGGTCTTGCATTTCCGTATCAGCTCTCACGCGTCAAGCATTACAGTCAACTCGACTGCTGTCTTTCACCATTTCTTCAGACGGTCCTCATAATCTCCCCGTTCTCCTCAGCTGCATCATCGATATCGCGCACCCAGTCTATATCTTCGCGACTCATACGTTTCTAACGGCGTTCGGTATGTAGGTCTATCGCTCCCGATCTTGCAAGTGTGATCCAGATCGTCACGTGGCACTTTATGTCTTTCTCTTTGCAGGCTTTGCATGTGACAGCTCTTGACGATTTCGTTTTCTTCTCGAAAACCGAGGTTGCGTCCTCTGATATACCGAGAACCAGAGACTCGTTGCTTTGTGGACATATTTTGCTGATGACTGTGCTATCGGAGATCGAAAAGTGTGATCAGGAAGGCGTGTTGTTCGTGATTGCCAGTAATTCGCAGATTTGAGCACAGGAAGGTATTTTGTTGGCGGCTGTAACTTTCAGCGTGGTTGAAACTGTGGTGATGAGATCCCCCCAGTCAATTTCGGTGAGGCAACGGAGGTTTGGTTTTTCAGGAGAATAGGCTGGAGGTGAGACGTCGTGGAGGTTGTATGGTGGTGGGAGGTCGACGCTAGCGCTTGCTGTGGGGGTTGAGGCCGAAGCGGTACATACTGAACCGTCGTCAGAATACCAAAAGCGAGGCGTTTAATGTTGGGAGGACGGAATATCATTGTTTCGATGGCGTAATGCACGTACAGTACTAGTACTACCAAATATCCTTTGGTCCATGCGCCGATACTCCTGGAGACAGCCATCGACGGTCATACGCAACCGGCTCAAGATGATCGCGATGAGACCGCCGGTCCTTGATCCGCAGATCAGGTCAAAGCAATGACATGGCAGGAAGTTGTTCACTGTATCTCCTCCGTGTTCTTACGTCATCGCGGCTTCCTTTTCTTTGACGGCGAGTCTCTGCCCTTCCTCCTCAACCTGTTTCACGAGCTTTTGCATTACAAGCAAGGACAAGAATCTTCGTATAGGAAGCATGAATTTGACCATCGGCATTGTACGACTCGTGACCGTCATCGGGGACGACGTACTTAGGTTCGCCAACAGACATGTCGAATTTCGGCGTTCGGTTTCGATGCGTCGTCTGTCGGACAAGGTCGAGGATGTGTTTTGAGTGAGTTGGTATTCGAGAATGCACCATAATGAGCAACTGTTCCTGCCATAGACGTGCTAGGAGGACTTCGAAGTCAGGGTTTCGCTACCACAGTGGTGTACCAGCTGGTCATTAATTACTGCTCAGCGAACGGCAACGCACTCAACGTTCAGAACAGAATAGTCAAATCTCTGTATAACCCTCTATCAAGCCTTGCAGAGAAGACACATGTCTATCCACTACGCCATTTGCTAAAGAGAGCGTCCTTGCAGTCGGTATGCGAATTCGAAAGTAGTGTTCCCATCCACATCTGTTGTCTTGAGGCCTGCATCGGCACGAGCCCTTCTTTCTGCCCTCATAACCCATCCCATGCCTTCTCGGTCCAAGGCGTAGTCCCAGTGTCTTTTGATGTGCAGATACACGTCGTTTGTATCTTTATCCCGCGTGAACCAGCCAACCATATCGCATCGATTGTCGACGCAGCCGAAATTGCGCTTCGACTCGGTATAGTCGTCCGCCGAGGGAGGTATTCGGTTTCTGCAGAAGCGGATCCAGAGAAATAAGGCCTCCAGTCTTCCGAATGGGTAACGGGATGTTGACTTGGAGAAGGCTTTTGTGTGCGGGCATCCCACGATATCATTTGAACCAAACACAGCCTGAAGCATATCATCAAAAGCGATTTTTTGAGCTCCAGTATGTTTATAGACCCGTGCAGATACTGTCACGGTTATTTGGCCAAGATTATGGTGCTGTATATGGCACCGGAAGAATCGTCGCGGATGATACTGAAGTGGTTCTAACGGTGCTAACAAAGTGTATGGCGGTGGTGGAGCCTCCTGTTGCGGCATCGTGTCACGATTAGACGTCCGAGGACAGGATCAGGTTTGGAGTTTTTTTGTTGGTGGTTGTAAGAGTTCTTGATTTTGCAACATTCAGGATGTAGTGTGCTGCCCCAGTCGTTGCCAATTACACCCTGAACTGTATTCTCGCTACCACACAAGGTCGAAACTCTCAAACCGTGTAACCGAATATTCAGCTTTCGTTGGGACATATGTTATGCTCTGATAGTCTCCATGAATGATGATAAGTGAATAATCTGTCGGGTCGAAATGTGGTTGCACACAAAGCCAGGGTAGTCCATCGCTCACCTCGAACCTGATCTGAACTCATCGATACCATGGGAAGAAGTATGTTCACTCAACAAGTACTCGGGGCGAAGTTTTGGCTATTGACTTTAAGGTGCAAGGAATCACAGAGCAGCGTTTACGCATAAGTATCTTTGAAAAAGTTTCGTGACCCTCATCAAAGTCTCACCCAGTCTAATAGAATTCACTTTTCAAAGCGGTTGCAATGGAATACTGCAAAGCTCCCGCGCCTCTTGATAGCGCCAAGAGCTGCTCATCACCCTCCTCTCCAACGAAGGAGTCTCCTGGCTCATCTGCCCGCTCCAAAGCCTCGAGCCAAACTTCGCCCGCATCTTCCCAAGCCAGGTTACCAACAGAGAAATACGTGCCCGTCGCAGACGAAGAGGCAAGGCTCCTGGCGAGAAAGGCGGTCGGGCTTCAGAACAGCAAGTCCGATTTGCACCATCCCACCTTGTTGCCCGACTACGAAACCATATTCCTCGCCTACCATCCCTCTCATGACATTGAAACAATCAAATGCTCGAAAATTCGCGAAGACCTTTCGAAATTCGAGCAGAGACTCTGTTCGCACAGATGCACATCCGACTCGACATTTTGCAAGTCAGTCCAGCGAAAATGTGGCTTCAAATTTCTTCTGAAAGGGTCCACCCCGTTCTTTGGGCAGAAAAGTAATGGGAATAGCAGGGTGTGGCACTGCTCCGCACTCGGATGTAAAGCTTCGGCATGGATCGAGATGCAAAGCGATACCAAAATGCTTACGATAGAAATCAAGCGATAGTTAATGGTCGAGAACAATGTCGCGTGGAACATGGTTGAATTGTACATACATATTCGGATGCTCAATCAGTGCATTTGAAAAAAAGAATTCCTCTAGGCTCCGATGTCAAGAAAGTCTTCGAGTTGAATTTATAACTCAAACACTCTATTCCCATATTATTACATGCATCTTTGTCGGAACAGTCTTTGTGTCCAGTTGTAAGGACTCTGAACTGTTCAGTAGGTGTCCACTTCTGCAGGTTCAGACCTTGCTCCCAAATCTGAAAACTTCGACCTCAGTGACCGGTGTTGCCGAAGTATGTGACTACATTCAGGCTTAGTCTCAGTATAGTCAACAAACCCTTTCCACCCGCGAGGCTGAACTCTGAGCCAGTCGTGCGTTTCTATCCAACCAAATCGAATTTGTACTCGACCCTTTGCGCAGTTTGAGGAGAGGAGTATCGTCACCTGCAATATCCGACCAAAGTTTAAGAAATTCGTTACCAAATGTCTGTCGCCAGATCTCACGCTGCGCCACTGAAATGCACAGAGGCACGTCAACACACGATAACCCATTAGCCCGCCACTCCCCAGCTGTGCAATACTGCAATCTACCGAAATACTCCGGGGAGGTGGCGGTGGTGCTGCAAGCCGGTGACTGGACTATGTTGCTAGTCATATTCTGTCTCAAGTATGAGCCCGACGTTCTCGTCCGAGACCCCTGGTCTGCTGCGTTCGAGCCGTGTACTGAGCTTGAGGCCTGTGGGATGGACCCCAAGACCTCAGAGTTTGCGATACAACACATATTCTCGAACAGAACATAGTTGTGCTTATTCTCATCATAATATCCAATTCAACCCATCAGACCATAAATTCCACCGACAACCTCCATGAGATACATGATCGTACTCAGCAGTAGAAAGCAGAAGCGATTCTCCACCACCAAGAAGCTGCGGACCAATGGTCTTTTTGCCTCGCGGGATATCATATAGGTTATTTACAATGCCAACATTGCCCATGTCAAACTAGCATATTTCCGCCTTGATTATGCATACACCCTAACAACAGCAACAAACCCAGCACAAAGCAGCAACACAGATACCACCCACTCCCCCCACTCCCCTTCAACCCCTTCATTCACTCAACCGGCTCCTTCAGAAGAAAAAAAACTAAAGCGCCACCCTCCTGCAGCAACAAGACTACCGCGCTTCACTTACAACAACACCAACAACCCCACACGCAGCCCACACGCCCACCGACTCTTAGCGAAAGGCCTCAAACACAAATCAGCGCCGCGGCAGCGACTCGTATGAATTCCAGTTCACATCAGAGCGGTACGAGCACAACGAGCCACCACTCTGATACGGTACAGTACTTTGTGAAGCGAAAAAAGCTTGAAAAAGAAAAAAAAAAGAGGGGGGATATGATACGCTATCCCACGCGCTACTTATGTAGAGCGAACTAAAAAAACAAAGGTGGAAAGATCCAACCCCACGGCCCAGAAGGCAATGATGCGCCACGAACACCAGGACGCCAAAGACAAAACCCTAAATCCAGTAACCCCTGGCGCACGCGTCTGTGGAGTGAGGACATGCCAGAATGTACAACGCGCTCGATATTCAAACCACAAGACTACATATCTCATCAGAGCTTGACCAGATCCCTCTTCATCTTCTTGACCGGATGCAGCAGGATGCCCGGCAAACACATCCTCTTCTCCTCGAGCCCGCCATCGCTGCCGGGCCCGCCATCCGTGTGCTCCTCCTCGCCCCAGCGCTGTTTGCGAATCGGCCAGTTGAGCCAGCGCCTGTACAGGTTGCGCGGGAAGCGGCTGGCGTAGTACCAGCTCCAGCCCTGGAAGTTGAACTCGCGGTCGTGGTTGTAGGGGCTATCGGCTTCCTCGCACCACGCGCCCTGCCGCGATTCGACGGGCCCGCCGAGCTCGTTGACTGAGGACGACGTGTCGAAGATGGCCTCTGTGTACGCCGCAGGCCAGTGGCGGTCGTTGAAGATTGGGTGTGGTGCGTAGACGGCTTTGAGTCCGTGCTGCAGCGCGACAGTACTCGGCCACATTTCCGCCTGCATGCTCCGCCCGACGAGATTTTCCTCGTGCATGGCCTGGAGCATGCGTTTCGAGAAGCGGACGACCGTGTTGATGAAGACGCGGCGGTCGAGCTGCTCGAAGTCCGGGTGCGTGAACCAGTCCGCCTGGCCGTCTTGAGGGGTGAAGATGGGCCGGATGTTGGGCAGGTAGTTCCAGATCTTGTCTTTGTAGGACCATGTCGTGTTGCGGGGATCCCACATGGGAAGCAGAGTGATGAAGTCGGCGGGCTCGTTTACGCCCCATTGGAAATCGTCATCTTCGAAGCTTGTGGGTGGTGTTGGGCCGAGGGGCTTCTGGGGCGGATCGGCGCGGGCCCATGGTCGGGGACCCCATACCGGGCTCGGAATGAGGGAGTTGGCTGAGGCATTGAGAACGTCTTTGTGGGTCTGTTCGACAAAAGACTGGTAGTCACCGTGGACGTCGGGGAGATAATAGCGCTTGTTGCGCTCCCACAGGAGCTTCCTAGGTTGCTTGTCTGCGAACTCGCTGATCTTCTCGAAGAAATGGTAATGGTGTCCTGTGTAACGCGCGTCTGTTTCCCAGTTCCAGACATAGTCGAACTCGGGATGTGTAAGACTGAACCACTGAAGGCACATAAACTGCTGCCAGTATACCTGCCAATCCATAACCTTGGGATACCAGTTGGGAAAGATGGATTCCGACCAGAGAACAGCGATATCGCGAAGCTCTACAGGTACATTTTCTCTGAGCACTTTATCATAAAGTTCCTGGTCTTCGAAGATCTTGAGATCGCGGTTCTTGACATGCACGTACAGGAAGACGGCGTATTCGCCTCCCGACTGCAGCGAGAGCTCAGAGACCATGGCTCGAATAGCAGTGATATCGTTATCTTCATAAGTATACCCAGTCCAGGCACGGATCAGGATAGCTGTGCGGTGGTGATACTTCTTCTCAAACTTGCCGCGATTCTCCAGGTTACTGTGGCTTGTATCGGTAGGGATCGCAAAGGCGGATGATGCAACCGCGGGAGCAGGCAACGTAGTACTCGGAATCTTGACGATTGGCGATCGCGCCTCTGGTCGGAAGCGGTTCTTGTTGACTTCGAGGCAGAGGTCCTGCAGCTCGCCCCACTTCACTTGGTCCCACTCGGGAACGGTCGCGGGCGCTCTCCAGTCCTTGACTTCTTCCGGGAACTGGTCATCGCCATATCCATACGGTCCGTAACGCGAGTATCGGTCGAAGCAGACATCCTCATCGAGACCGATGACATCGTAGCCACCAGCATATGCCTTGGGGAAGCCACGTGGCAGACCGCGGTAAGCCTGTATCTCATCGTCGGCACTCTCGTTCAGCGCAATGCCTCGTGGTCCAATGCAAGGCACGTACTCTCCGTGCCACTTCTCCCGCCAGTCCGGGTTGTTGTATTGCGGAAACGGCTTGTAGACGATGGGGCTATTGACCAGAGTGCTATTTAGATCGTCGTGTCCAGCGTTGTAAATGCTGTAGTCCATATCGAATTGCTCCCAGCGGTTCGGGTCGTATTCCTTGCCGACGTAGTCCGAGAAAGGCGGCCAGTGACCACCCCAAGTCGGTCTCCCCCATTGGAGCATCTTCTTCATGTAGGCTTTCATGTCCGTCGGCCTCAGAAAAGGGGTGATGAAGTTGCCAATCCTGCTCGGCGCAGTCACCCACGGAGGGTACGGCTTCGTACTCGACACGGGCTCGCTCGACGGGCTCTTCACCGTCGGGCTCGGGCTCGGGCTCGGACTCGGCGTCGCCGCCGGTACAGCATGCTGCCACGCATCTTCAAGATGCGCCTGTGACTGCTCCTGCCTGTCGTTCGGTATCGGCTCCTGGTGGTTTTCGTATGCCTCGTTGAGCAGCGATACCTGCTCGTACACCCTCTCCTTCGCCCACGGGCTCTGCTGCAGAACAGCTAATATAAAAACAAACGCTACGAGGGAAAGAATCGCAAATCTGCGAGGTGAGCGGACAAACATGCTGGCGATTGTGTAGGCGCTCGTATTCGTGTATTCGTCTATCGTCCTAGGATTGCGAACTAACGTATTGTGGTATCAGGCGTGCTGTATAGGATGACGGCGCGTAGGATTACCGATGCTGCATTGCAGCGGGAACGAGCGTGAGGAAAGCTTATCTGGAGTTAAGCTGTAGGGCCGGCAGTGTGGCCGTGGACGCGGACGACACAGCACTTGTGAAGTCGCAGCAACGGAAGGAGCAATATGCGCCGCAGAGGAGGGAATGACTACTCGATAGTCGTCACGTCGGCAGGTCCAGCGCACGACCGGAGGGGGGGGGGGGCAAGCGAGCGGAGGGAGCAAGCAGAGCAATCGAGCAGCAAAGGAGTGAAGGCTGCAAGGCACAGCAAGACAGTCTCAACGTCGTGCAGTTCAGGGTCGAAAAGTTCAAACCCAAGGCTCTCACGAGCGGCACAGCGCTCTCCATATCCCAAACCACACCACCCGTCCAGAAACTCTTCATCTCCGGCCCCCCATCATCTCATCCCACCATGCCCGCACACCGCAGGCGGCGAGCAGGGGACATGGGACCACACACGGCGCTGCACAACGGCAGCAGCCAGCAGGGTCGTCCCAGGGCGGGCATGACGCGTTACACACCCCCACCGGCACTGCGTCTTAACGACCAACGGGCATCGGCGCTCACGACTAGTGTGGGCGCGCACAAGGTACAGGTCCCTGCCGATGCAAGACGGACGGCAGTTTGGTTTGCGTCAGTCCCCGTTTCGCATTGGTGCGCGATGGTGCGACGACGAGGCTCGGGCCTTTTGTGAAACGCTCATCAAGCCGCGGCGATCAGCGGCGTGTGAGCGGCTGAACAGAGCCGCACGCATGCGCGCATTGCATCTTTGGCCATCTTGGACGGCGATCGTTCATCTCGCCGGCCTTGTTGGCGATAGATGAGGCTCCGCTGATAGGCAGGGCGGATGGGTGCGCCAGTGCGAGTGAGAGCCGTCAAGGGAAGGTGAGGGTGTTCAGATGCATGGTTCGGCAAGGGTGCAGCTCTGTTACATTTGCCCACGGCTAGCCTCATCGTCGTATGATTGCGGCCATGGACGTCATCTTGTGCTTGTGGGGTGGCGATGCTGCAAGGCGTGTTGAGAGATTGCAGAGCCTGTTGGACCGAAGAAGAAACGACATGAAGCGCTTCGACTATCGAGCTGCGAGGTTCGCCATCGATCGAGCAGCCGGGTAAATGCACTGCTCTCGTAACAATCAAGAACAAACACCTGAGTCTCTAGCTGCCAAGCGCTTCACTCTCAGGCAATGCAATGAATGCAACGCATGATGCCAGATCTCAAGTCGCACCTCAACGGGTTTGGATTACGCCCCTCGTTACACCACAGGGCGGATGTTCCGTACAACGGTACGCAGGGAGCCGAGCCCATTGGTCCTTTGTTTCTACACAGACACGTCTCAATTTATTTGTGCCGTTCAGTGTACGAAGCGCTGTCTAGATCTGCGTCATGTTTCCTGCCTGAGGGTCCGCGACTGCATGCCCGTTTGGATTCTGTCTGCTGCATCGAGGGCCTTGCTACAAAGCGCCCTCTTCGTATTCTATCATGTCATTTCGAGTGAGGATATTCAATAATGTCGCCGACCTGCAAGTCAGCCGTGACTTGGTGGAAGTCTCGCGAGGCTGACGTGGTCTCGACGATCGACCCTCTTTTCACTTGCTCGCTGCGGGCCTTCCCAAATTTCCCCCTCACTCATCACTTCCAGCAGCGAGGAGGCCTTTGCAACCTTGTCTATCGGCCTGCCTGTCTACTTCCACTTCTGCACGACCACACCTCCTCGCTTGAACTCGGCCATGTCCCCCAACACCTGAGCCTTGTCCGTCAACTCCTTCGAAGGGAATGTGGTCATGAGCGCATAGGCACGGCCATCGGTACTGGCACGGTCCACGAATGCGTAGACATGACCGACAGTATGCGTAGTGTTGAAGCGCGACTGCATGCGTGTGCCGTCACCGAGGCGAATCTGCAGTGTGACGGTAGGCGCTGAGCTGTCGACGTCGACGGCAGGTTGCGCAGCATCTGCCGATGGCGGGGTAGCAGTTGTTGTGCTTGCGGAAGCGACAGCAGGGGCCGCCGAAGTGCTTGCGCCCGGTGTTGGGCTGCCGAGTCGCTGGCCAGAGCCACCAAAGGGAACGTACTTCTTCTTCGGCTGCTTGTAGTCCTCGTCCTTGTGTGCGTGCACCTCGACGTCGACCTCCTGTCCATGCTCGACGTTCAGGATGTGGAGCGGCGCGTGGCCAGTGTTGATCATCTCCAGCGTGCGTGCATTCGCCGGGTCGTCGTAGCGGAAGAGAGGCCCGTCGTCGACCGAGAAGCCGTCGCGCCAGAGGTGGAGCTCGCGGTGAGCGCGCGGCTGAGGGCCAGCCTGGCTGGCGTTGGGGTCGGGTATGTGCCGCGAGGGCGCGTCGTCGCCGCCGAGCGTGTTGCCGCCACCTGTGAAGCGCGAAGTCGGTCGCTCATCGTCGCCGCCTGGTCGGGGAGCGTTCCTGTCTCTATTTAGCATTGCATTGCCGTCAGAGGCATGACTGTACTACTCACTGCCGCGCCCGCTTCAGGATGTTGTTGATGTGGTCCCGCGGGTTTGCTTGGTTGGGGTTCTGCACAGCGAGTCCAGACTTCTCTCCTCCAGCGAAGAAGTCCTGCGTGTCGTCGTCCTTGGAGTCGTTGTCCGAATCGTCGTCGTCGTGAGCGTGTCCGTGTCCGTGTCCGCCGCCACCCGACGACTGCAGGTCCTTGAGCGTCCGCAGCCCCGCCACACCCCGCTGCTGTGGCGCCTGTCGCGAGGCCGACTGCTGTCGCGAAGACGACGAGGACGAACCCTCGGTCGGCGGAACATATGCGCCTCCGAGCGTGCGGCCGCCACCCGGGACGGGCTGCTGGGGCGGGTCCGAGGCGGGCCTTGTGTTCTGGTCGTCGCCTGCCATGTCCGTGTCGGATGTCTGGCCTGCCTCTGCGGATTGCTCGAAGAAAAGCTCGACGGCGACTTGGACGTCTCCGTTGGCGGCGTCGAGGTACCGCTCGGCCTGCACCGGGTTAGCAAGTAGCTTCTAGGGCCTTCGACTGCGTCCAGGGCAGCCAGGGCAGGTCAGGGCAGGCTTGCCTCTGCGGGCGGAACTCCGGTCAGGCCTGCGAGCTGCGCAATCTGTTCGTCGCGGTCGGCGGGCGCGCTCGAAGACATGGCAAGAGCGGCTGTGGAGTGTGGAGTGGTGATATGCTAAAAGTGGTTGGTGTTGGTAGAGCTCCAATAGGCGCGGTGGGGTTGAAGGCGGCGGCAGCGGCTGACGTGACGTATTGTACCTTTGTACTGCCGAAGCACTGCTGAAGGCGCAAACAAACAAATCTTCCACCTGCTTATCTGCAGGAGCGGGAATTCGTGTGTGGGCTGAGACCCTGGAGGCAGTCAAACCGCTCGAACAGTCAGTCTCACGTGACTCGAGCTAAGCACGACCTGGTCCTGAACTCTTCGATACTTCGATACCCATGTAACCGCGCTGCATCAAAGCTTCCGCTCCCGCGCCCGCGCCAAGACCGGAGATATCCAGAGCCTCAGTGACCTCAATCCATCCCATTCCACAGCGACCCCGGCAGCGGACCTGTCCTGCACATTCATTCAACAAACCACCACCGCATCTAAACACCAAACAGTCCTGCTACCGCAAACGAGACACGCCCCCGAGCGCCCTCCGCAAACGCAATCCTCTCCAATCAATAACAATCACCACGCCCGCGCAGCCATGGCTGACCCCCTCGACATCCTGGCCACCGACCCGTCCACCGGCGGCGGCCTCGATGCAAGCACAGCAACCTTCCCGTCCGACAGCGAAAACTACACCTCGGACGAGCGCTCGCCCTCGCCGCCCTCTAGCAGCTCGCCGCTGATCCTGTACTCGCCGCCGACGCTGTGGGGCCTGCTGCGTGGCGCAGCAATCAATCTGCTCCTGCCGTTTGTAAACGGTCTGATGCTGGGTTTCGGCGAGCTGGTGGCCAACGAGGCGGCGTACAGGCTGGGGTGGAGTGGGACGAAGGTATGTTTTGCGTGATGCATGGGTGGAGGTGGAGAGGTGCCGAGGTGCTGAGGCTAACGTTTGTGCAGATTTTCCCCACCGGACGGTCGGACTCGCGACGCGTGGGGCCTGGCGTCGAGATGCGCGCTGATCCCGTCGAGAGGCGGAGGAGGAACGGGCAGGAGCTGGATATGTACACAGCGCTGGAGTAGGCCGAGGAGTCACGATATCAGCATCACCAAACACACACACACACACACACACACACACACACACACACATACACACACACACACACATACACACACACACACGCACGCACACACGCACGCACACACGCACGCACACGGTTGACAATGTGCATCTAACAGCGACGAGCCACCGGAACCCAATCTAGACAAAGCACTGCAAACGATGGATAAGACGGCGTCTGCGTCCGACCATGTGTACAAGAATCTACAAGTACATCCGCCATATTGTGCCTCGTGAAAAAGTCCCAAACATGCAATCCGTTGCTAATGTACAGCTCCTCTGTTCCTCTGTTCCTCTATTCCGTCTCTACCTCCTGTTCTCGAACCTCCGCCTCCTCTCCACCTCATACTGCTCCGCCTTCCTCTTCCTCTTCTCCTCCTCTCGACTCAGATTAGTCCCGACATCGTAGCCCGCCTTCTGCATCATGCCGCGCATGCTTTCGCCCATGCGGCGCTTGACATAGGCCATCTTGTAGTTGCGGCGGTAGTAGTCCATCCTCTCGCTCAGGCTGCCCTTGGCGCCCTCGTCGAAGTCGGCATCGCGGTCGGGGAATTCCTTGTCCATCTTGGGCTGCTCTGGCCGCAGGTGCAGAGGCAGCGCTGTGCCCTCCTTGATCTTGATAGCGCCGCCGGCGAGGGTTGCGTTGTTGCGGCGGATTGTTGCCTTGTTGAATTGCGTGGGAGCCTGGTAGCGGATTTTGCCGTCAGCGCCCTTGATGTCCTTGAGCTTCAGCTCGCCTTTGACAACCTTGTTGAAGAGTTCGTTGCTCTCGGGGCTGGGAAGCACGTGGATGCCGATCATGCGTCTAAAGCCGTTTTGCTTGAGGAGGTAGGCGGTCCCCGCGCCAAGGATACCGGACACCAAGAAGTACAGCTGCAGGGCCGAGGCCTGAAACGCCGTGATGATACCGATGAAGAAGGCCATGCCGGTCATGAGCTTGCGCCGAGATGCAGCCTCGGCCGTCACGTCTGCAACACCAGTCTCGCCGCCGCTCTGTGGGTGGATTAGCTCTGTAGAGACGTGTCGTTGCGGCTGTCACGTACCTTGAACATCTTGTACATGATGGCGGTGGTAGCAGCGGGCAGGATGAAGTAGGGATCGCGTGAGCTCAAGTCGGCGAACCAGAAGAAACCATCGTGCATCATTCCAGGCACAGGGAGTTCACCCATAGCGCGGAGGCAGCGGAAGGCGCAGAAACCAACAACAGCCTGCACACCTGTGAACGCTGCCATGGCGCCCATGCCGCCAGCGAGAGGCTTTAGGATAACTGCCTGCTGCATCCTGAGCAGATCGGCCTTCTGCTTGTCGCCGGCAGCTATGGCAGCATTCAACTGCTCCTGCAGAGGGGCAGTGACTGGCCTCATTGCGGCCATGACAGCCATCTTGTCGGAACTGAGTGCCTGGAAGACGAACATGCCGCTGCGCACAATGACGGTAGTCGCCATAATGGTTCCTGCCCAACCCCAGCCGGTCTGGAGATAGACCGTCTCGAGCAGCTTCTCGAACAAGGTGGTGATTCCGTAGCCGTAATCCAGTCCGAGCTCAGCAAGCTGTCCGTGGTGGTCGATCAGCTGTGTGGGATCAAAGTCGGCCTTGGGGACGACATCCTTGACGGGAGTGGCAGTGGCGAGCAGTTCGTCGAGGGTGTGCTGATCGAGAGTCGACGACGTGCCCTCGGCTGGTGTGGCGGTGCTGTTTGTGACGGCAGCCTTGTCGATGCCTGCGGGTGCGATCTCGGGGGTGGCCGTCGTGACTTGGGGCTCGAATGCTGGTGCAGGCGCAGGCGCGAGTGGCGTGGGCGTGTTCGAGATATCGGCAGCGGGCACCGTTTCGGTAGGCCCGCCAGGCGTACTTGAGCGACCCCAGCTCCACGGGGCATACCACGAGCCGTAGCGGACCGACGATGCCGTCAGGGCGATGTGCGGGTGTGCGCCTGCGCCAGTCCTCCGCTGAGCGGACAGCAGGCTTGTGCGAGAGGATGGGAGACGGGCGGTTCGGGGGAGGGACGAGAACTACAAGTCACATGTCAGCGCGTCTGCTCCTTCGGTCGCAGCAATGCCTGTGCCGCACGTGTGGACGCGCGTGATTGCATGTTCGCGACAGTTGCGCGGCGGCCTGCGGAGGCGGACGTGTGCTGCCGAGGGACTGCTGAGGTGGACAGGACGCGCACCTTTCTTGAAGCATTAGAATATATATGCGTCGATTGGCGCGAACTCAAGGGAGCGAACTGCGCGGGCCGCAGCCCTCTACTTGGCAGCATTGTGAGATGTCGTCGTCCGGCGTCGTAGGCCATGCTCCGAGTCTCTCTCCATCTTTTTCGAACGCCAAGCACCGGCCCACTAGGGCGGACCGCGGACGTCTCCGGGCTCAGGGCGACCAGCGCAACGTGACGATGAGCAGTGGAGAAGATATTGCTTGATACATTCTTCAACTGAGCATTACGAGAAAGTACATATTACGCCTGTCAGTGGGTATCTCGGCCCCCAAGCCGCCATTACCCCATACCATAACACCAGTCGAATGCGACAAACAGGCCGTTCCGTCAGTGTGCACACGATACACACGACTATACAACAGCCGTCGAGGAGCCTCTGTACTCCGTAGAACTACCCTCGAGATAATCAGAACGAATACAATGTGCAGGAAGTAAAGGTGACGCCCCGGCCGATATAAGAAATCTTGTACAGAGCTGATCCAGAGGCTCAGAGATGTTGTCATGTCGGTCTGGCAATTCTCCGCGGCGACGAGTCCGGCATGTCGAAGACACTGGATACCTAGTCCAGGTACCTGTTGCCTTCGGTGACGGCCAGAGCCTCCTCTGCTTGGCCACCGCCCATCTCCATAGCTTCGCCAAACATCTCTTGCCCGTTGCCCGAGCTCTTGAAGAGGTCCTGCATCGGAGACGTCGGTACCTGTGTGGAGCTTTCGAACAGACCTGGGTCAAGGGGAGCGACTGAAGCGCTGACCCCAAAGCTGAGGGGAGCGTTGCTGGCGAATGTTGGCGAGTTGTTGTAGGCCGACGTCGTGTTCGAGTTGAAAAAGTCAGTCTCGCCAGCCTCGCGACGAGGGTCACCCGGCGGCGTGTGTGAAGAATTGGGGTCCGAGCCAGCAACATGAGGTCCACCCACCTCGCCATCCTTGCGCTTCACTTGGTGGTTCTTCGTACGCAGGTGCGGTGGTAGATCGTCTGGGTTGGATATTCCCAGCTGGCTCATAAGCTTCTGCTGCTTCGTCGGTCGAGGTTTGCGAGTAGACAAGGAAACCTGCAGAATGGGTGGTGGGTTAGGCGCCACAGGAGCCCACTTGTGCAGTTCCTGACGGAAGAAGTTGACCTCCTCTGTGAGAAGAATGTCGGCGCCTTCGAGTTTGCGAAGGTAGAAACGTTGAGTTGTAAGCTCATCAGGGCTAGACATCAGCGGGTTGATGTGCTGTTGCACGTATTCGCGGAACTTGGTACCGTGATCGATGATGGAGTCTAGCGTCTCCTCTTCCTCGGGCTGGAAAGGTAGGTTAGGCAGCTCGTCTTGCCAGGCCATGAGATCTTCGAGCTTTGGACGTGTGGCGTCGCGCGGGATCTTCACACGGTAGTCACAGATGGGACAAGTGTACTTGTCGTCTTCCTTGACCTTTCCGCGTGCGATCTTTAGACACTTGCCGTGGTACCTGGTGATTGTTAGTAAACCCCTTCGCTCAGATGGTATGTTTCAACTCACCATTCGTGACAGAGCTCGCATTCGATCATCATGCCAGCTTCAGGCCTGCGACAGATGCAGAAAACGTCTCGACTAGAGTTTGAACCATCCACTTCCTCTCCATCTACAGGGCTGGCTTCACGTGAAGCAGGCTCTACAGGCATGCGTGGTTGGTCGGACAAGTCGAAGCACGAACGGTTGCGCTCGTCTACCGCCTTCATGTGCTGGTGAAGAATGTGAAGAGGCGCGTTGGCCTTACCGAAGAGCTTCTTGCCTCGACGCATCCAGTCTTCATGTCGCTTTTGCTCCTTCTCGAGATCAATGGTCCCGGCGGGTTTGCTGTTGAGGGCGCTCAAGGCCTCCATCGCATCGCGTACCTCCCTGTAACTTGGTCGTTGACGGAAGTCCGGATTCTTGCTTCGCTCAAACAGCGACATGATAAGATCTTGCGCATCACGCTGCTTCTTGAGAATAGCATCGACTGCAGCACGGGTCTCTGGAGTAACAGGTAAGCTGGTAGCTTGCTTGGACAAAGCATCTAGCTGTTGGTAGTGGACATTCTCAACAGCCATCAGCTCTTTAGCCTTGGTCTCCCAGAACTCTCCCTGCTCCTTCTTGCCCTGTAGGAACTGAATCTCAGGGTGATTCTCAGGTATGCCCAACTCAACACCGCGAGTGATGAGCTCGCCAACTTCTTGGAGCGTCGTAGCGGGCTTGTACTTAAACTCGTCGCTTTCGCGCAGCCATTTCAGCTGCTGAACAACCTTCTCCAGCGATTCCAGTTCAGGCACGTCCACGTTGAATGTCTTGCCCTCTTCAAGCAATTCGTCGAGACGAGCGATGCTTTGCTGGTTCGGACGGTCGCGGAGCGCAATGCGTGCCTTGTCTTGGAACTCGGCGATACTCTGCGCACGATCGCGCAAGGCGGTGATCTCTGGACAATCGAAGCCGAGATCCTTAGCTTTTGTGAGAAGCTTCTGGATGTTCCCCACGCTGCGATACTCACGATCCTTATCCTCAGCTTCTGCTGCTGCGCTTTTATTGGCACCCCTGCCTCTGCCAGTTCGCACGTTCTTCTGGCGGGCCTGCTGTTTGCGTGTAGTGTAGGCAATGGCCTCGTCTGCAATTTCAGTGCACTTCTCGACGAAGTCCTTGAGGTCTGGCAGTCCTGGAAGCTCCCAGTCGATCTTCTCCCCTTCGTTCACTAGAGTGCGCAATACTTTCAGCTGCGGTTGAGGACCCTCCGCCATCAGGGCTTCCAATTTGGCCTCCCAGGCGTCCGGGAGACCCGCCTTATCCGCGACTTTCCGAGACGTTGAGATGATAGCTTCGCTAGTTATACGGTAGATGAGAACGTGTTCAGCCCCATCACCTTGATAACGCCCATCGACTGAACTGCCCGAACAGCACTCGAACAGCCCAGCATGCTGTAAGCACACCACCTTCTTGCTGTTGCGGCAATAGAACCTAGATAGGTAGCTATATGCTTTACAGAAGGCACAAATCATGTCCTCCTCTTGTACATCGGTATCATCCACGATGACCTCAAGCAGGCATGGGGCTGACTCGTGTCCGTCCGGACCTTTGCTGTCATCTAACTTGCAGGTGTGTGGGCGCGATGCCTTGTGGGCTTCGGAGAAGGTTGCCCGTACGCGTTCTTCGCGGATACGCATCCGATCCAAAGCTGGAGCCAGCCATTTGGCAGTCTTAATTGTTGTGTCCTTGCGACTAGCCGCTGCCATAAGCAGCTCATCATGCGAGAAACACGGCTGTCGTCTGTACTCCTGGAGACGCAGAACGCCATGTTCCCCGAATGGCTCCCAATCGCTTGGCGCGAAGTTGACGGCCTCGTTGAAGTTAAAACCATGGTTAAAGCCGGCGTGATAAGCCTGCGGGAACGTGATAACGAACTCTCCTGCACGCTGATCGAGTGCGTAGACCCTGACACCGGCCTTCTTTAGTTGTTCGGGTGTCAGAAGCGTGACTAGCTGGAACAGGAGATCGGGCTGTGTCTCGAACAGCTCGGGAACAGCCTCGCGCATCGCCTGCTCGAATTTCCCTACGTCCTCCGCGGGAATGCCGTACCAGGTCTTTGTGGCGCCGAAATGCTGGTAGTTTGACGAGTATGTGTAATGGTCTTCCGCATGCCAGCAGAAAGTTGAGAATACCATTCCAACGTACAGCCATGGTACTGTCATGCCTGAGATGTCAGACTTGATATGCCTGAAGAGCGAGTCAGGCGCATAGGGCAAGATGTTCAGGTTCCACGGATCAGTCGAGTACGGATCTTGCGGCCTGCGCTCGATGGTAGGGAAACCGCTGCCGTGTGTTGTTGTGTGCACATCAGCACCATACTCCACTTCGACCGTCTCTGTGAGGTCCTCAACGAGCCTCCAGAACTCTTTCTCAATCTCGTCCTCAGTGGGCTGCTTGTGTGCGTTTGTGACAGGATCGAAGACGGTCTTGCCAGCGAAGTGGGCTTGCTTGAAGCTTTGCGCCTTCTCTTGGAACTGCTTCAAAGAGTACACGCCACCCTCTTCGAAGCCAAATTCGCCTGTACCAACAAGACATCGTGGACAGTGCCAGTCGTATGTAGGAACGCCACGAATTGGTGGATCGAGGCAGTAGCCGTGGTAGCCGTTGTCACAGCTATCGCACAGCAAGATGTTGGTCGGGTCATTATCTGTGCCACAAGTCTCGCAACGCTACGATGATCAGCTAAATATATACGATTGTGTGAATTCGTCAAACTTACATCACCGGGGCGATCATCGGCAGGCCGTACGCGTGGGTTGATATTGCCCGGCGTTGACTGGCGAGGCTGCGTCATGTGGGAACCGGCTACGGTAGGCGCATCTACAGATTAGCCCGTTAGCCAAAGTGCCACCAATGAGATCGCGGGTCGAGCCGAGCCATGCAAGGATACAGCAAGCGAGGTGACTCTACATATGCATGCATGCATGTGTGTGCTTACCTTTTCTTAGTCGCTTGCTGCGACGGCCGTTTGCCTCATCAGCTTCCTCGTTCATGCTGCTCTCTCCGTCGTGGGACAAAGCGCGCTTCAATTGATTGAACGCAAGTCCGTTGGACAACGGTGTCAATCCATGTGATGTTGGCCTCAGATCCGGTGTGTTGTTGGCTGAAAGCATGGGGCTATCGCCATTTCGCAGGGGAGTTGATGTCCGTGAGTCGATGGATTCCCTAGGCAGTCCAACTGGCGTGTTCACAGCGGAAAATGCGCTGGCTGCAGGCGTTGCAGGAGCTGGTGCTGCGCTTCCGTTCACTGGCGTGAAACCCCCAGGATTGACAGCCGTGAAGCCACCTGACGAGATGGCAGGTCTGGGAAGCTCGGACGGCGTGGACACTGCGTCGCCGTGCAGCGATGCGCTCAATGCTGCAGATGCCTTTATGGCTGGTGAGTCAAGTGCGGTAGCTGTTGGGGTTCCTTGTTTCTTCAGCGGCGAGTGCGCAGGAGATGGTGTGAACGGGCCACCGTACTCATGCTCTAGCATTTGGTGTACGCCTGGCTTGACAACTCGCAGGTACTCTTCGTATGGATGCAGCCATTTTTGATAAGAATTCTTTAGCGAAGTAGAGAGTGAAGACATGATCTTGCCACTGTAGCCGAGGTCGCGGCCAATCTCAGCCCACTTCTTCTGCTTGCAGACGCGCTCGAAGCCACCTCGAGTTTCGACCGCTTTCTTCAGCTTGAACAGATCAAGTGGGCGCTTGTCGACACTCGGGAACCGGACCAGACTAAGACCATGTTGCTTGTGGAATTTGGCCAGCTGGTCGAGATAGTTCAGGTTGGCACGTGTACCGCCTTCGACTGAGTTCAACTCCTGGCGGCGGGTGCGAAAGTGGAAGCGCTCAGTGTCAACAGCGAATGGCGGATTCCACGTGTCTGGCGGGACAATCTTCACAATGCCATACTGTTGCGCCTCTTCCCGTATGCTCTGGAGGTAAGCAACTGGATCCCTAAACTGCTCGGCGGTCGGCCTGTATGTAGGCGCTTCCTGCAGGCCGAACATGCGCTGTGGCTTCGGCGGCAGGTTGTTCGGTGCATTGTGTCCCCTGCGCTCGACGGTGGACAGTTCCAGCGGCGCTGCCTTGCGTGCACTCAAGGGTATCGTGTTCACATTTGCGGTGTTCGCAGACACAGCAGCACCGCCCATGCGCGATCGTGAGGGACCTCCATCAGATACACCGCCGTCCGTAGCGACTCGGAACGTTGTTATCGTTGCGCCCGTCGGCGGTCCACCCGCCGGCATGAAGTCGACCATCGTCGGGTCGAATGCAACTTGCACTCGTGCCGGGAGTTCTAGATTTTGACTTCGTAACGGCCTCTGCAATGGTCCAAAAGGCGCAGCGACCGTTCCGAGGGAATTTCTGGGGTGGTGCGCGGGCTATCGTAGGGAAATATCTGCAGGCATGGGACCTGCGTATACGGCAGGCGACTGCCTGTGCCCGGATATGTTTTCTCGCAATTGCGGTCTGGCGGAAAAGAGAGTATGCGCACTCTCCAGCAGTCGTGTGCGCCGTAGAGCTCGACGGGTCGGCGTGGCAGTGGTTCCGGGTGGTCGCTGGGTTGTGGGTGGTGCGAAGAGGAGGGCAGCGAGCAGCGAGCAGCGACAAGGAAGGAAGCCGGGGCGAGAGCGTGAGGTGCGGTGCACTAGCGCTCTTCGACCCAGCGAACATGCGGAGACGCATCCAGCGCAAATTTAAACATGTGCATCACTCGCAAGGCGGCTCGGTACTAAATACAGAAAAGCGTCCATTGCGCTCACGCAACATGGAATGCTTGCATGGCTGCATCGAACGATGGAGGTCGTCACTGCCAATGCGCTGAGTTGTAGTTGCCGAATGCGGCGAGGCCGCACTACGAAGTACTGTCATCTCACGACTCGCCACGCTGCTACGAGCATTATTCAGTATGCCAACACCACCCATCAGCGGCAGTGTGCAAAGAACAGATCATGGATCGTACTCCAGACTTCGGTGACACACAAAGCCGTCTTCATTGCAGCCTTGCATCCTCTGACACATCAGACGGACTATAATTGCCATCCCGCCGCATAATACCGCAGCGCTGAGATCCAGGCCCACAACCAATCAGCGCCACCCTTCTTCCAACCCCTGCACCATCAACAACAACACCAGCACATCGACCCACAATCGCCATATGACCGAGCTTCTCAAACTCGAAAGTAAACCCATCCCAGCCTTCTACTGCTGCTATCTCCTGCGCTCCAAGAACCGCAAATCCTACTACATCGGCAGCACGCCCAACCCAGCGCGCCGCCTCGGCCAGCACAATGGCACGAGCAAGGGCGGCGCAAAGCGCACTGCGATGCAGGGCAAGCGTCCATGGGAGATGACGTGCATCGTGACGGGTTTCCCATCGCACTTCGCAGCGCTGCAGTTCGAATGGGCATGGCAGAACACCCACATGACGCGCCACATCGACCGCGACGTGAGAGACGAGCGGGCCGTGGCGCTGCAGAAAGGGAAGAAAGCCGCGCCTGCGTCGACGGGGAGGCGTAAGAGGCCGCCCATGTCGCTGGAGGCGCGACTCAAGAATCTGCATCATCTGCTCGGTGTGGACAGCTTTAGGAGGTGGCCGCTAAATCTGAGGTTCTTTGCGCTGGATGTGTTCAAGCAGTGGGAACGGCACACGGCGAAGATGAAGCAGAGACTGAGGGACGGCGTTGCGGTGACGGTCACGCCTGCTGAGATGCCGAAGCTTGCGCCTGAGATTTGGGCGGAGGTGGGATCACATTATATCCCGGATATCATACGGAACATCCCAGTTGCGTATGAAGACTGCAAGCCGTGTGTCGAAAAGTCGATGAAGATGTTGCAAGATCAAAATAGCCACAGCTGTGGTGTTTGCAGAAAGAGCGCAGACAGCTCGTCTACCATGGTGGTCATCTGTCCCATGGAGACATGCAAGTCCGTATCCCATCTGGCATGTCTGTCGAAGAGATTCCTCTTCGAAGACGACAGTTCTGAAGGCGCTTTGATACCTATAGAAGGCTCTTGTCCGGGCTGCGGAACGAACCTGAAGTGGGCCACGCTGATGAAAGAGCTTAGCCTGCGTACATACGGCGAAGAGGAGATCGCTGCCATGTTCAAACCGAAGCGCAAAAAGAAGACCGATGCGCAGGACGCTGAAGAGAACGTTGGCGAAGAAGACGAGGATCTTGACGAGACGTGGATGAAAGACGTAGACGAGTTTGAAGCCGAGAGTCCGAGCAGATAGGTAGATATTGCTATCGGCTTCGGCACACTCGAACATGGCAACGGCGACTACAGAGTCTGTCATGCATGGAACATTTCATTTCTCCCCCTCTGCTACCACTCGCCGACCGTCCTCAACTCCCCTCCCTCGCCATCAACCCGCTTGACAACCTCCCCCGTCTTCCCCCAAATCTCCCTCCCCACATCCTCAACACTTCCCCCCGCATCAACGACGACGAAATCCTCACCCTCACTCTGCGCCCTTACTTGCTCAAACAGCTCTCTCACGCGGTCCTGCATGGCCTTTTTCTCGTACCTCTCCGTCCCGTAGCCGCCTCTCTGCGCCGCGGCCTCGGGCGAGATGTGCAGGAACAAGACGACGTCTGGCCGCGGCAGGCCGACGTCGGGGGCTCGGCACCAGGAGAGCGGGAGCGACGGGTTCTGTTTGGCGGCCGAGTAGACGATGCCAGAGTAGTAGTAGCGGTCGAGCACCACCGTTGTGCCGGCCTGGATTGCTGCTCTTATTTTGGGGCTGTGTGTGGTTAGATGCAGATCAGACGAGAGGTGGGGGAGTCGGGGTCTGGGGGTCCAAGGACTGAGGCCAATAAGGTCCAAGGACTGAGGTCGAGGAACTTACACGGCTTCCCACCGGTTTGCGCTGAAGAGGAGATGGATCACGTGGTCGTCCTGCTCGCTCTCGCCGCTGAGGTAGCTATTGATCATCTGCCCGATTGGCGTCGTGCGATCTGTACAACCCCAATCAGCAACATCCCTTAGATTACAGCCCAGCTCGTACGAGCCGTACGTTACGCACCAGGGAACCGCATGAACAGAACCTTCTGCCCGTCCTTCTGCAACGCCTCGACGAGCATCTGGCATTGCGTCGTCTTGCCCGCTCGGTCGAGCCCCTCGAACACGATCAACTTGCCCCGCGCCATTATTGCGAGCGAGAATCCGAAAGCGATGTCTGGATGTCGAACATCAGGACCGCTGGAGGAGCGGATAGGGCTGCTAGCGCGATGCGCTACCGGTAACTAGCACATGCATGCATGTTCCGCATCCTACAAGCATCGCATCCGCGGATTCAACATCGAACAACACAACCATCCGAACAATCCCGGAGTAAGCCGACACCGTCCCCCCGAAAAGAGCAAACCAGCAACCGCCCTGCGCCCCATCAGCCCTGCGCACCTAGCCCCTACCCGTGACGCCAACATGCCGCGCGACCCTCTCACAGCACAAAAAGGCAGCTACCAAACCACCATAATCCCCCTACCGGACACGCTCGCATACGAAACTTACGTGAAAAACGCAACCGGCATAATAGTCTTAGCGTGCCACTGGCCCGAAGACAAAACGAGCCGGATCCTAATCACCCAACTGACCAAGCGGCTGCCCGACATGCAAGCGCTGGGCGTGACGGGCGTGTACAGTCTGGACGTGTACAGTCTGCCGACCATTGCTGAGGAGCTGGATATCACGTTTGTGCCGACGCTTATGTGGTGAGTCGCTGCGTGTCCATGGCCGCTACGTGCCTGAGTCTTGATGTGTCACGTGTGGATGGGCTGGGCTGATGCGAGTAGGTTCAATGATCGCGTGCAGGATGCGCTGGTGTGGCATGACGGGGTAAGGATTGAGGGCGAGAAGGTTAGTGGGGGCGTGCAGAGGGTGTTGTCGCGGATTGCGGAGGCGGGGGTGGAGGAGGACGGGGGGGATGCGTGGGAGGGGATGGGGGGAATATATCGGGGTGTTGGTTCGAGTTGAGGTGCACGGGAGGGGTGATGTTTTGCGGGATTGTTTGGAATTAGACGTGCGGATGTGTTTGTGAGCAACAAACTTGCATTGCTGACCGAGTATGGTCGTTGTGTTCTGCTAATAGATACATCTACTGAATATACATGTCGAAAGGATCGCGAAAACGCTTCAAATTTATACGCCCCGGTGTCTCCCGTGTACCCTAAACGCCGTAAAGACATCTAGTGCTCCTTGCGCCTCGGCGGACTCGGCCCAGCCCTGAAGGCTCCGGACAACATGCGCTTGACATTGAACCGATCCGCAGCAGGTCGTTGACTGGACATACTGCTCCTCCTGCTCAGCCCCGTGCCCTGCCTCATGAGGCCGCCAGGTCCATCAGACGCGCCCACCGCCGCGCTGTTGCGGCGCATGTTCATGCGTTTTGTGGCGTCCTCGTACTCACTCTGGTGCAGCGTTTCACTCGGCAGGAGGATAGCGCGGTCTAGCGCGTACGGTAGTCCACGATGGCGGCCACGGATCTGCATCGCGATGACGATGAGCTTAGAGAGCGTCCTGAATTGCCCCGAGAAAGATGTGTTGGCACCGGGATACCCGAGACTGAGGCCAACAGTGCCGTACGCGGAGACGATTTCGAAGAGCACGGAGAAGAGGGTAAAGGCGAAGTCGTTCGTGTTCTCAAGGCGGCCGCCTTCGATGATGGCGATGAGGAAGAAGCCCAAGAACACGAACCACAAGTCGAAGGACAGCTGGCGACGCAAGTGGTGCCCCAGGTAGCTGGAGGGTTCGTTGTCGTCGTCGTCGGCCCAGACGCCGAGGGACTTCTCTTCGTAGACGTTGGTTTGCCGCATCGACATGGCGATTGGGAAGATGGAAATGTACATCATAATCAGGTAGCTGACTTGGATGGCGGGATGCAGCTCGGCGATGTTGACGACGGCGAAACCGGCGGTGCGGGTCGCGGCGGCTTGAAACAGACCATCGAGGAAGCGGAAAGCTGGCGGGAGGACGGTGACGGTTGGATCGTTGAGATCGAGGATGATGAAGAAGATCAGATCGATAGCGTTCAGTCCGATCAGCACAGCGAAGAGCCACCAGTTGGCTGTGCTGGGGAAGAGCAGCGTAAAGCACCGACGGGGGTGATCGAGCAGGAAGCGGAACTCGTCCCACACGCCACTCCCCTTGGGCACAAACTTGGAGCAGAGCCAGATTACAAAACGAAGCATGCAGGGAAAGCCTGTGTTTCCGATGATGATCAGGAAAGTACCCAGAAGCAGGGGCAGCACTGCAAACTGGAACGAGACCATGGAATCCGGAGTTAGCGTGAAGCCAAGATCGTTGAACATGGACGCGGGGGTGAAGAAACCCCACCAGACAGGGCTGACGCCCACGTCCTCAACGACTTTCGTGTAGCGCGTCGATCGTGTGATCCAGGGTGTAAGGCAGACCATGCCGAGCAGGTGGAAGCCAACAAAGTAAACGCAGAGAACCCAAGCCAGCGTCTTCAGAGCGCGATACTCGATACCTCCGAGCTCCTCTCGCTGTTCCTCTGTCAGATCGACGAAGTTGGAGTTGCGTCCTATCGTAGGTGCCCAACTGAGGTACGGCATAGGATCTGCCTCTTCCTCTTCCTTGTCCCTCGTGAAGAAGCTGGCGACTGTTCGCGTTCTCGACCGGTTGCGAAGGTGCATGTTGGCACTGGGCGTGTCAGGATCCGGTTTCCTGTAGACGGAAGCGCTGGTGGCAGCGCGCTGGGGGCCGTCGAATGTGATGTGGCTCCTGAACTTGGGTGCCTCTCCGTTCGCTTCTCCAACGCTCATGGAGCGAGATCGCTGCGGGTCGTCGTCTTCGTGCGATGTTTGAGTCATTTCGCGTGCCAGCTCGTCAGTCACGCGCTGCGGCATCAGCCCACGATCAAAGTCTCGTGGGCCCGGAATGCGCAGGAGGCCTTCCCTCGGGTTCCTGTTGCGCTGGATTTGTACAAACGCAATGCTCCGCTCCTTGTCTGGACCGGGGAGTCGGTCTGCGGGAGCATCGACAGCGTCCGAGTCGCGGCGTTGCATCGGGGTCCTGGTGTCGACATTGTCTGCCCACACAATGCCCGAGTTGGTGTGCTGGTAAGACTTTGGTTGCTCGAGGGGCCCAATATCCGCGTCGTCGCTGCTTGACGACCGCGAGGGCTTGCGCATGGCGAGCCCAGCACTGCCGTTCGTTCCCTGGAAGGCCGACTCGTCCTCGATGACTCCGCCGCCGGCGTGTCCACTGGCGGTCCGCATGACGTCGATGCGGCGGCTGCCGACGCCGCGCTCTTCGTCGCCCATGTGTCGGTCCTGCTCCTCTTTCATCTGGCTCTTCCTCCTGGACATGGTGCGGGTGCGGGTGGCGCGCATGCTGCGGGCCTCGAGGACGACGCTCTGGAAGCGCTTCTCGAACCAGTACAGGCGGATGAAGACGACGAAGGTGTTGATGAAGATGGGCGTGCAGAGGCAGGCGATCAGCATGAGGGCAATCTGCTGGTACAGGGCGAGCTTGTTGACGTCGATTCTGAAGTGTGGTCAGCAATTGGTCGCTTCGGTGCCCGGGGCGAACGCACGTATTCAGACCGCTCTGCGTCGCGGAACCGCTCGCGAAGAAGAGAGCATCGATGTAGTCCATGTTCCGCTCGCCATACAGGATGACAGATCCAATCAGGGTCATGACAACGAGGTATGTGTCTGCGCCCAGTCAGCAGTCGTCCCTCACTCAGCAGTCGTCCCTCAGTCAGCAGTCGTCCGCCAAGCCAGCAGTCGTCTGCCAAGCCAGCAGTCGTCCGCCCCCAACGTACAATGCAGCGTTATAAAGTTCAGCTTGGGCTTGAACAGCGCCAGCGCCGCCGGCGTGTGGTCGCGGACCCAGCGGGCAGCAGGGACAATGTGCTCGGCGAACATGATGGCGACGTCCGCGCCCTCCGGCCTTCAGGAGGTGTCGGCAGCGAGCGCGCAAGCAGGCGAGCAGCGGTACAGCGGTCCAGTGGTCCAGTGGTCCAGTGGTCCAGCGGTCCAGCGGTCCAGCGGTCCAGCGGTCCAGCGGTGCAGTGGTGCAGTGGTTGAGGGAGGCGGCGGATCGGATGCGGCTTCGCCAGGAGTTGAACAGCTCGCTCAGCCAAGAAGCCAACGGACCGACCCGAGTAGCGTGCAGCGTGCGAGGCAAAGTGGGTGGGTGTGCATGGTGACCGGGGACGGGAATGGGTGGGTAGAAATGTCGAGGCGGGTCCAAGTGGGCGGCGGTCAGTGAATGGGCGCTGTGCGAGCGCCGTCTCGAACCATCACAATCTCGCACTTGGCATCGTTGTGGATTCCCGCTTGGAGTCCCCAAGGGCCCAGGATGTGCCTCGGAGCTTTTGTTGTGCAGCCGTGGCCCACGCAAAACGAACCGCCCACAGGGAACGCAGCCAATGAAACACCACCAAGCAGCTCCTCCTGAAACACTCAAACCCACGCACGGCCTGTTCTCCAAATCTCTAATCTCTAATCTCGTGCGACCAAGCCGCCGCTGCGCCTCCGCCAAGTCACTGCACGATTGATCTGCCTCCAGTTTCACATCCTTCTCGAAGAAAGATAGACCGTTCCAGCGTGCCCTCACAAAGGTATCGAGTGCGCATAAGGTTCGGACCGCACCGTGACAATACAGCCTTCAGGAGTAGTGTGTACATTGGCTTTCAACAGCACTGACATGATTCAAGAGAACTGCTTCAATAGCACTGTGGGCACCATAGTATTGACAGATCTGGTAGTACATCGTAACGCGTCGCGGCTTCTCTCCATGCAATAACGATGGCCTGAAAGGGATACAAAACATTAACAGACAATGCACCTTCTTCCGCCTGCTCTTCTCCATGTACACCCCTACTCTGTGCCGTTGGCCTTGGTGGGCGTCTCGAGCGTCGGTGTCACCGCCCCCGAGCCTGTGCCCTTCTTGGGCTTGAGTGTGAGCGGGAACTGGAACACTTCGTCCGTCTCTTCCTCCTCGCTGTGTGCTGTTAGCTGTGCTCAGGTTGAGAAGAGCCGCTGGTACTTACGGAAGCTTCCACGCGATGTAGTCCTCGGTGCTCAGCCCTTCACGACCCTCCTGCAGTGAGGCAAAGTCGCCAGGTGTCATCATGCCCGAGCGGTCCCGGGGCGATCCGGGCTCAGATAATGGCCTCGAGATCTTCGCCTCGTTAGCGCTGAAGAAGTCGGGCTCATCATCGTCTTCATATGCGTTGGGGTACGCTCTCCGCAGCGCCAACTGTCGAGCTTTGACGTATTCGAGACCCATGCGCTTCCAGTCAAGCAGATCGCTCAATCGCTCTGTTCGGTTACGCTGGTTGATACGCTGACGCTTGCTCTTTTTTGTGAAGTCGAACATGTAGTCCACGAGCTGGTTGACTGAGTCATCTACGCCCTTCATCCTGCGGTCGACAATGTAGATACCGTAATCCTGGGCATTCTCGATCAGCTCTTCCATGTAGCAACCAAATCCTGACAGGTTGGTGGTGATGCTAGGGACACCCATGACCGTGCACTCGGCGGGTGTGTAGCCCCAAGGCTCGTAGTATGATGAGAACACACCGAGATGGGTTCCGCGGACGAAGTCGTCGTAGTCGAGAGGAAGAACGGGGTTGGCAGAGTTCAGGAACTCAGGGTGGAACACGACCTTGACGCGGTCTGAAGGGTGGTTGAACAGCTGGCATCTTCGCAGCTGGTTCAAGACTGGGTCCTCCGAGTCATTCGCCATGTTGTGGGTGACGATAGGAGGCAGGTTGTGCCTCTTCATTGCGTACAATCGGCGACGGAGCAAGATCTTGTCCTGGGGCGAGAGCAGGTCCTTGTCTTCGGGCAGTTCCTGGCCTTCAGTCCAGGTCAATGAGCGCTCAAAGAGCTTCTTGGCTACGTTTGCAGCGATGTTGTCAACAGTGTCGTGCAGAGACTTGATGACAGCTTGCCCCTTGAGCGAGTCGACGGACAGCGAAGTGGTCTGTGCTGGCAGAATGATGAAAGCCACAACAGTCATGTCCGAGTTCTCGTTCTTCATCTTGTGGTTCAATCGTGCCAGAGACTCGATGAACATATCCACACCTTTGTTGCGGTACTCGTATCGTCCGGCAGTGAAGAAGTAGAGGGTCTTGTCAGGGTCGAAGTCGTTGTGGCCGTAGAAGTGACCTCGGATGAAATCGTTGATCTTGACCTTGGACTGCTGGTGCAAGTTCTGGAACTCGTGGGTAGCCGAGAACTTCTTGACGTTCAGACCGTTGGGGAGGACGCCGTCCGGCTTGCGCTTGAGGAGATGCTCACTCTCGTAGGCGGTGATGTGAGAGACAGTTGTGAACACATCGGCCGCGTGTGTTGCTGCGCGCTCGATGCAGTAGCGGTGGTATATACCGCGCTTCCCAGCCTCGGCGTCGACATCGAAGTATTGCAGGTTGTTGTAGAAATCGACTGAGCCAGCGCAGAGGTAGCGACCAAGTAGCGTGGCGTGGGTGGTGAAGATGGTGGTCACATCGATGCGGCGCTTCTTGCAGAGCGGCACTGCGACGCCAGCGAGCCACTCGTGGAATTGCACGATGATAGCGCGCTTCTTCTCGTGAAATGTGTACTCGCCCAAGAACCATGCAATCAGGTAGCCGAAAACGATGGCCTCGTTGGTCTCAGAGTCGCCAGGGGGCGAGGGAATGCCAGCCGAGGACCACAAGTCGCCCTTCCACTCGTCGAGCCACCTGTAGCCCGTGCTGGTGTCGAAGAGGAGCACGCGAGGAGCTCCATCAATGAGCCAGCGTCCGTACAGCGTCTTGATGCCGCGCTCGTCCATCGACTTGATGGTCGCTAGCAGAGCAGGGTCCTTGGGCTCTATGGGCTCGACCTCGACTTGCGCCTGGTTTGCTGGTCAGTGGTGGAGCATCTACGATTGAGCTGGGATTGCGCGTACCGAAGCTCTGTTCCAGGGCCCCAGCAGCGTGTATGCTGCGCCATACTCGGCGGTAGTGACCTGGGCCTTGGACTTGAGCACAGAGTAGATGCCACCCACTGCGTCGTCGAGGTCAGCGTGTGAAGCGTGAAGTGTGGGGCAGACAGTTCTGGCAGCTCGTACCTCTGTTGGCGACCTCGGTCGCGACCTCAAAGAGGACGTGGTTGTTGATGTCTCGCGTCTCGGTTGCCATTGCGTCGGTCAGAAATGCTGGCAGCTACGTGAGGTGTGACGGGCTGCGCCGCAGTTTTGAGGGTTTGAGGGGAGAGCTGAGAGCGTCCCGGGTCCGGCTGGACAGCTTCGTGCTCGAGGCTGGTCGGGTGGTCGGGCTACTGCAGGCGGCAAGACAAGCGTGAATTTGCTAGTGTTGGGATCGATCTGGCCGTGGCGGGCACGTTGAGGAGCCGCAATCGGGAGCGCAGGGAAAGAATGCAGAATTATTTCCAGGATGGGCAGCGCAGACGAGGGAGGGCACAATCACGGTCAAACTGTCAATGCATTGAGCTGCCCGACGCCCTCTGCCGCTCGCGAGCGAGGTTGGGGTTTATTGGCAGCTATCACGGGTCCATGCTGCCGTCTGACATCATTTCGCGACCATCGTTGCATGCATTGCCCAATAGCAGCCATCTATGTTGCTGCTACGCCAACTCCACACACTCCGCACTCCACAGCGAGACAAACACGAGCCCAAGCAAGCAATTCTTCCTCTCGCCGCGGCCCGTGGGATGTAAGGAGGTCGTGCAGCCTCAGCAGGGTTTGTCGCCAACAACTCAACAAACTGCCAGTGGAGATGAAAGCGGAGAAACGACCGACGAAAGCCGGGGTGCATTCATCGTCAGCGATCCCCCATCTCGAAAACACCACGTGAGCAGATCTCACGAGCGCCCGGCCAATGTCTGCAGCGCTGTACCGCTGCAGGGCTCCGTCATACCACCGACGATGCGGGGTCAGGAGTTGATGTCTGGCGTTGGCAGATGCTCTCCGCCTCAAGATTATGGAGCTGTGGGGCCTGGAGGTGGGCCACGTGAAGATTTCGACTCCAGCCATCGTAGCGTATCGGGTAGCTAGCGAAATGCAGTAACTGGGCGTCTGCATTAATTCTGTGAAAACCGGGGTTGTGAATACATACAAAAAGTGCAGGCCGAAAATCCACCCGCACAGTGAGCCTCAACAGCTTCCAAACTTCATCAATGCGCCGGAGCACCTAAGACAGCACACGCGAATACGAACCCAACAACAAACGACGACACCCTGATCCCGCAGGCCCCAAACACCATGACTCGGGATATCGAACTCCTGAAATGCTAAGAATGACACCGTTCCGTCCTCTGCCTATCACTTGCCCTCCTCCTGTTCGCCTCCACGCAGCGATCAGCCAAACGCTACTTGCCTGATCGATCAATGATGGGCTCCTTCGCGCCACCGATGTTCGCGAGTAGACTGCCTGACTGGAACTCTCGTTCGTCTGAGAAATCCAACATGGGACCACGTGCCTTCGAACCGTCCATCACTCCACGACCGACCTTTGCATTGCCTTGCGCATAGCCGGCTTGCGAGAGCAATCCGCCAGTGAAGGCTTCACTGTCGTCTTGGGGCACGCCGTTGTGGTTGTTGAAGGTGTGGGCTGCCAATGGCTGGCCACGACCCTTCAGCGACTTGGTACGCTCATTTGGCTGGGGAGCATAAACTGGGCGAGGTTTGGCGCGCCAGTCTGTAGACGAGGGAATCTGAATAGCCTCAACTTCCATCGAAGTTGCGCTCTCCACAAGAGGGCCTGAATTGGCCCCGGGATTGTAGCCTTTGCCCTGCTTGGCAAACTGGGGTGGAGGACGATATGTCGGAGTCAAATCAACCAATGGCTGCGGCATGCCAGGGGCACGCTTGGATGCAGTGCGCCGGATGTCACTCGAAGTCCTCCGGTGATGATTGCTCCGCGTCGAAGAGCTGCGGTTGAGCCCGGAGCTGGGAATCATCTGTTCCATATTGCTGATGAGCGAAGGTCCTTCCGTGAAAGCACCGTTCTGCTTCTGCTCGCGGTCTTGGGCTGCTTTCTGGCGAGTTGTGTAGGCCCGGCCGAGCAGCCCACCAGCGGCAAACGCCTCCTCATCCTGAGATTTGTAGCTTTGCGTGATGGAATTCTGGCGACTGCTGTCTTCGGGGACACTGTTGGTTGCAAATGCAGCAAGACCACGGCTGACAGGCGGTGGCTGCTTGGTTCGAACAGACTTCTTTCTGGCATGTATGGAATGCACACCTAGCTTCGAAAGCGGCGCGTCGTCTGGATACTCTCCCGGCTTGTGGACCTCGATCTCGTCCAGCTTCTTGTTGAAGTCGCTCATGTCGATGAGAGATGTAAAAGCGCCCAACTGATAATGTGATCCCACAGACTCGCCACGGTTGTGCGAAGGGGCTCCAGGTAGGATGCCAGAACCAGCGCTGTCCAGCACTTTCTTCGTAGCGGGTGACTTCTTGAGACCTTCGCCCTTCTCGTACTTCAGATGCCAGCTGCGCCAGGCCTGCAGAGCCTTCCAGAATGCGTTCGCAATGGCCCTGTCGTTCGTACAGAAGAAGTGAACATATTGCGATTCATCTGCGAAGATGTTTGACTTCTGCAGACTCTTGACGGCGAACACAATTTTCTTCGGTGGCTTGACTCTCCCAATCTTCGATTGTGGGACTTGGTAGATGTCGTAGTCGGTAAGATGGCACACGTTCTCCTGGTCCGACATTTTCGCCTTCTCGCTCTTGGCTGTAACAAGCTGGCCGTCTGGACGCAGGAGGAAGAACCGCTTTGTCCATTTCCCGGGTTTCGAAGAGTGGTTCAGCATGCAAGCCATGCCTTCAGGTCTCTTCTCTGGCACACCATAAGAGAGCAGTTCCTCCTGATCGATGCCATCGATTGCCGAGTCGGTGATGATGAGTTCATTCTGATCATCGTAGTCCCAGGAGTTCATGACATCTCGCACGTACTCGTAGTTGCGAAGTGGTCGCTTAATGTCGACTTTCTTGAACCACTCAATAGCCACAGCCGTTCGGACGGGGATTGCGTCTGGGAGAATGACATCAGCTGACTTGAAGAGATCAAGCGGAGTGGTGGTTGGCGTGACCGGGAGCTGGATGCGCCTCTTGTTGAACACGACTGTGACACGCCTTTCGCCGCCGTTGACCGCCGAAGTTGGGGCATCGATACCCAGCACAGCGCCACCGCCGCCGGTCAATATGGCATCCGGCTCCTTGGTGCCACTTGGTTGCCTAGATGTCCGAGGCCTTTGGTCGGTTGAGCTGTTGTGTTTAGCAGTCGGAGGCCTTGTGGCTGAATTCGGCCTCTCGTCACTCGACATTGACAGGCCCTCGTCCTTCCGCCGTTTGAACAGGCCAAAGCCCTCATGGCGTGGCGGTGAAGTAGGAGGGGATCCTGACGACTGTGAGAGAAATGTGCGTGATTTCTCAGCCAGCCGCACCCTGTTCTCCTTTTCAAGCTTTGCACGACGCTCTTCTTCCTTCTTGTGCTCGATCATCTGCTGCTCCTCTGCCTTGCGAAGCTTCTTCCCACGCCCTCTCTCCGCTTTCTCCTCCTCTCGTTGTAGTCGCAGCGCGGCGGCGGCTTCAGCTACGCGCTCAGCTTCCAGATGTGCAGCCTCCTCTTGCTCGAGACGCAGCTTCCCCAGGCGTTCCATCTCAGCTATCTTGGCCTCCTTCGCTGCGTGGGCCTCAGCCTCCATCTTCTCCTTCAGTAGTCGCTGGCGCTCTCTTTCCTTCTGCAGGAGCATCCTTGGATCCTCATGCTGCTGTTGTGGTGGCGGTCGTGCATCTCTGGGGTGGGGCGGTACAGCTTCTGAGCGGTGTTTGGCGGTCCGGGACTGGACGTTGTTCGCTGTCAGCGACGATGGGTTTGGTGTGCTCACGACGCGATGACGGGCAGATGTGGAGGGCTGTAGCGTAGTCTGGGATAGCGGAAGGGCTTGCGGGGTGATGCTGGAGCGTAGAGGCGGTGCAATCGGGCTGGTCGCGTGCGCGGTGGGAGGACGGCGGTGGTAACGGCTCATGCTTCTGCCCATGTTGCTATTGGGTGTCTCGCGCTGGGCGCCTCCAGAAGTATGCGACTCAAGCATGGCGGGCATCGGTGGCATTGGCGGCATCGGGGGTGCGGAATGCTGCGATTGCTGTGCCTGCTCCTGCGCGCGTCTCACGCTGCGGTAACGAGAGACTTTCTGGGGCGCCACGGGCGGCGGTTCTGTTATGTCGCTTGCCATGTTGTGCGACAAATGTGCATCTGCGTTCCTGAGCGTGGGGTATGCAATGCAAGGGACTCAAGTGTGCATCAACTGCTGTACAGTCGCCCATGAAGATCTGAGAGTTTGGAGGGGGACGAGATGTGCACGATTAGCGCGGCAGGTGCAAGCGGATAAACGGCTTCTATTCAATAGGTTATACCAAAAACCAGGTGGATGGCGCATTGCTTCTCATACCACTCATTTCAGGAGGAAGCGTTAAGGCGGCTCGACCTTGCCGGCCTAAAAACAGCCAGGGCAGGTGGATACGTGGACCCCTCTTTTCTAGTGCTAGCTCTAGCGGAGGACCTCTCCTGAAAGAGGACATTGTGAAACGCGCCCATTCCACAGGCCATGAACACCACGACTTTCACCACAGACCCTTGAGACCAGGGATCGCTGTGGTAGCGAGTTGAGACCTGTTGCAGATAGAACAGCAAACTTGTCCCCACGATCTGCTTGCAGTTTCACAAAAGGCGCAGCTCGGTATTCAGCCACGGCTGAGAGGTACCAAACGAATTGCGCTTTGCCAGCCAGCAACTGTGTCCTATCAAATAGTTGGAGGCTGTGGAGGATCAAGGTCGTGAAATTTTACTGGTTCCTTAATTGGGGTGAAGGAGATGAGAGCTGTTGGGGGACGCGCGCCGAGGTCATACGAATAGACGAATACGCGTCTGGCGCGTTGCCAGCTCACCTCCTTATGTATCGATTTGCACAACAGCTTGCACGTGTTCACGTCGGTCAAAACACGCCAGTCGATGTTGCTGACTGGCGTGTAAGAGGCATTACCAGGCACTGCTGGCGAGCGTAGCCTAACTTGGTATCACTCAAGTAGCGGGAAGGCGAGGCTGTTTGCATAGCGGCTAACCTGATCCAATTTCGAGCACTGAGAAGCTAGTTCTGCTGCATGATACCGACTCGAACAGAGTGTACCCATGAGGCCTTCATGTCATTGATAGCAACGACGATCCGATCGCTCCACACTATCACGGTGAGGTCGAGATACATGAGGACGGAATGGCTTCGGTGGTGATGTGCGACTCTACTTAAGCAAAGACAGCTGCTGGATTAATAACAGGATTTTGAAGAGTTCCATTGCACTTACTCGATTGCCAGCTAGCAAACGGAGCAGCCCTGCTCGGTCGATATTTGCAGAAGTTCACCGTGACGTCTTATCCATCGCTACACACATATGTTTTGCCTGTATTCTCTACCCCTGACACTGCGACAACCCTTTGCCCTCGTCTTCGAGCCCAATCCTGTACGCGTCAAATCCGCATGTGCTGTACGCCGACGCTACCACACCACCACACGTACTCTTGCATCCGGACACGTCTAACTTCTAAACAGAAAGTCTGCAGAGAGGACTGTGCAGGAGTTTGGCAGAGAGAGGGCGGGTGTTGCGGCGTTCGATGTACAGCTACTACGCGCCTGCGCGGAGGGTTGGACGTGCTGGAGTGTAAGCCCGGAATTGTTTCATCATGTGGATGGGGGGAGTGAAATTCCTGCTGTGGACGGTGGAGGCGGTGAGAAGGTTGATCGAGAGACGGAGTTGAGGGCGCTGCAGAAGGGGGCGTGGAATGTGAGGTGTGGAGCGAGGCATGGACAGTTGTGGATTGGTGAGGGGGATGTTGCGGGAAGGAGGAGGCGAAGGTTATGATGAGGGAGATACTGGAGAGAGGCGAGGGGGAATGTCTTTTTGATTTTGCGAAGGCGGAGAGGAGTTGGAGAGGGTGCAAGTGGGGAGAGTGTGGCACGCAGTCGTGATGGGTCGCCGCCGCATGATGTTCTGAATGAAGTGGTCCGCTACCACGCATCTCTGGAGGCATGTGAAGTGATGAGAAAAGACTAAGTGGGCAAATGAAGACTCCGATTCCTATGTACAACTAGGTGCTACCCAGCCCATACTGATGCCATGAGGTATCGTAATCAGTCATGGCAAAGTCCCGAACGCCTGCTGCTATGGTACAGATGGGTGGATGATGAAAGGGGGTATTTGAGAAGGAGAACTTGAAGAAAAATGATATAAGAAATGCCGATGCGCATAGTAGCCTTTAAGATCACCATCGCATGTATGCCCGGAAATGCTATGCTTACGCAAGTCCGTATGTGGGAACAGCAACAAATTCTGGTTCATCGCCATAGATCGGCCCTGGAGGCACGCTTATCGCGTCCCGCGTGAGTCATCCAGCTTGCTCGCACACCAGGGCCGCCAGGACTCGAGCTGAGTGAGTGCGAGTGGCTGTGACCGAAGCCGCCAAAGCTGCCACCAGCCGTGGGGTTTCCTGCGCTCCTCGGCCGGGCATCGTTATCCGCTGGTATAGCCAAGAAGCCGCCGAAGCCGTTGGGTACCACGACACTCTTTCGAGCATCACCGCCCCATTGAGCTCCCAGGCCCTTGTGTGCTGAGTAGCTGCTGAGCGGTCGGCCGCCAACCATCGATGCTCGCCTCTGCCCAGCTTCTGGTGGGATGATAGACGTAAATATCCATTCCAGTTCATCAAGACCCTTGGAGAAGATCTCAAGCGGTTGATTGAACAATGGCGGCGGTGCCTCGCTGAATGGACGGATCGGCGGTGCTAGTGTGAGGACCTCAGGGAACTCAGGGTCCTGGACGTACACCTGCCGCAGTCCTGGAAGACTGTTCGACAACAATGACTTGGCCAAATATTGGTAGTAGGACGCGCCTGGCGAATAGATCTGGTTCGTCGAATTTGCGATGATTTCGTAGTGGAGTTTCCGAAGACTGTAAGACTCCAGAGGTGGGAGAGGATCCAAAGGAAGCGATGCTGTGACTGTGGCGTTGTACTCGAGCGTTCTCAGGTTCGGTGCTGCCCTCAGAATGGCGTGCAGGTCCGTGACTGTGATGCCGCTGCAGTTCTTGATGACAAGCGTCTTTAGCCTGGCTGCGCACATGTGGCTCGAGAGGTATTGTACCAGTCCCCGCGCTGTCACACCATGCGCCTTCTCCAGCTTCAGCGTCTCGAGGGGCGGGAACGGTGGCAGGGCAGGTGCATCATGGAAGAAAGAGTCGTTAAGCCAGGCGTCGCCCGTCACGCTGAGCTCGCTCAACCGAGGGAGCATACCAAACACCTGCCTCAATACAGTGGGCTCAATGCGCAGCTTGTTCAGCTCGACCACGCGCAGCTCCTGCCAGTAGCCATGGAGCAGCGACTCCAGCGACTGCTCTCCACCCTCGTTGTACTTCATCTTCTGGATGTGCGGGCAGCGTGCCTGCAGCTCTTGTCGTAGCAGTTGGCATGACTGATCGCCGTTGTGGAAACCGTCTGGCAGATCGATGTATTCAAGATTTGGGCAGCCCGATACGAGGCGCGCTAGATCGGCCTTGCACGACTCTCGTGTCATGTACGGTAGCTTCACGAAGCGCACGCGCTGGCCAAGGTGCTGGTTGCCGCGGACACTGTTGCTCAGTATCTGGAGGCGCGCCGTTGGGACATCCTCCTGGTCGCCATTGCGCGACTTGCGCCTTCGCTGGTCGGCAAAGATCTCTTCGAGCTCGCAGTAGTGGACAGCGTCAATGCGGATACTGTTGTAGCTACACCGGGTCAGCTTCAGAGAGCAGGAGGCAGCCGAGGCACTCACAGCAGACCAGCAGCAATGCCGTACCATGACCGTCGAGTCAGGGCGCAATGTGCCAGGTCACGCATATCGCAGGTCATGCACCCATCATTTCCACTGTCCTCGCTGCCATCCAGCGTGTCATCGGCTGTGTGCGGGCACACCTCCTCGAAGATGCGGCGCAGCACCTTCTCTGGCAGGCGCGTCGTCTGGTCTGGCCCATGGTATTCGTAGGTCGCAGGGGAGTAGTAGTCGTTGCGCGGCGCGCGCAGGTCTACGCTTTTCTTGGGCGTCGACGACTTCTTCCTGGAGAAGCGCTTGAACCACCCCATGATGCCAGCTCTATACACTCGGTCAGTCTGTGTATAAATTTATGGATGGCCTCCAGGCAATTCAGGGTGCGGCGACAGGTACGCGGGGTACATGAGATAGCTCCAGTAGTCAAGACTTACCGCTCCGCGGCTTGTGGGCCCGTTTTGAAACGCCGCGACATCTATTGTCCAGATCAAAGCGCTGAATAACAACTCCACGTTCGAATCTGGTCAGCACTCAATGACGAATTGCGCAAATTGGAGGGCGGAAGTGGGCAGTGGCTGCTAGTGAAGGGCGCAATCAGTCGCAGCAAACGCTCAGTGCGGCGCGGCCTTCGTGTTTAAGGGGCATCCTATGGCCTTCTTGAACGGGACAACGACAAAACACCGAGAAGACGTGGACGAATTGAGCTTGGTCACAATTAGTGCGTAGGACGTGTCAGCAAGGCGGTTGGGCATCCTATCACCGGCACGGCAAAAGGCAGTGAAATGCGGATCGGCTGTGCCGCGCGCTGCTACAAAGAATGGATGAACATGTTCCAACGCGTGTGGCTGCGGGGAAGGGGCAAGGCGGAACAGCGTCTCAGGACTCAGGAGGTCCAGCGTATTTATAGATGTGGGCGTGGACGTCATTCAACGTAGAAGTGATTCAGATGCAATTTTGCATAAAAGACTAAAAGACAGCCAGCGCCTCAGTTGCAAGATAGCGAATCGATAGCTTATGTGTAAAGGAGGCTGGCGTACGACAAGTGCATAACGATTGCGCTGACAACGCACTCGCCAAAGGGCTTCATGTGCAGGGAGCTGCTTGATACTTGTTGCGTGGAGGGCCGGAGTGGCGTGTTCTCGTTGAACCCTGCAATGTTGTGGTGTGCCGGATGCGGCGCATAGGACAGCAGCCTTCAGCTCGAGCAAGCATGGACAATTGGGGTTGCAGGCTGGTGTCAATTCAATACTTGAGTGGAGGCACAGAGTCGCACAGCGGAGGCGTAGCACACGCGAGAGAGTTCAACAGAAGCGTGCGCTGATCAATGAAAGTCGTTGTGGTGGTTTCAGGTGCCAATCGAGCGGGCAGCTTCGCCGAGAGTCCTGTCGCCGACCGCTAAACCGCTACCCGCCTGCAGGCGGCCTCGAGATGGGAACTAGGAGCACGGAGAACACGCGGTTTGAAGCTGGCAGGCGGCATTGTAGAACAATAGGTCCCGTGCGAGTGTCGGACTAGCTACCAGTGTTGTCTGCGAGGGGCTATGCATCGTGAGAGAAATGTTACTGTCCAGACAGAACACAACGTTCATGCTCCGGCTCTGCAGGACCGCACAGATCTCGTCGAACTCGCCAAGTCCCATGTCTGGCGCTGAGAGCGCGTTAGCTCCTCCATCCACATCAAGAAATCTTCTGATGAACAATCGCACGGAGCTGCTGCCATCCCTACCGCACCTCCGTCTCCCTGTCTCATCTCACCTGGAGATCTTCTGCCTTGTCTCGTCTCTATTTCCAGAGACTCCACCGCCCATTTCACCTCCGCGAAGCTTGAAGCTCCCCTCACCAGGTGCTCCTCATCCACCTGCCCGCTGACGTCCACGCGCCTTCCTTCACATCCAGGCCCAAGCAAACGCTCCTTCCCTACCCTCACCCGACGTCAGCTCGCAGCTGAGTGCAGCCACGCCCCACGCATCATTTCGAGAAGATAACAGAGCAGCTGGTCCCCTCAGCAATCCTGTGAACAATGGCCTCCCAACCCACCCCCACGCCGCAGGCACAGAACCTCGACCGCTATGTCGTGATACACGTTGCTACGACGTGTGACGAGCACGGCGTATATGTGACCAAGGACTCTGCCGAGGTCATCGAGCTTGGCTGGATCCTGCTGGACGCAAAGTCTTGCGAAGAGGTACCGCTTCCACCGCATCCGCCATTGCGCTCGCAGCTGCTAATGCATGCTGTCAGCTTCACCGCGAGAGCGTACTTGTGAAACCCGTCAACACTCCCATCACTGCATTGTGCAGTAAGTTGTCCTCTTCCAGCAGCTCGACTCCGCAATTGGCTGACGTATACCTGCAGCAAGCTTGACCACCCTGACCTGGGACCAGGTCCGTAACGCAGGCTCGTTCCGGGACGCCATCAACCGCTTTGATGCATTCGCACAGGAGCACATCCTCCCCAAAAACTACGAATTTGCCTTTGTGACGCTCGATTCGTGGGACTTGCGTGTCCAGCTGCCCCGTGAGGCCCGCGATAAGGCCGTTGTCCTGCCTCCATACCTTCAACACTCTCGTACATTTGATCTGCGCACTGAGTACCAGCGCTGGCAAGCACACCACCCCGAGTCGCTGCCGTTCGGCTCGAGTGCGTTGACTAATATTTGTGCTGCTCTTGAGGTCGAGCCTGTGCAGTCATCAGCTCCTATCAAGCACAATCTCCCCTTTCACCTGCAGGCCCTCGCCCCCGCCTCGCCAAGGCGGGCTATGGAAGAGGCTGTAACCCTCGCTAGAGTACTGCGTGGCCTTATCCGCAAGAGTCAGCCGCCCCAGGAGCACCCCGACGTGCTCACCAAGCCCATGGACGCTCGCGCCGACGTTCGGGCTTTCCTTTCCGAGCGCAGCAAGGTCCTTCATATGAGCGGTCTCCCCCACGACACCACTCAGTCCGAACTCGAAAGTTGGTTTACTCAGTTTGGCGGTCGTCCAATTGCATTCTGGACGCTGCGCACCCCCGATCAGCACAAGCCTACCGGTACTGGTTTCGCCATTTTCTCATCCCACGAAGAGGCTGCCGAGAGTCTCTGCATGAACGGCCGCGCCCTCAATGAGAAGGCCATCGAGGTCTCGCCTTCCTCAAGTCGAGTCCTCGACCGCGCTGCAGAGATCATTACACCCTTCCCTCCCAGCAAGAACAGGCCTCGCCCAGGTGACTGGAACTGTCCCTCATGCGGGTTTTCCAACTTCCAGCGTCGTACCGCGTGCTTCCGCTGCTCCTTCCCGGCTATGCAGCAAGGACCTCAGGGTGGTGATCCTATGGGTGGATACGGCGGTGGTTACGGTTACGGTCATCCCGGCATGATGGGTCCTCCCCAGCATCATATTGGTGGTCACGGACACGGACACGGCATGGGCGGTGGTCACATGCGCGGAGGTACCGGCGTCGTTCCTTTCCGTGCTGGTGACTGGAAGTGTGGCGAAAATGGCTGCGGCTACCACAACTTCGCCAAGAACACGGCTTGTCTGCGCTGCGGCGCGAGCCGCGCGGGAGCTGCCGTTGTCGCTGACAGCGCCTTCCCCTCGCCTATGGACACACCCTCAAGCTTTGGCATGGGCCCTCCTTCCATGGGTGGTACTCCTGGCGCTGGACCCTATGGTCCTGCTGGCTACGCTCAGGGTGGCTTCCCTCCTCAGCAGTACGGTGGCCCTTCCAGCCAGTATGCGCTGCCCTCTGGCATGGGTGCTGCGAGCCCCTACCCTCCTATGGGCGCTCAGTACTCCCAGAACGGCGGCATACACTCAACTCCTTTCGACAGCCGTTCTGCCGAGGCTGCCTTCAGCGCTGCTGACAACTACCCTAACCAGGGCGCCCCCAACGGTGGCGGCGATCCATTCTCTTTCCTTTCTACTGGCTTCAACTCGCTGTCGATGAATGATGACCGTCGCAACAATTCGAACTCGGCCAATAAGTCGCCGGCGTAAGCCACTCGTATATAAGGTATCATACATGCCCTCGGAGCTCTTCAGCAACTTGTCATATGCATCCTTGGATCTGCACAAGCGATTTGGTATTGGACGGTTTTTTCGGAAAGGCTGGCGCGGGCAAGATTGAATTCGGGGAGTTCGTCATTCAGAAATGGTTAAGATCTCGTGGCATTTGCGGGCTACCTGGCATGGAAATGGTCGGTGTGCGTATAGAATGGGGACTTCAAGCGATGGAGTTTGATACCTTAGCGGACGGTGGTGTTCCGGGGTGGATTTGCAACAAAAGTACAGGTTCGGCTGTGCGGCGGCAACAGGGGCTGATTGGAGCTTTGGATCTGTCAGTCTGTCCTCTTCCTTAAGCTATTCGTGTTCATGCGATTTTGTTTTTCGAATAATTGCGAATTGAATTACTCAATTCGCTTTGCATGTTATTCGATCTCATTCCTTTTTGCTGGCATAGCGCGGTGGGTGGTAGCGAGGCGCTGGAAGGATATCGGTTTCCTTGGTCGATCATTCAATATTCTTCCATTCCCGATTTCAGCTCGTCTTACAATGTCTCATGGTGAACGGTGTGTTCTGCATCCTGGCCTCAAGTCTCTGCATGTCAAACCCACCTTTTCATCTCACTACTTGCTTGCCGCTGTTCTCAGTCAGCCGTCTTTGTGCATTCTCCGCTCTTCAAATTGCCATCTGAGTACACATACATGCAGTAGAATGTACCATTCAGAATGTAAGAAGCATGTTCGTCTTTTGCGCATATTGCTGTGGTGATCTGAATATTTGTTTACTGCTGCGTTCACCTGTCCGGCGTATGTGTGCGAAATGATGGCCTAGCTCAGGCGGTCTGGCTGAAGCCTACACCCACAACCCTTTTCGATCAAGGTGAAAATGCGCAAGTTTCCCTCCTTTGTGTCATGGCTGGCGATCACGTAGATCCTATCAAGTCTCGCCCCTCTAGTAATACCCCTCATAAGCCTCTTCAGTCTGAGTGACGACGAACGTAGAGCAGCTGCTAAAGTGTAGGAAGCCATCGTGAGTTGTATGGCGTGAGATGGCTTGCAGGGTGCTCAGTCGCTGCCGTTGCTAGCACACCCGATGCCAAACACTTTCCAACAGTCAAGCAGTTTCGACATCTGCTAAAGCCCAAGTTCACAAGGTACCCATTCTGCATCCCGGAAAAGGCGCGCCAAGTTTTCACCGCATACCGGTACAGTCCAACCTCGATCGCGATTCGAAAACACCACAATCACACGGTTGCAACATGAGCTGTCGCCACCGCTACAAGTGTCCAATTAGTCTCATGTTGCATCAGCTATGTACCACAGGTCTTGCCTTTATGAGGATAGTCATTGCGCTTACAAAGACGCCACCCAAGCTGAGGCTGAACCACAACTACACGTAGCTCAAAATATCACAGTAAGATGGCACGTATGCGGCGAGCCAAGACGAAAAATTAGGATAATGAAGTGCTCGATATCCTCCTCAATGATCCGGCAGGCTGGTTTCCTATCAGTGAACTTTGGCTCCGCGTAGTGCAATACGACCTTGAATTCACAACAACAGGCCGTGACCCTCGCGGATTCAGAAGTCTCGGCCATACCGTCTCGGCCATATGTATGCTTCAACGTCACTTTCGGTACTTGCGACGCTTTCTGATCGACAAACGCCCATTGTTTCTAATTGCGCATCGAGGTAACGCTTATCTCCAAAGCATCTGCGGTGTTGCGACTGATTCCCATACCCATCGTCCTGGTCATCTACTGCATCTTCGTGCAGAACCGGACTCATGACGGCGTTACCACGTCTAGAGTATCTCAATGGGTCAGTACAAAAACTGGCATAAGCTCATCCAACCTCACTGCCCTAAAATCAACATTCAGCCATGGCATCGAGAATTTCCGGACTGACCTTGCCATGGCTCCCGAAGATGCTCGACCTCGCACTGCGCACATAGAAATTAAAGACGGGCACCCGACCAGTCAGGAGACTACCTTTGAGCCTTTTGCTATCTCCAAGACCCCTCTTTCAAGACTGGTCAACTTCACGGAAGAGCAAGAGATTAGTGTGATGAGATCACATTATCTTATGCGTACCTCTGCAAAACGTCTTGCACCGCAGCTCACATTCGCAAAGGATGCACAAGGCATTGTGACGACTGCGAATGCGAAGTACATGCCAATCCTGCTTGTATCACTCCGCATGCTGCGGCGCACTGGCTGTCAACTTCCTGTCAAAGTTTTCATCGACAACTGGACGGAATACGACCCTCAAATTTTCTGAGATATACGACAGAGCACCAAACGCTCGAGCACTAACAAGTGTCGCGGAGCAAAAGGTCCACCTTTTACTCCCTTGAGTAAGTTCGTCTTAACCGTGACAACAAGCTACCAATTCAAACCCTTCGCCATCCTCTTCTCCTCTTTCCAACACGCCTCATTCCTCGACATCGACGCTTTCCCTGCGCACAACCCAACATCTCCCTTGATCACGCCACCATATACAACCCACGGCCTCGTCTTGTGGCCCGACCTCTTCGGCCTTAAAATATCAGAGCACTACTACCACATCACCTGTAGCCCGCACGAACCCCCCTCCGCACGCCCGTCCACAGAAAGCAGTAACATACTTCTCAACAAAGCCATCCATTGCGAGAGTCTACTCATGATGGTGTACTACAACTATCACGGTCCGGACTACTACTACCCGCTCTTTCTCCAAGGCTCGCACGGTGCAGGCGACGAGGAGACGTTCGCGCAAGCCACCATAGCTGTCGGATTGCCGTGGTACTAGGTCAAGACCAGTGTTGCAGGAATAGGGTACTTTGAGGGGGGTGAGTATCGGTTGAGTGGACTAGCGCAGATGGATCCGCGAAGCGACTTTGTTTACAGACCGCCGAGTAAGAGCCATATACATGGCAATGATCAATGGGATGGTTTTGATGAACTGGCGGAAGAACCGAAGCCGTTGTTTGTCCATCAGAATATGGATAAGTTAGACCCGAAGAAGATCTTGGACATGAATGAATCAACGGCGAAGAGGAAGGATGGGAAGTATACGAGGTTGTGGGGTGAGGTGAAGGGCATTGTGGAAATGTTTGGGTATGATGTCGATCGAAGGATGTGGAAGGCCGTGCTCGAGGAATATTGTAGAATCGACGGTGTAAGTGAGACTTGTGCGAGTCTAAGAGTATACTACACGGAGGTATTTCTAGCAGTCAATGGTTCTGACTCCCTGGCGTAGACATGTATTGTGACAAGAGTTTCCATTTTTGTCCGTCATCCATGAGGACTACGTCACGCTCGACACCTTACCTGAATGTCCACAGGCTCGGAAAGCCTGCCTCCGTTGTTGGCTGTTTCAATCAAACGTCATTCTCGAAGCATCCTGCCGCTTACAACCGTGTTCAATGCCTCGTCTCATGTATGGTTGTGTCCAGTCCGGACTTCATTCTCTATTCCGATCCAGCATTAAATCAAGTCGTCATTGTCTGTGTACAACGGCTACGATGATATCGATGCCTTATCAATTCGCGCCGATTCCAACAAATCTTCTCTTAGCACCCAGACCAACAAGCATCCATCCTCCTCCTGTGATCTCGACACCGGCGAGCCCGCTTAGCGCCTGCATAAATATGCTTCGACTTTGCCACTGCCTTGGGTCTGGGGCTAGGGGCATTTTTGAGAGTGCGGATCGTGTCTGCCAAGAGAATCTTTTCTTCGGGATGAACCAATGCACAGGACTCGATGGAAAGTCGCCGTCGCGTGGGATGAGAAAGATAGAGCACTTATAAGCGCCGCTTTGGCTTCTTCGTCCGGCCAACAAGGACCATGGCGTGGTACCTCATGTTTTAAGTGACCTTGGGAGCGCTCAAGCACTCGATCGTCCGAGTGCGCAGTATTCAAGGTCGGTTTAACATGCAATTTATCTGACTGCTTGAAAGTGATCCGCATAAAGCGAATTGGCGCAGAGCGCTGTCCAAGAGCCCTTCGCCTGGGCATTCAAAACTTCGCGTTACCATAGTTATCATCTCGAAGATGAGATAGCGTACGTAAGCCTCACTAAGCTGGCGCCCCTGACTATTAGCAATATCACTCTAAACTGACCTAAATCTCGACAAGTCTGCCTCGTGGAAACCCACTCTCGAGCACAGGAGCGACCGCATCGAGAGACAATGCTACGCCTGAGAGGAGCTCCGAGACTATACGAGCAAGTCAGCTGCAAGTCACGAGCAATTATCACAGCATGCACAGGGCTCTCAGCTCAACAATGGTTGTGATGTTGAGCTGGTGCAAGCTAGCGGTGAATTCCGCCTACGCCGACTTCGCATTCGGCAAAGGTCGGATGACCTGGTGCTGGATCTCCGAAATCAGATAACAAACGATCTGATAACCTCACAGGAAAGAACCGCGCCTAACGCCGCCAACTCGACATGTCTTCTGACGATCAAGGCATTGCCGCCCTCACGCCTCCAGCTGACCACCACAGCAGTGCTGGCTCACCCGCCGACTACAGCTCGCCACAGTCCTTCTACAGCCCGGCTGCAGAATCTGCTCGCCGCCAGTCCAACGCCCGCAGTGAGTATATCCCCGCGCTCTGCTTGCACCTCCGCCCCGCCACATCCCATAGCTATGGGAGCTAGCACGTCGCCACCAATATTGACCTTCTCCCTCCACTGCATGGTGGCTGCTTAACTGGCAGGTCCAGCGCTGATGTGCGGGGTCTGGCATTCCGCTAACCTGTTCTGATCCGTATATCTCAGTCTGCACAGACTCGAATGCTAACTCCGCCAGCTCTCGTTCCCACGCCTGCCTTATGCACAGCAACCTCTCCTGGCACTGTTGCCACGACGTCTTCCACATCTAGCAGCGGCGGCCCCTGCACTCCAGCAGCGGGCGGCCCTACCGTTGGTCCCACAGGCCGGAGCTATGTCATCCCTCCGAGGCCAAAGCCTGGCCGCAAGCCTGCCACCGATGAGCCTGCCTCTAAGCGCAAGGCGCAGAATCGGGAATCGCAGCGAGCATTTCGCGCTCGCAAGGCGGCCAAGGTGACAGAGTTGGCCGACCAGGTCGAGCAGATGCAGCAGAAGCACAACGAGGAGAAGAACGATCTGCTCAACGACATCAATAATCTACACAAGCAGCTGCACGATGCGAGGCGGGCGCTAGAGGATCAGTGCAACTACACCAAACAGGTTGAGGAAGAGCGCGACTACTGGAAAGAGCAGCACGATACAGTGCTACGCAATCAACAGAACGACAACGGTCAACCCACCAGCCAGATCAACGGCCGCAACGATGCCACCGCGACCCTATACCAACCTCCTGCATCTCACAGCTCCCCGGCTCGTCACTCTGTCAGCAGCTTCCCTGGGTTTGGCACGCCTATCTCTGATGACGTCCCTGGCGGCTGCTCTAATTGCCAGCCTGGTAATTGCGCTTGCATCAACAGAATGGAAGAGGATATGAAGGATTTGGAAAACATGATGGACCAACCCTTCATGCCCGCCGTTCCATTGCCACGCCGGAACAATCGCTCGACAACCGACGTCCAGCTCACCCTTTCGTCCGAACCAGAGGAAATTGACTTCACTGGATTTGGGCGACCTTCGACAGCGTTGCTCGATGATGATCAGAAGATCCACGATTCGTGTGGCTTCTGCGAGAACGGAGGCCACTGCGTCTGCCGAGACGCCCGAGAGAAGCTACTGGCCGAGGCCGAGCTTGCGCCCCTCTCGCGTGTTTCGAGCGGTACATCTGTGCAGCAAAAAAAACTCATTTTGCCTGGTGGTTGCGACGAATGTCAGACCAATCCTGCGAGACGAGCCTGGTGTCTGCGTGTCGCACAGCTTCGCGAGGAGGGAGGCCCTCGATCAAGGCGCAACTCAGGGCCTAGGAGCCCCAAAATAGACACATTGGAGCCACCAGTCGTCTCGCAGATTGACATGAACATCAGCCGCGCATCTCCCATTCCCGGGAAGCGATCCGTTGGCTGCAGTGAGACGTTCACACTTCTTGATGGACGCATCCCAATGGATGATCCTTCTGTATTCCGGACTTTGCGGCCCATGCTTTCTGATGGTCGACGCGACACATTTACCATGGAGCCGCGTGTGTACAGCGCCATGGAGATCGACGCCGCAGATATCATCACGACCATGCAGAACAGCAGAGGCCCTCTGAAGCCGCGCGAGTCTGATGGCGAGTATGCACCGCTGGTCGCTGCTGCCGAAGAGCGCCGCCGTGCCACCCACTCGCCTGCCGTTCATCCCTCCCAGGACGACCTTCCAATTCCCATGGAGCTGTAGAACATTGCGCTGCATTTCCATAGATTTTCCTGCCCCCTTTCAGTCAGTGTTGATACCCTTTTAGTTGCCTTACGTGACCTGGCCGTACAGCACGGGGAGCGCATGTATGCACATGAATGCATTCACGTTGGTTATGTATGGCTACGCTGATCCAAGGTTCATTCCGTTCCTCCCCGTCTTTTCAAAGAGTTGACTTGCGACAGTCCTCATTTCAGCTATGCGCAATTAGATACAATGAATGAATGCCATAATCTTACAATTATCTATCGTGTCGCTTGAAGCAGTGTCTCCACATAAACCAAACCTAATGGATAACGCACCGACACTTGTGCATCGATGACATGAGCATATGAAGATGTTGCTGCCTCGCCACTCTCGCGATCAGCCCATCGCAACACTCACCTTCCGGAACCCGTTCAGGCGCCCAAGTGAAACCATCAAGCCTTCACAGCCCAGACACTCGAGTCACCGTTTGCACGAATCACACGACCCTCTGAAGCACAGACTGCACCTCCTCACCGCCCAAACGGCACGCCAGGCATTGGGTGGAGATCCTTCGGGTCAGATCGGCGATGGCGCAAGCGAGGTCGTCTTGCGACGTCATCTTATTCGCTGCATTGAGAAAATTTATCTTATCTGATGATCAGCTGCTGATGGCTGGAGAAGTCCGACGTCGCTGGTGGTGTGATTGGATGGACCATGATGCGAAAGTGGCAGGAGGTTGCGAAGACGATCGGGAGTTGCGCAGCGTACACTGCGGAGTTGGTACGTAAGATGTCGCTCATTATGACGCTGGTCGCGAGTGTGCTGGAGTGTGAGAGCGAGCTTAGCTTGGACGACTGTGGGGAAGTGTCCTGCCACTGTTGTTGCTTAGGGGCCTTCTTGGATGCCGAACAACAGAGACGGCCAAAGCATGCTACGAGCTTAAGAGTTGATGCTGAATCACAGCTACTGGGATCAGATGTGGTTCGGGTGATGCTTGAGGGATCACAGCCCTGCCGAAGCTGCCAAGATGCCGTTCGCTGATGCACCTGCATGGTCCCTCCAACCCCACCTCGCTTCCTGTACTTGCCATACGGGGGAGCTATTAGACGTCTCCACACAAATGCAAGCCCACCGTTCAACACATTTACACCGTCTTCCCGCGTCTCTGCATCAGTGTCACTTGCTATATAAGCCCAGCCTTCAACCCACTCTTCCATCAGCCAATCACAACCAATCATGGCACTTTGGGTATGTCTTCACCACGAGAAGAACCACAATTACGCTTACTAACGGAAATCCGTAGCGGAGTGGTTAACGCGATGCCCTGCTATTCATGGTAAGGCATTTCCTTCGGGAGCGTGTGTTCGAATCACACAGGTGTCGATTTTTTGTCTTACGTGGTGCTCTACAGGGCGGGCGTTGAAGTTTGGTGCCCACATGTGTGGAGAGCGATGGCATGCAGAGGTTGAGCAGGCAGCTTTCTTTGCAGCTCCAGAAAAGCAGTGGATGGAGAAGGGGAATGAGGCGTTAAAATTCTTGAAGTTCTGGGTGCAAGGTTCTGCTAGCGTGCTTTTGGGCGGACGCTGAGCACTCATAATTACTTCGAACAGCTTCCTGGGCACTTCACCCCAGAGCGAGTGGCACACTGTTGAGGTTGTTCTTACTGAAGTGACTTGGTCTGCAGGTTTGCTCAGCAGCAGGCAGAAAGGAGACACGCGAGCAGCTCATGGGGAAAAGGCGGAGCGTGTACTGCGTAACCACTCAAGCTTATACATGCGAGCAGCTTTAGAACGTGGCATGGCGAGCAAGATCAGAAGCTCGCGGACAGTGCAAGCCTACCAGAGCGTAGCGTCCCGCTTGCGTGGAACAGGCAAGCGTATGGGAATTTATTGCTGACAAAGATACAGGAGCAGCAAGGCTTGAACCGTGGGATGTCTACGAGCTGTTGAACTTGGATCGATGTGTTTGTATTGAATACAACAACATGTAAGAGTTCTGTCCATCCGAAATCAATCAAAGAGCAGCATGATGCGGCTGAGCACCTCCAACATACGCTACGAGGAGATTGCTCTTTTGCTGCGGAAGTTGTGAGGCGCAGATGAGAAAGTAGGCGTGAGCACAACGCGTCGACGCTAAACTTTGTGGTGACGGGAGACATCTCTTCCTACTCTTATCAACACCAATCTCTGCTTCAGCCACGTGGACATGAGCGCATCGTGAGCTACTCCGACTAGAAATCTCATGACTGCTCCATTATCGGAATTCAGATTCGACTCATATCATACCGTGTACGAAGGAACGGGCCATCCCTGTGTTCGCGGCGCGGCGCCCGTTCTCGAATGCCTCGCTCAAGGCCGCATGGCTACCCGCACTCGGTTCGACACATCTGCAGGGGCCGAGAAGATGGTCTGAGGCGAGTTATCGCATGTGGAGAGCGAATTGATGAAATTGCATTGAAACTACAGATAATCACATCGTCTACGGGAATGTTAGGCCAGCGCACTCTGAGATTGCTGACGCAAGAACACAGCAGCAGTGACAGCGTCCCGATAACATCAAGGAGTCGATCAGGATACCTACTAGACTCTATCTATCACAAGGTAATTGCCGCAATCATCAAACCACCACCCTGAAGGACGCAGTCTCAATCGGACCGAAAATACAGCAAAAGGGCAGCCTGCTTCATTTGTCCAGAGGCGTATGAGTATCATAACCCGTGAAAAGAGCCGCATGAAGCACCTGATGGGCGGAATGGGCCAGGGGTCACGTACAATGCCGCAGCAAGGCACCGGCAGCTTCATCTTCTCTGTTCGAGCGGAACATGCGCATCAAGAAGTGTCCTGCCAATGCGCTTTGCGGTACGCGCATTCCAATGCGGAAACGGGAGGTCAGAACGCAGCTATAACCTCTTGTACTACATTCCTAGTCGTCGCCACCTCAACTGGATTTTACGCACCACCAAAAGAGCTTGGAAGGCTCCGCTGCCTCTTGAAGATGGCGCTAAAAGCAGTGGGGTTTGTTTTGATCTGGCTTCCAAGAATTCAAGCTCACCATCTATATCTTCAAGTGCGTCGAAGCTGGCACAATGTCTAGCCAAGCCTTCCTTCAGTCACTCTTTTAGACACTCACACTCATTTCCACTGTCTCTCCTTTGAATTCATTGAGGGCTCACCAAGATGAAGTCCCTCGTGGTAGGAGCTATGCTCCTGCATAGCATGAATGCGCAGCTTGTACCAGCTGCGGGTGCAGATACTGCTCCAGTAGCCCCAGGTATTAATGACCCACCTGAAGAAGACCTAGCGCTAGGTTCCCCCGACGTCATTGTACCACTGCCTAATCTTTCCGAGTTTCCAACTGGGACTGCGGATGTGGTGTTCAATGAGCCTACGTCCGTGGCACCTTTTGGCGCTGGCAGCACGACAGGAACTGCCATCAGCTTTGGTCCAGACGGCTGGAAAGTATTAGAGACTGACACGATTCCAGTCAACGCTTTCATCCCTTCTACTCAGCCCCCAGCTCTCGATGCGGCACCAGCCGGTATTGCAGCCGCACCGCCTCAGCAACTGGCTCCCGAGGCAGTACAGCCGGTCGCGATACCTGTCCAGCAGCCCCAGCAGGGTCAGGGGATATTTAACGATTTCGCAGGCCCTGCTGTCGCCGCTCCGCCTTTAGCTGACCCTGCAGTGGCTGTTCCTCTGGCTGCTGCTCCTGTTGCCAACATTCCGCCCGCAGCCGCGCCTGTCGATGCGATTGCAGCGGCTGGACCTGCTCCTGTCGCCGTCCCTATCGCCGCTCCTGTCATCGCTCCTGTCGCCGCTCCTGTCGCCTCGGACCCGAATTCCATCATTGTGACCCCCACGCCACTCTTTGCAGGCAGTGCTGTCCTGCCCATCGGCGTCAATCCCTACGTTGGCCCCTACGAACCCAACAGCATCTACGATCCCAACAGCCCCTACTACGACCCCACTGCTCAGCCCCCTGGCTGGGAGGGTGAGGATAACGGCATCTACGACGGCGAGGATGACAATGCCTACCGGGGTGGTAAGCCCCCGGTCAAGAACCCAGGATATGATTACGATGACGACGAGGAGTGCCCAGCCTGGTGCCTTCCTGAGGACGACTCCTATCCCCCCTCGACTCCCGATTACGATTCGAGTCCTTACGAACCTACTGCTACTCCTAAGTATCCTGATTATGAGTCCGTGGCTAAGCCATACCCGGAGACCACGCCTGAATACACTCCTTACCCCAAAGAGTACCCCACTCCTTCTCCCAAATACGCCGCGGACCCTTACCAGGAAGAGCCCGTGACTACGCCATACCCGGAGTATGAGCCCACCCCTGAATATACTCCTTACCCCAAAGAGGACCCCACTCCTTCTCCTAAATACGCCGCGGACCCCTACCAGAAAGAGCCTTACCCAGCCCCTACTCCAGACTACAAGGCTGAGCCTCAGTACTACCCTGAGCCTGATCAGAGCTACCCTCAATTCAAGAAGGTTCGCTCGATCCTCCGCGCTGTCCGTCGTCAAGTCTTCAACTGGCCTCAGACTGCTGCTTACCCGCAGCCCGCCTACTCAGATGACGAGGATTCTAGCAGTTACGACGGAGAAGACGGCTCCATTCCTGACTGGCTCTACGACATTAGCGGGGCCCCCAAGAAGCCCAGTCTTGCCCCCAAGCCCAAGCCAAAGTGTCCCAAGAGCTGCTACAAGCCCAAGACCTCTACTGATGGCTACGCAACCAAGTCTGCCAGGCCTACCTACACTTACACTCGCAAGGGCGGCTACAAGACCACTGAGGAGCCTTACCAAACCACTTCCGCCAAGGACGGTTACTACGGAGATGAGACCACAGACGCTCCTTACGCCGACTACACTTCGAGCGTCTGGTACCCCCAGGGCAACAGTTCCGCTCCTTCCTGGCCCACTGGCCCTACCGGTGTTCCTGATATGCCAACTTCCATTCCTGACGAGCCTACCTCTGTCCCCTCTGAGCCTACCACGCTCGCGACTTACTACCAGCCTCAGCCATACCCTGAGCAGACTGGTGGCGGATCTCACCCTGGTAGCCCAGCTGGCGACTACACTGGCGATACCCTTGACACTATCTGCCCCAACACCTGCAACCCGTTCAACCCGGCCGAGAACTTCTGCGACATCACTACCGGCTGTGCCACCACTGGTGGAAGCAAGTACTACTGCGCCTGCCGTGCCGGTTTTAGGGCCGACAACTACAACGCAAAAGACTTCTCCAAGCAGTTTAAGGTTGCTGGCCAGCCTTACGTTTACCTCGCTGTCAGCACTTCTTGCAACACTCCCTGCAGCGACCAGACCTGCAGTGAGGTCTTGGAGCGCTCGCAGTGTAAGTAAGCGCGCGTTGAGAAGGAGAAACGATGCATTGATAAAGATGAAGAAGGCCGGAGTTCCATATGTTATATCTCACATGTCTTAGTCCAATGTTTCTGCACGGTGGAGTTCGGGCTGTATGGAGGATCTAATTTATGTACAACCAATGCATGTTCTCCTACAATGAACGCGATCGGGGGATACTGCTGCTGTGAAATCGACTTACGATGAATGCGAAAGGTATTCTGCCCAGGTCAAGATAACCTCGCTGCGCTAGTGCTCCGATTCCGCCGCCACTCTTCTACCCATGATTATCAAGCACCACAACACTCACGTCACGCTTCACACAATGCGCAACTTTTCGCGTTTCTCTCACCGACACCTTCTTCTCATACCAAATTGCGCCCCCGACTGATGCACGCCACCATGCCTCTCGAGAATGTACGAAACATCCTTCTTATCCTGTCTGGCAAAGGCGGGGTAGGCAAGTCGAGTGTAACAACCCAACTCGCCCTTACGCTCTCGCTACAAGGCCACTCCGTGGGCGTCCTCGACATCGATCTCACCGGTCCCTCGATACCGCGCTTCTTTGGTATCGAAGAGAAGAAAGTCCGCCAGGCGCCAGGCGGCTGGATACCCGTCGACGTCCACGAAGCGCAAACCCTCTCTTCAAAGAGCACATCCGCAAATGGCGACGCAGACGCACAAGGGCAGCGTATTGGCGCACTATCATGCATGTCGCTAGGCTTCATCCTTGCCAACCGCAGCGACGCCGTCATCTGGCGCGGCCCCAAGAAGACCGCCATGGTGCGACAATTCCTCACCGATGTGCTCTGGCCCGAACTTGATTTCCTCCTCATCGACACCCCGCCGGGTACTTCAGATGAACACATTTCGCTCCTCGAGACGCTCCTTAAACAAGTCGCGAGTCCTACGGCGCCGCCGAACCAGCTCGCTGGTGCTGTCGTCGTTACCACACCGCAAGCGATCTCCATATCAGATGTCAAGAAAGAGTTGAACTTCTGCAAGAAGACGGGGATAAGAGTTCTGGGCGTTGTGGAGAATATGGCGGGCTTTGTGTGTCCAAATTGCAGCGAGTGCACGAACGTCTTTAGCAAGGGCGGTGGAGAGATCATGGCAAGGGATTTCGAGGTTCCGTTCCTAGGATCAGTGCCAATTGATCCTGCGTTTGTTATGCTGGTGGAAGAGGGTGCGAGACCGGTTTATCCTCAAGGCACAGTCATCGAGGATACGGATATGAGCAGTAATGGTGCGACAGGGGGGTCGAGCGAGGGCTTGTTCGTGGACAAGTATAGGGACTGCTCGCTGGCGCCGTTGTTTGATGGGTTCACTAAGAGGCTGTTGGTAGATATTAGAGGGTATTAGAGGGCTTGCATGAGCAAGAACCTGGACGACTACAAGTGCTGAGCAATGATACCACGCCTCGTTCCAACGGTGCTTCGACATCTCCACACTGTTATCAGAGCCATTCGTTTCTGACACTCACAGCATGATGTTATTCGTGCAAGTCGGGATATACCTGGTGGTAGCAGTGAGAGAAGCCCTAGCGCGGCAGGTACGTCAGGCTCATTCTGTCTCTTCACACCGACGTATGAGCTACCCGAGCTCACCCGTCCTCATGATCCTATGCCACAGTGTTTGGGTGCGCGCTCGGCTTGCGCTGCGTTCGCGAGTAGGTGAGAGAGCGGCAATCTGCTGCCTATAGGTAAAAGAAGCCCACAAATATCTGTTTCAGTGAGTTCTAATTGGATCACTACCTCCCAGTGACCTACATAAAGAAATTCCGTCACCCCCATTACTACCCACAACCGCTAATTGTGCTCTTCACACCTCGATATCTCCAGCGACCCCACCACATCACGATTTCGAGCAACTTTTAACATCCACTTGAGCGACGATGGCGGGATTCGCGAACTCTATGCGCAGCCTCTTGAGCCGCGGACAGCCTTCCAGTAATTGGACTCCGGGTTCGATTGCGCGCTTCGACGGCATGGGTGATAGCCATAACCATCCCCAGCAGCAGCATTGCGGTACCTCTCTACAGCAAGCCATCCACAACGGTTCAGCGGCTGCAGACGACTCTGTGCCACCTCTACCGGGACCTTACGAGGCTACTGGACAAGACTATACTTGTCAGCCTGCTATTCCGCACAAGTGCAGTCAGCCAGTCCAGCGTTTCGCAGTAGAACAGGGCGGGGAAGATAGTGATCATATGTCTGATACGGTGCAAGAGCTTGAACAGACGGAACAGGAATTGATACGACAGGTGTCTTCGCGTACGGTGACTGCTCAACCTTCTGAAGCTCCAACCCCCTCTTCCCACATCGTCAATCATTCTCGTGCCATACAGCTCCAAGATACTGTGAATCTCGAAAGCGCGGAGGTTCAAGTGAAGCACGGCCCAGCAATTGAAGAGCACGAAGACCACGACATGTTCGCCGAGTTCACGAACGAAGACTTTCACGAGGGTGGTGCGCAACCCAGCATGCAGATTCAGCGCCGTTCCAAGTCCACAGATCTTCGTGTGCCCACTGCCCCTTCAATCAAGCAAGAACCCGAATCCGAGAGCTTGCTGTGTATCAACGTAACTGAGCGCGTCGAAAACGTTGACTCTGCGAACACCTCAGGCCGCAGTATGTTTGAGGACAGCGCTGCCATGCCGGATGACCCGCCCCAGGCTCTTGCATTTGGCACTCAGGAACCATCCATTCAGGCTGGGTTGTTCCGAGGTGGCTTCAAGTCGGAGCGCCTGCAGTCGCAAGTCCCACATGGCCAAGTCACTCATGCTGGCGTATTTCAACAGAAGTATGCCCATGACCCCCGGCAGTCAATCACCGACTCTCAGATGCAGCCCAACAACGGCAAAGATTTGCGATCTTCCTCTGTTGACTCTGTTCTCGGTATTCGACGACACAGCTCAGAGGACAAGACGTCGTTACTTGGTGGCACGGATCTGTTGGCCAACACGCAACTGCTCGCGCAACAGTGGCAGCAGCGGCAGAAGTTGTGTGCTACGGGTAATCTAACTGCAAATGCAGTGCAAGCAAGACCGGGATTACTCCATAGTCCAAGGCCCACTCAAGATCAGAGTGTTCTACAGGTAGTACCAGCGGTTCAGCCGCCTCAAGACATTTCCTCCTATCCGCCTTCGCCTACGTATTGGCAACGCCAAAGCTCTTCCGTCTCTCAAAACTCGAATCTGCAGCGCCCTGCTTGCACTCCGGCTACGCAGCACGGTCAGTCCCAGTCTTCTTGGCTGATCTCAGGCTGGCATTTCGATCAGATCATGCCACAGGCACCTCCTTCTGATCTTTCAAAAACCCAAAACTCTCTACCTCAGGGTTCGGTAAGCTCAGGATGTATCACTGAAATACAAAACAAGGGCACTTTGGAGGCCTCCGATGATGACGAGCCCCTGGCCACTCGCGTACCTCGTCATCGTTCTACCACTGCCGGTCCAATGCTGGCCAGCTCCCAGTTGCCAGCCCATTCGAACTCGATGTCGGAGTCTGCTGCAGCTCAACCGAAGCCGCGCATTCCGAATATCAAGCAGGACTCTGCCATCAAGCTGTTAGACGACGATGATGAAGATACTGCCGAGCCCATCTCTTGGAAGTTACCTGAGTTCGAAGTCACTTACCATCCTCCTGCTGCTGCCAATGATCTGCCTATGGCTAAGGTCTCCATCCTTGGGAGCGGGAGCTCAGAAAACCTCGTTCGCTCTGAGGTCGCGCTTACAGAGGATCACGCGCTTAACGAGATGGAGCTCTTTCTCAACGTCTTCCTCCCCGCACAACGAGCTTTGCAGACGCCCGACCCCGAGCCAGCTCACGCAGTCATCAACTTCCACACAATTTCAGTCATGGTGCTGGAGGCGTTTGTGCAGTACGAGATCGGCGACGAAATGGGTCGTGGCTACGGCTTTCACGGCGGAAACGTCAGTAATCAGGCACTTCGCCCCAGCCCTTCCTCCTCTAACGGCGAAATTGTACGCACACGCTCAGCAAAGGATGCTGACGTTGACGAGATTTTCTTCGCAGTCATCGATCGCTGGCGAGCCGGTTCCATCTCTGGCAAGGGGACTCTGAAGCTCATCCGTGGCGTCCAGGAATTCTGCGACATCGCCCTTGACGTTATTTATCACGTGAAGGAGCATGGTCTGAATCAGCCAGGGCCGAAGCAGAGGAAGGAGAGGAGTGACAAGGGCGTGAAGAGGGGACCCAGGGGTGGTACTCAAGAGACTGAGACGAAGGGCAAGGCTACTGGTAAGAGGAAGGCTGATGCTGTGGAGTGCAGCGCTCCAGCAAAGAAGGGTAAGGTGAACGAGGTGCCGGTGCACAAGAAGGCGAAGACTGAGGTCAAAAAGACACCAGCGAAGAAGGCACTATCCAAGACAAAGCCAAAGGTCAATTCGTCCAGCGTGACCGTCATTAGGAACTTGAAGTAGTGAGTCGATGGTAAGGAGCATGGCCTGCTCATTGGATGTCTTGAAGCGATCTACTGGCTCTGACCATACTCTTTCATCATTTCAAGGCTGGTTAGTCTGGATCGAGTGCATGCGAATTGGAAACCTACAAAATCAAAATGCGCACTCGAGTCTTGAACTATATCACTGCGTGCACTTCGTGACGGACTCAGCACCCAATCCCCATTTCCTCAGAATCCTTCGAGGTGACACTTACACTGACACTTTGCCTCCTGGCTTTAGAATGAATCTATGTCCCCCGACCCTGCGGCGCAAATAGGTCAGATCCGAATCCAAGTAATTAGGTAGATGTCTCCCAAGATGCGCGATGATTGATCGCGATTAACAGTGCCACTGCGGCAGCCATGGGTCATTGCACTGATCTCACGGAGAATGGCGAGTGCAGACGTTTACTCGTACATCGTGCGCACTGTGAGAGAGTGGACTGTGAATGTTTGCACGGCAGGTCTTTGTCCTTGTCAACATGGTTTGTGCACGCCTGCACAGTGCTCAGGAGTTTTGGGCTGGGGGGCGACGGCTTTGCTGTTTGTACTGGCGCTCTGCCTGGAGTTTGCTTGAAAGCTCATTCTATCGAGTGTCTTGAGTAAAACTGGGGTGGTCATTGGATGCCAGCAATCTAGCTCAGGAGTGGCAGGTGAGCTTGTGCATGCGGGAGCTGGCTAGCTTGACGTTTTGGGGTCGTCCGTGAGCGTTTTTGGCGTTGGAATTGATATGTTGTGGTGGGTCATGATCGGCACAGGCCCGCATCTTTAAGAGTTGCACGTGTTTGGCGATTGATTGTTTGCGGGGGTTATGTTTTGCACTGATTGGTGGTTTGTACGAGGATGGAAAGATGCCCCGTTTGGGCACTCTCTTCGTGATTTCCGAGTTCTTGATCCCGACGTCTGATATGGAGTCAGCCTGTTGTGTCGATTTCTTTTGGCTCTTAGCTAAGAGCTGTATTATGTGTTTAGCGCGGGTATCTTTACTGCTTGACGCAGAGATAAGTATCAATGAAAATATCGCATTAGTGCATCTTGTCGTGTGGAAGGGATATTGAGCGAATATCAGACAATGGCGCTTCTACGGCAACACTTGGGTCAAGTGTCTTTGGCTTTCATGAGCCAAGTTATCAATCTCGGAAGTACGAGCGCTGAGAGAATGAGCAGGTAGAGGAAGCACAAAAAGATGCGGAGTCAACGGGCTTCGGTGATTTAGATGTGGCAATTTGGATCTTGGCTATCAATCGTGTATGGGTAGGGTCTGTTGTTGTGTGAAGATGTCTGGCCCGTCGGAGGCGACTCCGGGACGGAAGCTGGGCTTGTCGGAGTTGAGCGAGGGACTGGTGGCGTGGCGTCTTGATCCATCGCTTTGGGAACATGCCCGAGCAGCTAAAAGTTGTACAGCTCAAGCAGTGATTCGTACGAGCCATGGCGCCAATGAAGCTGGCCAGGTAGCAGCTTTCAATTGCCAATCATGATTGGCTGCCATCGCTCGATTCGAATATCCGTCTGAGGTGACGTGCAGGAGCAGGATGCAAATCTTTGACCCTGCACGCATGATTAGACCCTGGACATGGCTCTCGAAGTGCACTACTGCCTGCTTCGTACCGTAACGGCCGTGGACACGTGAAACTACTGCTATATCCATCGCATTAGCCAAACCTTATTCTAGTCGATAGTCTTGACCATTTTCTTGCGGCAATTTGCACTTGTATGCCGCTGATGCCGCTACAGCGGGAAAGTTCGCGGCAGCAATCATGCTGCAAGCGTTGGTAGTTGAAAGGGCACCCAACTATGCTCCTCGCGGTACTCGCGTGCAGCCCTGACGTAATCTTGATACGTAAGCTGATCATCGCTTAAGAGTGTAAAGGGAAGAGACCATCCACCGTGCAGCGGACAAAGGTGCGTGCCGTCCCCGCAACCTTGCGGAACCAGATTTCCCCAGCTCAACCAACTCGCTAGCTTAACACCGACTTTATGATCTTCTCCCATTATTGGATTCGTAATATGGATCAAATATCTCCCGGACGGGACCGTGTTGTAATTGATCATTCTATTGCAGCAGGAGCGGAGGTGTCATCGTTGACATCGTTTACGCCCCGACCTCTCAAGATGGCAGTACTCCGTCAAACACGGCTCAGCCCGCATTCATCTCCGCCATTGCGACGTGTGCAACGAAGCCAAAGTACAACCAGCCTTTGCGATCGCAGTCCCTGCGAACGGTCCGGTCGATATCGCCGTAGCCACGCTATTCGCTGATGCGTCGTTTGTTCAGCTACGAAAAGTGCTTGACATTGACATGAACATCGCACGTGTCTGACTGCGTGCGTGGCTTGCATTAAATAAGGAATAGCAACACACCAATGCAGCACCTCAATCTAATTATTAAAGGCAGCGAAGGTGGCCTCTTCGGTGACCGCTATAGTCTTGGCAAAATTGCCGTACAAGATCGACTTAACTCACTACGAGTGGACGTCCCACGGGGACATGGCCCGGTGCTTGCGTAGCGTGATCGCTCAAGGATCTGTGTGCACTGCGGACGGATCGATGGGAACAAGAATGCAAGCAGAACCCAGACCAAGACTGCCTCGAAGCCCAGGCAACGGGAACAGTATTTGAAACCGCAACCTAATTATCAAGATTGTCGACCGATGCGCAATTGATCGATAGATGCGTAACGTAGTTGAGATGCCCAGACTGCACTTTGGGAGCCAGTACCGATCAAGGCTGTCGCCGTGTCCATGTTCACGATTGCAAGGCACAGTCTCAGCACTCACGCCCATGGCCAAATAATCGCCGTCAATGGTGGGAAGCAAGGCAAAGTAATGTGGAGTCGAGATGAAGCGCCACAGCCTTATGGCCAGATCTATAAGAGCTGGTCTGCCCTAAGCACACCAGTGTCACAATTCTGTCTCGTTCAGCCTAAAGGCAAAGGGCGCTGCAGGTCTCAGGAATGAAATCCTTGTTGAGCCGGTTTCGACAGATCTGCTAGCGTTGCACTGTCGCCCCGTCCCAGTGGCCTGGGTGTGAACACGAAAGCATCTTGACGTGCCGGGTCAGACCCCTGATAATGCACTACCTACTACTACCTTTTCAGCAGCAATGGGATTTGCGCGACAAGCAATCAAATTCGTCGGCGCCTTTTTTGGAGAGGCTGCGCAGGGACGTGACTTGCGCGGAGGTGGGTTCCGATAGTACATGACGCCCTGATTCGCTAGAGGTGGTGCTCCCAACTTCCAATCAGTCACCGGCATGTTCCGAGCCCACTCCACCTATTAATGACTGGAGATCTCGGTCCATAAAAGATTGAGCAACTTTATGAGGAATGCGTCGCGAGGCATCTGCACGCTAACTTTGATCTCAGCCTGCGCGGTCGAGCTACAACGTCTTCAAGCCTAGCATGACGGGGTGATGATCGAGGTTGCACCCGCATACATGCATCCGCAGGGCTCCCACATTGGAAGGCTGACGGGCGGCGCCTGTCGGGCGACTTGACGCACGGCAAAGGTCCCAGTCTATGCGAACGGACCCAGCCCCGCAGCGAATGACTTGCCGAAGTTTACCAAAATTCCCTGAGGCAAAGGCACGCTGATCCGCGGGCCCCTGGTGTGTATGTCAGACTCGTGCGTCCCGTAACTCAAATGAACGAGAATGGCAAAGCGGACTGCCCTAAAGATCTCGCCGCTGTGATGTCGTCAGTCTAGAAGTTTGACCGGCTCCGGATTTTATGTTTTGCCAGGCCAGATGTTGTTCGTTGACAACCTTGCCGCGGTGGCTGTGAAGCTCGTACCTTCCCGCCGGCATGCTTTCCCCACAGAAAACCCTGCCTCTAATATCACGAGCGCATTTCCTCATGCGGTGCCATCTCTCTCTCTCTTCCTCCAAATTGACCTCATCCACTCTGACTTGCAGGGCTTGCGCCCACTTGCCTTGATTGTCTTCGCCCTGGAATGGTTCGCTTTCTACAAACCACCACGTGTTGATGAGCGCCGCCGACATGTCTAATTTTCGGGCCCTTCAACCAGCACCACTGGATCAAGAGCCAACACCACAACCACAGACCCGACCCATACTGACGTCGAAGCCAAAGCGCACGGTAACACTTGGTGCTTGTGTTGCATGCCGGAAACGGAAATCGAAATGTGACGGCAACCGTCCAATATGCACATGCTGCTCTCAAAAAGACACAGAGTGCGTCTACGAACTTGGCCCCAATGAGAAGCCATCGCAGGCGATGAAACGCAAAAATGAGGAGATGCAGGGCGAATTGTCCAATCTCCGTCAGCTCTATGACTTTCTCCGGTTACGGCCAGAGCACGAGGCTATGGAAATCCTCAAGCGCATCAGATCCAACTCTCCAGACGTCCCACCGTGCCAACGCATCCAGGAGCTTGCAGACTACGTACGACATGGAGATTTATTCAACCAGCAGCCGCTACAAACATTACCTGGGAGAGACGCCGAGCGCGACCCATTGGGTTCCATAACGCTTCCTCCGCTGCGTCACGCTCTGGATTCTACTGGAGATCTGGAGTCCTACAGTCTACCCTGCCTAGGCATGCACCCCATGGGATTCGATGGCCCAGCTACCCAACGACGCAGACACACCCAAGATCTGTCAGCTCGGTAAGCAACGTGCGCGCAGCACCCGGGAGCGATTTTGACCAACTCCAGCACAGATAGTCAAAGCTCTCTGCCACGGCTCACTTCCATCGAGGCCATCCTGCACACACCTTCTACTGCAGCTGCAGATGACCTGGCTGCAGACCCTCGGCTGGGCTTTATTGGCGACTGGACACGGGTCACAGATGACACTGGCTTTCTAGCTCACCTTTTCACCACCTGGACGGAAAGAGAATATGTCTATTACCATTTTCTGGACCGAGATGCGTTTCTTGCAGATCTTTCATCGCGCCGTAATGACTTTTGTTCTGAACTTCTAGTCAACATTATGCTTGCATCGGCATGTGTAAGTATACAGTCAAGATTGCACACCCAATGTATCCTGACACAAGACAGTTCCATTCTTCTGCGGTCAAAGACCGCAACAAACCTCTCTCCGCGAACTCGATCCAGACTTCCTTCTACTACGAGGCGCGGCGGTTGTGGGTTATTGAGAGTGGTAGGGACAGCTTGACGAAGGTGCAAGCTGGCATGATCTTCTGTAAGTAACGCATTCAAGCATAATGCAGACAGCGCGTATGTAGCCAGCGCTGTGATACACATCCTGACCAGTGCTCTAGACCTGGTTCTTGCGAAATACGGTCGAGATAGAGACGGTCAGAGGTTTTTAGTGGAAGCATGCAAATCTGCTCAGAACCTAGGCTTGTTCGATGAGGAAACGTCTCAAAACAGCGGAACACCTACACATATTTCCGTCGATAGATGGAGGAGAGCTCGAGCAGTGACTGCGTGGGCGATACACAACTTTCAGCTGTAGGTCAAACTTGAATCGTTCTAAACGCGCTCCCTGCAGCTAATAACTGTTAAGCACCATGGCAATCACGTACTCATCTCCCGTACTGATCAAGAGCCTTCCTGCAGCGCAGATTCCATACCAGGACGCTGAACGTAAGTAGCATAGTCATAACCTGATTTACAGAGCTAACGCATTTCGTCAGCCATGTTCCGTTCTGAGTGCGTGCTGCACACCATCCTCCATGATTGTGTCAGCATCATACAAGGTAATGAATGTACGAACCCACTCGATGCGCGAAGTGCCGATCGCATCGATGCCTGCTACTCCCGGTTGAGGTCTTGGTGGCGCTCGCGACCCTCCACCCTAGATCCCGACAAGTATCCATCTCAGGTCCATTTACTTTGCGCGTAAGTTAATCAACTCTCTAGAAGGGCTGTACATAGTTACTGACTATGTACAGCATGCAATACAACGTCAACATCGTCAAGCTGTTTCGACCAGTCATGGACCGCGAAGCATCCTCTGAGCAGGATGCACCTTACATTGACCGCACGAGGCATGTCGTAGCATCATCTCTAAGGGAGATTCGGCGCCTAGTCTCGGTACACGATACACATCATGGCTGGTCGAACGCCATTACCTTTGTCATACACGGCATTACTGTTGCAAGTTTCGGCACCCTTGATGAGATGTCGCACAATAAGCCTCTCCTTTCACAATCCGCAACTGATGAGCGGTACCAGGGTCTGGTTACCTGTCTACGCGCTCTCACGGTCCTGCTCAGCTACAGCTATTATGCACAACCGATTTTTCGACTTTTGACGCAGAAGTGTGCAGCACTAGGCGTGCGATTGCCAGCGGAGGTGCAAGGGGCACTTGACTACTGCACGAGCGAAGAGTGGATAAAGAAGGCTGCCGAGCTGGTCAGTAGTCAGTACATTGCCGACACGCGATCAATCGACAAGGACACAGAGACAATGAGGATGGATGCTGTCATATCCAGGTGGGAGAACCTGAATCTCGAGGACAAGCAGACATAGGCATTAGGCAAAGGGACAGAAAAGGCGAATCTGGAACCTCTCGATTTCGTTCTTGTGAATACCAGGTCGCACGCGAGAGCTTGCTCTCGTCTTTATGATACCCTATTCCACGATCGCAGAGATGTTTCTGTAGCTTTAAACAGGTTTACAATCTCGGCTCATCACTGTTTCTTTCTCTTGCGTCCAGTATTTGGCATCGCGATTTCTCGCCGAATGCATACCTTTTTCAGAAAGCTCTGTCCAAAGTGACATAATGGCCCACTTCCTTGCAACGATAGGTACCGAGCACCGAGCACCGGCTCGGCTCCGCCGTAGGACCGACCGTACAGTCCGCACCGGAGCGCTTCTTCCGCCGACCAATAGCATGAGATCGACACTTGCGACGCATTGACGTTCGGGAAGCCTTCCTTGGCCTGCAGAGCCCGTCAGTGCGCTTGCTTGTTTACGTGTGCGCGGCGTAACGTTACCTGCTCGTAGCGTCCGCGCCCCCCAACCTCGTGCGATGCACTCCAAGCGTAGTCACCTCGCCGATCAGCCAATATTCCCCTAGCGCCTAATAATGCCCCACAGCGCGGGAGCAGGGCCCTTGCCGCCGCGGAGCGACAGCTTCGGAATTTTGGCGGTTGCAAAGCCGCCGCCTGCGCGGAAAACTCCCTCTTACACACTAGCGATCAGACGGCTGCGACCGAGTGGCCATAAGCTTTCGCTGCAAACATGCAAGGGCGCAATGTGAGTAAAAAATGGGTTAGTCCCGCGGCAGGCGGGAGCATAGTTGATGAGGAATGGCCCCGCAGCTTCAAAATTCTGCTTCAGATAGCTACACTGAGCTGCAGCAAAAAGAGCGTGAGCGGAGGGCTTGAGCAGGGAAGAAATCTGCGGCTCCATGTGGGGCGACAGAAGATGTCTTCGTGCGCAATTTGAACCGCGAGGAGCATGTAGGGATTTCAATGATGAGTATAGTAAAGACGTTCCCACGTGCAACAGAATGTAAGGTGGCCAGCCGGGTGCGGTATCCAACGTCGTACCACAGGAGTGGCTGGGGACGATGTCAAACATGCCAGCGTTCGTAGATCAGGCGTGCGATTTGGCGACATTCTCGAGCAACGAACCACTGATCATATTAACAGATTCGGTGACGTACGCGCCACCAGATACCCAGTGAGTTCGTGACAATGAGAGATGGAAACGATAGTGGCGGTCCTTTACATTGTTTACGACGCCGTGTCGCCTCCCCTTATCACTCAGATTGTGCTTCCATGAGCGCCCTCACCAGGACGGAAATCAGCAGATCCTTGCAACTCAACAGCTTCGAAGTACACGTGCCATTACAACATCGCGAGTATCCAGTGCTCCCTGATTGCTTTCCTACCGTCTTGGCTGCGCTTCACAACCCTTCCAGTTTTGCCAAAAGCATGGGCTCCATTATCTTCATCTTGTGTCGACCTCTTGCGGTCGTCTCGTTCTTCCTGTCTGTCCTGCAGAGGAGGGGCATCCTTTACCCAGAACATCATTTGGACATCGCCATCGGGGTCAGACCAAAGAGTGACCTGGTAAATGTACTTGTTGCAACCGAGTTGGGTCTTATGTTGCACGACTATAGGTAAAGTCAGAAGAGAACCGAAGGAATGACCAAAATTCAAGACTTACGGAAGTATCCTGCAGCGATACCATTCGGAGATCCGAGCATGACTTTGCCCTCTTCCGTTTCGATATCGAAGACCAGTCCTGGCCACTTGGGAAGACGAGTACGACGAATGTCTCCCTCCGGGACCTGATAGGTCTTCAAAGCCACACCAACGAGCCTCAGTGTATCCTCGTTCACGGCATCATGGACGAAGAACTTTTGAATATTGTTCAGACCGGCGTCGTCCTTATGGGCGCGTTTCCAGAATGCCCAACTGCGAAAACTAGTAAATTTGTGTCAGAGGCAGGGATGGGTGGGACTTACGAGATATCAGAGACTCGATTGAGCTCTGGCAACTCATCGGCAGTAACTTCGTCGACACCCCAGATCTGCATAGCGCTTTGTGCCGCAGATCGGACGTTGAAGAACGTGATCATACCATTGCGAGCATTGACGCCTATCTGCATGATGGCGTCAGTCATCTAGAGTGGAGAATGTTAGTCAGGTCCAGTGAGCGTAAGTCCTCCACTCACCCGATAGGTCTTATCGCCAACGACATAGGTCTGCTCTTTGATCTGTCCGCGTGGTCCCCCTCTGCTGTGATGAGCTTGGTAGCACTCATTTTGTGCACTCTTGGTATTTTCTTTGAACTTCGTATCGACTCCCATCTCCTTGAGTGATGCAGCGACATTATCGAGATTGCAGTACAGTCCAAGACCCTTGGGTTGTTTGTATCCCCAGAGCGTCAGCTCTGCCTCCATAGTTCCCTCCCACGGACTATCGATAGGATTCACAAGCTTTGTCGCGGTAACCTTGTTCTGCAGGGAGGCCTGAGTTATCTTCTCGCCTCGACACTTGCAGCTGTTCCAGAGCGTATCATCATCAGGCCTCTTCTTAGCTATAACACTTACCACATCATTAGAAGCCGGAGGCGACTGCGCAATGGATGAGTTAATTGCTGTTATCAGGCCACGGCCATTGAGATCATTACTCCGCCTTCGGTCTACTGGAGGTGTTGTGTCATCCGCTGTAGGTGCCAGCGCATCTTTGACATGTAGAATCATCGATGGTCCGAAACCCCGTACTGATTCAAAGATTTGGACTTGATACACATACTTGTTGGCACCAATCTCAGCCTTGTGTTGGGCCAGAAAGTAGCCGGCGGCAATACCGTTGGGAGATCCCAACAATGCTTTGCCCGGCTCTGATTCCACATCGAGTATCAGTCCTGGCCACTCTGGCAGCTCAGTCAACCGCTGCTGCCCCTCTGGTGGCTCATAGACTTGCAAGGCTTTCTCAATCAGCTGATTCGTCTTCTCGTTGACGATGTTGTGAACGACAAAGAAATTGATGTTCCCGAGGTCGCGGTTCTTCCCTGATCGCTTCTCCCACGCCCTATTCCAGAACGCCCAGGAGATGTCTGAGATCGCTCTGAGCTTGGGCAGTGTTTCGGCTGTTGGAATCTCGGGATACCAGAGTGATCCAGCCGCATGGGAAGCCGACCTAAAGTCGACAAAGAAGATGACCCCACTAAGGGTGTTGGCTCCAATGATGGCATGAGCGTCGGTCATCTGGAGGGAAAGATTTAGTAAAACACAAAGAGATCCAGCTATGAACATAGCGTGGCTAAGGGAATGTGCAGGTTACTTACCCGATACGTTTTCTCTTCGACTGTGTAAGTCTGGTCTTCCTCGCTGATGACCCCACCATCCAGATCCCTGTAGTCGTCTTCATACGAATGGCGGACTTTGTAGCAGGAGTTCAGACCACCTTCAGGTTCCGACAGTGTACTGATCTTTAGGGCATTTAGGGCATCCCCAATGTCCTCAAAGTTGCAGTGAGACATGGCTGGTTGCTCACGGTAGCCCCACTTCGCAAGTTCGGCTACCATGCTACCCTTCCATGGCGTATTGATGGGGGTTACGATTTGAGCTGCCTTATCTGTGTCGGCTTTGCACGCCTGCGTGAGCTTCTCTCCACGGCATACGCAGTCATGCCAGGAATCCTTCTTTGTGGTCGACACGAGATCATCTGTCGTCAGCACGAGATCTCGACGGATGTGGCCTTCAGTGTGTTCGGAGTTCTTCTCAGGGTCTTGATCTGGATTTTGGTCCCCTTGTGAAGGCGCTGGGGCGTCTTCGACATAGTATATGATTGATGGCTCGTCCGATCCAGTATCCTCATCTGGACGGAACACAGTGACCCTACTCACGTACTTGTTTTTTCCTATCTCTGACTTATGTTGGGACAAGAAGTACGCGGTAGGGATTCCGATGGGAGAGCCTGAACAAGGTAAGTACGTTCTTAGTAAGAAGCCTCCTAGTATACCTACCTAGTAGAGCCTTTCCTGCTGGAGTATCAATCTTGAAGGAGATGCCAGGCCATTCAGGTACTGTGTTGTGTCGCTCTTCACCATCAGGAACGTTGTACGTCTCAAGCGCCTGATTTATCAGACGGATAGTGATGTCGTTGATGATCTGCGGCACGACGAACTTGGTAATGTGTCCAAGGTCTGAGCCGCCATGAGCTTGGTGCCAGAAGCCCCATGCGATATCAGATATCTGGATCAACTCAGGAAGCTGGTCCTTCGCGGCCGCATCAACGCCCCATAGCTGCGCTGCCTTGCGCGGAGCGGACGCCACATCGATGAGGAACACAGCTCCTTCCTCGACATTGATAGCGAAAGTACCATGTGCGCCGGTAGCCTGAAGGCAGTCAGTACAGTGCGGTATGCGAAGCCGGAAAGACTTACACGGTATTCCTTCTCTCCAACCTTGTACGTCTGGTCCTTGATGCTGATTTCTCCCTCCGAATCGTAATGTTGAGTGCGAAAACACTCGCTCTTCTCAACGCCAAGTGCCTCCAGCGCATTCGTGATGTCGTAGTACGAGCCTTCGAGATCGCAGTCGGGATCTGGACTGTCGAAGTAGCCCCACAGCTTGCGCTCAGTCTCGAGATTGCCAGACCATTTAGTGCTAATGGGCAGAGCAAACGCTTCTGCCTTGTCCTTGTCCAATTTTGAAGCTCGGGTGAGCTTCTCGCCGCGGCACACGTGCTTGTCCCATTCTGAATGTGACTCAGCGGGCGAGTTTGAGTTTGGTTCCGGGCGTTTCGCTGGTGGAGGTGAGTCGGCGCGTGGAGCAAGCTGAGTCCTTCCAGCATCACTTGTGACAGTGGGCGAGGCACCGAAGATTTTGGTGAGTGTGGTGCTGTTGGTTGTTGTATACTGCTGCGGGAGGGAAGGTACGACCCTACACACTGCAAGCGCAAGTAGCAGCGCGGAGGCAATCACACCCCAAATCTTCATGTTGAGGTGACAGCTCAATGGTGTTGAGTGTGGGTGGGGAATACTGACCTGAACGGTGCAGAGTTAGTTTATGTGGTAGCACCTACGGGAGCGCGTTACGCTCAATGTCACGAGTGTGAAGAACAGTGAAGGTGAAAGAGCATCTCTTGATGACGATGGTCTGACCACCTACCAAATTATACTCTATCCAAGAATTCGAGCATTTACAGTTCCCCAAAAAGTTGAAGCAATCTACAATTTAGCCTTTGGCATGTTCTTCCCTCGAACATCGCGTATTATGACTTGCCCATCACCCTCCATCCTACTGTGCGGCTGCGCCTGGCCATTTCCGCCTCGTAACCCAGCTTTTAAGATCGCCGGTGGTGCGTCTTTGACGTGAAACACCATGTAAGGATCCCCGCCTTCGTTTTCGGTGTAGACTTGTACCTGGTGGACATACTTATTGCCGCCGAGCTGCGCCTTGTGCTGCGATAGGAAGTACCCGATTGCAAGGCCATTCGGTGAGCCTGTATGACTAGCCAAAATGCCATCTCAAGCTTTAAAATATATCTTGGCTTACCAAGCATAGCTGCTCCTTCCTGAGTCTCAACAGCCCACGTCACTCCTGGCCATTCAGACAATTCAGTCTGGCGCGCCTGAAGCCTGTATGTCTTGAGGGCATCCGCGATGAGATGCTCCGTTTCTGCGTTGACGACCTGGCTCACGATGAAGTACTTCAAGTTACCAAGACCCTCGCCGTCTGGACGAACGCGACGCCAGATTCCCCGGGCCGTGTGAGACATCTGCCTCAGTTTTGGAAGCTCATCAACGGGCGGGTTGCTCACGCCCCATGCCCCTGCAGCACCTGATACAGCAGACCTGCGATCTATGAAGCAGATGGCCCCATCATCTGCGTTAGCGGCCATGATGGCTTTGGCGTAGGTGTTCTATGGCTCGAATTAGATCAGGTGTTACTGTGGTACAGCACATAAGGACTAACTCGGTATGTCTGCTCCTCCACGGGGACCCAGCCACTAGCACTCTCTCCCGGGAGAGGACCCATCTCACCACGATTATGCTGAAATTAAAAGCACTTGTTCTACCCTTCGGTTTGGAAACCTTCCAGTACAACTTTCAGCGTCATTTCAAACACTTCGCAGTGCTCCTGATTTGCTTCCTCATTGCGCTCGACGTATCCCCAGCGCGCAAGCTCTGACTCAAGTGTACCATCGAATTGGATGTCCAACAGAGCTCCGAACTGGATAGCTACGTCTTTGTTGGACATACACGCTTTTTTCAACTTTTGACCACGGCATACGCATCTTTGCCAGATCGTTTGCTCGACAGCGGGCTCGTCAGCTGCCACTAGCACCGCAGTCAGCTGGGACCTGCTGAGAGGGTCGCCAGGAGAGGATATCGACATCGAACTCAGATTCACGATGGCGTAGGGAGGGAGAGCTGTGTCGCGACATGTTGCTAGAAGAGGCAGGATCGCGGCGGCGGCGAAGCGTTGTGGCCTCATGCTGAGAGACCACGAAATTGGAGATAGTTGAAGGTGTTTTGATTGTACAAGGACATTCAATTTGTCGGGCCATAATTTTGTGAACCCCGCGCTCAAAATCGTTAAACTCGTAGTGAAAGAAATTCAGAGCGTATTGTGAACCAGAACTTTCATCCAAAAGCGACCCTTTGGCATGGACGAACGCGCAACGGATTGTAGCGCTTGAAGTCCGACGATTGAGATAATCTTAGAGATGAGAAAAATCTGGCAATACGATGAAGTCCGTCATCTTCAGTCGTCAACGTGGGCTGCCACGTTCTACTACACCACAGCAATCCTTACGCTTGCGATACACCACACCACCTCTGCGTCCAACATCACCCGCAAGTCCTTACGCGCCAGCCTCGCGTGCACAATACACTCCTCATATCCTCTCCATGTGCTCCCAGATGTCGCCTCCGGGCCCAGGCTTTGTCAGCAGTGTCTGCCGACCAAGGAGCTGGCTCTCTCGTTTTGAGCGGCACCGAGTATTCTTCAACAACACCGACTTGTTCGACGCGGTAGCCTGTACTGCTTGCAAGACGACGGTTTGACGCTTGTGCAGATCATCCACAGGACTTCTTTATTGCGTATCGAAAGAGCCCTCTGCAGGAGGGCAGAGAAGAGTAGGTGGATAGCCGAGGCAGAAGGGGCGCTGGTGATGTCGATCCCGATGAGAGAACATCTGGAGACTTGAGATCACGGGATGCAGCGGGAGCTTAGAAGGGCTGGTCATAGCTGGGGGTGGCACTAGATGCAATCGATCTCATATCCGCATGGAGTATTTCCTGAGCATGAGTATCTTCAATAGGGCCGACATGAAAACAAGGGCCATCTACCGTACGAGTCTTTGCGACCAGCCCACTCCCGAGCTACAATCTAACTACCACCCTATGTTCCCTCACAACAGTCCTGCCCTCATTACTCATATGCACAATCAGCGCCTTCTCGCTCGTAGCCAGCTCCCGCTTCCGCCGCTGTGCAACATGTAATCGATCGAGCTGCTCGTCCAGCGCCCGCGGTCCAGCAACAGGGACATGGTCCGAGACATAGAGGAGGACATTCGGGTTCGCCCACACGCCTTCGCCAGCCATCCAGATCCTAACTTTCCAGATGTACTTCCAGCCCAGCTGGCGGCGGTGCTGGATGAGGAAGTATGCGGCGCCGAGACCGTTTGAGGAGCCTGAGGATGTCAGATTGGTGCTAAAGAGTGGGTGTGATTGTGCAACGCACCTAGCAGCGCGAGGGCGGCTTCCATTCGGAGCAATTCTGACTCGGGCATGTTGCCATCTTGGTCTTTGCCTTTGACCGCAAACTCAAAGTCTTTGCCTGGCCAGGGTGGTATCTCGTCTGTGTTGAACTGCTGCATCGCGCGCGACATGATGTATTGGGACTCTGTATTGACAATCTGCACAGCCATGAAGTAGTTCAGCTTCTGCGAGCCTTCAGCCACGCGGTTCCACACTGTGGTATGATAGTCAGCAATCAGCTCTGCTTCTGCCGGAAAAGCACACGACTCACTGCCCCATGCGATGTCAGAGCTAGCTCTCAAGGCTGGTAACTCATCGCCCGTAGGCCTGCGTTTCCAGTGTTCTTCGGCGGCATCTTCAGGGCTCTGGCGGTGGATGAAGTACACGAGACCGTCCATGCGGTTGACGCCAACCTTGGCGTATCCTTGTGTGACCTTTGAGGGACCGAGTCAGTACTCGAATGTGGTTACTAGTGGTGACAACATACACGATACTTCTTGCCATCTGCAGGATAGTACTGGTCCTCTTCAAATGGCAGCTCGCCATCGTCATCAAGAATGACAGTAGGTCCATTCATATGCTCGACGTAAAAACAATGGTTTGGGCCACCATGTCCAGCGGGACGCGGATCGATATGGAGATCCCTGAAGGCGTCGCCAACCTCGTGGGTCTTTTCAAAGTCACACGCTGCGTCGACTTGCTCGTCTGCATGGTTGGTTTCTTGGTAGCCCCACTTGGTCAACTCAGACTTGAGATCACCATCCCACGGACTTTGGGTGTATGGCCACTGGAGTAAGGTGGCGGCTTCCTGATCACGCATCATCATTGCCTTGGTCAGCTGTACTCCGCGACTCTTGGCTTTGCACCAAATTTGCTCCTTCTGCTCTGGAGTGAGCTCTGTCTCCTCGTCGTCATCGTCGTCCCCTTCTTCTCCTCCATCGTTGTCATCATCATCGTCGCTGTCCAAGCTCCATTCATCGTTGGGTAGATCGGTAGCTGCGACAACCGTAGAGATATTTGAGGTCATATTGCTCGATGAAAGCTCGCGCACGTTCAGTGTGGGCAGAAGACTCAATGTAGTGAAAGTGGCCGGTCGATAGGGTGCTCGAATAGCACGGCTAGCTGCAGATGTAATGCAGACTATGAACGTGACCGTCGCGAGAGATCTCATGGTGGCGCTCAGTGCTCCTTCCCTTGTCGATTTGGAGGACCGAAGCGGACACGTGGGGTTGAGACGGTGCAGCGCGTCCAAGGTCAGTGTGCCATCGGCAGCGCAACGAAACGTTTTCGCGCGGCGGTACGGCGAGCTAATAAATGTGCGGTTGCATGTCTAAGAAGTGAAGGCAGTCACTGAGTGAAAGGGGCAAGCATCTCGAGTCTAACAAAGCACTTTGTAGGCACCCCTCTTGAACAACGATCTCTACGGCATCACAAACCCTCAGACGTACCTGAGGCCGCGGCGCATGTTTCCCCTGTACCTTCTTGCTCTTCCTAGTCTTGCGCTCCTTGCTCTTCCTGGTCTTGCGCTCCTTGCTCTTCCTGGTCTTGCGCTCCTTGCTCTTCCTGGTCTTGCGCTCCTTGCTCTTCCTCGATGCTACGCCCTGACTGCGATTCCGGCAGGACTTGCTATGGGGCTTCTGCAATTGTGATGCGATGTTGGAAACAGGTCCTTTCCAAGGCGCTTGGTCTATGACACAGAACAGGATATATGGGAGCCCGTCTGATGACTCCAAGACCTTGATCTTCCAAGTGTGCTTCCAGTTCAGTTGCTGCTTGTGTTGGATCAAAAAGTATTCGGCCGCGAGACCATTGGGTGAGCCTGTTAGAGTCAGTCGCAGCACCTGTAAAACATCTGAGGACGTACCTAAGAACGCCAGAGCCGCTTCGATCCCCTCGCCCTTGTTCACACCGAAGGCAAAGTCAAAGTCGGTGCCTGGCCAAGCTTTGATATCTCCAGCACTTACGGATGCAAGTGCGCGTTTGATGGTCTCCTCCGTGTGCTCGTTGACGATCTGGCATGACATGATGTACTTGAGGTTCGTCACAGTCGCAGCAGATACCACTCTGTTGCAGAAGGCGAATGCGATGCCAGACGATGATCTCAACCCTGGCAATTCGTTCGCAACAGGAGCGCGCTGCCACAACCACTTGGCTGATTTTGCAGCGCTTGTGCGGTCAAGGAAGTACAGAAATCCATCCGTAGGGTTTACTCCGATACCAGCATGCGCGTCTGTTGCCTGTAGTGAGATCTGGTGAGCGAGGTGGCGTTGTGTGCTGGAGCTGGAGACATTCACGTACCCAATACTCGACGTCGACCACCGAATACCTCTGATCAGCAACATCGGGCAGTTCGTCGTCTTGAGTGCATACCATGGCGGGGCTGTCTGAGTGCTGAATATAGAAGCACCCGGGCCATGGTCCTCGCGCGCATCGTGCCTCCTTCCCCGTGTCAATGTGCAGCGCTTCGATCCGTGAGACGGCTGGTGGTCAAAGCTCGCAACCGCACGCGGTCTGCGACTTGGAAACGAGGCAGTGAGGTTGAGGTCAGACGAGATCCACCCGGCGTCGCGAACGAACGGCGCGGTACCCAAGGTTAACCCCGCTTTCTACACACGTAGCACGCGTGTAGCTGCATCTCGGCTCGAGGTGCAGACCGCACGCTATATAAAGCGAGAGCGACCCCGAATCTGAGAATGTCTTCGAGTCGCGCTGCAGATCCTTTAAAGTATTGTAGGCTGCAATGGCACCCAGCGAGACCGATGTGGATATTCAGCTTCAGCAGCGCCGCCGTGCAGACGTGCCGGCCACGATGAAAGCGCTGCAGTACGAAAGCCGCCCTTCCGAGGCGATGCAGACTAACGGACATGGTGAAGATACTCTGCGCCGGAAAAGTTCGCCGTCGTCGAGGTCGACGTGCCCGCAATCGGCGACGACGATGTCCTGGTACAGTACAGCGACCTCCAGCACCGTGCTCACGTACTGACATGCAGAGGTCAAAATCTCAGCGTGTGGAGTCTGTGGGACAGATCTGCACTACCACAAGGGCGAGTTCCTGGCCAAGGTGCGCGTCAAGTGAGAGACTGCGCAGATGAGCTCGAGCTGATGATGTACAGTGGCCGCTCATACCGGGTACGCACGCCTGCACTTCCCCGCAGACGACAGTCTCTGACCATCGCCAGGCCACGAGGCGGTCGGAACGATTGTAGCAAGCGGTAGCAACGTCCGCAGCGTCTCCCTCGGCGACCGCGTAGTAGCAGACCCCATGCAGCCCTGCCTGTCCTGCTTCCACTGCAGGCGGCGCAAACCGCTGCTCTGCTCGAGCCTGACAGCCTTTGGCGGCAACGTGCCCGGCGGCTTCGCAGAGTACTGCCGCTACCCAGCGCGCCAGGTGCATCGCATCGGCGAGCTTCCGGATCTCGAAGCCGTCCTGGTTGAGCCGGCGGGGTGCGCGACGCACGGCATCGAGCGCATGCAGCTCGAAGCCGGCAGCAGGGTGCTGCTCTTCGGCTGCGGGCCAACGGGGATCCTGCTCGCGCAGCTGATTCGGCAAAACGGCGGCGCTCACCTGACCATTGCGTCGAAAGGGGGCCCGAAGCTCGATCTCGCGAGGGCGCTCGACGTCGCAGAGGCATACGTGAGCATCTCCGACGACCAGCCGTCGCGAGACCTGTCTAGTCTGCGGACCGCGAATCCTCACGGGTTCGACGTGGTCGTCGAAGCAACCGGCGCGCCCACGGTGCTGGAGAGCAGCATCGGCTTCGTGCGCAAGGGCGGCAAGCTGGTCGTGTACGGCGTGTACGACGCGGCAGTCAAGATCGCGTGGAGTCCGTTTGAGATCTGGGAGAAGGAGATGACGATCCTGGCGAGCTTCTGCAGCATGCAGCACATGCCGCAGGCGCTAGAGTATGTCGGCGGGGGGAAGCTGAGGCTGGGCGGGATCGTGGATCGCACGTTCAGGATCGAGGAGTGGGGGGCGGCGATGGATGCTGTGCGGCGGCAGACGTGTGTCAAGGCTGCGATTGTGTTTGACTAAGGCTGGGCCTTTATTCTCGCTTGATTAAGAAGAGGGTTGGACCTCGTTCTCATCCTCAGTCTCGTTCTCATTCTCAGTCTCGTTCTCATTCTCAGTCTCGTTCTCATTCTCAGTCTCATTCTTATTCTCATTCTCATCCTGTCTCATTCTCATTCTCATTCTCATTCTCATCCTGTCTCATTCTCATCCTCAGTCTCATCCTCACCCTCACCCTCATCCTCATCCTCATCCTCATCCTCATCCTCATCCTCAGTCTCATCCTCACCCTCATCCTCATCCTCATCCTCTCAAGAAGATGGGAAGATGGCGATTGATTCGTGCGTCTCGGACTGCCATCCCGCTAGCAAGATTGAACATGATCTCTCCCGTCCCGCGCCAAACGCCGTGAAGTGCCCGTCCTGCACAAAACTCAGTCGTCGTCGCTGTCGTAGCCTGCGACCAGCACGGTCGACAGCTTCGAGGGCGCGGGCCCAGGCTTGGATGCCGAGACGGCCGGTGGTGGGGCTTTCTTCTTGATGCCCGGTGGTGGGGCTTTCTTCTTGATGCCGAGGGCGGCGCTAAAGTCCTTTTTCCCCCTGGCCTTTGTGGTGAAGGCGGGGACTGCGGGCTCCATGGGCTCGTCCAGCAGGGCGTCGTCGATGGGCTCCTCGCGCAGATCCGGCATGGCGCGGGCGGCAAACGCTCTGCGCGCAGCTTCGGCGTCGGCGTCTTCCTGCTGCTGGCGCCGGGCGTCGGCGTCGGCGTCGTCGGGGGATGCAGGGCGCGCGCTGGTGCCGTCCTGCTCGGCCTTGGCGATGCGGGCGTTGCGCGAGCGGATCTCGTCGAGGGCGTCGGCAATGGCCATCTCGGTCTTGGCATCGACGACCTTGGTCTCGAGCTCCTTCATAGCGTCGCGCTCGGCGTCCTCGCGCTCGAGGCGGTCGAGGCGCTCCTCCTCGGTCTCCTCGGCGAGCTTGGCCTCGCGCCAGGGCTCAAAGTTGCGCTTCGCGCCGCGCTCGCACTCGTAGTCCATGTTCTTGGGGTCCGTCTTGAAGGTGATCTCGCCGGAGCAGCGGGTGCAGCGGATGTAGAAGCGGAAGATGGCGATGGCGTAGTACTTCTCGTCGGTCGTCTCCTTGCGGGCGTTGAACTTGCGGCCCTTGTAGATGAACTCGCCGCAGTGCGTGCACTTCATGGAGAACGGGGCCATGAGACGGACCGTCTGCAGACGGGGGCCGGCATTCTTGGGGGCGCGCTGGCGGGTGATTTTGGACGGGTCGAAGTCGGGGGGGTAGTACTTGGTGAGCACCTTTCGCTCGGACATGGCGGCGGCGGCGGCGGCAGCGGCGGCGGTGGCGGCGGGTCGGCGTGGCTAGAATGCGGGCGACGGGTGAGAGAGGGCGGCGACGGGTGAGAGAGAGCGACGACGGGTGAGAGAGAGCGGCGACAGGTGAGAGCGACGACGGGTGAGAGAGAGCGCCAACAGGTGAGAGCGCCAACAGGTGAGAGCGCCAACAGGTGAGAGCGCCAACAGGTGAGAGCGACGACAGGTGAGAGAGAGCGGCGCCAACAGGTGAGAGCGCTACAAAAGCCCGGGTGAAGGCGATCGCGATTGCGAGTCGGCGGGTGGGGCTTGGCTCTCCCGAGCGCTCCCCGCAGGCTGGCGCGATCAACAACGCGAACCTCGGACGCTGGCTACGTCAACCACACCGCACCCTCGGCCTCGCGTCACGGCAGCGTATGGTAGGCGAGCCATGGAAAAGGACCTGAAGCAGCAGCAGGACCTGCGCGAGTGGTGTCGCGACGCCGTCCGCCGCCACCAGTACGACACGGCCACGTACATTGCCGACAAGCTGCTGGCCATTACGGGTGCGTCACTCTCTCCCACCCACGTGACGACAGTACATGCTTCGTGCTGACCCCACAGACGACGACCAGGACGCCTACTGGCTGGCCAACGTGCACTTCACCACGGGCAACTACAATCGCTGCCAGGCGCTGCTCGCCAGGCGCAATCTCGGCGACCGCACCCCGCAGTGCCGCTACCTGAACGCCCACAGCGCCATCAAGCTGGGCAAGCTCGACGAGGCCCTGCAGCTGCTCGGCGAGACGAACCCGACGCAGCTCGTCTCGGTGCCCAGCCACAGCAGCGCCCGCCAGAAGCTGCGCCACGTCGACACGCACAGCCGCGCCACAGCGCGCCACAACAAGCCGGGCGCGCGCAGCGAGCGCATGCCCACGAGCGAGGAGCGCGAGGGTGAGGACGCCGAGAACCTCAAGGCCGAGGCGGCCATGTGCTACCTGCGCGGCGTCTGCTATGCGCGGCAGAACGCCTTTGACCGCGCCAAGGAGTGCTACAAGACGGCCGTGCAGATTGACGTGCGGTGCATGGAGGCCTTCAATGCCCTGGTCGACAACTCGCTCATGTCGCCCGACGAGGAGTGGGCCTTTCTCGAGTCGCTCGACTTTGACGCCGTGGGCGCGCCCGGTGCCTCTGCGTCGGCCGAGACGCCCGACTTCATCAGGAACCTCTACATCACCCGCCTCTCCAAGTACGCGCGACCGAGCGCCTTCACCCACGCCAGCGAGACGCTCAGCACGCACTATGCCCTCGCCAACAACCCAGACATGCTGCGCGCAAAAGCCGACCTCATGTTCACCCAGTGCCGGTTCCAAGACGCCCTCGCCCTCACATCGTCGGTCCTCGCCGTCGATCGCTACAACTTCTCCATCCTTCCCCTGCACCTCGCCGCCCTGTACCAGCTGCGGCAGAAGAACGCCCTCTACCTGCTCTCCCACGAGCTCGCGGACACGCACCCCGACGAGCCCGGCAGCTGGCTCGCCGTGGGCGTCTACTACCTCTCCACCAACAAGATTGCCGAGGCGCGCCGCTACTTCTCCAAAGCCTCGCAGATGGACCAGTGCTTTGGCGCCGCGTGGATCGGCTTCGCGCACACCTTTGCAGCCGAGGGCGAGCACGACCAAGCCATTAGCGCCTACAGCACCGCCGCCCGCCTGTTCCAGGGCACGCACCTCCCGCAGCTGTTCCTCGGCATGCAGAACCTGCAGCTCGGCAACCTCTCGCTCGCCCGCGAGTACCTCAACACGGCCTACTCGCTGTGCCAGACGGATCCCCTGGTGCTGAACGAAATGGGCCTCGTGGCATACAACACGCACGACGCCGCGTCGGCAATCCACCTCTTCCGCCGCTCACTGGAGCACTCGGCCGAGAACGAAGCAGACCCGTCCGAAGTAATCAGCACGCGCTGCAACCTCGCCATGGCCCTGCGGCGCCACAGCCAGCTCGAAGAGGCCCTGCGCGTCTTTGACGACGTCATCCGCCACGGCCTCAAAGACGCCGCCGTCCTCGCCGCCCGCGGCCTCACCCTCATGGAACTCGACCGCAACTGGGACGCCGTCATCGTGCTGCACGAGGCCCTCGCGCTGGCCCCGCAGGACCCCATGGCCACGGACCTGCTCAACCGCGCCCTCGAGGCCAACGCGTCGTCCAGCGCCATGCTGATGGTCGAGCCCGCCCAGCACGCGCACGCCACGGGCTTCATCGAGGACGAGATCGACGACGACGGCTTCGAAGAGGCCCTGAGGCGGAGGAAACAAGACGCCCTCCGAGACGTGGAGCCGAACCGCGTCGCGGGCCGGCGGGGCAGGCGCCGTCGACACGCGACGGGCTTCGTCGAGGACGAGAGCGGCGTCGGCGAGAGCATGCTCGTCGACTCGGACGGATGACGATGACGCTGGCGCTGGCGGTGACGGTGACGGTGACGGTGACGGTGACGGTGACGCTGGCGGTGACGGTGACGATGACGATGGCGATGGCGGTGACGCTGACGATGACGATGACGATGGCGATGACGCTGTCTTGCTGCTGGAGTATGGAGTTGGGAGAGTGACTTAATTTTGGATACCACACACGACGGCATAGCGCGGCGTAGGCGGGCATTGCATTCCTCGAGGCGTTAGGGGTCGCAGTTATGAAAAGTATGCTTTAAAAGTTCGGCATAGTCATAGCTAAGCGCAATGGCGAAATACACTTGCTACAGACATGAAGTTTAGCACACCCACAAATTCAGTCCACGTACTCACCACCCCCGTCTGCCCTCTCTTATCCAGGAAACAAAGACCCTCGCCCACGTCCACGACCATGCCCACGACCACGACCACATCCACGTCCACGACCACGCTCTCAACGCACAAGATGCGGATGCACCCTCGCAAACTCATCGGCCTGGGCCTGCGCATACTCTTCCTGCACCCGCGACACAGAGAAATCCCGCTGCATGTCCACGTCCCCAGCCCCAGCGCCATGGCGCGCAGAGTCAGGCCACCGTCGAGGCGCGCCGTCGAGACGGCCATGCATCTCGGAGAGAAGGCGAGGGCGTCCTGACGGCTCTCCATGCACGGCGTCGACCGACCACGGCGAATGCGAGTCCGCACCACGGCCCATCTGCGCAACTCGCGCACATTGGGGCCGCGAGGCGGGCATGTCGCTGTTCTCATCCGGCGCCGCATCGGGACCGGGAGGCAGTGTACTTTCACCCATCGCAGAAGCCCGCGGCTCCCGACGTGAACGCACATCGCCACTTGATGACCGCGGAGGAGTCGCAGCACGCTCACTCCAGTGCGGATGCGGCAGGTGTGGAAACAGATCATCATCGTCGAGGTGATCGAGGCGCGCGAAGTGATGCGGACACGGCTCTCCATATACCATAAATGCAGACCGACCGACTTGGGACCTCCCTCGCTCACCGCAGCGCATCGAGCCACCGCGGCCATCTACGCACACCTCCTCGCGGTAGTCCGACCGGGGCGTCACAGGCCCCCCGTCGTCGTCCGAGCAAGTCGAGCCCCCCGGGCTGATGCCGTGGGCGCGCGGATCGACAACGTCATTTGTCTTACTCTCGCGACTCCCCAGCGCCGACCAACGCCTATCTCCGACGACCCTCATGCCCAGCTTCGCTTCCCGCAAATCGCGCCGCCGTTCGTCCAGCCCATCGAAACCAAAGGGCCGAGCAAATCGACGCGGTGCCCGACGAAGTGGTGGACTCCCCGCGGCGCGCTGCAGCACCATGTCGTCCATGGTGTGGTCCATCTGCCAGTAGTCGTCGGTCGCAGGTCGACCAGTCCGCTGATGCAGCCCGTCAGCCCGTCCGTGCATCTTCTTCCGATCCCACATCCAGGCTCGACACAAGTATAGGGCACACGTGTACAGCGCGCCAACCACGACAGCAAAGCCAAGCTGAACCATGAGCGCAGATAAACCCACCAAAAAGCTGTGTAAACCAGGATAGCTTGCCATGTCGTTGTTCCAGCACAAAACGACCAAGCGGCGCAGAATGATATACCTTTCATTCCAGCTGCCGTTTGACGAACATGTCATTTGACCAACTGGCCGCCATGCGGTGCGTTTGTCGTGCGCAGCCAACACCATTTTATGCATTGAGACTTCGTCGTGCTACTGGCATGGAGGCATCTCTCGAAGAATATGGCAACCGGAAACAGACGAGTAATGTGTCAGTATGTTGATTGATTATACGTACCTATACCGCGTCTAGAGCCCACCGCAGAATCAACCTCGCAGGCAAGTGATCTAACGACGTGGCAGAAATCAGACCACTGTCAAACGCGCGCTCCCCGTCACTGCTCGCTCATGACCATGTCCATGTTTATGCTACTCCCATCGGTGGCGGGCGACCACTCATCACTGTCTTCCATGAAGATGCTCTCGTACGCCATGCGCTCGCTGTCGCTGAAGGGACTAGTAACGAGGCCGGCGTCCTTGAATAATCGGCGGTCTGCAAACTCGTGGTAGTTATGCAGAATCTCGTCTTGGTGAAGACTTCCGCGGTCCGCAATGATAGCATCCTCGGATGGCGTAGACTCCACCGGAAACGCTGGTGACGTTGATGAAGATGAGTATCCGCTATCACACTGTATCTTGACCGGCTGATCAAAATCATATCGACGACGCTGAGGACCAACGAACGGGTCGTTACTTTTGTGCTCAGCGATTTGAGGTATTCCCTGCGAGTATCTTGGCACGAATGAATCGTCGCACAACAGTTCCTCGTCGCTTAGCGCATCGTCAAGCTCGAGCATCGAGTCGCGACATCTACGCTTGGAGGCAGTCACCGCATCGACAACTTCAGGCTTCGAGACCTTGCGCTTCTGCGGACTGGAGTACATCACGGGTCTGTTGTGGACGACAGTCTCATGGTCAGATCCCGCGCTGGAGATTTCCAGCAAGCGTCTTAGGTAGGTCTCACATGAAGGAAGTCTGTTTTCGGCCGGGGTGAGAGGCTGGCGTGTGGGCGTGACGTCGAGTTTCATGCTCCAGCGGGACCGTCTCTCGAATATTACGTCGTCTGGAAACAATGTGTTTATTGTAGCCATAACCACAGTCTCGACAGTACGCGGTTTGCCCTGTAGATTCGTTAGCTTGGAGTTACTCAGGGACAGGCCGTACAGACGTCGCGGGGGTGGCCAATAACAGTGTTGAAGCATCTCTTGACCGGATCCCAGGTAAACGTCGCAGGTGATCTCGTGATCACGTATTCGACCTGATCAACGTAACTATCGCAGCTGGGTGACCTGATGGGACTGTCTATTTCTTTCCAGACGAATGGCGTGATGCGGTACGTTTCACCGCTAGCACGGGTCGTGGGAACGTGCAGAAATCGAATGTTTGGGGGCTGCCACGCGACATCACCAGTGGCCGTCAAAACCCACCGCGAAAACTGAAAGTCGAAGTTGGCTTCAAGGCATGGGCCGTGAGGGCTGTGCTGGAAACAGTCTTGTAGGCGAAGGAAGTTATGCAGGAACAGCGATAACCCGCCAGAGAAGTGTGACCAGCTTGATGCAAATGAGGCGGACTCATTCGGAAACCGATCGTGGAACATGCCCATCATGCTGTCAATGATATCGATAAAGATGATATCGACGATGCGTTGCGGCTTGCTGCGGAGGCACTCGAGCATGCGAGCGAAGAAGTGGACCTCTTCGATTGCTTCTGCATCATGTAAGTGTAGTTCGTATGACGAGAGACGGAACCCACCATTGCTGTCCATCAAATCCTGGACAACCTCCTTGCTCAACACTTCTCGCACCTCGTTGTGCAGACATTCGTCCAGGAATTGGTACCACATGGTCAGCTCCGTAGCTTGAGTACGTGACAAGCCTTTCCAGCACTCGATGACATCGAGGTGATTGGGGTTTACTGGATACATCTTAGTGCGTGCAACAGGATGTGACGAAGTCTGGCAAACCATTCTCATTGAAGGCTGCACGACGAACTTTGGGCATCAAAGCGTCCGACACGGCGATGGTACGTCCGAATGAAAGACCACGGAGATGGACGACTATGGGTACACGCGCTACCAATGCTCGAATCTGCTGCTCGCGCGGTGACGGTCGGAAGGGCAGAGGATGCGCATGACTGAAGACGTTGGTGTCGGTATTGATGACGGGCTGGAGGCATACAGTCAGCGAATGTCAGGATTCGCGGTGACAATACTGACTGTCTCCATGATGAATGTTGCGTGCTCCGGTGTTGAATGATGCTTGCAAAAAATACAGCGCTGGCTGGTGCGTGGTCGGCGAAGAACCACAGACTGTTAATGTAGGCTCCAATGACTATCTTGGGCGGCAGCTGCCAAAGGGCACCCTGAAGGTAGCCACACCTTCTAAATGGCATCCATTGACGCACGTGTGGTGAGTCGCTCATTCTTGTTGCCAAGCTTGGAGATTTGGAGGAAAGCGTCAACGCCATACCCTTCAAGACTGTGGATCTCTAGACTCCCAGCCCAATACTCGGCATACAGTCGCGACATTGGAAGGCCAATGCCAAGTCGAAGGTCAGGCGCTCTTGAGGTCAAAGATGCCAGCGAGCCCCTGTGGACTTCAGCATCACCTGATCTTGCACTGTATTTCTGTTGCAGCTCAGATGCCGACTTATCACCGACCTGTAGTTCTTGCAGCGTGCCTAAGAGCTTTGGTACCCTAGCGAGATTTTTCAGCCTCTTCTCACGACGTGGGCCCTTACTGAAACTCCACAGGTACGGCAACAGGTCATTGGGTATCCCACCGCCCTGATCCGAGATTCTAATGATGACATGCTGCGAAGTCTCGCAGATTAGGACCTCGATCGGTGGAGGTTTCGCATCCTTGGATTTGCGCTGCTCAATGACAGCTTGTATCGAGTTGCGCAGCAGTTCGCCGATAATGTATTCGAGATGGCTCAGAATGTACGGGAAGGTCGCGTCCAGGTGTCCGTAGATCTTGATCTCAGGAATCTCGACATGGTCGCCGTACGCACGCTTGATCAGCTCCTGCGTGGTCTTGCCGCACGACTCGACGATTTCTTTGGCGTTGCATCGCAGGAAGATCTCGCCGACTGCTTCCTGATCCTGCGGGGCTTGCGCATTTGGAAAATGCCACGGTGAGTTGAACGTATCGCTTAGAGCAAGATGCTGCTCTGCGATCACCCGCCTAGAGATGCGCTGCATTTGTCAGCATCTAGTTCCTGCTTTGCAAAGCATCCACATACCGCTCGCAGCATTGTAGTCATGAACTTGTCTGTCTCATCAGGCTTCATGAGGTTGCGCACCTCAAGCACGCCAATCGCCAGTCGCGGTATGACGGTGGCATGCTCCTTCAAGGTGTCTTCCAGCACTTTGCAGTACCGGTCATTATCTTCTACAGATCGAATCTCGGGAACGCGGCGGAAGCGCTCGAAGGCTTGCAGGTACGACTCATATACGTGGGCAAGGTGAGGATTTGCAACGACGACATACGGAAGAGTTTGGATGTCGCGCAGGCGGTGGGCAAGTCTGGCGGCTTCAGCGAGTGTCACTGCATATTCACCGATGTCTAATACCTTGTTGGCAGCTCTAGCCGGCAGTAGTTGGCCGAGTCGATCAAACGCGACTCGGTGAGCGTCCTGCCAAAGAAGGTCAATTGGCGCAGGCTTATGGGCCGCGCTTCACGCTGCACCCATCTGTGAGGTGTAAGTTGAACGTTCAGTCACTAGGTGAGGCTTGAATCATACTCATCGAGGGCTGAAGAAGGCTTCCATTTGGGGGCGACAGCTGCGGCGTGCGCACGCCTCCTCTGTGTTTGGGAAGCTGGAAACGGACGAAGAGCTCTAGTGAAGCTTCTTCGGGGCTGTGCACATGCACTGAGGCCTCTTCTGGATACATGCATTGCTGTGGAAGCTTCGATGTTCGAGTGTGGGGAAACGGTGAGCTGTGAAGCTTTCTCGAATCAGCGCGCACTAGCTATGACGCAGCACCAAACATTCGCTGAAGTGTCCGATCGCCGCACCGTGAGTACTGAACACACGTTGGAGATTACTGCAAAAGACAGCAAGCGGGCTGTTCAACCTCGCAAGCGCCTTTGCTAATTGTGGCACTCGACGATCGTCCGTGTGATGTCTGCGCTTCACAGGCATGACGTCTGCAGCCGCGGCCCTTCGCATCCATGGATCTGCCCCATCTAAAACCACGCCAAGAGCAAGCTATTCACTGCAGCAAGCCTATGTAGACTGCCGCGCACCTCGAGCGCTTCTCCACGACCGCAGCGCCTGTGCACCGTATAATAATTCAAGCTTTCTCCCTTAGTCGTGTTCGAGTGCACGGAACGGCAAGGCGTATAATTCGCTCCTCATTGTCACCGCCACCTTTTAGCGAGGCACGCATCCTTACCGTCGAGCTGCCTGCTGCGACCGCCCTCACGTACTTCGTACTCTTTCGTTAAGGCGACTGGCGCGCAGTATTTCTCCCCCAGACCACTCTGCGTTGAGCGCACAGCGTCGCTGCCTATTCCGCTGAAGCTACCGGGCCCTCGCTCGCTGCTGCCCTTCTGTCTGCCCCGCCAGCACCCGCTGCTGCCGAACCCGCCATGGATCAGGTAAGCTTTGCGCGGCACATGCGCACAGTACCTACGGTAAACAGACGGTCTCTGACACCCCCACAGACCGGTAGCGATATGCTCATCGACCACGAGTACGATGAGAAGCAGGGCGAAGTCGCCATCATCACGCCCGCCGACTCGGACGACCAGATGGACGAGGTCGACACCGACCCTGCGCCCCGCGCCGACGAGTACGATGCCTTCTTCAAGAAGCACCTGCCGGAGCTGCCCGACCAGGGGACCGAGGCAGAGGCACACCACACATGGGAGATCCGAGACTGGCGAACCCTCACGAGGAAAGAGCATGGCCCCGTCTTTGAGTGTGGCGGACAGCCATGGCGCATCCTGTTCTTTCCATATGGCAACAATGTCGACTATGCGTCGTTCTACCTCGAGCAGGCTTACGAGGAGAACGAGATGCCTGACGGCTGGTATGCCTGCGTGCAGTTCATGCTGGTCCTCTGGAACCCGAACGATCCCAGCATGTACACAACACATACAGCGCACCACCGTTTCACCGCAGACGAGGGAGACTGGGGATTCACACGCTTTGCGGAGCTTCGAAGGCTCTTTGCTAATAGCTGGGACGACCGGGGGCGCCCAATGGTAGAGGGCAATGCCGCCAATGTTACCGCCTATGTCCGGGTGCTCAAGGACCCGACTGGTGTGCTGTGGCACAACTTCCTCAACTATGATTCCAAGAAGGAGACTGGCATGGTCGGTCTGAAAAATCAGGGCGCGACATGCTACCTCAACTCACTTCTCCAATCGCTGTACTTCACAAACGCCTTCCGCCAGGCCGTCTACCAAATTCCTACCGACGAAGATGACAAGGGCAGCTCTTACGCATTGCAGCGCCTTTTCTATTTGCTCCAGAACACAAACAACGCTGTTAGTACTACGGGTCTGACGCACTCCTTTGGCTGGGACTCGAAGCAGATCTTCGAGCAGCAGGACGTGCAGGAGCTGTCTCGTGTACTTATGGACAACCTGGATGCCAAGATGAAGGGTTCTGCGGCTGAGGGTGCCCTTGAGCGCATGTTCGTGGGCAAGATGAAGACTTACATTTCCTGCATCAACGTGGACTATGAATCATCTCGGATAGAGGACTACTGGGACATTCAGCTTAACGTCAGCGGGAACAAGAATCTGGACGACAGCTTCAAGGACTACGTGCAGGTTGAAACTATGGACGGCGAGAACAAATACTTTGCAGAAGGCTTCGGGCTACAGGATGCCAAAAAGGGAGTAATCTTCGAGAGCTTCCCGCCTGTTCTGCATCTCCAACTCAAGCGCTTCGAGTATGACTTCGCACGCGATGCCATGATGAAGGTCAACGACCGTTATGAGTTTCCGGAAATCTGGGACGCTTCGCCATACTTGTCCGAGGGGGCCGATCGATCAGAGCCTTATGTGTATCGTCTACACAGCGTCCTGGTACACAGTGGAGACCTCAACGCCGGTCATTACTACGCCTTCATTAAGCCGACTAAGGACGGGCACTACTATAAATTTGATGACGACCGGGTTACACGAGCGACAAAACGCGAGGCACTGGAAGAGAACTTTGGAGGTGACTACGCGCAACCACCGAACGGAAACGCTAACCAGCGAAACCCCTACACAAGGACTTGGTCTTCCAAGCGATCCATGAGCGCCTACATGTTAGTCTATATCCGCGAGAGCAGGATCGACAGCATCCTTCCAGACGCAGCAAGTGTCGCTCCACCGAAACATCTAGCTGAGCGCATCGCCGAGGAGCATGCAGCGTTCGAAAAAAAGAAGAAGGAGCGAGAAGAGGCACACCTCTACATGGACGTTGCTGTCGCTTCAGAGGAGAACTTCAAGGTCTACCAGGGATTCGATATCGTACCGTGGAAAGGTGACACCGAAACAGAGGCCAATCCCAAACAATTCCGCGTTCTTCGCAGCACCAGCATGGCTCAATTTGCCTCACTGGTTGGCAAGGATCTTGGCATCGAGGGCGACATGCTGCGGCCATGGTCTATGGTCAACCGCCAGAACGGCACTGTCCGCCCGGACACCCCTCTAGAATTCCCAGACATGACCGTTGAGGAAGCTGCTGCCAAGCATGGTACAAAGCAGTCGGTCTTCAGATTGTGGATGGAGAAGGCAGTGCAACGTCATGCAGATGGCACACCTGTATTTGGCGATAAACTTCTGGAAGTCAAGGGTGTCAGCGACAAACCCATCATGCTGTTCCTTAAGCACTTCGACGCCAAGACACAGAGCCTGTTTGGAGTTGCCACATTCTACGCCGGATATCAGGAGAGAGTGTCCGACCTCACCCCAATCATCAACGACATTCTGAACTGGCCAAGCGGAACGCAGATCAAGTTGTCTGAAGAGATCAAGATGAGCATGATCGAGGCGATGAAACCCAAGACTACCCTCGCACAGTCAGAACTCCAGGATGGCGACATCATCACAGTGCAACGAATACTGACTGATAAAGAGGTCGAGCAGATCCGATCGGCGGGAGGTCATGTGGACGCCAAGGAGTTCTATGAGTTCCTCCTGAACAGGATCAACATTGACTTCGTTCCAAGGTCCCAGGCGGAGGGTGAAGAGCTACCGTCCTTTGCTCTGACATTGAGCAAAAGGATGACTTATGATCAATGGGCTGCGAAGGTTGGCGAGCACCTCCAGTGCGACCCAACACATCTGCGCTTCACGACTGTCAGCACCGCTGGCAAGCCCAAGACACCTGTTAAGTACAACGCTAACCACACACTGAACAACACCATGTTCCCTGGCCCGTACAGCTACGCGCAATCTGCAGGTCAACGAGGAGATGCTCTATTCTACGAGAAGCTGGATATGAGTCTCAAGGAGCTCGAGCAAAGACGGCCCATCAAGGTCACCTGGCTACCAGAAGGCCTGCAGAAGGAGGAAGAAGTCACGCTCATGATCCCTAAGAGTGCTCATGTAGCCGATCTTCTCGACGACCTGCAACGAAAGGCCAATATCAGCGAAGAGGTGTTTAATAAGGTCCAGATTTGGGAAGTGTCGATGCACAGGTTCTCCAAGCAGCTGGCGGCAGAGCTCCAGATCACTGCACTCGCAGAATACTCGCAGGTCTATGCAATGCCTGTGCCAGAAATTGACGCGCCTCGAAAAGTGCCGGTATACCACTTCGACAAGGATCACACCAAGGCCCATGGCATTCCGTTCCAGTTCGCAGTCAAGGAGGGCGAACCGTTCAGCGAGACCAAGCAGCGCCTCTCAGATCTGACCAAGATCAAGGGAAAGCAGCTCGACAAGATCAAGTTCGCCAAGGTCCCAAGAGCACAGTACTCCAAGCCCACATATATCGAGGACGATGGTGAGTTTTCAATCATGTCATCGTTCATCACACGCTAATAATCCGACAGACGAGGTCCTATGGGATACACTAGGTGATGATCAGTCACTTGGGCTGGACCATCCGAACAAGAGCAGAAGCTTCTGGGGCAAGTCGGACTCGATCTTCATCCGATAAGCACTCGGGGTGTATGAATGTAGGATACATATTAGCTACGACGCCGTTGCATGGCTGTAGGGGCATTACTATGGCGGGGCGTTATCATTTCTCGACACAGCGGCACGCGTCTTGGCGCGCATGTATCTACCTATTGATGGCGCATTAAAGATCTTGATATGGCTGCCGTAGCACAGTTGCGTACGGAGATGCTCATGGGGGAGGTAGAGGTGTTCAAGCTGTGCTTGAACGCACATGGTTGTGGTGTCGAGTCACTTCAAGCAAAATACAATTGAAGGTCAACTGTCACAATTACCCGCAATACACGTCAAGCATTGTTTCAAAACTCACTAGATTGTTAGGTCTTACTGGACGATTATCGTCAGCAGCTTTGGTGCAACTCTAAGTGTTGTTGCGTGCACAGCAATTTATTTTGTCTTCATGGGCGAGTCCTGCCTGTAAAGGTTGATACTCAGAGCGGAGTGCTCTCAAAGCATAAGCCACACCAACAAAACGTGAATCCAAATATCTCGCCCAGAATGTGACACGCTATAGATAAAACATGTACAACACCAATTCACCTCGAAGTATCAACCCTCGTGATTGTGGTTGAGCACCTCCTGCCAAGTGTCGGCCGCAGACGCGCCTGGTTGGTTAAGACCATCCCCGGACTCCCTGCAGCGGCGCCAACCGCCGAAACGCCGACATTCGTTGTCGACAGCTGTTACGAACCAAACACAATAACAGCGACAACAACCTACGGAGTCGTCACCCACCCACGGAGACAATGCGGTCTTTCGCCACAATAGCCAGCCTTCTGCTGGCATACTGCACCGCTGTATACGCCACCGCTCTGACCTACCGCCTCGATGCACACGAGAAGGCCTGCTTCTTCGCAAACGTAGAACACAAGGGAATCAAGGTCGCGTTCTACTTCGCCGTACAATCCGGCGGCTCGTTCGACATCGACTACTCGGTTGTCGGCCCGGGATCCAATGGCGCGAACGAGAAGGTCATCCTCGACGGCACGAAGGAGCGCCAGGGCGACTTCGTCTTCACGGCCAACGAAGTGGGCGAGTACCGCTTCTGCTTCAACAACGAGATGAGCACATTTGCCGAGAAGCTTGTAGATTTTGAAATCGCCGTACGTCTTCCTCATTGCAATACTGCGTTCAAACTTCCCCTATCTAGCAGCTCGTATATTAATACCATTGATCAGGTCGAGAACGAAGCCCCCCGCGCCGCAATCCCCTCCAAGCAAGGTTCCTCCCCCGAACAAACCAGCATCCTCGAAGAGAGCATCCTCAAGCTGTCAGCACAGTTGTCGACCATCTCAAGGAATCAGAAGTACTTCCGCACGCGCGAGAACCGCAATTTCAGCACCGTCAAGAGCACCGAGAAGCGCATCCTCAACTTCTCGCTCATGGAGGGCGGATTGATGCTTGTCATGGCGGGTCTGCAGGTTGCGGTTGTGAGGTTCTTCTTCCAGGGCGCGAGGAAAGGTATCTTATAATCTTGTAACATCCCTTTCAGTTGCGTTGCATTGCATTGCAGTGCAACGCAGATGGACGAGCGGCCGCTGATTCGATTGGTAGGCTATGTATGAGCGAGCCATCTCACCATTGGCGCACAGTATTGAAAGAGCAGGGACTCACGATAAGATTATGGGAAGCTGTCATAGCAACGATCCAGTTGTGGGGTTGAGGGTGTTTGGAGGCGTTGCAATGGTTTTGCCAAAAAAGTTGTACCAATAGCCTGCATTGCAGCGAAGTCATCGCGTCGGCACTAGGTGATGAATGAACATGTTTTCGATCGCGATCGCACCCACTCGTTGTTCCAGGGATCAATTGCTCGATTGCCCTTACAAACTGTCATCTTAGGTCCGCCGACACTCCCGATCCCAATCAAGTACCCACCCAGCTTCATCCTCAGGGTTCGATCATACGATTCCCCTCGGATCATCAGTGTTCGGATCCTCTTGGTTTTCACTTCACGGTCCTCGTGCCAAACACCTAAATGCTGCGCATCACTGCTGCCTCGACGATAAATTGTTCGGACAGTAGTATCATACGCGAACAAGAAACAACCGACAAGGTGCTCGCAATGTTCGAATTGCAGTATAGCCCGGCCATTGACCCTTCAGAAGTGCCACAGACGTCTCTACTGGGTAATGCAGCAGCCCGCGGCCTGGAGTCGCAGCTATCGATTCCTCTAAGGACTACACATTGACGCATTCATGCATTGAAGTGGCTGAGATCTTGTGTGCTTGGCAGGTTACTCGCGTTGCTACATGACGAAGCGATCCCTCAGTCTGAATTCTCCTGTCTTACTTATGTCGGTCATCAATTGCCCGTTCTGGCGTGGCAGCCCTGTGAGGGGTTTCGCGGTGTAGGTGTCTCCACAAGCACTGCGATGGAGACGTGTGGGCCTGCTGTCTTTGTTGAGGCAGATTGGCAGTAACACGTTCTCAGTGGAGACTTTCCGGGATATTCTGTCCACCGGCTCGTTTTCGAAGGGCGCGCCGCTGCGTTCAAGCCTCACTGCTATTGCTGGTCTGGTAATTTGCGATGTGCAAGTCCGTGGGACTGCTGTTTGTACTGAAAATGTGGAAAGCGTCTTGTCTGGGCCTTCCCACCCTCGCGTCCCAATCTTGGACTGCCTCTCTGGGTGTCTGTAGAGTCTGTCAGGTTCCTCTGTTTGTTGGGCAATGGCAGCTGTACGGTAGCGATCAGGGGTTCTCTGGCATTCTGCGGTGGATATTCTGTGGTAAACATTTCGCGGCAGACATTCTGCGGTAGACACTCTGAAGAGAAATTCTGCAGTGGACATTCTCTGGAGAGGAATTCTGCGGTAGATGTGGTGGGTCGTGTTAAAACTCGGTGGCAGAGAGGTATATAGAGACATGCTGGGGGCCTGTTGGATGCTACTTCAGCTCAGTGCTCGACAGTCACACAATCTACACATTCATAGCGAGCGAAAGCACAGAATACATACACAATTCTTACAACACACACAGCTTCACATCACACAAAGTAAGTCTCCCTTTCCCCATCGTCTGCGTGGGTGCCGTGACTTCTCTGCCTTCGCTGTGATAGTGAAGGCTGTGAGAGTCGTGACATTGCGTGTTGCAATTGCTTCATTGCACCTGGTGTAGTAACAGTGTACTGACTTTATCAGCCTACCAATCCACCCTTTGCAGGTGTAGACATAGATTCTACGACCTTCCAAACGCACACCCCTCACCACACATCGTAAGTACCATTTTAGTTCCTGTTCACTGGTTCTGAGCGAGATTTCTTTCCTTCTTCCTCACCATGGTTCGACTGTATTTTCTGTTTCACCGCCTGCAATTTTTTTGCATGTTCGCCTACCGCTCTCGTCCAATGACTGTTACTGCTGTTGTTATGGCTACTGCTGTCACACACGATGTTGGCCAGAGTGAGGCTTTACGGCTCAGGGTCACTGACCCATGGTCCGCCTGCACTACCACGCAATTGCGCCAATCAGAGACTTTAAGTCTCTGACAGGTCGCGAGGAGACATTTCCGGACAATTACCCTGACCGCGAAATTGTCCGGGTGTGGTGAGGGTGGCGATGAGAGTGTACTGAAGGACTCCTGGCTGCAGTATGGCAGCCGTGGATTTCATCGATCGTGCTTTGCAGCTTCGTACTCATGAATCACTGGATGTATACTGACTTATCACAGGCATCAACGTCAACATTGCTGCTTACCCAGATCTTGTTCCTGCGCAGCTGGACATGGCCGCTGTGCCTGTCCACCAGCAGCTCGAGCAGAGGGCTGCTGCTGTCGAGCCCCAGCGGGCTACTCCCGCCAAGCGGCAGCAGTCTGCTAGGGGCCGCATCAGCGTGGGCAAGTACAAGCTCAAGCAAAGGCGGAGGAGCGCAAACGACAGCTACCCCGGGCTGACCGGCCGTGAGCTCGAGGACGTCGAGCGGACGTACCACTGGGTGATGCGTGGAAAACACCATGCATCGCACAGGTCGGTATTCTGGACTGGGAAAAAGATGGACGTCGCGCTGGCCCACCAGCTGATGGTGACGATGAATCCGGCGCTCTGCAAGGAGCACGAACAAGTTCCCGTCGGCATGCCCCAGCAGGTCAACAACCAGCAGGACTTCGGGTCGGGATACCATAGTTCCTTCCCCCTCCAGCAGCAGGCCTTCATGCCGGCTCAGCAGCTCCCATTCGGTGCAGGCCACGGCGCCAAAAGCCTCTCCGGTCATTCGCAGCAGTTCAACACTGCTGCAAACCCTCTCCCCGGTCTGGGATTTCAACATCCCTTTCCCCAGCACCAGCAGGCCTACGTGCCTGCCCATCAAGCTCCCTTCGGCATGCTGGGGCATGCCGAATTCGCCCAGGGACAGGGGATGAGTGACCCAGCTCCCCATCATCAAGGCCTGCAGGCCCCCCAGCCTACCTGTCAAGGATTCTTTGGCACGGTGGCCAGTGCCGAAGACCTTGGTCAGGCGCAGCAGTTCAACATTGCTGCGTACGCCGCCGGGGACCCCTTTGGTCTGGCGCAGCAGCACAACACTGCTGCATACGTCATCGAAGATCTCCCTGGTCCGACGCAGCAGCTCAACAATGCTGCGTACGCCGCCGAAGACCTGCCGTGGGATCTGCTGTCTACCTCCGCATCGCCGAGTGACTTGGTCATGGGTGGCGGTTGGTCGAGCGCAGAGTCTTCACGGAGGACCAGCAACACCTCGCTGGCGTCTATGCCCGGGGCTGCTGGGGGTAAGATGGCGATCAAACTCGACCTCTTCGACTCCTACGAGATGCAGTCTTTGAGGGCGCTTCTCCCTGCGGGCGGTGAGGACCTCTCAGCTGAGGTCTCTTCTGAGGAGGGGGTTGTGGCAGTTGAGGATGATTTCTCGTGGTGTTTGGAGGACTAGGCGGAGATGCAGTTTTAAAGGCGCCAAGGCCTTTTTGATTTCATTTCGGTATCTTTCGGTTGGCCTGGCTTTTTGTATTTTACTTTCGTTTGCACTGATGCCCTAGTTTCTCTTGTCGAGATGTTGAAGTCCTCCGCAGCCAGGTTGCTGGAGGTAAGTGGTCTTGCGCAGGGCGCTTGTCCCATGAGCGATAGGGACATGGTTTCCTTACTTCTTTGATTACACATTTAGTTCCTCCCGCCCTCGTTTTGAGAGGCTGCGGCACAAGTACGGCGTCTTTTGCGAGAGCGGTGAAATCGATTCTTCTTGCCAGCGTTGCGATTTCTACGAGTTCAATTAGCTATGACACATGGAAGACCTTCGTCCAAAGCTTCGGGAAATGGCGATTCCATTGCGTACATTGCAATCAGCAAGCAAGTAACACCGCTGCACAGACGGCACCAGAATAGAGTCAACTAAATTCCTCGTGCCTCACTAAAAAAATAAGATTCCATATCGACTGACAAGACCTTGGCTAGAATGAAATGCAACGATCTATTGGTATATGTGCGCATGCAAGTACAATCGGCAACAGCCCGCCGAAGTGGAGACTTGCTCTTAAAATGCCACCCGGTGCATGCATAGGCCGTACAGTGGTATAGTATACAGGTGCATAATGCCAGCTCAGCTGAGTCAGCCCAGCCACCACGCCCTGCAATGTTCGTGAAGCGTGGACGTGAGCCGTTGCGGTATTGAGTGACGCTCAGCTCAGTCCATGCCGACGTACTTGAACCACAGCGGTCTGCAGTCCTCGCGGTTCAGCCACTTGGCGCCGTCGGTGAAGCGGCCGGCGACGCAGCCCTTGCACTTGGGGCTCGTGGGGCAGTTGAAGAAGGGAACGTGCTGGTAGCCGATGTCGCGGAACCAGTGGATCTTGGACTTGTCCTCGAACAGACCGAGTGCGACGCTGTGTACGGGTGCGTCGCCCCAGCGCTCGTAGAAGAAGCCTCCCGCACGGTCGAGGTGGTCGAAGTAGTCGCGGTACTTCTTGCTGCGCCAGAAGCTCAGGTCGGCGATCTCGAAGTTGGACCAGAAATGGCACGTGGAGTACCCGTTTGCTTTCTTGTTGTTGTCTGGCCGGCGTGTGTTGTCTTCCAGCCACTCGCGGGCGTTGTTCGGGTGGACGTAGTCGGGGTGGTCGTCGAGGAACTTCTTTGTCTCGGGCCATAGCGTCGCAACGCTCTCGGCGCTATCGAAGAGGTTGATGTTGAAGCCGTAGGTCTTATTGTGGTCCTGCATCCATGCAAAGACGTCGTAGTCGACGTCGCAGAAGAAGTGGACCTTTGGCTCGACTCGCCAGTAGTACTGCACATCCTTCAGCGCGGGGTGCTCGCTGAACATGCCGCTGTTCCATCTGCACATCTGGTGGTACGACCTCTTGTCCATGTATTGCACTTGCTGCGCCTTGAGGAGGGATACGGATTCCTGGTAGAGGTCTTCGTTGATCCACGACGGGACATCCCAGTGTTCGGCGGGCACGAGCTCTGGAGGACGTGTCAGTAGGAGGCCCGCAGTTCAGGTGTGTTTCTGGACGTACCATATCGCACCTCGGCATTTGTTGCTGCGCGCGTCCGCGTCTTGAACTCGTCGGTGAACGGCTTGTCGTTGAAGAAGGTCCACGGGTAGTTGAACTTGTGGTTCCACGTTCTCTCGAGGTCGTGCATGCTCTGGAGCATGTCATCGAGCTCTTCATTGCGTACCAGACTCAGGATGGTGGCATTGATGCGTGCGCTCTTCGGATTGTCCGGGGCGTAGTTGTTTCCGTCGACTCGTCGCAGAGGCTCTGGGGGCTCTCCGGATGCTGTGCATCCTTGTCAGCTGTTGCATCATCCCAGGATGGCGTGTCTCGTATCGACGTACGATCTGACTGTGGGTCGTGGTCCCATTGCCCGTCTTGGGACAGCGGAACTTTGGTCGGTACCTGCAGTTGACCGGCAGACGGCGCGTTCAAGATCTTGACAAACAAGAAGAGGAAGACGCATATTGTGGCACCTGCCAGGATGCGCATGCTCTTCGGCAGCGCCATGATGTGTCGGAGAGGAAGTCAGAGGGCGCAAACATTGTCCTGAGCTTCGGCGGATATAATATGCGACTCGTTGGTAAGTTTCACCTGGGTTGCGTAATGGGCCAAGCCACATCTGGAAAGCGTGACGGAAAGTGGAGCCCGGCAGCAAGGGCGTCAAGCCCACGCGTGCAACGACAAGCCCACCGCCGCAGTCGACCAACGTCGAGTAGTCATTCTGGAGGCGTGCAGGCATTGTCCTGATGTGCTCTGGCGAGAGATCGCGTCGACATGGCCCAGAATGCGAAGCTAGCGGGCCTCACGGATGAGCTCGTGCAGTCGATTGTGCAGTTCGACCCTGCTACCAACAAGGAAGCCTACAAACGCGCCAGAGAGCTTGCAACACGCGGCCTGCGCGGACACCAGTATGCTCGAACGAACCAGTTTGATATCAGAAACAACTTCACTGGTTTGGACGAAAAATGTCGAGTCAAGAATCGCGATGATCTGGCCGATGCATTGCAGCTGAGGCTGCAGGAGCTGGAGGGCATCACTGATAAATTCAAGCCTGAGTATCTTTCCTTGCTACTGCAACTATCTGACCGACCACTGGAGAACACTCGCGTTGAGGCACTGGACCTTCTGAGGCCACCAACCCCACCGCCTCAGCTCACCTGGAACGAGATACTGGAAGAGGATCCATACAGTGACGAGGACATTTGGAAGGACATTGACTATGCCGAGTCATCTGGTGACGAGCAGACTCCATCAAAGCAGAAGAAGCAGCAGAAGCAAGACTCCACGCCCGCGACAAGCGCTGATGAGGATAACACGTACGATCCGGAATCATGCATTGACGTATCCAGTGATGCGCTCGTGCAAGATGTCGAAGCAGCACAGCTCTGGCGCTCCCCTACGATGGAAGACGGCTCCAAGACCGAAGTCACTGAACTTCAAACGATTAGGGAGACCTTGTTCATGCTTGCTGGACTGGAGACCAGTCTGTTTACTATGGACAGGGAGCGAAGCACTGTGCGTGTCAACGCACGCTTCAAAGTGAGCCACGCCATGCCAGCGACCGTCGACCATATTCTGTCCCAACTTGCAAGCATCGGTAAAGACGTGCTTCGACTGAGGCAATGGACACGGAGACCCTCAACTCTGCCACTTGTTCAGACTTTCGAAGCTGCTACGCGTGACCGCCTCTCGGACTACAATGCCCGACTCTCGCAGCTGCAGCGGCGCTATCTGGTTCCAGGGTCACCAATAGCTGTGAGCCTCCTCACGTTACACAACGATGTTCGAGCCGAGTCAGAGCAGATACTCCGTCTTTCACAGATCGTCTCAGACGTCGAGCCACGGCTACTCGTAAACCCTTTCAGTCATCTGGAAGAGCTTTTCAGCCAAACCACACTTGCACAGATGACGCTCCAGAAGTCTAGTTTTGACTTTTTCTCAACAATGCTTTTCGACTGCCTGCGGATGTACCTAAAGCCAATCAGGCGGTGGATGGAGAATGGCGGATTGGGAGCCAACGACGAGACATTCTTCGTCTTCCAGAACGACTCAGGAAGCGATGTTGCCTCGATGTGGCACGATCGTTACGTGCTACGCCGAGATGCGCAGAATCTGCTGCGGTCGCCTTCTTTCCTGCAACCCGCAGCAATGAAAATCTTCAACACCGGCAAAAGTGTCATCTTCCTCAAGGAGCTCGGATACGGTCATACACTGTCGAACGAAGCTGGCTCCGAACCAGCTCTCGATCATGAGTCTGTGTTTGGAACCTCTGATGATGTTCCGCTCTCTCCTTTCCCTGAACTGTTCGACGCTGGCTTCGAAAGATGGATTCGAAGCAAGTACTCGTTAGCGTCTGCCTCTCTACGGACACACCTTTTCGAAACACAAGGCCTCATGCGCATTCTCTCCATCTTCGAGATACTCTACCTAAGCAGCAATGGTGCTGTGTTCGAGAGCTTCGCGAATACAGTCTTCGAGCGCATGGATTCTGGACACCGCGGCTGGAGCGACCGCTACATGTTGACCGAGCTCGCGCGGAGCATCTACAGCGACGTGCTCCCAGTGTCAGATGCGGAAAAGATCGTAGTGCGCTCATCTAAAACCAAAGACCACGGCCGGTCTGTCAAGGGCCTTGCTGCTGTATCTGTCGATTACTCTGTAAGTCTTCAACTCCCACATCGATTCGTGACTGATGATTCCTGAGCTTCACTGGTCCATCCTCAACATCATACAGCGCTCCGCAATACCTATCTACCAACAATTTTACACCGCTCTTCTGCAATCCTACCGCGCAAAATACCTCCTCCAACGCGCCCGCCCTAGTCGAGCTCACAAACCTTCCCCCGACGCACATCTGATCTACAAACTTCATCACCGCCTCACCTGGTTTGTCGACATCCTGCGCTCGTACTACACCGAAACCATTGTCGCATTCACGACCGCAGATATGGCGTCCGCGATGCAGAAAGCAGAGGACATCGACCAGATGGCGGATATCCACGTTAGGTATGTGGCAAAGCTGCAGGAGCGCGCGCTGCTATCGGAAGATCTGAGACCGATACACAAAGCTGTCGTGGAGATGCTGGACCTGTGCGTTTTACTCGCGAAAACAGCCACCGAGCTAGACGGCGGGAAGATCGAACGCGCCCGACCCTCTGCACCACGGAGGAAGAGCAGCGCGCCTTTGCTGGAGCAGGTCCAGCTCTCGGATACAGATGACGACGCAGAGGTGGATGACGATGCGACTGCAAACCGAGCTGCGCGGCGCCCTGTAGGCCGTAGCTTCACCGAAGCGCTGCGCACCGTCGACAAAGAAGTCGCGCGCCTTCTGCCGTTCATCACCGCGGGCCTGAGGAGCGTGGGTAGAGTGGGCGCGGAGCCGATGTGGGAGCAGCTGGCCGAGCGCCTGGAGTGGGAGAGCAAGAGAGACGAGTACTAATCGGCGCTTTAGCGTGTTATGGTTGCATTCCCGTGTCTATGTACACCGCTACTATCATATCTGTTACTGTGTTGTCTGCAGCGGTATCGTGCCGCGCTTGTACCGCGTCGTTGCCAGACTCAATGTGCTGGCGAGCATCGCAGTGATGAACATTAGCACGGCGGTGTGCGCTGTGCAGACAAACAGATAGGCTGGGAGAGCGATGCATGCACCGATGGGGTCCTGCATCTTGCAGCGGTGTGGGTGCGGCGGTGGAGAATGTGGTCTGTCTCTGTTTCGACTGCGCTGAGCTGGTTATATGCAGCGGGACAGCGCTGATGTGGTATCCCGGATGTTGTCTGACGAGGTTGGTGCTGCAGTGGCGGCAAATACGAATCGAAAATCGAAGACAGACGCACACAGGAGAGTGTTCGAATACAGAGATGTGTGGCGCTTTGTGGAGCCTGGAGGTCTCCGGTACTCTCTCATGAGGCTAGCGAACGTCTGCTGCTCTGCTATGTTGGGTTCGAGAAGTGAAGCATTGAGTGGTATTATAGTAGGTGTAGGACATGCGTAACGGAGATTGTATCTGGTTGTGGAGATCTCTCGTACTCTCTCCTGACTTCAGCACATATTTCTGTTTAGCCTGTTCTACCATACCTGTTCTACCATACCCAGTCTGAGCAGTGGAGTCTTTTCGGGTACCGGAGCAGTCGGAGAACCTTTATGATAGAGACAATAGCTGGTCGCGGAGGCCTTCAACGACACTTGTGATAGCAAAACAAACCTATGTGCTGTTTGTATAAGTGACATCGCTGCCACGAAGGGCCAATGTATTGCAAATGTACGCGAGATGGGCGGCAAGAATAGCCGAGTCGCGCAACCTCGACCACGGTTGTTGCGCACAGAAACCTCCACACCGCAAATATTATTATCAGATCTTATCACAATATTGATCGGCACAGATAGCGTTTGCTACAGCAGGCTTAGGAGAGAGACATCAGTGGGTAAGTAATACTCCCCAAAGGGAATAATTGTGAAAAATGCAAAAACTCGATTGAAGACAACCTATGCATCCATCACGAGCTGCTGACAACTGCGAAAACAACAAACCATCATGTACATAACAAAGACTAACTGTTCGCAGTACCGAATCCCTCAGGATCTCAATAAACTGTAAAAGCAGAATAAAGAAAGCAAGAGTAAGATAAAGAAAGCAAGAAAACACCATGCGCCACCCCGCTGCGCCAACAATGATCGCTATCCTGCTGGCCTTCCTGGCTTTCATGGTATTCTGGAGCAGGGTCAGAGACGATGGCCACCATGAGGGAAATCCGCATCCAAGCGACATACCTAAACGGAAAAAAGAAGAAGAAGAAGATGATGATGATGATGATGAAGAAGAAGAACGGGAAAGGGAGAAACTAAGCTAAGCAGGAGGTGTTTACTATTGCTGTTGCAGCTCTTTCTCCTCCTTTCGCTGCATGGACGTAGGGCCATGCCTCGAGCGACGGCTCCTCTCCGCACCGGACAAGCCCACGCACTCGCCACGACGCGCACGCTTCATCACGTCCTTCGCGCCGGTAGGGCGCCCGCGCTTCCTCTTCAGCTGCTTTTGCGGCGGAGTTGTGGCACCAGCAGGCTCGGGAGACGGTTCGGGGGTGGGCAGAGATACCCCTCCCCTCTCACCCACATACTCCACGGGACAGTTGGGAAGCGGATAGCACCCATCCTCCGGAGACCGCTTGTAGAGTGAGAACAAGTCCTCGCACCTAAGCACCGCAGCGCCCCAGGCCGTGACCTCTTCGGGCGTGATCGGCCAGCTCGAGTACCCGAGCCGCAGCACGTGGTCGAAGAGCTGGAGTCTCTCCACCCCGCCCTGAATGCTTAAAGAGAGCATATCGAGCGCCGCTATGGCGTAGCTGGGGGAACTTTTGACCGATTCCACCCTCCCGAGACTGTCGATGGGGTCGGCAAGGAACGTCCTGTACCAGCTGGTGATCCGCTTTGTGGTGTTAGCAGAAAAAAGAGCAGTAGCGAGATGTTTACATACGTCTTGTTCATCTTTATATGCGGGGACGTTTGACTGTCCGCCAGCGGTGAAGGTGGGACATGCTGCAATGCGTTAGCTTTTCGTTCGCAACAGGACGAACATGCATCGCAAAATCAAGCAGCGAGAGGAAGGTGAGTGCACACTCCAACTATCTCCAGAGGTGCTCAAGGCATCACAAGTACTTACAATTCACGGTGTAGTTGTTCATTGTCATAATGTTTTATGGTTTCTTCGCAGAAAATGGATTTGTATTCATGTGATGAGGGACTGATCAGACCAGCCAGTTTTTCCTCTCATGCTCACCCACATACGATTCTACGGTAAGCAACTAGTCCTCCCATCAGACCACCCATTCCAACCGAGCACATCCAGGATCCCTCAGCCGTTGAATCACAGATACGAAGAAACGGGGCTGGAAGGAGCCAAAGAATCTTCCACCACAACACTTCCACGTCTCCTGTCACCGCGAACCACGGGACGTCACCGCCATGAGCACATTACTGAGATCCTTGGAGCGGCGAGAAAGCCTCTGCAACAGGGTGCGGTACCATAGTATCTGGGCCGCGGTGGGCCAGGTGATCTACGGGCTTCTGCCAGGGTCAATGGGGCGCCACTGGGATGCAATTGCCGGCTACGAGACTGTGTGCGGTGTGTATTTGACCCGCAAGAGCGTTAAGACAACTTCACATTGTAGGTTTTGACTGCGCAAATTTTCTCATACTGGGCGTCAGCACGCTGTACGTGGCGCGGTGGAGCATTGAGCGGGTGGAACAGTTCACGCACCCATTCCAGAAAACAAAATTGCGGGCCCGGAGGAGTCTTGGTTCCTCTGGAGGGGTCGAGCAATTGTGGAGCATTGTGTGTTGGGGCGCGAAAGGCTTACGAAGCAAGAGGCTATTGAGACAAGCGAGGGGGGCGCACAATGGAAGATCGAGGGACTCGGGCGTTGCAAATCCTCTGTCGCTTCAATTGGCCTACGGTAACGCAGAGAGCTGATTTCGAGGCAAACGAGTCAGTGGCACTGCAGGCTATGCTCAAGATATGCTCAAGATAGGAGAAGCACGCGTGTTGTGCAGCAGATGAATTGCGGCAACAGCGATTTTGCGCCTGCCTGCGAGGCATCGTGATACGAAGAAGCTGCGAGATCCGGTCACTCTTCCCACGTCTCCCACCAAGCGCATATGGGCAATTGCGCACTCGAGGCTGTGAGCAGTTCATTATGCGGGATTCTAGAGTTTACTCTTGAGCTTCGATGCACCACCTGCATTCTCAGCCTGCAGCATCTCGTCCTTCGCGAACTGCTCGTAGTACTTCAAACTCTCTGGGTTCGCCAGGGTGCCGCTAGGCTTTATGATCTTGCCCGACACGATCTGCTTGACCGGCAACTCCACCTTCTTCAAATTGACCGTCGTCTGCGAAACATTAGTATCTGTCTCCGAGATGGCATCCCGCGCGTGAACACATACCGGTATATCCCACGTCTGAAACACATATCTCGGCACGTGGCGTCGACTCCGCTCGCTCGCGATTTTATCCTTGACGCGCTTTACCAGATCCTCACTGTACGCGAATACATCGTTCATCTTCAAGAATAGCATCACATTCTCGTCGTGGTCCTGCGGACGCCGCTGCCCAACGCATATGCTATCGGCGACTTCCGGGAAGTACGTCTCGATCACCGAGTAGATCTCGGCAGAGCCGAAGCGTACACCAGACGGATTCAACACACCATCTGCGCGGCCCAGGAACAAGACTTGGCCGGTTGTAGGATGGATCTGGATGAAGTCCCCGTGCGTCCAGACGTGGGGGAAGCGCGTATAGTACGCGTTCTGGTACCGCTCGCCGCTCTCATCGCCCCAGAAAAAGATCGGCTGGTTGGGGAACGATGCCGTTGCGACTAGCTCGCCTGGCTCGCCGTGCGGTATGGCAGCGCCAGGGCCTTCTTCGATGAGGCTGTCGTAGACTTCCAATTTAGTGCCTAGACAAGGGCCTTGACAGCCTCCTGCGTAGACGGGCTCGAGTGGGTTCTCGATACCGAAGCAGCCTGCGAGGTCGGTGCCGCCGGATATGTTGCGCAGATGAACGGTGGAAGGGAAGCCGGTGTCGTAGAACCACTCGAACTGCGAGTCTGACAGCACCATACCCGTCGTGCATACGGAACGCAGAGCGGAGAGACCGAATAGGTTCTTTGGAACGATGTCGCGCTTCTGGAGCTCCTGGAGGAAGCGAGGCGATGTGCCGAAATCAGTGACGCGCTGTTCTTCGAGGATGGAGAGGAATTTCTGTGCTGATGGGATGAAAGGCGATCCGTCGTACAGTACGGAACGACTGCCGAAGAGACAGCACTGTACGGAAACAAGGTACATGATCCAGCCAGTCTATCAATGATCAGTTCGTATCTCTGGGACCAGATCTCGGTATCGTACCGTCGTGTACTGCAACACTACATTATCAGGACTCATCTCACGATGCAGCTTCCCCTCTTTCGTAACACTGATCAGCACGCCACCTGTGGAGTGCACGATGCATTTAGGCACGCCCGTGGTACCACTGGAGTACACAATCAGGAATGGATCTCTGAAAGCAACCCTCTCGAACGTTAAGACCTCATTTCCCTTCGCAGCCTTGACGAAATCTTCGAGGGTTGCGGTGCGAGGCAAATCCTGCAGAGTAGCTGGCTTTCCGGGGAATCGGGGTTGAGTGACAATCTCCTTCAACTCAGCCACTCCCTTCAGACCTTCAACTATCTCTTTGATCTTCGGGCGCAGATCCATCGTCTTGCCATTGTACACAGCCCAACCGTCAATAAAGACGTACGCAGGCTTGATCTGCAAGAGTCGTTCCAAGATACCCTTGGTGCCCATATCCGTGCTACTGGAACTGAAGAGCCCTCCAACGCTCACGATCGCCATGAAGGTGATGAATGTGTCGAAGCTCGTACTAGCAACGACGGCAACCCTGTCGCCCTTCTTGATGCCCTTTGCGCGCAGCGCATTGGCAAGTAGAGCAACCTTTCGCCTAAGCTCACCCCATGACAGGTGACGGACTTCTGTATTGCCCTCACGGACTTCTGTCAGGGCGATTTTGGCGTCTTCTTTATGCTCTGTAGTGCACCTGGAAGGATCGGTAGGCGAGGCTGAGTATAGAATGTTCTCAGCGAAGTTAAGTCGCGTGCCTTCGAACCATTGCGGTATACTATCCATGGGTAGCGAGGTGTCGACGACTTTACTGTAACTTCCTTCGTAGACCAAACCGCTGGTGGTCCACATGTCTTCCCAGAAGTCGGTGCGGTTGGAGCCTACACTCCAGTCGTAAAGCTCACAGAAGGTCTGGAAAATTAATATCTGTCGAAAGCTTTCTGTGGCTGGGGTTTGTAAACGTACCTGCATGTCCAGTCCTCGCTTCTGGTTGGCTGACTGCATGAACTTCCACATCGCCGTGGACTCTGGGTTCGGATGCTGCCATAGCTTCCGCGGGGTTGGAATTTCACATGCCATTTGTGAGTGTTAAGGAATGCCTTTCCTCTCGAGTCGACTTGTTCACGATGTGGACGTGTTATCGAGGTTGTTATTAACTCAGCAATCGCTCTGCGGGGATGCCGCTCGGATATATTTTTCGGCAAGTCAAGGCGTCAAAGAGAGATAGCAATAAGATACACAAATGTGGACAACTGCTGGCTGATTGATTGAATATTATTTCGTCAATTTCACATGAGTATGTCAATGTAGATCGCACGGTCCGATGTCCGCCGAAATGATGAGATGAACTGGGGAAGTCGGTGCCCCGTGGGGTGACGGAACAGTTCCGAATGCCGAAAGGGAAGTTGCGATCGAGCCAGCCGCTCACAACGAGTTGCTGTTGTCCGCGCAGGAGAAAGCCGAATCAATGGACCCGTCTTTGTACGCGTCCATGATCTGCACAATGACTCCATACGTACCACCGACTGTCATAAAAGCCGAAATAAATATAAGAATGATGTGCAGTCCGTACAAGGTCTTCTGCCACAAGTTGCCACGCCAATAATTGGCGTGATCGAAGAGCCAAAGCCAACCAGGAAGCCCTAAAGCCAAGGGAGCAAACGCAATGCTGCCTGCCAACGAGAGCAGATAGTTGAAAATTGGCACTCCTGAGGCGATCAGGAAGCTGATGATGCTCATGCTCGCTACACAGCCGAACCATGTTCCCCAATGGACAGCGGTGTTGGCTTGCAGATGCCTCGACTTGCGTAGTATGCGGACAAAGACATACTTCGCACTGACGTGGACGTAGAGTGCACCGCTGACGCAAAGGCCGATCAAACCTATGCCGTACGCGATCTTCTTGACCGTGGGGCCCGCACTACCAAGAGAGGGAGACGCAACCCACTTACCACAGTACTTGTAGACTACAAGACTGAACGAGAGGTATGCGGCTGTGACCAGGCCCATACACACATTAACAGCCTTGGAGTATTCCTTGGGGTTCTTCATCTCGGACATGACTGGCAAAAAGGCAGATGTACCAGCCCCGGAGCAGAATATCGTGGCAGCAGCAGTGATCCCAGCTGCAAAAGTCGGACTAGCGATGACATAGTATCCGAATTCATAATCTCCAGTCTGAGGCGCTGCGGCTGGACGATCAAGTGTGGTCACTCCGACACTGTGACAAGTCAGTAAAACGTCTCGCAATATCGCGGTTAGAGGTACTCACACGACGATGAACACAGCGATGAAAACTGATGCGAATCCAGCCCAGGTGATCCACGTCAGCTTCTCGAACCTCCGAACACTGGCACATATTCCAACCATAAGCGCCGCGATAATGGAGAAATAGTTCGTGCACAGAGAATGGTTCGACAGAGCGTTTAGCGCCGTGGATACACCTACCATGCCAGAGGCACCGACGATGATGAAAGCGACCAGGAACAGGATACCGGTGATTTCCTTGACGACTCTTCCGCCGACGAGCTGGCCCATGTCCGCGATACTGTGGCAGCCAGGATGGTTGGCCTTGAATTGCCCCTGGACGAGGGCACACCAAGTGTTCAGAAACTGCCATCCAAGCACGTTGATGGCACCTGGAAGGGCTCCGAGAGTGAACATGGCTGACGGAATAGTGAGAACGCCAGTCGCAAAGATGACTGTATGACGCTGTGGTCAGCATGGCGAAGTAATTGGAAATGTCGATTTCGATGCACTTACGCTTCAAGAAGATGACCGATGTGTGGATCCATGAGACGGTTCGGAAGTCGACAAGCCCTTCTCCTGTCTTAAAGACTTCACCATCTTCGAGATTGGCCTTCTCTATGTTGATGCTGTCGGTGCTGCTCTGGGTCGGCTCGATGATGTCTTCATGCTTCTCGTTGGACATGATGGGCAAGTAAAGAAGAAAGTTGATGGGGCGATGATGAAGGATGATCAGTTCAGATGTTAGTGGTGGACTATATATCCATCACAGTGGTTCAACGCAGATACAGCCCACGCACGTTCTCTGATAGCCACGCGCGTTATCGGACAATCTGGGGGAATGGGCGTTGGACCCACCAGACCCATTAATTCGGGGTAGAGATACGACTCCAAATGGACAGGAGTCAGGGTTGGAATTATCCCGACGGACACCCCGGTCTTGAAGGCGAAAATCACGGCAAGGAGTATGCCGATCTGGCAGGGGCTCCCGGTTAGCAGCGTCAACCTAGCAACATGATACCTGAGACAAATTAGTATGCATTGACGCAGCCACGGCTGTAAACATGTTCAGAACAGGCACTCGCTAGCCTCAGCACTACACACAGGAGCCTTGTAGGTTGTCGAAGCAGCCCCTTTGGAAATTCTCACGTCGTGCGCTCCTGTAATATGCTACCATAATTTAGCACACGAGATGTGGTTCAAAGTGGATGCTATTTATGTCATCTACAATGGGGCTTCTTTCAGTTTCAAGCCGGCTTCTGCTGGCATCAAGGCTCCTTCAGGTGGCGAGTTCTTCTTCTTGAACTCATCCGCAATCTGTTCCATCGTGACGAACTCGACACCCTCATGCTTCTTAAAATGCTCGATCAATCTGTACGCAAGTCAGAACCATAGATAATTATCCCATCTTTGAACAAAGATTGCTCACCTCTCGTGCATCAGCAAAAGATGCGGTCTGCCAGAAACGTCTGGGTGGATAGTGATGGGCTAGAGTGTTCGTTAGCAGAGGCCAAATGGTGTGGAACTGAAGCCTTACAAAGATGAACTCGTCATGTTCTCTGTAGAAGTAATCGAAATGATCGCGCCATAAGTCCTCAGTATCCCGTGCGTTGACAAATCCATGACTGTTCGGTGCGCCTTTGATGAACATATGAGGTGGCAGATCGTCCAGGTACCAGTTTGCCGGAATTTCGACTAGGCCCGTATCTTGACCCTTGACCAATGGCTTCATCCACTCTTTTGCTTTCTTGCTGTAGTCGATCTTGGTCCAGGAGTCATCCGTTCTCAGATAGTAGGCCTGGCAATCGTGATGGCTCATGCTGTGATCATACTCAATACCATACGAGAGTAGCAATTCTGCACCCTCGCGGCTGGTCTCCCACCTAGAATATTTGAGCTGAGGTTCTAACGTCTTCACAAGTGATGACTCACCATGGGGCAACGCTGCCTCTCGGCGGCTTCCCAGCAAAGTCTGTCAGCATGCGATACGTCTTATCCAAGATGTCTCGCTGTTGATCAATTGTCATGTCAACAGGGTTCTCGTGACTGTAGCCATGCAACCCAATTTCGTGACCAGCATCTCGTACTGCGGCCATATCCTCTGGGAATGTCTCAAGACTGTGGCCAGGAATGAACCATGTAGTCTTCATGTCGTACTATTTCAAGTCAGATACGATAATTCCGCGGTGCTCGTAGGTTGCGCATACTTTCTTGAACAGCTTCAAAAGACGCTGCGTCCCAATTGTACCAGCGAATATTCCTCTGCTGATGTCACTGGTGCTGTCTTCGCCGCCATATGAACCCAGCCATCCCGCAACTGCATCGACATCCACACCGTAGGAAATGAGTACGCGCTTCTTGCCCATTGTGAAAATTTAAGATGTTACGAAGCAGGTACAAGATGGGTAGAGGAAAATCGCGATGGGCGGGGAATGGACTCGTGGAATCCGCGGCTGCGACGGAACTTCCCCCTCTTATTATCTTTGGCAATACAAATTGAGTTATCAAGCAGTTGCGGGGAAGTCTGTTTTTGGTGTTGTTCGGGCGATTGAGGCGTCATTACGAAACTAGCGGCTGTTTCTCCACATTTGCCTTGGCTGCTATCTTGACCCCAACTTTCCCAGCCGTCCCAACTTACTCCAACTGCCCAACCGAGAACGGCAGAATTCGGCTCTGCACTCGACACGTTCACGTAACGCGCATTTGACAAGAGCAGGCATCATATCTGAGATGGCATCGTCGCACGCCTTGAGTACATCATTCTGCTCACATTTTCGATCATTATGGCTGCTCAAATGAAGGCTGCGCAGATTGTCGAGGTGTGACACGTCATTGACGCGATATGAAGGTCCTGCTGACCTTGATTGCAGTTCGATAAGCCGTACCAGCTCTGCGAGACGCCAAAACCAATATGTGGCGAGAATGACCTCCTTGTGCAGGTGTATGCTGCTGGCTTCTGTCATTCAGACCTACAGGTTTTGCAGGGGCAGTTTCCAGCAAGCCTGCCTATGATCCCCTCCCATGAACCGGCTGGCAAAATCGTGCAAGTTGGCGCGCAAGTACAGGGCAGCTGGAATGTCGGCGACCGCGTTGGCGTTCTGAACTTCAAGAATGCATGTCGGCAGTGTGTAGGATGTCAACAGCACATGAGACGGTCAAGTCGCACGCGCACTGATCCTCGATTCTGCGAAAGGCGGCAGATGGCTGGCTTCAAACATGACGGAGCCTTCGCGGAGTACATGTTAGCTGACCCCGAGACTACTGTACATCTACCTGAAGGAGTCTCATTCGAGCAAGGAGCCCCTTTGATGTGTGCCGGAGTGCGTATTGCTTGATGCTGATATCTTTCTCGTTCAAAGCTAATGAAGGACAGGCAACCGCGTGGGGTGCACTAGGAAAATTAAGGCGAGAGGTCAAGAGTGGTGAGGCCATCGCTATCGTCGGTATCGGGGGTGTCGGACACCTTGCAGTTCAATTTGCCAAAGCCATGGGCTTCCGTACCGTAGCCATCGATAACAGGGAAGAAGGTCGACACTTGGCTTTAGAGGTGGCGGAGCATCTGAAGCCTGATCTTGTTATTGACTCCACAGCGAGCGACGCAGACGACCAGATACTCGATTTTACTTTGGGAGAAGGACTTGGTGGCGTCGTGGTTTGTACTGACTCAATTGCGGCAAACGCATGGAGTTTGCAGCAGCTGGGTAACAAAGGTGTCATGGTACCACTGGGTCTACCTAAGGACAAATGGCAGTTCGACTCCGAGGCCATGGTATTCAGAGAGCTTGTTATTAAAGGCAGCTACGTCTCAAGCGCGGAAGAAGCAGAGCTCATGTTCAAGGTCGTGGCTGAGAACAGGATTGCTTCTCATTTGACAATCTTGGGGTTTGACCAGATCCCCAGCCTGGTTGATAAGTATCTGCACAAGTCGATGAAAGGTCGGCTGGTGATACAGATAGCACAATAGACATGGGCAAGGTCTCCTGACCGACCATGCAGTACAGCGACCGAACCAACAATGGCTGGAGAAATTCCATTCCCTTACAAGCATCATGAGAGATGAGTCGTGCGGGTCGTGGTATCCACAAATTGACTTAGGCAAGATCCTGTTGGAGTCAGTTGGAGCTCGGTCCGGTAAGCAGCGACCGACCCACTCGCGCGATGCATGCGCGATTGGTTACGGAAACGTAACACTATCTACGCTAGGCACAGTATATCTTCAGAGCACATCGTTGCGCATGCTCAGGTCATATAGTTTGATGTTCACAGACCAAACGATCATTCACATCAGTTCAGACCATGTCAGTCTTTTTCGATTCACCGATCAGGTATGTCAGAAGCATATTTTTGCAATCACATACACACGGCTGACTGGACTGAAAGTGAGGACCTTGTCCCCGCAGGCGAGGCAGAACTACTACTGGCGAACATTGGTGTTGATCAGGGTATAGCGCCAGAAGAATCAAGTGACTACCGACAACTTTTAGCTGCAGTACACGACGTTGCGGAACATATCCTTCGGCTGCCAGATTATGTCATTCGACCAGATATTGAGAGATATCCTCGCGAGAAATTGCGGCGTCCAGATGCGAATGAGCAAGATTTTGGAAAGGCATGGGCTCACAAGTTTTTGATTCGAGGCAACGCCAGAGGCGGCGTCCTGAGTGGCAAAAGTCTTTGTCTAAAGGACAACATAGCAGTTGCCGGCGTGCCTCAGTTCTTCGGCACAGATGCTATCCCTGCATGGATACCCGAAGCTGATGCCACGGTGGTCAAGAGAGCATATGAGGCCGGTGCGGATATCGTGGGAACGACCATCTGCGAAAATTTTTGCAACTCTACATCATCTTTTACGAGCGCGCAAGGGACGGTTCACAATCCGTATGCCCACGGATACTCTGCCGGTGGAAGTACTTCTGGTGGCTCAGCTGTAGTTGGTGGTAGCCTAGTTGACATCGCTATTGGAGCCGACCAAGGAGGCAGTATCAGAGTACCTGCGTCCTTCTGCGGATGTGAGTTTTAGAGAAAGCAAAACGGTGATGAAGTTGACTCTCTCGCAGGCGTTGGCATGAAGCCCACACATGGCTTGGTCCCATATACAGGAATCTCAAGTGGTGATTCCATCAATGATCATGCTGGCCCGATCGCAAGAAACGTGAAGGATGTCGCTTTATGCTTAGACGCTATAAGCGGACGGGACGACTTTGATGATAAGACACTCGGCGCTCCTCTCCACGGCTCGACTCGATACTCGGAAAATCTCCAGGCCTCCGTCAAAGGCATGAAGATCGGCATTCTGACAGAAGGTTTCGAGCATCGCCTTGTCGATGCCAATGTCAAAGCCACCGTCCTCGATGCTGTCAAGTCTTTAGAGAAGCTAGGTGCTACTGTAAGAGAAGTATCACTTCCTTTGCATTTGGAAGGACCCGCAGTCTGGACGATCCAGCAAAGAATAGCAGGCACACTAGGAATGATGGGCTATGCACATGGAAGAAGAGGTCTCTTCTCGACGAAGTACGAGGAAGCACGCCAGCCATGGACGAACGAAACGTTCCGAAAGCTGTTTCCATCGACAAAGAATACTGTCATCAACGGCTTGTCCCTGATGCAAAACTATCCTGGTCTCTACGTCAAGACGATGAACATCGCACAGCAGATGAGGGATGCATATGAAGAACTGTTTGAGGAGTACGATCTCATCGTCATGCCGACGACGCCATTCGTGGCACCCGCCAACGTGGACTGGAAACAGGGAGACTCGCCGATGGATGCACTCAGGCCCAGTATGGGCATTACAACAAACACAGCCATCTTCGATATTACCGGTCATCCAGCTATGGCTCTGCCTGTAGGGTTCGCACCTGCCAAAGAAGATGCGAATGTCATGCTGCCTGTTTCAATACAACTAGTTGCAGGCCTGTGGCAAGAACAGAAGATCCTCGACGCCGGCTTTGCTTGGGAGACCGCGAACGATTGGAAACGGACTGGTGGAAATAGCAATCAGGATACGGTGGTGCCACCAAAGCTTTAGGTATCTTTGACTTGTTAAAAGCGGTTGAGCGTTTATTTATGACATAAATTAGTTGATTGTGTAACCTCCGTCTACCACAAGCGCATGTCCCTGGATGAACGATGCTTGTGTTGAGCACAGGAACAGCACTGCGTTAGCTACCTCATCTGGGGTTCCCATCCTTTCCATCGGCGCTATGTTGATGGCTGGCTTCAACGCCTTGACCATTTCTGGAGATGTTGTCGTCATCGGCGTTTCGATGACACCTGGACAAACGCAGTTCACTCTGATGCCTTCATCTGAGTAGTCAATAGCGTTTGCACGTGTCATGTTTATAATAGCAGATTTCGATGCGCAATAAGCAGCTGTACAGAATTGTTAGCAGATGCGCTACAAGTCAAAAGACTTTTGACTTACCAGCGCCGGACCGAGCGACGATACCCAGCTGGCTCGCAATGTTGACTATGGAGCCTCTTTGTCCGGACTGCTCTATCAATGGCTCCTGCTTCAACATGTTCCGGAGCTGAGCTCGTGAGCTGAGCCAAGAGCCTCGATAGTTGATATTGTTTAGTCTATCGAATGCATCCATGGTCATGTCAACAGCTCTGACTGGCTTGCCTCCAAGCACGCCGGCACAGTTGACCGCGTAATCAAGCCTTGTAAACTTCGACGTGACTTGGTCGGTGAAGGAGTCCACAAATGCCTCATCTGCGATGTCTCCTGCTTGATCGATCACCTTGATCGATGAGTTGATGGACAGTATAGCATCTTTGGTGTGCTTGAGGGTGTCAGAATTGATGTCGGTAATTGCGATTTTTGTGCAGCCCGAACGCGCGAAACCCTTTGCGACCGCGGCACCAATACCTGAAATTGTTAGCAGTAATACGCTTGGAGGCACACGAGTACGGATTACCTGTCCCACCAGCGCCGGTGATGATGGCAACGCCAGGTAATCTGGTCAGAAGATTTGCCATGCTCTCGAGCTCAACTGACGATCCGAGTCGATTACAAGAAGCCTGGTGTAGCTTGCGGAGGCATTGCTGGAAGCTTCGGTAGTGAAATTCATTGGCATGACGTTTGGTAACAGTGTGATCTTCGTCCGGCAAAAGATCCCTGGCTATTGTTGGAGTAAGTTGGAGCAAGACGTTATCTCGGGCGGGGTTGGGGTCGGCGCTAACTTATCTATGGTCCTGACTCGATTGGCTTTCAGCTGAGGAAGGGTGGGTCGGCAAGTTGGGCTCTCCAAAACCGACTGTGCTCGCCCGCTCCACAAGCCTCCAACCTCCACAACATCAACATGCTTAACAGCGAACGTCCACATGCACAAACATCCTCATATCTGCAGTCATTGCTCTCGGGGCTTCAAACGTACGGAACATCTGACTCGCCATCTCCGCACTCGTAAGCTGCCCAAGAACATCGACCCCACTTCTGAAGGGACTGTCATTGTCTGCGCACCCTGCTAGACGGCATTGTAGCCCTTCGGATTTAGCAGTATGTAACGCGAGGCTCTCAACTCTGTGTTAGGATCTCCATAAGTTCAAGATCATGAGATTCAAGGCCGACCGGAGGTCCCGGTACCTCCATCAATTCGATAGGGACTGATCGTGCCATGCAGATACAAGAGATAAGCCCTACAAATGTTCTTGTGGATCAGCTTTCACGCGTCGTGACCTCCTAACCCGGCACTGGCGCATCTCACAGCATGACGGCGAGGCTACAGCCATAGCCTCGACACCTTCCTTGGCAAGAAGTATTCAGCACCCGCAACATCAAGATCAAGCACGGTCACAGCAACTTGGATTCGATGGGGTGACAGACAAAGGAGATTCCAGGCCTGGAAACGGCTCCCATTTGGTACACCCACCTCGCATGGAGTATCCTACTCCTGACCCGACCCTGCATCATGCCCATGCTCCTCTTGTAAATCAAGGTATACTAAATTACAGTGATAGCCTCAATTGTGGGTCACAACTGATCTTGACTTCAGATGATCAACCACAGACGTTGGATTTTCACGACGAAGGCTTCCAGGATTTTCGCGACTTTGTAAATTTCATCGATGGCGTGGGACTTTCGGCGCAGTGGTCACCCGAATTTGGGTTTGACTTTCTGCCAGCTGGAGTGCAACAGCCCCAAGAACAATATATGCAGTCTAGACGGCACTCTGTCGAGCCAGAGGGAGCCCGCTCTTCCGATCCTGAGGATATAGGCACACCCTTCAGTACTTGGCTGCCTTCAGCACCTGCTGATGATCAAGTGCATCTGCGCTCCGATTCGGGAGATGGTACGTAAATGACTCCATAACTTCCGCATCGCAGCCAGCAAAATCGGCAGGGGTCCATCAGATAATGGAATGGACTCGATCGCCTCTCCTTCTAAGATTTCAGCTAATTGTCACCAGACCTTCGAGAAAAGCGCAGCCGCAACGGAACCTACAACGTGACAGACGAACACCGTAATTTCCTGGTCGCACTTCTGTTGAGTTTTCCTGCGCCAATATCAGATTTTGAGATGCCCTCACGCCACACGCTCACGCGGTACATAACAGCCTTCTTTGGTGGCTTTCACAGCCACTTTCCTTTCATCCATCGATCCACCTTCAAACCCTCATGCTCTCCGCTTGAACTTACACTATCAATGGCAGCAGCCGGGGCGCAGTATTGCTTTGAAAAGCGAAGCTCTGAACGACTTTTTCGAGTGGCGAAAGCTATGGTGTTTGAGAGGCTGAGACAAGAGGGGAAATACTTCGGACCGCTAACATTAGGACTTGTCGGCTCGAACAGTCTGTATACCCCTGAAGTCGCATCGTCACTGAGACGTACGGGCCCCTGGTGCCCACTTGACATGGCAAAAACTCTCCTTACTCTTGTGGGCTTTGCAACGTGGGAGCGAAAGGACTTGCTCCAGCAAGCCTTTTCCCTTCGAGGCTTACTCGTACAGACACTTCGAGATATTGGTCTCAGTGAGGAAGACGTGCCCACTGCTGGCTCTTCTTCGAGGTCTGCAATGTGGGATCACTGGGTTCAATTGGAGTCTGCGAGGAGGACTAAGCTTGTGGCTTTTTGCTACATTAATGTGCACAGCATCGCCTACAACGTGCACCCTCTCCTCTGGAGCAGCGAGTTGCACCTTCGATTGCCTTGCTCTACGCCTCAATGGCAAGCCACAAGTGCTGCGCAGTGGTCAGCCCTCCGCCGCGACGACAAAGAGGACCAGATGCCGTTCCAACAAGCGCTTTCTGTGTTACTCCAGGGCTCCACATGTACGGAGACGGTACAGCCTATTCCAAGTCCTATTGGCAACTACATCCTTCTCCACGCTTTGTTGCAGCGCATCCATGTCGTACGTGAGCTGTCGTTTCCGATAGCTCCCTGTACGAGAATCTCGACACCAGAGCTACAGACTGTTAGCCGTGCCCTTCGGTCCTGGACCTCGCTATGGCAACAAACACCTGAGTCGATACTGGATCCAAATAATGAGAGTGGCCCCATCCCGTTCACTTCAAGCGCGTTGCTAGTCGTAGCATATGTGCGACTATCCCTAGACATTGGTCAACACCGACACCTAGACTCCCGCGATCCCAGTGTCATAGCTGCTGGGCTTGCGCAGCTACCAGATATCGAACGCAACGATAACCTCCTTTCCGCCCTGCTATACTCCACACATGCATTGAGCATACCTGTGAGACTCGGCATCGACAGAGTAGCCCGGAGTCAAGCTTTCTTTTGGAGTGTACAGCATGCTATATCGAGCTTTGAATGCGCCATCTTCTTAGGCAAGTGGCTTTGTTCACTTCCTGGCCCACTGCAAGAGGGGTCTCTATCTCGTAAGTGTATATATTGTCTCCTTTCTCAGCACCAGTCGACGGGAGTGGTCATGGCATCCAAAAGCTTTATCAAAATGCAGGAAACGTCAAGCCAGACTCTGAATATCGCCTTGAATTGCGACACCCAAAAATTCCTGTACCAGTCAAACCGACACTAACAAGAAGTGTGACAGGTTCGGAGCATCGCATACTCCACTGGGTGCGGTGCATCATCAAAGAGGCATACGCGGTCGTCGACTTCGAGGAAATGGAAGGGATCGAGCCTGATGTACCAGACGAGCCATCCGGGCTCGGCCTTGCGGTTCTGAAGATCTGGAGTCGCTTCTTCAAAGGCAATACGCAGTGGCAGTTTGTTGGAAACCTCGGCTTGAGTCTAGAGATCTACATGAAGACCCTGATCTGAGCCCCTCCCGCTTCCTCGACGAATGAAAGCTGTGTTCAGGAAATGTCAATGTGATGCCCAGGAAGCGTTCTGAGATGTCAAAGGTCAAAATCGAAAATATGGATTTCTCCAAGCTGATGAGAAACCATGCGTCTTACCAGGCTGATCTGCGACGGCAAGATCTGCGGCATCAGGCTATCCGACATCAAGCGGTCAAAATATTTGCCTCATGCTTACGCGCGTTCCCCAAAATATCCTACGTATCCTCAAATGGCCGCGAGCGCAATTCGCTGTGACACTACAACCCCACATATGTAATGATCACCACGCATGACTCGGTGGAATTTCGCCGATTACGGTTGAGTCGCGAAAAGATACGGCAGCAACTGATCCAAGCGGCCTTTACACTCAGTCCGTGCAGAGGTCAGGGCTGTGTGAATGATGTCAGTGTCTGAGATGATCGCTACGGAGTATTCCGACCGTTGTGGCTTTGCGCACAATAGGTAAGATACGTCTGGCATGTCAGAAAAGGTGTGTCTTGAAAACGCCTCAAGGGTCCAAGGCACGGTCGGACGTTACTCCTGTCAGACACTGACTGTATCTCGCTGCGTCACGACCAAGACATCATGAAGCTGCACCTCGACTCACTCGGACTTCTTACACGCTCGACCGCCTTGTAGGACAGGAGACGTCGATGACAGACGCCTGTAACAATTGCCGAGCGAACAGGATCGTTGCGGAGAATATACATCTCGCACGACGATGCAACCCCAGCGAATAGTCAGCCAAAGTGTCCAGATCTCAGGCTGACATATATATCTCGTAGTACGAACGGCTCCACGCTCGCGTGACCCGGCGTCACCATCTCCATGCTTCGTCCGTCTTCACATGCCTACTCGGTACACACAAGACGATGAGCTGGATCGACAACTGTGCGACAAACAAGTGTTTAAGAGGTGCTGGCAGCCTCGTGCGTGGTGGCACTGGCCTTCTGATAAGCGTTTCCCGTTACACGATGAGTCTGATATTCTCAGCACTTCGAGTGGCACACGCACGGACGATGAGATTGGGGTTGTCAGCGCTTGTGTACCGTAGCATCGGCGCTTCGGTATCTGGACTGCGATGTTGCCTAAACTGAAAGATTCGTTCGGACTTGGAGGGTGTGCGATCTGAAGCGGATACTGTCGGAGCAAACGGGCTGCGTTGCCGTTTGTTCAATGGCTGAGATCTAGCAGACGCAGGGCATGTCGTGGCTTTGATCTGACTATGCGGGAGCTCTAGAGTCCGAAAAGATCATGCTGGGCTTTCTGTCTTCTTCCGTAACAGGAGACCATACTGCTACTTGGATTTCCTCAACACTCATAGAGCTGTGGTGTGTTTTGCAATCTCTAGTTCCGCATCCGTGGTTTTGGTACCTGTCCGGTGACGTTTCGTGGTGGCTGTTGAACTTTGGTTGTGGCTTGCGTAGCGAGCAGTCCAGCCAGCGCGCCTCAACAGCGTCAGGCACCGCGACGCAATTGGCTACAATCTTTGCTTCTCCGGATAATGCAAACTCAATCAACCGCCTTCTGGATCGCACACGATCTGAAGGTTTGTGGGGAAGGAGCCTGGAATACGTGTTGGTGCTGCCGCAGTTGAAGCCCAACTACACCACATGGCGCTCATAGATTTGTCTTCCGCCTCCGCGCTCCACCCGGTGGGTGGTGGAACTGTGAAGAACTGGCTGCACGCAACTCAACATGTTTTGTACCTGAAGATCTCGACGCAGCGACATGCAGCCAGTTGCACCACAAACAACCCGATGCAGCTGCCGTAAACTCGGCAACAACCCGCGAAACGAACCCGTGCTACGGTTGAGCTGAGCACGTCGCTTGCAACGCGTGTGGAGCAGCTGATCGTTTGCAAATACCACTTGATTAAAGCAGGCAGGAGGGATAGATCAAAATGACAGGAGAAAAGCGAGAGTTATGAAAATACGAAGCTAATTGTAGAGACTACAACGAGACAGTGGTAGATGGCAAAAACCCACAGTTCGAGATGCTGATGGCGTACGTCAACCTGTGCGCCGTTCAGCTGGAGAACGAAGTGGCCGTTGTCAAACCCCAGCGGTTGGGGAATAACGCGGTTGCGAGCCGATCGCACTCTCCCGATATCGATAACATCTGATGCTAAGGAAAGCGCAAGCCAATCACCGCTGTCGTAATGAGTAGGCTCAATAACTAGCGTAGTGTTATCGGCGAGGGTGGGTGCCCTTTCCTGTACGCAAGCCAATAGCAGCTGCAAGGCGCCTCTGGAATTGATTATGAAGTCGAAGGGGTTTCGACACGCGCTCCGGCTTTGCATTTCTATACAGCAGGTGCTATCTGGTGGTGTGTAGGAGGTCAGTACCTGAGTGGTCACTGAAGTAGGCACTTGAAGACTCGGGTGATGGCGGAGAGTGCACAGCGCACAGACGACGAATGACATCCCAGCACTGCAGCAGAGCCGTGCGTAGTTGTATCTGTGGGGACCGGCGGGCATACCTGCTCCAGGAATAAAGCAATGTTGCACAGGCTGCGTGACGGCATTGGCAATAGCTGCCGTTCCTAAAGCTAGAGCCAAGTGATCAGGACGGACTTCGGACTTGACGCGGTGCGAATAATTGTCATGAAGATGTAACCTTCATCTTCCATGTTAGCAATGTTGTGGAAGTCCGTAGTCTAGTCAGGGCGCAGTATGTACAGTAGTTCTCGCGAGTAAGACAATTGTATTATCGTTCGGTAGAGTCGTATATTCCAGGGCAGCTGCAGCGTGAACGAAGGGTCTGCGAAGATCGCCGTCCTTTTGACAACGCAGCGCGGGTAGAGCGGGTTCAGCGAAGTCTGAAAAGACGGTGACGGCAACAAAGATGGCCAGCGCTCAGAACGGGTCCCTCTCTCGGCTGTGGCGTGAGACCTTTCTTCTTTGACCAGCGTCTCCACAGATGCACTGAGATGGCGCGCCTCGTGAGGCAACTCGAACTCTGGTTGGCCTACCCCTGAGAACACGGGATGTGGACGCTCGAGGCGGCTTGGTATGCTCGCAGATGAGATGAGAGGAGGGAGATCGCACGCGGGTGCCGTCCTCTGGCGACATCGCCACCGCAATGCAGCAGTCCCCTGGTTCGCAGAAGGACGAAGAGCTGAGTTGCAGTTCGCAGGGTCTTCGCGCTACGAGACGCTGTGCAAGAGCGACTGTATGGAGTGCGCGCCGAATACGCTGGAGCTTCCCTAGCCGGCGTCCAACCAGCGGGCCATTTATCACACCAGGCGAGTGCAGCAGCTTGCGTTAGCTGCAGAGCGGTGAAGTGTTGCGCGATCGTGTGCATAGCGCGAATCTGCCTGCCAGGGGCGAGCAACGCAATTGCCTGGCAGGGTGCGCTCTACGGCCTCTGTGGAGGCGCGCACTGATGTGGACACTTGACACGACATGGAGGAGATTGCAATCGGCCTAGGGCAGGTCTTTTCGGCTGGCACTGACGCTGAGCGCTGACTCTTGGGTTGCGCTTGCCCGCCCTGGGGGTTCGGTGCTAAAAGTTCGCGTGTTGTACTTGAAACTTCGATGCAGGAGCGACCACCGACAGGGAAGGAGCCCAGCGCACGGCCGAAAGTGCATCTGCACTATATCTCCTCAGCGACCCCAGAAAGCGCAGTACTGTTACCCGCTTACGAGTCGCCCACGTTCCCTACCAACCCTGCTGCAGCCTCAGTCAGAGTCTGCTGCTGCTGAGTCCGAGAGTGTCAGAGCTGTGTGTGACGAGTCTCACTCTTTGCCTCGTGCTACCACAGCCACGCCCCGTCTGTCACCATTGGTGCGAGAGCCTGCACGCCTAAGGTTTCATATCACAGCACTCAGTCAGCCAAACGCCGCATCGTTACGATAATTACCATCAGCCGCTCGAGTCTGCCTGAGATTTCGCAGACATTTTGATTCTCCACCAGACACCATGGCCGATGCTATCGTGTCGACACAGCTGCCCCAGTGGAACTACGCAAAACCTGCCATTACGACCCGCACCGAGCGCTCTGGGTCTGACAGCTCGGCTTCCAGCCCTAATTTGTGCAACAACGAGCACGAGACATTGCGGCTAGACACCGCTGCGACGCAGACCATCCGAAAGGGAAGCATTTCCCTCCAGGACCGCTACATGTCCAGCGAAGAGGATCTGTCACCTGCCTGTGAAGACTCTGGCTCTGAGTCTGAGTACGACTACGATGGTGCTGTCGTCGAGGATCTGACCCAGCAATGCCACTCAGCCAAGAGGATGTCTATGTCGAGATGGAACCAGGGAAAGAGCTGCGACACTGCTGTCAAGGTGTCCTATGCCTTTGTCGGCCGCCCTAAGGTTGTCGAGCTCAACCTTGGTTCACCAGTGCTAGAGCGCCCAATGTTGACACAACGGTCCGCTTCGCTAGCCAACCTGCCAGCGACTGCTCTGAGCAAGCTCCAGAAGGCCGATCAGGCCCAGCGTCACTCATTGAACGTAATGCCTGTGTCGAAGTGTCCCAACTCCCCGCTCACCCGTCCCATCTCTCCCCTCGCCATTATCGAGCATCGACGTCCTTCGACCAGTTACAGCCCGTCGAGCAAGTCGAGCACATTGAACCTCGGTGACCTCACTTCCACAGCCTCCTCGATCGATACCGCGCCTTCGAGCCGCAGCGCCTCACCCGCAGTTGCTGCACCCGTTCGCCCTGCAAGTGCTACACCACAGGGTGTATCTTCGAGACGCTCCTCGGTCTACGTCCCAACAGGAGCTCGCCCAGAGCTGCAGCGCACTCAAACCACACAAACAAATTTCCGCCACTCCCACCAGGTAGCACTACCGACACCAATGTCACCTGCCACTCACGCCTTTCTCAACACCGACCCTTTCGCGAAGCCTGCCGCCAATACCACAATCCCTGCGAACAAGCCGTCCACGCACAGGCGCTTAAGGTCAATCTCGATGAAGCTTTCTCTTGCAAGGATCGCCATTACTCCATCTTCATCAAAGAAGAACACCAACAACATCCCCGTCTCGCCGTACACACCTCTTACACCCCAGACTGCGCCCATCGAAGCCTCATCCGGATTCGCGAGCCCCATGCCTAACAAGCTGCGCCGCGCCTCGACCATTCTGCGACCAAAATCTCGCGGAGCTGAGGACTCAAGAGGTCCTTCGCCGGACATGGCACCTCCTCCAGTCCCCGTTTTGAACCGCGCAAGCACCATGGGTCTTCCTCAGCGCCACTCAAAGATGGTTGCTCGAGGTGCCAACGAGCGCGAGCCAACTCTCGTCCTCCCTCCTTTCGCAGATGTGAAAATCAACCCCATGGCCAGCGTCAAGAGCGGAAAACTGCGCAAGCGCAAGTCCCTGATGGATCTGCTCTAGAAAGGTTTAACTCCTTGGCTCTTTTGAGTGTTTCATTCGAACCTGCCTTTCACGCAAGGACGCATAGACGTTCATGCGCTACCCTGTCACTTTCACGTCACCTCCGCAATTGTACATGTCACCCTTCTCTCATCTCGGCCACTCTACCACGGCGCTCCAGCGTACTGTGCATAATACCCGGCGTTACTTTGGGCGTTTATACCCACATCGAGGTCACGATACCCTCTTGGGCACGTTTCTGTTTCTGTTATCGCATTCTGGCTTGCGAAGTGCTCGCAGCCCACCATCTGTCGCTATCGCATCTAGCATGCACCTCGTTGATCTAGGATCCGAAATTCTCCTTAATTACCACAACGACGGCTGTTTTAATCAAGAGACTCATGATATCCTGTAGTATGGTATTACTTGGTTTCTAGCGCTGCTCAGCATAGACGCGCAATTGCAACCTACTGTCTGTCCCATCATCTGAAACGTATGCCAAGTTCAATCTCCCCGTGCCACATCACTAATATCGTAATCCGGTTCCTCTCCACGTCAGCCTGGTATGCTGCAACACCAAAATAACCCACAAGCCATGATGTTTTTCCGGTGCATGCGTACATCCACACTTTACTTCATGCAGCTATAAATGATCTGAACATGGAATATTTTTCAAGGTCGGAAATTCCGCCAGACCTGCGCTACACACGCTCAGGCACAGCTCCACCAACAGCCTTCTCGGTGCCTCACAAACCCACATACAGCTTTGTTTGATATCCACAGAAGACACATTGCATCTACAACGGCATCTTCGCCCAGGAGCTCTTCCGACAATTGACGCGGCCGAGTGCAAGGTCTTGAGCCGCACGGAAACAAGTGACAGGGACGGAAAGTGTTAAGTAGCGGCAACCCCACAATTCTTCCATCCAAGGACCCCTGCCTTGGTCGACAAGCCGGGCAGGGCCCTGGGAGGCGCGCGAGATGTTTGAAACATTTCGATATCGTGTCGACGAAGATCATAATGCAGCGTGACCGACGAACAAGCAAAATGCTGGCTCGCATTGCACTCTGTCACTATGCGTTGCCATTCTCGCGATATTGCTTTTGAAACACGCAGGCACCACATGTTCGGTGCACCGACGCAGAAGCAATATGGCAGTGAAGCTCATGCGGACCATTCAACCGGCCATGCTAGGAGCATGCTTGCACCGTGCCGCCGTTAATGAGACCTCATATCAAGATACCCGCCATGCGGCGCGATCTCGCGATCTTGATCGTTCTTGCGCGCTCTGGTCCTGAATCATGGATGCGCTTTTGCATTTTTCCGTCCGCGCACGCCCGCTGTGAATGATGTGCGTCGTAATCTGGAGAGGCAGGCACAATTTCGAGGAGGTCTATGTGAAACACGCTCGCAAGCCACGATAAGAGATGTGTGGTAGCGAAGGAACGTGCGAACGAAGAACGTGGTTTAGAATGAGCGACTCGGGTTCCGTGCGCAAGGTACCTAGAGATTGGGACCGAGGGTTTTGGAGCGCGAAATTATTATCAAATGTCAGGCTGCAAGGCGAGTGAAGTGAAGTTTGACGGTCAAGTAGATGTGCGCTTTTGTGAACGTCACTAACGTCTTCGGTGATGATAATGCACATGACGGTGAAGGAATCTGACTAAGGGTACGTACGATACGAGGGGTCGTTTCTGTCAAATATACCGTTACGTGGAATCATGTCACTCATAGAAAGTACGACGAACTTCATGTCGCCAACGCTACTGACCCTGAAACTTGTCACCTCCATGCTCGGACTGTCACTATTCTGATATCACCATCAGCTATAAAACAGAGGCTATAGGGATATATAACCCTGCAAGAACTATTTTGAGATTCTCGCAAGGTCCTATGCAACCCCATGGTCTTCTCCAACATGGGTGCCTTGTCCGAGCCGGAAACTTCGCGCAAAACCGGAGAGACATTCTTCTTGTCTCTGAGACGCTGGTGTACAACTCTGTAGTCTGATGAGCAAGACGCAGGCGCTGTACCACATTCACTTCAAGTTGTCGAGCGCACCTTCCTTGTTCGAGAGCACCGGAATCAGAAAGAGTCCCCAGACAGGTCCTATCATCGTTGGGATGGACTTCCTGGTTTGGATCTGCACCGTTCTGCAAGAGCAGTCCAATCATCTTGACGTCGACAGATGGATCGTCTCCGTGCGTGTGGTATAGCATCATGGTTAGCGTGGTACGAAGCGGCTGTAGAGCGTAGTCAAGGAGCAGCTGCCCTTTCTTTTGCATGCGTAATTTTGCGCGTACGTTCTTGACCAGTCGTGCGGGTACAGCAAGTGCAAGAAAGGTACAACCTCTACCTTCGGAGTATTTGTCGAAGCCTTAAGTTCTCGGTATGTCTCGAGCATGTGTTCAGTAATTGGTGACATTTCTTGCGAAGTGACTATTGACGCGGTCCACCGACGTCAACGGAAGTTCTGCATCTGCGGGACTCTGTTTCTCGATTCCGTGATCGCAGTAGAGCAGTTCATCTGTCAAGCCAATGAATCTGTCACTGTGCCCTGGCTGCGAAAGTATTAATCTGGTAAGCCCTTCAAGAAACAAAGGCAAATGTTGCAGAAGGTTACCAGAGGGTCAAAGTTGGTTTTCAGGTGACTCCTTAGCTGGGACTGCTACGAAGATCGGAAGAAGTCGACTGAATGGCTGAGGAAGACCTGATGCGTGCCATCGTCAGCAATGAGGAGGTCTCCACATCTGTTCCAAAGTCTCGAGGTCTGCGCCTCAGATTGAAAGCACATTTTCGTTCCATCTAGAGGTTCGATCGGCTCTTGAGCAGCATAATTGGGACTCTCTCTCTCTCTCTCTTTCCCTAAGAGGTAGAACGCGTACAGCGGCAGTGGCTGCAGTCAATCTGCGGTAACTAGGAAGATCTGAGCCGTCTCTTCCTTGTACAAGTCGTCGATCTTCTCAATAACCCGCACAAGGGACTCCTTCAGATCGGCGGGAAAATCTCGACAATCTTGCGGAGTATAGCAAGGTTCTCGTTCCGCTCGACTTGCCGGATGAACTGACGGGTGACAAGGAGGACCCAGAGCCATACAACGTCCGCGGCTTCGGACATATTCGTGATGATTTTCTCGCAGTCTGGATTCATGTTCTAACAACCAAGTCCAGAGTACTCCAGATCTCGGAATCGCTCACTGGAATGTAGCCGCTCCTAGACGAGTATTCGCACGTCAGTCTTGGTGGATTTGGCGATATAAAAAACACAGCGTCTCGCCTGTAAGTACCTTTCGTAAATTTCTCTCTCTTCAGTGCGATGCGCAAATTTTGACGTTCGAAGAGAAACGCAGTGTCTTCGACATCTCCGCGACATCTGCCTCGTCGCCATCGTACTCATCGAGACCGTCAATGAAGAAGCCATGCCTGGTATCGAGTCTTCAATATTGAGTGACAAGCTCAAACGCTTTTTGTAGGCTTTGATTTCCCAAACTTCGTATTGCAGACGCCCCAGGGCAACATCTGGGGCGAGCTCTGGATCCGTGCGCAAGATTTGATACAACAGCGACTGGAAGAGTGCAATCAGACTCTTCTGCATCTCATTTCCTTGATACCGGAAGTAGAAGCTTCTGATGTAGAGAGCTTTTGCACCAGCCCATATCTTCAGTCTCCTCACGGTCATTTCATCTTCTGACATGTGATTTCATGAGCGTCGATTTGCCGCTTCCGGCCTAATATGTTGGTCAACATAAGTTTTTCTGATTTGAATGTGCGCTTTACTTTGCCAATGATATAGAGTAGACCGTCATTCAGCTCTCTGCTCTCTATCCATAACGTGAAGGTAGTTTTGCCAGGAACTCGCATCCATTCGTCTGTCCTTTTCTCGGCGTTGGGGATCTGATCGACGCGGCGACGAATCCCTACAAAGTAAAAGTTTTCGAGTACCTGTATTTGTTCTAGTGCCACAAGATGTCGAGATTGTAGCTTACTCGGTTCCTGCACCGTCACCGCAAGACGCTCACATACAAATGGACCTCCGCTATGGACACCTCGCGTCACAACACTGATGATAGCGAAAAGTACTCACAGTATTTCAATCTTCTGCAGTCCAAGATTGACGACTACTCTACTGAGCCGCGGCACACGTATAATATAGATGAGAAGGGATTTGCAATTGGATTGGTGAATATGAGCAAGAGGGTGTTTAGTAAGGCAACTTGGGATAGTAAAGGCAAGCGCCACAGTCTGCAGGATGGCAATAGAGAGTGGATAACAATAATCGCAGCGATCTGCGCTGATGGTTCAACGCTGTCGCCAGGCATCATCTTCACAGGCAAGCCTAACGGCCTACAGCAGTCCTGGTTGGAGGACCTAGACGTAGGAAGAGACTCAGTATTTGCTACTGCTAGGCTTCTTCTTAAACTTCTTGAGTATTACAGCTAAATTTAGTGGGGATATGCCTGTGGCTTTGAACAAGCTTAGCACAAGCTCAGAGGTGAATGTTTGGTGCTGGGCGGCTTAGAACAGCTTGTAGAAGTGACGCTTCTTAATGCCTATTAAGGCCTGGCTTTAGTGTGGTTGTTTAGTAACTTCTTTGGAGTAGTTGTTGCCAAAAGGCGAGAAGCAACCCACATCTAGCAGCTGCAACGTCTGTGTACTGTGAGGTGGGAAGACAAGCAGTAGAATCTGTAACAACGCGCTGCCAACAAGGACCCGATACAACTAGGTTTACGGTCCAGTGACTCATGACCATGACCCTTGTCGCATGGCATGAGGTTGCACCAAACTGCCTCCGAACCTCCCTATATAAGGAGGTAGGAGCTGTAGCATTGTAGAGCAGTTTTTCTGTATCCTTTCGTACAAGACCTATAGGTGTAGAGAATGTATCTTGGTGTTCTTATCATCCCAGCACTCCCATCTGTCTCGTACAGGGTTCACACCTGTTGCGGATATCTCTCTTCTTACCTGCGTCGTTACAGAATCCTGTGGCGACTACAATAGTTAACAAAGGCTATTGGTATAAGTTATAAGAGTTGTGGCTGTTAACAATAAGTAGGCGCTAGAAAGTACAAGCTTTAGCAGCAGTATCCCGTTTAAACTTAAGTCTTTTCCTGCATCTAGGTCCTCCACCCAGGACTGTTGTAGGGTATTAGGCGCGCTAGTAAAGATAACCCAGGCAACAACACTAAGATATTAGCACAGATAGTTGCGAGAATTGATACCCACTCTCTATTGCCATCTTGCAAGCTTTGACGTTTAGCTCTAGCTTCCTAAGCTGCCTTACTAAACACTCTTGCTCCTGTTCATCAATCCAATTGCCAGGCCCTTCTTATCCATATTGTACATGTGCCACGGCTTAACGGAGTATTTATCAATCTTAGAACGTAGCAGGTTAAAATGGTATAAGCACTTTTCGCTATTGTTGGCGTTGTGACGTGAGGCGTCTATAGCAGAGCTCTATTTGTATATGAGCTTCTCGGGATGACGGTGCAGGAACCTGGTAACCCAGCTATCTCCAACGTACTGTTGAGCTATTTTAGACGCGAAATTTTGCACCATTTGCATTGTAGGTGGTAGCCCTTGGTTAGTGAGCACTTCTATATAGCTGCGAAGCTCATACTCTTGTTGTGGACTGAGCCTTTGACGCGTGAAGTTCCCATATTCACGCGACGCGCATACGCCTCAGTGCCGCCGCGACAGGGTGGATCGCGACACTAAGCTTTGGTCAGCAATTTTTGGGTACGAAAGCTCACCAGCTGTATCTGCTGCGTCACAGGCTTCAAGCGCAGCTTCTAAATCCATGCCGTTGTGAAGTTATGGTGTTGAGGATATTGGTGTGTTATGACGTTCGCGTGCACGTTCCCTGTACCAAATTACAATATTCGTTCCCATATACAATATCTATTACACTATCGCGGCCATATTCATTGCGTCTCACTGCTCTTCACCCTCTTAGCGTCCCTCTCACTGTCCGTGGCATCTGCCCTCCTCTTGCCCTCCTCCTTCTTGCTCTCTTCTCTCGCCACTCGTCTCGCTTCCTTGTCAGCCTTTCCCTTCTCCTTGCGGAGCGCCTTGCTCTCGAACTCATGCCAGTCACCCTCAAGTGCCTTAAGAGCTTCAGCGCGCTTCGGCTGCGGCTGCTCGCTAGCAAAGAAGGGGTGTTCAAGAACATCAGCCGCAGTAGGGCGCGCAAGAGGGTCGTACAGGAACATGGCCTGGAGAAGCTCAAAGGCCATGGGGCTGAGTCGGTCGCGATACCTCTCTTCGAAGGTGGAGGGTTTGCGTTCGGTGGGGCGGAGGAGGTTGGACCATTGCATGTCTACTATGCCTGGCCAGTCTTCTTTTGTGGGTGTTCCGAGGATGTTGTAGATCTTGTCTAGTTGGTTGATTTCACCACCATCGCCTGGGAAGATGGCATGGCGTGTAAAGATTTCGACGAGAACACAGGCTGCTGACCAGATATCGACAGCGGGGCCATACTGTGTCTCGCCGAGGAGCAGTTCCGGTGAACGATACCAGATGGTTATGACGCGGTTGGTGTAGTCCAGCTTGCTACTTTTGGCGTAGAATCTCGCTAGACCAAAATCTGCGAGTTTCAACTGACCAGTGTTCGAGACTAATATGTTCGCAGCCTTGATGTCGCGGTGTAACACGCCTCGTCGGTGCAGGTAATCCAGACCTTCAAACAATTGTTTTGCCAGATCCTTTTTATGGGATTCTTCGAGGTTGAACGTAGGATGGTTGAGGAGACCTGTAAGATCGTGGGAGAGGTACTCAAAGACCATGTAGCAGTCGTTCTTCTCGACCATCACCTCGCGTAGTCTGACGATATTGTCATGATTCAAGGACTGAAGGAGCTTGACTTCTCGGATTGCGGTGACAGGAAACTAAGCACAGTCAGTGAGTGTGATCTCATCTAGTTATTCTTTGACACGTACGCCATCCCGTTCGCCCTCCATGCGGATCTTCTTAAGGGCAACCTGGTCCTTGGTGTAGACGTGGACACCCTTGAAGACCTTGCCGTAGGTGCCAGAGCCAACAACTGACTCATTGCCTGGCTTACGATAGTAAACAGAGTCTGAAGCAGCAAATTCTGTGGTCAAAGTCGGACGAGCAATTATCCTCTTTCGCTTGACCATCACCGTCTTGGGCGCATCCGGAGGTGGAGCTCGCCGATCATTACGATTGTCAAGACGGGTCTCGACACGCGGCTCAGGTCGACGGTCGTCCGGTCGTCGTGGTGGGTATGGTTCTCTGCGATCGCGGACATCCCTGATATCTCTTGGATCTCTTGGATCTCTCTGATCTCTCAAGTCACGCAGGTCACGTGGATCCCGTGGATCACGATCTCTGACGTCGCGAATGTCTCGTGGGCCCCGAACATCTCTGTCGCGAGTGTCGCGGTAGTCCCTTTCCCTTTCGCGAAAATACGGATCTCGGACATCTCGCAAATCGCGCATGTCTCGAGGATCTCTATCGCGAGGATCCCTATCACGAGGATCTCTGTACGCAGGCTGTCGATCGTGGTAGTCATATCGGCGGTCTCGCTCTCGATAGTCGCGATCTTGCTCCCGGTCTCGCTCACGGTCGTACTTGTAGTCGCGGTCACGGTCGTTTCGCGGATCGGTGTGGTATCGAGAGTCGCGAGACGAGGCGTCTTTCTTAGGCTCAAGTAACGAATCCTTGGGCTTTGGTTCGACTTTTTCAGGCTCTTCAGCCTTACCCTTGATAGCGACGGGAACCGGATTCTTTGTTTTCAAAGAGAAGCTGAAACCTGATTTGGGTTGTGTTGGAGGCGCGTTGGCAGGTTTCGTCGGTGGCGGCATCTTCTTGACTTCCTTGGGCCCCTCATCCTCAACACGCAGATCTTTCGATGGACGGAAGGGATTGTCGTCGGCATCAACAGACGCTGACTCGGTCGATGGTGCGGGCGCTGGAGGGTTTGGGCGAGGCGCTTCGGTCGCAGGCCTGCCACCTCGAGTGCCAGATGCTGGTGTCCACGACAGGTTGGAAAATTGTGTAGGTGCTGCACCACGACCCCGGCCGCCCTGAGGTGCGAAGCCAGAGTGAGAGCTTGGCCCGGACACACGACGATCAGAGCCGCTGTACTGGTTGCCACGGCCACCACGATATGGTCCATTTTGGTAGCCACCCTGAGGATACTGCTGGTTTGCAGGGTACCCAGGCGAGTAGTTCTGGTTCTGGTTGTAGGGCGACTGATTCGGCGAGTAGGCATGTGTGGGTGATCTGTATCATGTCAGCAAGTTGGAAGAGGATGAGAAGTGGTTGACTTGCCCTTGACTAGAGTGCTGATACCCATTCCAGCCCCCTCTACTACCGTGGTAGGGTGACTGATTGTGTGGCGAATATTGGTTGTGTGCAGGATGAGGAGGAGACTGCTGATAGCCAGGACCTCCCCGCCCTTGATGGTGGTAAGCCCCCCTCATCTCGGCGTCTTCTGCCTTGCTGATAGACGTATCAGAAGCGTGGCCAGATGCAGGTGCAGGCGGATCCCGTCTGGGGATGGGCTGGTCTGCACGAGCTGGTCTGTTACTCTCGTCTCTGTTTGACCGAACAGGTGACCTGGAACGACGACTTGAGACGCGAGGAGAACGACTCCTTCGTGGCGAGGGCCTAGCGTTTCGTGCTCTAGACGGCGAAGGCCTCCTTGATGGCGGGGGAGACCGCCTACAGCGTGGAGAGGGCGATCGTGCACGCCTAGTTGCACGACTGCGACTCCTCTCGCGGCTGGTGAGACGTCTGTGTTGCCTTTCACTTGGTGCTGGACCTGATGTGTTGCCTCGGTCGACAGGTCTCCTAGGTGGAGATCTCCGAGGGCTCAGAGCACGCCTGATACTTCTTGCAGGCGATGTGGATCGTTTGCGCGGTCGGTGTGAAAGTGGCCTGTAGTGGGAGTCGGCAGACGGCGAGCGACGGCGAGCTAATACCGGCGGGACGTATGTGTCGGGCGTTGGTCGCCGAGAGGTGCGATCGCGATCTGAGCGAGGTCGGCGAGGGGAATATGCTCTCGACGTGGGACGGTGCGTGGAGTCTGCGCGGCGCGTCCGTGATCTGGACCGCCCTGTGCTGCGGCTTCGTTGGCGTCTGGCCCGCTTGTGGCTGTCTCGTGGAGATGCAGAGCGACTGCGGTGGCGCTTCGAGGATGGAGTCGCGTCGCGGTGGTTGTGCCGGTGTGGGTGCGAAACCCTGTCTGCACTGGGTCCCCTCCGCGAGGCTCGATAATGGTCGTCCTTGGACGCCCCTCGACTACGACGACGCGTGCGGTCCCTGCTCGGACTTCTCTCGCGCGAACGTCGTCCTGCGTGCTTAGCTGACGAGCGGGTACCTGTGTCGGGCGTCCGCCTGGAGGTGTCCCTCGCAGCGCGTGCCACGGGTGACGATGTTCTTGGTTCGTGAATGCGCTCTCGCGTGCGTTCCCTACTTCGCTCTCTGACCCTGATAGACGATTCCTCTCGTCGCCACTGGTCTATATCCTGGTTCCGTCGCAACCCAGCCATGTAGGCGGGAATGTCATTAGAACTGGGGTTGGTGCAGCTTTCAGAAGGTTCGCGGGAGTCTGAGTGTCACAACCGGACCGAGCGCAGAACTCCACCGGCAAGCCGCGACCTTCAGCCTGATGACGGACACGCCCCAAATAGAAAAGAATAAAAGAGGTGATGCGACTGAGCCTACAATGCAGTCGACGATGATGCGCAGCTGTTGCGCGTCTTCTCAGTGATAATCGCGCTGTGGCAACGAGCTCGCAGTTCGCCGCCTTTTCTTGCCCGCCAAGCTAGCCTCGTGACCCGCCGAGAGAGCGGGCTGGAGGGCAGCCCTGGGGCCTTTCAGCCATTGAGGCCTGCCAAAGCCACAAAGCAACTGTTCGTCCTCCGCGTGCACCTTGTCAATGCGTTCCTCCAGGAGTGCACAGTCTGGCAAATATCCTCAACCGGTCACAATAGCTATCTAATGCACGCAGGTTGGCAACTACAAGAGCACATGCGTATCCCTGGATGTCGCCTTCGGTGGTGCTGGAAGAGCCGCAAGTGCAGCAGGTCGAGTCTTGACGGCGGCAGGTGGACGAGGCCTCCGGTAACAGTGGTATCCAACGGACGTGTAGGAGACTGCAGTAGGTCACGCTGGGTTGAGCGAATAATTGCGGTTGCTCGCCGTTATGAGTGTTCTCATGCAGTTCGCCAACATATGTGTGCCGCAACAGCTGCATATATGTTCAGATCGAATCGCAAAAAAGATACCGCTCCTTCCACCGAGATTGTGCGAAGGAACAAGTTGTGGCACCCGAGCTAGTACGTGCAGCTCAAGGCTGGCAGACTAAGAGTGACCGCGCGCTACATGCGTGCCGGCGCTGGACGACTTCCAGTGTGCTCAGACGAAGGCAGACAGCCCACAGCGACGCTGACCTAGCCTTGCAAGCTGCGCATCATCGTAGAAGGGAATTAAGTGTAACAGCTGCTGTTTTCGGTCCTTGGGCGTGGCCTGCAGGTAGTGTCGCAGCTGCAGGGCGCAGTCTGAGTCAACGAGAGGTCTCATACACAGCTGCTCGTTAGGAAGATGATGCCGTCTCGCGGGAGAAACTGATGGGCTGCACCCGCCAAAGTAACCCCTCTCGCTACGCGATGCCTCCATGCCCTCGCCTTATGACCAAGTACTAATTCGTGAGGGCGCGCAACACGGCGGCGCTTCTGTAGTGGTATGGATGACAGCGCAGGCCGAGGGCGATTGTATTTGTTGGAAGTGCAACGATGGTGCTGCTGGTGACTTCACCATCGCTATGGCCCTTCAGGGCGGTCGGAACGACGTGCTCATCCTGGCGACGGCGCTGTGAATATCGAGACGAGCGATCACAGTTCTCAGAGTCAGTCACATACCTGCGTCAGGCGCTTCGAAGATGCAGATGGGCTGCGGCGGATGCTGGTGCCGGTGTGTTGTGGTGCTGAAGTCGGCGTTCCTGCTTGCTCGTGCGCCTCTTGCGGCACCCCGTGACTGCGCCTTCCTTCGATTGGCCTCCGGCTTAGGCGAACCAGCGTCATCGGCCGCGTCTAACGCCTTTTTCGGTTGATTGAAAGTTATTCGAATATGGCTCACGGGTCCCGCATCTTTCACCATGTCCTCGGACAAGCATGCGCGAGATCTGACCCTGATACCTAGGCACCTATGCCGCTTGCTCATACATAAGCACGCCATTGCCACCCAAACACCGGACACCAAACGCATCTAGTCGACATCCACACATAGCCCTCTTCCCTCCTTGGACTTTCCACGCGCAATCTCCCGCAGCAGCAACAATGGACGAGCAACCCAAGCCTAACGCCCTCCCGCCACACATGAACGGACATGAGCCCCATGCACAGTCACCATTGAGGAAGTCAACCAAGTCGCGCGACCAGAAAGAGCGCGACAGCCTGCACCATGCCATTCAGTTGTCTGAGCGAGGCCGTCAGGTGGTTAACTTCGACGGCCCGAACAGCTATTTCTCCGCTAGTGCCAAAGTCATGAGCGCTGACCCGAACGGTGGCAGCGCGCATAGCAAGCCCGCGATCAGTAACGATGAAGCAGACGTAGAAGACGCCTATGAGTCGCAGACACCACTGGCCACCAGCCGCGCCCACAGCCCGTACACACAGCATCCCACAATTGACTTCGATGGGCTTAGTTGGCCCAGCAAAGGCACAAGGAGCAGGAAGGAGGCGACCGAGGAAGAGAAGGCAGATAATCTGAAGAAGCTCTCCGGTGCCGTGAGGACTATGCTGGAGTGCCTCGGCGAGGATCCCGACCGTGAGGGCTTGCTGAACACACCTGAGCGCTATGCCAAGGCCATGCTGTTCTTCACCAAAGGCTACGAGGAGAACCTGCGCGACATCGTCAATGGCGCTGTTTTCCACGAGGATCATGACGAGCTGGTCATCGTGAAGGACATTGAGATATTTTCCCTCTGCGAGCACCATCTGGTGCCGTTCACTGGAAAGGTATGTTCACCATGTTCACGCACCTTCCATAATCAGCCATCACCCACTAACAGGCACAGATGCACATTGGCTACATCCCAAACCGCCGCGTAATCGGCCTCTCCAAGCTCGCCCGCATCGCTGAAATGTTTGCCCGCCGCCTGCAAGTCCAGGAACGCCTCACCAAACAGGTCGCCTTGGCACTGTCTGAGATGCTCCAACCCCAAGGTGTCGCCGTCGTCGTCGAGTCCAGCCACTTTTGTATGGTCATGCGCGGCGTACAAAAGACTGGTGCCACTACTACCACTAGCTGCATGCTAGGCGCCATGCGCTCAGCCGCAAAGACAAGGGAGGAGTTCCTGAGCCTGATCAACAGGAAGTAGAGCCAGCGCGCTCTTCACTCAGCAGTCGCTACCTGCTTTTCATCAGAACACACAGTTTATACCACACTTGGCATGGGACGGCGTTGACGGCGCCGAGTTCATCACTCTGTACAGGAGGGTTGTTTCAATACAGGCGAAAACGGCGGTCACTTCCGTTGCATTGCTTAGAATTAGACGCATTTGGCCTCTCAACAGCGCCAGGCCTTCAACAGGCGCTACATACCCATTTACACCAACACACTGCACGTTACTTGCACATTGCCGCAAAACTCACACTGCACCAAAATTTTCCCTCGCGTAGTGGGTATCCTGCTCCATGCACCGCCAGTCACAACCAACCTGTACCATATTAAACGAGTGATTCTCGAGTCCAAAACGAGTCAACGTTCTTTTCGTGCGCCGCAGTCTTACCTTTGCTTTCCCACCACAGCAAAAATATTCCACTTTCCACTAGTGCACAGCTCTCAACCAGCGAAACAGGTCGGCTGTAACAAAATACTCGTGACAGCCAGGGTCTCTACCATCGTACACAGTAAGCGCGTATACACCGGATATCTGCATACTTGTGAAGACCCAGCGCCTGCAGAATCCATCTGCTTCCCGAGCCACATGCAAAGATTCGAATGTGCCATAGACCGGAACGTTTCTTGAACTCCTATGCAAAATCGACTCTGATGCGGCGACCTTCTCGTAAGGAGGAAATACATTGGTAACTTTAGGGCGTGAGGTCGTTGGTGTTCTGAGACGGATGGCGTTAAAATCTGAATCTGCAGAGGCATGCCATGATGTCAGCCCCAATAGAAGCACGGCACCTGCAATCTGTCCAGGTAATTTTTCAAAGATTGGACAGCCAAGGTCAGTGTCCATTGATCTGTCGCCAGCCTTCGTTGTCGCCTACAAACAGCCGGCTATCATGCAGAATACTCACATGCTCCAAATTGGTACCAGCAGCGTTCCCTTGATCGCGCCCAGACCAATGTCCTCCCTTAAACCCCTCATCCCATGAGGTGCCAAGATACTTCAAAGGTATTTGTCACCTATGCACTTCCATCTTTACGCCTTCCAGACTTTGGTTGTTGGAAAGCTGTATGACTTCATCAGCCTCCTCACGGGTACTGAAATCTATCATCGTAGTCACTCTTTGCGAAGTTTTGACGATTTCTCTAAAACGAGGTCATATCCGTCAGGTGACATGGTAAGTGGAGGTCTCCGCAACGTGTATGAGATGGGTTGCACTTCCGAAAGCGCTCTTGAAGGTAATTGCTGCACCCTTAGATGAGTAAAACACATTGTACGCTGTCCTGCAAAAATATGCAGTCTGAATAGTTTCCTGAAGGATAGGCTCGATGCTAAGGCCGCCATTAATAGATTCGATGTGATAGTTGCAGGAGAGGAATGGATGGTGGTCATCTATAGGCCACAACAAAACGCGCTAGCAAGAGCGCGCTAGGTAATCGACTGACAGCTGACGCTGCCGCGGTCTCTGTTTACACGACAAACAACAAAACTTGTATTCTTTCCGCCCGCAATCGACGCTGGCGCTGCGCATGCCTGTAGCGATGGCGCGAACGCACTCGTCCCACACGGGCAGTCGGATGCGCATGCGCTCCCCGCAAGGCAGCGCGGCACCGCGCAGCGGCTCAGAAGATGGCTCGCAGTATGAGATGGACCTGGACGCGCTGGGGCTGAACTCAACGTTCGAGTCGACGGCGCTGGAGGGTTTGGGCGAGGCGCCCGTGGACCGCGTGGACACGAGCGAGGTGGAGGGCCCCGACGACTTCACCATGAACATGACGTACTGGATGACGGCCGACGTGCTGCCCGCCCAAGCCAAGTCGCGCGTGGCACTAAATGAGACGCAGAGCCGGAACAGCCGGTCGGCCACGGGTGAAGAGGGCGGAGAGGGCGACCAGAACGACCAAGACGACCAAGACGACCAAGACGACCAAGACGACCAAGACGACCAGGACGACCAGGACGACCAGGACGACCAGGCCGCGGCCGGGGCGTCTACGGCGGCATCGCCCACGGTTCGCGTGCACGGTACGACGGCCAGCCGCGAATACAGCACGCCCGCCTCGGAGCGCTCCATGGCAAACGAGGAGAAGGTGCGCAGCTTCCTCAGCGCCCTGCCCGACACGGAGCTCGACCACGCACTCACAGGCAGCCCCCTGCGCGTTTCTCGCCCGCGCAAGCTCCAGCTTCCGCGCGCCTCGCCGCCCAAGCCACGCGCGCTGCAGCCCACCGTCGAGGATGGCGATACCCCGCGCAACCTCGCCCAGCAGACGGCTGTCCCCCAGCACGAGCTCGCCTCCCGCACGCGCATCGCCGAGCTCGAGACGCTTCTGTCATACACGCGGGCCGAGCTGGACACCACGCGGAACGACAACTACAAGCACAAGGACGCCATCGCACGCCTGGAAGCTTCTCTTGAGGAGCAGCGTGCCAAGCAAGACGCGGATGGCAGCTCAGCGGACGCGCAGCTGAAGGCGCTGGCAGACGGACACAAGACACAGCTGCAGCAGCTTGAGGAGAGACTGCACCAAGAGCACCGCCGCGCGCTCCAGGCCCAGCGTGAGGAGCTGGAGCGCCGTCTGGGAGCGCTGGAGATGTCTAATCGTGAAGCCAGCGAGCAAGTGAGCGCCAAGACTGAAGAGCTGGAGCGCGCTCAGGAACAGCTGGCACGCAAGAACTCACAAGAAGAAGAGCAACGCGAAAGAAACGATACAGAAAGAGAACAAGCATTCACTGCAGAAAGGACTGAGCTGTTCAACAGGCTCGCCTCCGTCCAGACTCGCGCAGATTCGCTCCAAGTCGACCTAGTCCGAGCGACAGCGGAAGCTAGGGCGGCTCGTGAAGATTCGCAAGCACGAGAGTCAAGGGATGCTGCCTCGCAAATGGCTCTACATGGTCAACTTTCGCGCATATCCAGCCTAGAGACCCAGCTTCAGGACGCTAGATTCTCGCTCGAATGTGCTCAAGCCGACGTCGCTGCAAAAGAACAGCTCTTTCAAACAAACATCGCCCTTAACGACAATTTGCGCGTTCTGCGCAGCGAGCTTGAGGCACAGCGGATCGCCCTTGCAGATCTGAGACCAGGACAGGATAGACGTTCGCCATCAGACGAGCAGCTGGAGTCAGAACTCGCTGCCAAAAATCAGGTTATTGAACAGCATGTCGCAGAGAGACACAGCCTGGAGCGCCAACTGAACACAGCGCAAGGCCGCATCGCTGGTCTAGAGACCAGCCTCACCACTCTGCGCGCGCAACTCGCCAATGCGCACCGCGAAACCGGTATTGCACGCGCAGATACAGATCGCCTTACTCACGATCTCAAAGACAAAAACGACCGACTTGTCGACGCCCAAGCCGAGGCAGATCGGCGCCTGGCAGACGTAGAGAAGAAGCTCGCCAAAACGAAGGACCTGAAAGCAGAAGCTGAGAGCAACTTTAGGGAGCTGAAGTCCCAACACGACGACCTGACAGAAGGGCATGCAGCGATTTTAGAGGACGTGCGCGACAAAGCCGAAGACGCAGTACGCAAGACCGGCGCTCTGCTCGCTCAAGAAAGGAAAGAGAAATCCAGACTCAAAAAAAACGTCGAGCATCTGCAGCGCGAGATTGACAATCTGCGCACCGAGCATGAGAAAGAACACGCCGTCCCCTTGGGCTCAGACTCAGACACCACCACGCCTGTTCCTGCCGCAAAGCCCGTCGACGACACAAAAGACAAAGAAATCAACTCCCTCAGATCCATCATCAAGAACCAGCTCACAGAGATCAAGACTCTCAAGTCCTCCCACTCCTCCACCCTCTCCACTCTCGCCACCTCCCACGAGACCTCCCTCGGCACTCTGCGCACCGAGATCTCCACTCTCCGCCACCAGCTACAAACGCAGGCGCACGACCACGCCGCCGTCAACGCGGCAATGGACGAGCAGCTCTCCACCTTGCTCTCGAAGCTGATGAAAGAGCGCGCGCGGACCGTGGTCGGCAAGCGCGACGGCCAGTGGGAGGAGGTGCAGAGGAGTAGTGCGGGCGAGAAGGAACTGCTAGGTAAGGTGCTGATGCGGCAGTGGGGGAGAGAGGAGTGTGGGGTGTCGCAAGAGGGGGGGAGACAGGTTTTCGAGTACAAGTACGTTGCGCGGGAGAAGTGATTGGGACGGTGCGATGGAAGAGGGTGTTGATGCGGGAGTGCGGGAGTAGGGGTGGTTACGATGCACGACTGATGACTGGACGATAGTATATGGTATTTCTGCGGCTTTCTCGTTACGCTGAAATACATCTGTGCGGTGAGGTGAGTGCTGGCGCTGCCGTGCGCCTGAGACACTTCACAGGCCTGTCTGTTTCTCATTCTGATCGGCTCCGCTTCCACGATACTATAGACTGACCATGTCAGAGCATCTCTTACTGGTTTGTTGCTGGACTCGCCCGTACAATCAATCCATCTACAACACGTCTCTAGCGCCATACATTATATGGATGCGATTAAGACACGCAGCCCCGGCCAAGTCGTCAACATGCCCTCCGTTTCGGTGTTTGGGCACAGACTAAGCCATCTCGGTGCGGTTCCTAGCGTAGCAGAGCGCTGATTCTTATGCTTGCAGGTATTCAGCGAGGGTGAGATGATGTTCGATGGTGGTGCGTCTGCAATCGTGATCGAAGCAACGTCCAGCCAACATGTGCGCTGACACTGGAAGATGCTGGCAGGCAAAATCGAAAGCTCTTTGGAGATCGATGGGCACTGTCGTGAATGAATTTCAAACTTGACCTCATCGGACAGTTGTGCAGCTCGCGTCATGCAGCTCGTATCATGCAGCTCGCTGATTGGTGCAGAAAGCTATCACTCACTGAACCGCCGCGATCGACAGTGATGGTATACTTGCCTGATTGGGCAGTCGTCGGGCCTTCACTCTTGTTGCCTGCCGTGATCAATAGATGAGCAAACTTACCTGATGGGGGAATTTGCTTCGTATTGGCCGTCATTGGACAGTGAGGCATGGTGTAGAGATCGATTCCGCCTTGTTTCCCGTGATAGAATGCATTGTCGAACAGGACTGCGTCGCGTTATCGCTGGAGGTAGTGCAACGAAGCCACCGTGCATGGATGGAGGTTGGTGCGCGTCATTTGTGGTCGTGTGAGAGGTCTTGGGGACACAAACGTGGTGTCCTAAGTGCCTGAGATGGAGGTCAGCTTCGCAGTCGAGATCCGCGGTCGCACTGCGAATGGTCGACGCAGATTGGTATGGTAGCAAGCTTTCACGTCAGCACACTATGCTGCAGGCAATCCGTCGATGAGCACCATGCTCGTATTCTTCGGCTTCGCGATTCGAAGCAGTTCTATGCAACGACACTTGGCATGCGCGTGCTGGGATGCTAATGTGCTGGGATGCGTGGGGAGGCTGTGGTCCAGGTAGGGTGAGTTTGGGGGTCAAGCTGCATCTCCCACTCTGAGGCGTCTGCTCTGATCGCATCGCGCTGCGTGCCTGTGGGAAGCTCTCCCGTCTGCTGCACGTCATCTCGTGCTTGGCCAGTGAGATGGCACGATTCATGGTGACAGGCGCACAGACGACAAGATGATAGACGAGGTTGCGGGGTAGCATGTAGGCCGACGTTGCACGGCCTATATGGTTGCAACTTCTGGTACTTGCCGTGTACTATGGTTGTTACTCTGGATCGATCTGTGAGCAAGTGGACTCCAGCTCAAGAGTGTCGAAGCTCCCAGAGTCCGGACGTCGTCGAGAGAAGAGTGATCGGCGCGCAAGGGTCCACGACGGCGGCGGCTATTGTCGCTGTAACAGCTCGGCTTCCCGCATGTGGAGAACGTGCGTCGCTTCGAGCATACGACACCAAGAAACAGCACCATGCTGCATGCCAGTGCTCACCAGTAGGCGCCTGTGATGATGCTGAGGGGTCGGATATGCTGTAGGCTGAAGGGGTGGAGCCTCCCACCAATGGGGGCAAGAACACTATTGCTTAGAGGATGCCTGGAAGATATCTTCGCTGGCATGACGTTTCTTTGCCAGGTATATTTCAGGTACGCGATATCTTGAAGGCCGCTGAGGTCACTGCCCAGGCAGGAGCACTGCACGGCATTTCAGCCCTTTCCCTTTCAGGAAACGCTGCATAACCTGCGTGCAACAAAGGGCGATGCGTTGTGGCTTGCCTTGACGTCGTCAACCTCACTGTCATTTTCTTCACTGTGCGCAGACCATCTTGTTGGCCGGCGGTCTTATCTCTGAGTTTTCGATGCTTCGAAAGGGAAAATTTCGGACCTTCAGTTCGAGTCACCAACTTCAGAAGAGCACCAATTATGTGTTTCACACTAACAACTTGGATCATTTATTAAACTCCGGCATACCCAGGAATCCGATCTCGCCTGACCCTCTGACGGCTGCCTCCAGCCTTGCCCGTTTTTTTGTGCTCGGCAATTCCACTTCATCGGCCTTCGCGGTGCTTTCATCAGCGCCAGCAACCGCAGTACGCGCAGGCACGGGACCAGCCTTCAACCGCCTCTAACCTGTTCACAAAAGAAGTCCGCCCCCACGCCCCGCTTCTGCGCATTGCGCTTTGACACGCACTGCAAGGTAGAGTATTGGGCTGTACATAAGTTCTCGGAGACAGCCGGCCAATCACAAAAGAGGGGGTCGCCTTCCTACGCCGCAACTCTACTTCAAAGCCTGGACCTCGAACCATTTCCCTTTGCACGGACAGAAACGACCTGAGAGGTAAACAGCGGTTCCAGCGGTTTGAATCCTTGCCAAACCATCCCATATATTCACCCACGCTGTACGCTGTCGAAAGTGTCCATCCCTCGGACCCCCGGTGTCAAAGCTCGAACATCCCGTCCACCACCATCGTCATCATTCGACGACTGTACGCTCTACGGCGCTGACTACGTCCACGACTTTTTTTTGGAATGAATTTCGGTTTCAAAAACGATACTTCTCGCTGGCCTGCCGGACAAGAACACATCAATCGATAACAGCCCGCGTGTTCGACCACGTACTTTGCTTTCGCACATCATACTGCTCTTCGTCGACCACATCGGACACCAGACGTCGATTTATAGGTCTTGGTTCTCTCATACCTCGGCGTTGGCTTCAGCCCTGTCAAGCCAGTACCCGAAAGGTATCCACTTCGTCACCCGCAGCCACGCTACCGGTCGTCTTCCGTGGGCTAGTCTTATCTGCGTACTTGCACGTCATGGAATCGTCTCAGACATTGATGAGCGCGGACATTAAGTTCCTGGTGCGTATCTTATCGTTCATCGCTGGTGTTCACCTTGCGTCAAAACTACCTGCCTGGTATGGCTGTGCCGCTGCGGGTCGCATGCACGGATACCAAGACTTCTCTTCTATATCCACCATATGCTTCGTCCCGCTCACCTAAAACCTCTTGCTAACATGTTGTCATTCCAGAATACACAACTTGCTCTCATTCACATCCCACTACGTCTGTACAACAACTTCCTTCAGGCCATCCTGCAGTTATTGTTGCCGACTGCAACATGTGAACGCAGCATCGATGACAATTATGGTGCTGTGCAGCCACCTGATGGTTGGGACGAAGAGCAATTGTTCATCAACATCTCGGTAACACCAGTCGAGTGTTCGATCGTTTGCGCTCGAAAGCTTGTGAACGACCTATTCGTTCCCGTCCTCGAGTCCCTGGACACTTCTTCTAAGAGCGAAGTTCACATCACCACAGAAGACTTCGTGGTGATGCAAATCGACGGCGAGGGGCTTGATGCAGATCGTCGTGTCCTGGAGCTGACCGGACCCCTGGCTCTAGCCGGCATGTAAGTCAAAATCTTTGCAAGACCCACCACCGCAAGTCTAACAAATGCCAGATCAATTTTTTTCATCACGAGCTATTATTCGGATTACATCCTGGTCCCCTTACGGTATCGTAACAGAGTCACACAGGCCCTTGAAGAAAAGGGCCTGACATTCGTCGATGATACCTCATCCTACATCAACCCCAACCATCACAGCCGCAAGTCGTCAGTGCCAACCTTTGAGGTGCAACCTCCAGGCACTCCGCCACCAGCATCCGTATCAGAATTGCAGACACGAACGTTCGCCACGCTCAAGCGTCGCAAGATCGTGCCCACGGTCGACTCCAACGTTCGCTTGGTCCAATGCGGCACGCGCCGGGACAGTCAAAGCAACGGCTCCTCCACCCCTGCACAAGACGCGTTACAACTCGGATTTGTCAAATGCCTCATCTCTGCTCCCTGTCCCAAGTTTTTATCACTCACGCTAGCGGATAGCGAACCACCGTCGCTCCTCATCGATCACACACTTCTCTCGAACTTTCCGCCAGAGGTCCTGATGGTCTCCAAGGACGAGCATCTGGTGCCTATCACGCTTGATCTGCGTGGGCTTCCTGCAGAAAGCACGGGTATCGTGTGTGGCGTTGCAGGGCGCTTACTAGGAGAGACGTCTGAGGGATTTCAAAAGCCTGTGGAGATGAGCTACTTGAGTACAGCACTAGCGGGCACAGTGATGGTCGAAGAAAAAGAGCTGGATCGTGCAATGGGTGCTCTACGTGGAGTGGAGAACGGGGTGTCGTCAAAGTTAGACTGAGGTATGTTTTCAGGGCGTTTTCACAATGCAGCGAGAGCGTTGAGTTTTGCATATTGCGTTGCCAAGTATAAAAAATGTCATTCTTAGTCCCTACGTTGTATAACAGGATCGATAAACTTTTCGAAGTCCTCTGTCATTGAGTGACGGTGTCGTTCACGCTCTGCGGTCTCGGTACTTGCAAAATGGCACAGCCTACCCTTTACATTTGTGACTATGCTCGGACTTTGACATGCCATCCAGTGATGGCCGCCCTTCCAATAACTAAGACACAGCTTCCTATCAGTACCGTCACGCCTCCAAACATCTGCGCAGCGAGGTAGCTGCCACCGTGGCTCTGGATCAAGGCACCCGCAATCGGCGGGCCAACCAGCGTACCAACACCCATGATAGCGAAACCCATGCCGTTCCTCGTGCCCACTCGACTCATGTCTTTCGTCAAGGTCGTCAGCACTGCCGGGAAGATGCCTTGAAAGCCTGCTACGAAGAAGCCGTAGCATACCGCCCACCCGTACAGGCCACCCTCGCTGTGCACTAAAGGCCAGAAAAATAGAACAATAGACGAAACAAAGCAGAACGGGATCAGGACGTTGTACGGACCTGTCCACTTATCGGCAAAGTAAGACGGAATCATACGCCCCAATATCCCGACGCCGTTGAGCACAAGCAAAACATTGACACTCGTTGCGTACGGAACGCTCAGGACATCCACCGCAAAAGAAGAGATGTAGTAAAACGCGAAATACTGCCCCAACCCAATCAAGAAAATTCCAAGCAGAAACAGACTATACGGCGGCTCCCTAAACGCACTGAACTCAAACAGCGGACCCGACTTGCGCGGCGGGAGCCGCGGCTTGAGCAACGAGCAATACACACTACCCACGCATAGCATTATGAACCCCATGACCCTGACGGTCCACGGAAACCCAATCCGTGGCATCAACTGCCTCGCAATCGTCGGATACACGAGTCCGCCACTCGCACTCCCACTGGCCATGATGGCCACCGCCACGGACCGATTCCTGCTAAAGTACGTCGTGACGAGCGAAATGGTCGGCGCAAACTGCAGGCCACAACCCAGCCCCGTGACGAGTCCCTGCGCGAGGAAAAACTGCCAGTACCGCGTGCACAGACTGGTCATCATGGTGCCTAGCGCCACAAGCAGCATCCCGGGGACAACGACCCAGTAGAAATAACCCGCGTCGAACAGGCGGCCGCTGAACATGCCCAGCGCAAAGTGACCTAGCATCTGCATCGAGCCGATCCACGACACGGCCGACGGCTCCAGACCCAGGTCCGTCGTGTAGTGCGCCTGGAAGACGCCAAAGGTGGCGATCATGCCCCAGGTGTTGAACACGACGAGGTGGCCCATGAAGGATTGCGTCCAGGCTTTTACGCCGCCGTCGGGTGGCGGGCCGGGGTCGATCATTGAGGCGTTACTGCGTGCTGTGATGGTTTTGGCGAGGTTTGTGAGAGCATTTTTGGTTTTGGCCGTGCGGGATGTATGTGATTCCTGGGTGTTGTGCGTTTCTATTCTTGAGATATCTTCTCTCGTGTCGTGGTCTGAGGACGACATGTGGCTGGAAGCGTAGAGGTTGTTGTTGGTGTTGCGGATTTCGTGGGTTGCGGCGTCATCGGGTGTGCCCTTCTCCATGTCGTGGACTGCCATCTTGGTGGGTTTGGCAATGCCCTAAGTCCCCTAGCTCTTTCTCATTAACTGTGATATTGTCGTGTAGGAGACTCAGTGTACAAGCCGCATCAGAAAAGTCGTAGGAGCGTTGGCGAACGCCGGCGTTTATCCCGAGAAACAATGAGTCCTCCATGTCGTGCAGCAACAAGCGCGCCGGCCGCGGACGCTAGCTGGGAGTGATTTGGCAGGAAGCGTTGAATTTAAGCCTATTGTGCATTTGCAGTGATTTCCTCGGATGGGTCGCGGGTTTTGTGGAGACTGGCCTGCATAGATGGGGGAAGGTTCAGGGCTTCTCCACATGTCGGACTTCTCGCCGGAGTTGCTGTCCTGACTTCGGTGCAAAGCAGAGACGATGCCCGTCGTCCGCCATCTAAAGTTCAACAGCTTGCTGATATCAAAATTACCTCGTGCAACACCTGCGCAGACACTGACATGTTGTGATGCGCGCACCGGCCGCGGAGGGCGTGTGTTGCTTAGAATTGCGAAGCTGCTGTCATCGTCGTCGATCTTTGCTAGGTGCAGCACGTTACGTGATGCCGTGCGCTGCTTGATCACACGAACGAGAGGATTGGTAAGACGAACCTGAGTTCGGGGTTTGAAGCTAATGGTCGTGCACAGGAGAATCTTGTCTCACCAAAGCCAATGACACCTCGAAGCCCTGCATAGCTCGTGTGCTTATGCTGACTGCCGAGTCCTTATTCTCTGCTTCACAGCTAAGAACGACCATGTCGACTACAACATGGTCGCCAGCATCAGACAGCCACGAATTGGAAGACGTCGGCGTGACCAATAGTTCGGAGACTACCAGACTGCCAGTAATCGGAGAGCCTGTAGCTTTGGTCTCCAACACGTGCGTTATGCAAGTCGGCTAACGTTTATCTGCAGCCTCGCAACAGTCGTTCGACATGTTACGTGCAATCGACCGCATGAAAAACTTGGTTCTAATCATGGTGAAAGCAACGCGTCATTTCTGGAAGTGGTAGGACGTCAGAGGAGCAACTGTGGTTGCCAGAACAGCACTCTTAGCTGGTATAGTGTGTTGGTATAGTGTGTTGGTATAGTGTGCTGGTATAGTGTTTGCTAGAGTACCTCGAGCAGCTGAAGTCCAGCCTCGAGGGCAAAGATAGGTATTGAAACGCACACCCAGTAAGTCAACCGGCGCCTACCAAGTGTGAAAGTTGTAAACAGTGCTGTCTATATAGTGGCAAATATCGAATGCAGTGTCGTACGTGTCTATCATGCGGTTCCAGTATGGCCATGTGTGATTTGTTTGATTTCCACCAAGTCCCTTTTGCACCCAATGCTTTCCTTCCTTCCTGTTGGTACACGCCTTAAAGCAGCCCCTTCCTGGCCAGCTCGACCTTCTTCGCGAACTCGCCCTCCTTCCAGCCACCCTTGCTGCCGCAAATCGCAATGCCATCTGCAAGCTCGACCTTGTCTTCGGTGGCCTCCCAGGCGCAGGGGCAGTGGTGGGGGAAGTGCACGCAGGAGAGAGTGCCGGGGCAGAGGTAGTGTGAGCATTGCGCTGTGATGCGTTAGCCTCGAAGTATGCACACAATCTTTGTGACTTGAAATTACATACCGTTCTCGTACTGTGCCTGGTACCAGCTGCTGTCACTCCGCACGTTCGCCTGCTGCTGCTGCTGTTGCTGCTGGCCGTTGCCGCCGAACATTTGGTCGAAGAAGCCAAACTGCGCAGTTGCAGTGAGGGTCCACAAACCCAGCAAGAGAAGGAGTTTGAGCATGTTTGGCGTTCGAGATTGTATACGCGGTGATTGTAAGGGTCTGGAGAACAAGGGAAAGTGACGACGTGGTGGTGTTGCTGATGTGGAGCTTCAGGCAGTCCCTCGCTGATTGGCCAGCCCTTCGATGTGGAGCTCCCGGTCCGCAACTAGCGCCCTTCAAAAATTCCATCCCATCTCGAAATTCGCAAAGCTTCAAAGCTCGAAGTCCTAAGCTGCCCAACCGCCGCACACCCCAACGCCCGCCATCCGACGACCCCAAAGTCAAACACCGCTGTCATGCATCTTATGTACATCGCCGACCCTGCGGACGCGTCCAAGCGCATCTACACGCTCCAGAAGGTCATCGACGGAAAGGTCTCCAAGAGCGCACACCCGGCTCGCTTCTCGCCCGACGACAAGTACAGCAGGCACCGCGTGACCATCAAGAAGCGCTATGGGCTGCTTTTGACACAGCAGAGTAAGTTACCATCATCCATGCAGCCGGTGAGACGACCGGTCGAACGAGCTGCACACGATCAGCCAGACCGCAGATCAGAAGATGCGCCACGCAGAACAGCGCGCTAACGCTCCCGCAGAGAACAAGGTCGCCGAGCGCTCCTAGGAAAGAACCGCGTCACACCGACTTCGCGGGCTTGCAGATATTCGTCACCGAGACGATTCCGAAGGCATACAGTTCTGCGCACCAATGAGCAGCGAGCTCTCGATCCGCAATTTACAGCTGTTGGAATGACTACGGCTACCATGTAGACAAAAGGCACGGCATGGCGTTTTATGGCGTACGGGGCAGACTTGCAGTCAAATATCCATGACTGGCATGAGTCTAGATTTTTGAGGATGCATCAATACCAGATTTCACACTTCAATCTTCGTACAGATGTGCACCCGCGCTCCTTCCTCCATTTAATGTGGGCGCCTGCTAATTCTGCAGGTTGTCATGTAAACTCGCAGCCCAGTCTTCTCGGTTTGCCTCGCGCTTGTTCGATCACCTTCGAGAACACAAAAGCATCGATCCTTCAGCTAGGCTAAGGCCTTGACTCCGCGTCCATCTGAGTCTTGGCCTAGACCTCCATCTTGCCCTCCACCTTCTCACTCATCTTTCCCTCCATCTTCCCCTCCATCTTCCCCTCTATCTTCCCCTCCATCTCCTCGTCCCCCAAATGACTCTTCTCATCCCCCGCCATAGTCTGATACCCCACCTCCCGCTCAACCAATCCTATAGCACGCGACAGCATATCCGTCCACATCACCACATCCACAACTAACAACTGCACAAAACTAACCACGCTGTCCGGCGTAACAAGCCCGTCATACAGCACACACGCCGCACTCCACAGCGCAATACTGCACAGCAGGGCCTCGATGCCGAAACCGCGAATCACATGCCTGCCAAGCTTGACATCGAACTCCTGCACCACGATGCGCGAGCATGTTACGCTTATGAAGGCCAGTTCGTTGAATTTCGCGGCCGTCCTGAGCTTGGCGTTCGGTTTGCGCGGCGCGGACCAGCGGTCGACCGTTTGCAGGGTGAAGTGGGTGACCTGAAGCGTGAGGATGAGGGATAGCGCGATGTAGCGCGCGAGGGTCCGGGTTGGGGAGTGCGGCATTGCGATGATGGTTCTGATTGCTGATCTTCTTGGAATTTTTTGTTGTTTTCAAGCGCAGTTGTGGGTTGTGGAGGGATGGACTGATGGGCAGAGTATGACGGGGCTGTGCGGGGATGTAAGCATGCAGGGTTGCACAAGGGTGAATCTGGCTTGGATGTTTGATGTGCATTGCCAATCGTGCTTCACCGGCGTTAGCTTCGAGGCAATTCGTAATCACTTTGCATGATTGTGAATGCGTGAAGACTACATTTGATATTGAGAGCTTCCGGATAATACCAAGATGAGGACGGAATAGACCAGCACGATTTGAGACGCTCGAGAAGGGGCACTGCAGAATGAAACTTCTCGCGGAAGGTTGCACTTCTTTTTGGCACACGCAAGCAGTACACCGGTATGATTACCAACACAGGGGATTTGCACGAAAGATAACCACAGCAATGAAGAGCCGAAATCATTATTATCTGTGACCGTTCTTGCATTTCGCAGACGTCTGATCAGCCATGTTGAACGCCCCTGCCTTCTGCAATTGCACTCTGCTTTGAGAGGAAGGCGCTGTGGGGGCTTCAACCTTTCTGCCCTCGCCCTCTACTGTTTGCCGCTACCAGATCTGACATGCTCCCATGGAAGCCATCACACAATTCTTGGCGCTGGATATAGCCATGTTGTCTCTCCCACTGCCGATCAGACACCTTCACTCTACCACATAACCATTCATTGTACCATTCACACATGTATTTATAAGTCGCTACCGTACGCACGATACACGACTGGAGTATTTTCAATACGCCAGCCAATATCAGCAGCAACAATCCCATACATCCAGTCGCTATGCCACCCGTATCAATGCCGTCTAGCCCTATACCGCCACACGAATCTAACTGGTATAATCCCAAAGCGGGTAGTGGCAGGTCCCTGCCCAACGCCGGCATTGCGTCATGCTTGGGACCTGCTCTCATATCGAATCTATCAACTCCCAGAGCCCAGTCAAGCTCCACACTCCGCGACGGCACCCCATACAACAGCATACCATTGGGAATAGCCGACACAGACTCTACTCGCGTACCGTCTGTCCATTCTGGGCAGCACCTCTTCCAATACCGATGGATATGCAAACCCACAAGATACCATCGTCTCTGTTTATTCGTCGCCCGCATCCTCAGAACCATCTTCAAGCGAAATCCAGCTCTCGTGAACATTCCACCGCAGCCTTCAGCCCCGAGCCTCGACGATTATACCGAATGTACCGATTCTACCGAACACCTCCCAACATGGGTGCTCCCCAGTGAAGCAACGCTGTACGCCATCTTCAACTCATCTCTCGCCGCCGACCTCATCTTATCGCCTGAGCGCTTCCGATACCCAGAGTGTTTCTGCTCCTACATCCTGTACCATGTAGAGAGCATGCTGAGGATCGACGTTACGCGAGACAAGCCCAGCGACAATTTTGAGTTGCAGCAAGCGATGGAGCGCATATTCAGTGACAGCTTTGCGGAGCAAGTCACGAAGGAGATATTTGCACCACTGAAGAGGGCCAGACATGTCATGGATAACGCGCCGGTTGAGTTGCTTGCAGTTGTCTCTGAAATCAACGCGAACTTCGTTCGGAACTTCAATGGCCATTTAGCAGAGACGACTTAGGAGGAACATCTGCGCCCGTATATATCGAGGGTTGCGTGCCTGCCAATCGTGAGGAACACAGACGAAGAGGTCGTAGGGACTGCGTTGCAGGACCTCGATGGATTGAGGGAAGAGCAAGAAGGAAGGAAGAAGATCGCATTTGTGGACCGCGTCGCGAGACTCAGCCGGTGGATAAATCCGTTGGGACGCAGAGCGATCAGAGACCCAGAACATGGCATTAGTAGTCGAGTACTCCCACGAGCTCGTAAGTAGGCCCAAGTACTTGAGCTGGGACTTGTGTTGACTCAGTCCAGCGACCCTTCTCCAAAGAGCTTCTACTCCGGACCACGACGTCAACCAGCGATGTTTGCGTCGCCGGATGCAGCACCGCTTCATCGACTGTTTCAATCACTCGCGCGGGAGAAGGCGTGTGCAAGACTGTGAAGCCCCGGTCTATGAATTCGATGAACGCATTAGTTGATCAGAGCCATGGAGCAATGGGCATGCGTTCGCGCATTATTATGAGCTGATGGGTGTCCCGTAGATAAAGCAATGGTAAGCTCAAGAAGACGTTCGCAACGTTGCACTACTCCGGGAGTTCAACATTCTTGCACACCATGAGTTGATTGCGTACATACACTTCTACTCCGATAGTGATGTCTCACACAAGACGCCTTGTCAACCTTTCATCAACGAAAAGTTTCATTCAGTAACCTGATCCCCGACGTGCAATTTTTTCCCGATTGAAATTTGGAGGTTTGTTTTGTTCTTGCCGTCACTTCAGGACCTGTATTCTGTGGCAGAGATCGCACTGGCGACGCAGTCGTATGTTATCGTATCACGGTGTCGTTTCGGTCAGTCTGATGGTGTTTGATGGGATGACAGATTGTTGGCGAGTACCACGTGCTGGACTGTTCGAATCTGAGAGTGAAGCTGGCGGTAGACGTCGGGGGGAAGTAGCCAATGCGTGCACGCTAGTACAAGCGATACATCAGTGAGCCGACCCGTTCGAGCATCGACGCAGTGGAGCATAGAGAGGATCAGATGCATGCTCAGCGCAGTTATTCTACACATGTGGCTTCTCCTCTCGAAATCGTGACATGGGGTTGACGCGTTTAAGACGATGTTGATAGTGTGGCTGTTTCTATGTACGTATATACTTCTCTAGAATCTGCTGCGCCTATATCGTCGCATGTGGTGTGGACATTCTGCGTTCTTGATGCTGTGCAAAATGCAAGTGCTTTTTTGGTTGCTTAATGGTACATGGTACATGGTACATTCACCGCAACATGTAGCTGAGATCCGGCAGTCCGCTCAGGATGTCATTAATTACTTGGTCCTCCTCCGCCTTTCGTCGCTGCAGAGAGCCGGTGGCATTGGTCAAAGGCTGTAAAGGCGGTGGCGTAGTGTCGCGAGGAGGTGATCGGGACACTGACTGCGATGAAGGACGTTGCGATGTCGGCGCTGGAGCATCGAAGAAAGAGAATGGATCAGACGGGCCCTGAGGATACGAGGGCTGCTGTGGTGCTGTAGTAGGCAGTGCAGACTCGAAGAAGGAGAAGTCGGCATCCGCCCATGAGTCTGTGGATGCTTGAACAGGTGCAGTGGGCTGTGCGATTGGCGTAAGATTCGCAGCCTTCGAAGGTGCAACTGTGACGTCCTCGAACCCAGGCGGTGAAGGCATGGAGCCCGAAGCATCTAAGAAGGACAGAATCTCGTTCTCGTCCGCGCTTGCGGTTTGGACGGCCGCAGGATCGCTTTTCGCATTTGATGCTGTAGATATGTTGATCTCAGTCTTTTTCTCTGGTGTCGAACGTGAAGCCCGATTAGCTGGTTTCAAGAGACCAGGGCCGATGGGACCCTGCTCAGCATGCAGCGGAATAAAGGTATTAGCCTTGAACAGAGCTGATGTTGGCGAGATAGTGCTCTGTAATCGTACGATCGGAGAGGCAAACATTGCTTCGATCGACTCCGATTGAACCGGCGTGACTACGGGCGGGCTCGGTTTGCGCAACGCTGGTGATGGAAGAGTATCGCTGGCTGGTGAGGGCTGTGAAAATGGATCGAGTTGCTGTGGGGTTGGCAACGTAGGCGTCTGTACCATCTCACCCCAGTCATCATCGTCGTCAACATGGGTGTCAGCGACGTCAATCGTGGAAGTCGATGGGTTATCACTAGTGTCTAAGTTCGCCCAAGTCTCCGATACTTCATCAGATAGCTGTGTCGTAGGATGTGGGATCAGGTTTGCTACAGCCTTTGTTTCAGGCGACGGATGCGACACCGTTGCTGTTTGTTTGGGCGTCGTCTGGTCCGACCTGCGTGGCGCCAGATCTACAGATACCGCGCGACCTTCCTGCCGCTGCAGCTTAGCCACAGTAGGGTTCTTTAGGGCCAAGGGGCTGGAAGTCGACCGTTGCACCGGGCTCTCAATCTTCCATGGATCTACAGATACTGGCGAGCTCCAGTTAAACGCAGCAGATTGACTCGTCGCCAAAGGCGGTAGGCTTTGTCTTGCAGGAAGAGCTGTTTTTGTTGCAGGCACAGAGGATCGCGTACGCATATGACCAAAAGGCGGCTTTGCCTCTACAGGTGCTGTCGTGTCCCAGTAAAACGAAGCTCTTGCACCTGGACCCGTGCCCGAGATGCGATCTTCGCGTGCCCACCGGCTGACCACCTTGTTGACCTCGGTTCGCACATTCGAATTCCCCCACGTAACGCGGACATAATTATCGTCGTTCTCGCCGTGGTTGTACTCACGCATCGTTTGCTTGCGAGTCAGCCTGTACCAGGCTTTCCGGGCAGAAGTAGCGAAGATCGGATCATCGTGTTCCTCTAGTTGCTTGATTGCTTCTGTGCTCAAAGGGAATAACTGGTCCAGGAGAGCTTTGTTGCAGCTGAGCCCTATTGATGGAGCGTGCGATTGTAGTGTCTCTTGATCCGTTGCGCTAGCGATCGTCGAATCTCGTCTGTCGTCTCCCTCTGTTTCTCCGGATCTGACTGACGACTCCAGGGAGGCGCGCCTAGGGGAATCTGTAATAGATGCTGCTGGCTCTGCTCCGTCAATCGCCTCTATATCGTTCGGAAATGTGTCCTCCTTTACCGACAGGGCATCGAGACCTGTATCGGTAGGAGCATCACTCGACTTTGTACCAACGAGCGATGCCTCTTGAGGCAGATCGTCATTCTGCACTGCTCGCTCATCCTCGACCGATGTGCGTGGCGAATCGACAGCCAGTTCGTTGCGACTCGTTTCAGACGGCGATGTAGAAGACCGCACAGAAGCCTCGGCCTCGGCTTGTGGTGTTGGAGTAGAGTCCCCAGTCTCATGTTCGTCTTCAAACTCATGTTCGTCTTCAATCTCATCTTCATCTGCGATCTGGCTGGCAGCTTCCTCAAGCTGAGCGACTGTCGAAGAATCGCTCGTTTCCGAGTCCACCTTGTCAAGCACCCTTGGCATAGGCGACACGATCTCAGGCCAGTCCTCACTCTGCCCATACGTTACGGCGTCCCAGCCAGCACTGCCCGGCGCTTCATCTGCAGCTCGTGTCTCCGAACTGCCAATATCCGCAGCCCCGTTCCTTGTATCGCTCGCTGCCCAATCGCCGAACCCATCGTCATCGTTGTTCCCCCATCCTGCATCGTCCACGAAGTCGTTTATCGGTACTGGCGCGAAGTTGAACGCTGGCGGCAGCGGTGACGTTACCGCATTCTTTGTCGGCGACTTGTCGTCGGCATTGTCGGCCCACGGGTCGCCCCAATGATCCATGGTCGGGCTACCGTGTCAGGCGGCATAGTGAGCAGCTTCAAAGAAGCGGCATTCCTCGCGTCGAGGTGTGGATGCGTTGGTGTTTTCGTCGAACACCTGGCCCGTCTCCGCGACTTCCGTTCCATTCCCGTGGTCTTGCCAAGGCCGGATGGGTCGATCTCACCCAAACCTTGAATGAACCACAATCTGTCTCACACAATACTTCCTGCTTTCAAACATCACAGGATATCAAGATTGTCTGCCACATATAATACTGACTAATACTCTACGACTTCACGGGCCTTTAATTCTCAAGTTCAGCAACTGAATCATGATGATACCTGGCGAACGAACCACCCAATCCACCCCGTCTTCACATATAAATGCACGCACGACACAAAGGTTCTGACCAGCTTCGATATCTTGATGTAGCGCGTGGAAGATCTCTTAAACACCTTCACTGTGCACAGCTCACTTTCGCAAGTTCACAGCGGCAGACAGCAGCACTGTGCGTGAAAGTGGCACCGTCTTCTACCTTCGGCACCGCGGGAAAACAGCAAGCAAAACGCGGACACTCACTATGAAGCAGCGATATGAAACCAGGATGCAGGTATAATGGCTTCATCACGCATCCTATACTCTCCCTGCCTGCCTAGAAACACATCGACAATAAGGAACCCACAACTAAGCAAATGTACCGACTTGACCAATCTCCCCGGAAATTAAAAAATGCACCGTAGGCCTAGCCTCCAATTCAACATCGAGCAGGCCAATTTACTCCCCTCTCTTCCCCTGACCCCCTCACGCAAGCCAAGGGATCACATCACCTACAAGGACTACATCGCCATCTTGCGTGGCGACCCGAAGAAAGCCGAGTGTCTTGTGCACTGGCAAAGGACGGGTAGAGCCTTGGGCGAGGGCCTTGGTGTCACTAATGAGCATGACAAGCAAAAGCGTGCCGCACCGGCCGAACCAGGATACTACACTAACAAGTCACACCAACAGCCCAGCGGTGCGTTGAGCTGTCATATGATGGGCGTGTCCAAGCCCGAACATAGCAAGATGGTGCACAAGGTGAACGCAAGTGGCGAGTTCGTCAAATCTCCGAAGCAGCCTCTGTCCAAGGGTCCCGAGACCGCGGATTCTGGCGACGATGTGTTCGCCGAGCCCTTGTCGTCGAAGACAACTGCTTAACCATTCCTATACACACGCCCTAGAGCGTCCTGAGCATCATATGGGAACACGGTTTTGGCTCGTGAAGACGTGTGATTATGAAGCATGATCGAGCAATGAATATGTTCACAACGAAACGTATCCCTCAATTCTCCTTACTCGTCTGTCCGAGCCCGCTCGACTACGCTGGATACATTGTAGAGCTCATGACTACGCGAGCAACAACAGTTAGTGCACGTGTAACAGTTGCGCACAACATGTCTCTTCAAAAAGGAACCCTAGCTGTAGATAAGACGTTAAATATAGGATAGCACATACTCCCTAACTACCGCTAACTACGGGTTCCTCATATTCTGTGCTTTGGAAGCTTCATGATCTCACTTACACTGAATTGCCATACCTGGTCACGATACCAGAAGCGCTTGATGAGGTTTTGTTCGCGGCAAGTGTTAGAGCAGCTCTTGACTGATGCGCAACTAAACCCATCTAGCGTCACAATACTTGGTGGTTAGGATGAGTAGTTCCGGTGACGGCGACCGCTGGTATTCGTGTCAACGAGGTTACAAACTACAAGCTGATTAGATGGTCGGATAAACGCAGAAGACCTTGGTTCACCACCTTAGCGAAGAAGCTTCCTGCTAATCAGACAGAATACGAGTGTGTGAAGTAGGTTTGAGTGAGATTGCTTGGCCGACAGTATATATTTGGGAGTGGTGTGGTGAGATTAGAAAGGTATACTGAGCTAAACTTTTCCAGGGCTTAAGGATCTTGTGCCGGAAAATTGCGTACTACCATTGCAGAGAAAGTATGGAGGGTTGCCTTGCTTTCTCCCACTGTCAAGCCGTGGTACTTTTGAATTTCCAGAGTTGTTAGAAAGTTCCCAGCGACATTTTCGTTACTGTAAATGACTGCAGTTGATAAATCAACGCTGTTCGGCTCGACCGACATTGTATCCTTCTGTTGATCCAACATCAATCAATGGCTTCGAACACGCTCTCAATCTATGTCATCTTGACGTCGCCTCTGTCGTCGCCAATCGCCTCATACAGGAGCCTGATAAGCAGTTCCTGCGCACAATCAAACGTACAGCCGTTCCTAACGTCGATGTACAACCTGCGTCAAGTCTCCTCATTATCCTGCTCGAGGTCAGCAGACGGGAACTCGATAGTCGGTGATTCCTCATCCCAAGGCAAGCGGTGTATGCTCTCTTGGGTGTACGCCAGACGCTGGCCCGCGATCACCGCCTCATTACGGATAGAGCCGAAGTCCCGTGACACTGTGATGCACTTTGCAAGCACACCAGACCCATTGTTGTGGAGCTTGACAGGGGCTGTGACGGAAACAATGCCCGCGTAGAGGATTTCGTCGAAGATAGTTTTTGAAGCCGGGATGTTCATGGTCTGGTCTAACTACGAACCGCCTGTGAAGTGTAGAGTCAGTTTGTCTAATTGAAGACGTAGGAGCTTGAGGAACAGTTCTCGTGACTGCCCATGACTGACGAGATGTTACCCGTGCAGATCAGCAGAAGATCTTTCACGTCGAAGGGGGCGAGTCTGTTTCAGCGAGTGCCCTCCATAGGCGCATCTAGTTTCGATTTCCTGCTTATATACTTCACTGGCACTTCTCTAGAAAGATCGTAGTTTGTGGTCGGCCTCCTGATGGGGGGCTCCCCTTGAGCCTGGCGACCGGACATAGCAAAGGCAAGACCACCGACAATTAGAGGCCCCTAATCCCAGTATTCCGTTGGCCCAAAGATCAGGTAGGCTTAAACAATTTTCCGGATGTTGCGGTTGAAGTGATCGAAGAATGGACTATATCGTCGCGGGACGTCTGGCCGCTGTTGGGCATCATTTTGGCGAGGCTTCTTGTCGACGGTCATCTTGGCGCGAGTCGTTGGGAGTGGTTACACGCTTGCGCTTCTTGTCAGACTTGTTGAAGGTGAGGTCATTGACATTATCCAGCTCAAGCACGGATGACCACTCTGATGATACGTTAGAGTCAGACTCGGACCAGTCTGAGTCTGAGTCCGAGAAGCCGGCAGACGTCACGTGGAGATATTGTGCTTTGGAGTGTCGTCATGGTCGGCAGTGAAGTAATTGACGAGAAGGGAGGGGGGAACATTAAGGACGGGTAGAGTCTTAGGTTATAGATGCTGGGAGCCCTTTGTTTACGCTGCGCCTATTGGGGTTCATGAAGCTTGCGGGTACATAACTCACTGCTTGCACCCTGCCCAATGTCTGATCGGCCTCTCAACAGTCTCCAGTCCGAATGCAATCAGAAAGTACTGCGATTTCGCGCGCTGCGATCAAAACAGGTCGGCACTTCAAAGTACTCGAAGTCAAGGTGGGGTATCTCAAATCAAACACATCGCTCACCACTAGTCCCTCTTAATCACATCGATCACCCAGGCCAATGCTTGTTTGCCTTCGCGAAGGCGATATGGAGCCGTCAACACAAAACAGTGCATCTGCTTCTCCCAGTGTAACCACTCTCCTTTTACGCCATTTTCGGAAAGTCGATTGCGGAAGACGATGCCATCAGGACTGAGCACGTCGTAACCAGCTGTAACACCGTGCACCTTAATGCCACTTTTTGCAAGCAAAGAAAAGTCGGCGTTGATGGGGGACACAATGCGGTCTGCAGGGTCTACGTCTTTCCCACACCATGCTTTTGCTGTCGCTTTTATGATCTCAGGTGAAAGAAGCGGGTCAAACTTTCGCAGCTTCTCGATATCCGGGTTGTTGCGCGTCATGTCGGTCGATGGACATATGTTGATCAAAGAAGTGGGTTGTGGGGTCCTCTCCATTTCGGGATTTTCAGCCTCCTGTCGCAAAGCTTCCATGGCGAGACAAAGCACGATGTTGGCTCCGGATGAGTCTCCCATAAATGTGACCGTCTCGCCTGCCTGTTCTGCCATCCTCAACAGCTCGCGATAGAGTCTCAAACACCAAGGGAAAGAGCTCGACGCAGAGTTGTTGGGTGCCAGTGGGACTGAAATCATCGAAATGACGGTGTCAGGTAGCGCTTGTGTGAGCTGTGCGCACACCCACCAATGCTGGCCGGATGGCGCCATCTGCCAACTTCCTCCGGCGATGTAATAGATGCGTTTTGCGGGCGTCTTTGCCCGTTGATGGGGCGGTACTATATCATAGATGCGTATGTCGCACACGGCGCGCTCTGTAGCTGTACATGGCCGCAGGCGTGTCTTTGGCGGCTTAAGCTTGATCGATCCGTCTTCATGTTTTGGTTCGCTTGCGTTGAGCTGTTTCCGAAAGAGGCGCACGACCTTCATGAGAACGCTCATGAGCATTGTTCGGTCATCGCGCTCTGTGACTTTGATAGATGCTCCATCGTGAGCAGTATATTGGTCCGTTTCCGGGTTCGTCTTTAGCAAGTTCTTCTGGTGCTCGTGGACATCTGAGCTGCAGGACATAGCTTCTAGGTAGAGCACCAAAAGGTGGGTGTGAGCAAGTTAGAGCATGCAGGGTAAATTCATCTCAGGTCTAGGGTAGTGCACTGTGTCAGTGCGTCGGTTCAGAGAAGTCGGTAATGACGTCAGAAGCGGCTCCTCGGATCGCCGTGGTGCGCTCTGCGATCTGACTGTCGAAGAGTTCTTAGTGCACGGATAGCGAGATCTTGTAAGGCGGAAGTAGGTAGGTATAGCGAGTGCAGGCTTTGCTATCGTTGTCTTGATAGGTATCAAGAAAGGTCATTTCTCGATGATGTCATTGGACTTGGCAGACTTGCTCGTTGCTCGCGGCCTTGCTCGTTCACGCGACTGCAGGACGACCGGGAGACTGAACATCTACAATGCCTGAATCAGACGGGCGCGGAGTTCTTGGCCGCCACTTTTGTAGGGTGCTGCCAGAGAGCATTGGTTCCGCTCCGCCAGCATCATTCGTCGGCACCTTTTCCGGCTTGAGGCTCTTGTCGCCTTGGTATCGTGCGTCGAGACCTTCCACAAGGCATCGTTCTAGCCGTTTCAGTATGTGGAGCCAACCGTTTTCGTCTTGGCGCACGTATGCCCACAGCGCGTTATCACGCCAGTGAATGAGCCATGGAGGTGTTATAAGAAATACCTGAGCCACATGTAGCATCCACATTGACCTGACCCATATTGCTCCACACTGCCTTCAATGGCTGATCAACAGACTCTGACCGATGCGGAGATCAAGAAATTCATTGAAGATTTGGACCACGATAACAACGGCAAGATCGACTACTGGGAAATTGAGCGCAAGCTCGACGAAGTCCACAAGGAGATTGCACCCAAGGCACAACCACACCACCTTCACCACGAGTCACGAGAACAAGCCCAACACGAATTCCTGCGGAGTGTTATCGGGACGAGCGAAGACCGTATTGATGATGCGAAGTTTGCAGAGAGTGTGAAGAAGTGGGACATCCCATCATTGGAGCAAGATCGGAAAGAGGCAAAGAAAGAAGATGACTACTGGAAACAGATGCCAGTTTGGAGGCGGGCGCGCGCCTACTGGGCTGTCAAAGGGCCCGAGATCGCGTTCTTGACACTGGTCGCAGCCTTCATGGTCGCTTTCGGTGTTTGGCAGCTCGTCAAGTACCTCACCTATGATGAATACACTCCAGCATTCGGTTGGGGTGTTGTGGTGTCCAAGACATCTGCGGGTGTGCTCTACCCGACTTTCTTCTTTCTCATCCTGTCCATGTCACGATGGCTGGCGACCTTTCTTCGACGCTTCTACTTCATCTCACGCTTCATCAACTGGGATCTATCCCAATCTTTTCATATCAAGATGTCAATTGTGGCGATTTCCTTTGCGACACTGCACGCCATCGGGCATCTGTCTGGATCTTTCGTCTTCGGCAGCATGGCGCATCGTCAAGACGCTGTTGCTGTCGTACTCGGTGCTGATGCCGTTCCAAGATCATACATCGACTATATACGGACCGTGCCTGGCTGGACCGGCCTGACAGCAATCTGTTGCTTTTATCTGCTCACAGCTATGAGCATGCCGCAAGTCCGGAAGTGGAGCTATGAAGTCTTCCAACTGGGCCATCTCCTGATGTTCCCCATCATTGGGCTTATGATCGCTCACGGTACGGCTGGCCTCTTGCAGTGGCCCATGTTTGGCTACTGGCTTGCAGTGCCTACACTGTTCGTTATTTTCGAGCGGACCTGGCGCGTCGTCCTGGGATTTCGTCCCATCGACGGCGAAATCGAGCTGCTGGACGAGGAAACCACTATGATTACTGTCAACGTCCCTCATAAGCGTCCATGGGACTATAAAGCTGGTCAGTACGTTTTCGTTCAAGTCCCCCAGCTGTCACGCTGGCAATGGCATCCTTTCACTGTCTCAACCTGCGTCAACAACAGGATGCAAGTGCACATCAAAGCGGACGGTGACTGGACGAACGAACTACGAGACATAGCCAAGAAGGCTGGGAAGAAGCAGACAATCAAGGTTGGTCTTGACGGGCCCTATGGCGCACCTGCCCAGCGCTTCTACGATTATGATTATAGCATGGTCTTTGGGTAAGCAAACCCCAAGCTGTGATTCGTCCCACGCTAACGACATTTAGAGCTGGTATCGGCGTCACGCCTTTCTCAGGTGTCCTGACTGATCTGCAACATCACGAGCTCGAGCGGACTATGTCAGGCGAGAACTCTACAGAATCTGGCTATGAAAGTGGCAGGGGCCCTTCACCATACGAGGACCATCGGCGCGTGGATTTCCACTGGATGGTCCGCGACAGAAACAATTTGCTGTGGTTCTCTGACCTCTTGAACGAGGTGTCTCGCGCCAACAAGCTTGACCGCTCGCATCTCGATATCCGTATCCGCACATACGTCACCCAGAAGCGAAAGCAGATCTCAGAGCATGTCTTCCGCTGGCTGCTCGAGAAGCACAGGACTGACGAGCACCCGAGATCGCCCATCACCGGTCTTTGCAACCCGACACACTTTGGTCGACCTGACATTCCTCTGATCATGGAAGAGCACTATACAGACATGTGCAAGATACTGGGCGAGCGGTCGAAAGAGAAAAATTCGAAGAAAAAGCACGAGATCAACGTTGGTGTTTTCTTCTGTGGACCTCCGGTAATCGGTCAGCAGATTGCCGATCAATGCTCGCAGATGAATGCGAAGGCGCGCAATGAAGATAGGAAGATCGAGTACCGCTTCATGATTGAAGTGTTTGGATAGATTATAATTCTCGTTATACCCATGTACCGCATAGCACGAATGTAATATGACAGCATAAGCCTTTGATCCCACGAAGCCTTACTTTCATACGGTGACATTCCACAAGAAGTAAGTTTGGTGGTGATTTCCGGCCACATCGTAATGAGGCGTACTAGGTATGCTTACGTCCAAGCCACCCCGACAACCCTGTCTAGTCCCGATAAGACCTCCGGTCATTCGTTCTCAGTCACTACCAGACAAAGCCTGATCTATAAAGACAACAAACGTACCTCAGCTTTTGTCAGCCCCTTCCATTTCAATGCCTTTGGGCTTGCAGCTGCAACATGAGTGATGAATTCACCTATCTCGGTATCGTTGCATTTCCCACTCTCGCCTTGATGACCTTGGCCCTGATCTTGGAATGGATCCCCCATGTGCGCATCGACTGTTGTATAACCATCCACGATGTGAATGGTCCCAACGATGCTTTTGCAGACAGAACATCACACGAAGCTCTGTTGCCTAAGGTCGTGGAAGAGCAGCCTCGCTTTCAAGCACGACCTGAAGCTGAGGCTCCTTCGTATATGACCGAGCAGAGTTCTGAGTCATGAGAGAAGAAAACTACTCCCTCGATGTGCTGTATCCCCAACGTTTCTCCAAACATTCGCGCAAATCGTCTCATCACGGCTATCTTTCTGTATGCCGTCGTACTCGCCCTCTTCGTCATACGCATGTGCGACGTCGGCGTGCCACATCTACATCCCGAATGCGCAAGCTACACTCACTACACCAGGCAAAGTCCGGGATGCCAGAACCAAATTGGTGGTTCGTGGGGCTGCTCAAAATTCTACCCTTTGTATGTGCGAGCTTTAGCTTGCTACCTAATATAGTCGACTGTCTCCTCGTACGATGGGGACAAAGTTTGGGGTATGTCGGGAAAGGAAAAGGCAACACGTGGCCGTGGACACCATGCCTGCCGCTCATCGCGCAGTGATTCGTGCTGTTCATAGCCATTAAGATACTGATAGTCTTCCCCATTGCTTGGATGATGGGTCGGCCGCACAGTAGCACACGGTCATATACTATACCCAAGACGGAAGCAAGCGAATGAGACGACATCAAGATGCAAGGCGAAGGAACAAGATGACTGGTCGACTATACAGACGGAGAAGAGGAAGACGGAGAGTGGCCAGACGGCCCATTTGCTTTCGATGAGGCAGTGCATGAAAGGGAAAACGAGGTAAAAGAGAGGCAGCAGTGGCTGATAATCCTCAGTCTGCGCCGACAAAAGTGAACGCTCGCCCGTTTGATGAATAAGGCATGCACACCCGAGAACAACATTGATAGCATCCACCGGCTGTTCATGGTCTTCGGATTCGCACTCTGCGATTCTGTTGTGATTGAAATCGAAGAGTTCTAGGTCCATCGAGCACGCTATGGCCCGCTTGAAATGTCGCAATTGTCTTTTTGATGAACGTCATCGATTTTCGCCCTCACAAACCCTTCGCATCCAACACGAGACTGCATGTCCGACGGTGGCACTCCTACAGGAACCCACGTGCAGCTCGAGCCGCAGCTATCCGCCCTGACTCTCGTACCTGCCTTATCGCGACCAAAGTCAGGCGTCAGAAGAGCCGCGACTACCCCGCGCCTCGTTTAGATATACCCCACCATCGCCCTCGTCAAAGCTTGCCCTGGGTCAATCACGCCATCGCCGCCAGGCCCAAATCGCACATTATGGTTCAGGTACGCAACCTTTTTTGGACGCCTTTGCTATATAAATTACTGTAATAGGTAGTCTGTTTATTGTAGAACGCACTCCTTACGCCACTAGCTCGAATACTCAGTCGAAAAGCCGCTCAATCGGGAGCCGGAGCTTGACAAGCTTGTCTCAAGGTCCGTTAAAGTCGCCTCGAGCTTGAGCAGCGCAAGAGAGGCATACATCTGACATTTGCTGTAGTTTTATTACGAAAGAAGGTGGTTATGATCGCAACCATGGACCTATTCCACACCTGGACGCCGCTACACACCAAGTATGCGTATACGGCTTGGTCAACAAGGAGCTCTCTCTTCACGTCAAAGACTTGCAAACGCTTCCTCAACAGAGCGTGATATGCGCACTACAATGCGCTGGCAACAGGCGACACACCATGCGAACGAAACTGAAGGAAGTTTCTGGCATTGACTGGTTCGATGGTGCTGTCATGAATTGCAAGTGGACCGGACCATTACTCAAAGACGTCCTCGATAAAGCGGGCGTTAGAGTTGAACAAGATAAGTGGAAAGACGCACATGTCGCATTTTCCTGCTTCCAGACGCCAACTCAGGACGACGAATACTACGGCGCCAGCATACCTTTGTCACGAGCCATGGACCCCAACAGCTCGATCATCATTGCGCTCCAGATGAACGACAAACCTCTTACGGCCAACCACGGAGCCCCAGTCAGGGTCGTCACTCCAGGTATTGCTGGTGCAAGGAGCGTGAAATGGCTGGACCGCATCACCGTCCAAATGTGCGAAAGCAACAGCTACTACCAGCAGCACGACTATAAGATACTTCCGCCGGAAGCAGACTGCAAGGAGAAGGCAGAGCAATGGTGGGGCAAAGTTGGTGCACTGCAAGACATGCCTATCAATAGCGTCATTGGCGTGCCAAAGACTGGTTCAAAGGTTGAACGAGACGCGAATGGCATGATAGAAATCAAAGGCTACGCGTTGCCTAGCGGCTCTGATGGGCCTATCACTAAAGTCGAAGTCAGTACTGATGGAGGCGAGACATGGGTGGATGCAGAGCTGGACCAGAGTCACGATTACAAGGACGCAGATCTGAAGTGGGCTTGGGCCTTGTGGAAGGCGAAGGTCAAGGTTGAGAAGTGCAAGGACGTGACAATCTACAGCAAAGCAACGGACAGCAGCGGGCAGACTCAGCAGAAGAGCGTTGAGTGGAACTTCCGAGGCGTTGGGTATAACGCTTGGGGCGAGGCGTCAGACATTGAAGTGGTCTAGCATCACCGACTGCAGAGATGGCAGGAATAGTTTAGGGAGCGACGCATGGTATATCTCTTTCACATTACGCGCCACTATCCTATTGCTGATATCCCAAACACCGCCCATGCTATGCTCGTAAATCGTAATCTATCTTCCCAGCACCAGAGGTCTTCAGCCTACTACAGACCCAAGCTCTTCTTGACATTCTGCTGCACAACCTTCTCATACTCCTCCCTCTTGTTCCTCCACATCTTCGCCGCATCGATGTTCGCCGGGCTCTCGTCGTTCGGCTCAGCCAGCATGCTCATCACGCTGATGAGGATCTTCTCTACGCTTTGGATCGGCGACCACCGCTCGGACGCTTGCTCGTACTGGAGCGGGTCGTCGCCGGGCGGGTGCAGGATCGATATGCATACTTCGCCGTTGTTATACACTGCTTTTGTCAGCGCTAGTTCCTTGCTCCCAATACACTCTCTATACGTTGCCCTGGGTTTGGAAGCCTGGGGTGACTTGGCGTACGTACCGTTGGGATGCCACATATCTGTCAAAAACTTCATCTTAGGCGGCGCAAGCGGATAGTCCTTCGGAAACTTGAGCTCCGCGGGAAACACGCCGCCTTCAAACGGTGTGCCCTCTGGCCCTTGGATTAACGCTTCCCACAGGAACATGTCATCCTCGGTTACGGGGCCGGCTGTGATTCCCTCCGGTGGGTCGGAAGAGAGCGATTTGTACTCTTTGAAGAGGCGCTTTGCTGCGGGGTTCGACATGGTTGTGATTTATTTGGCGGTGCTGTAAGGTGCGGGCACAGTGACTGCTGCTCGAGGCGGGGTTGCGGATCGATGGATAATGCAGGTTGTCGTTTGCTATGCTGGTATGCGCAATCAATGCGAGTGACTTATGTATTGAAAGGCGTAATTCATGAAAGTTCAGATCTTTGTCTGAGTGCTTCAGGTTGCGTGCACCACGAGCTGAACGGCTTCTTGCACTCCTCGGCAACGATCACTACCGGTAACGCCAACGCACTGACCACTGATGACATAGACGCTCCAAACGCGTTCTGTGCGCGTCGAACATCTCGATGAACCCTTCAGCGAGAAGACAGCGATTTCCTTTACGCTTGATATCCGTGGACTATAGTCACGGCATCAGCTAAAAAGTTCTGTCTTCTGATGCCCTCTAAGCCCATCGCCGCTCAGAATCCCCGTACGACACCGCTGCAAGATCCAGAATCGACTCGCCGGGAAAGACCTGCCTCACCTCGCGGACAGCTATTTTGCTGGTCGCGAGCATTTTCATTGTAGTCTTCAATCTTGTACGCACATAATCCGCGAAACGTATGCCATGGCCTCTAAAGCCACCTCCACCGCTGCATCTCGTTCGTCGTAGGCGAGTTGATCGAGGATGCAGACCATTATTGTAGTCTCTTCTGGCAGTCGACTGATGGGCCAGCCCAGGACTTGGCAAAAGGCGTAGAACCGACTCTGTTGCACGCTAGTAATGTCCATGCATCTGTGGATGCCGCTCGAATCGAAAGACTGCTGACACAACAGCTGAGCGAGGAAGCTCTTCAAAAGCGCTCCGCCTACATAGTATTGTCTTTATTCGCGCTCGTGGAAACCGCAAGAGTACGCCAAGGCAACGAATTTTTTTCTTTGCCTTAGATCCTGTGCCAGGTTGGAGCACGGTAGTGACAGGGCAGTCACTCCTCATAGGCCTTTGCAGCTCCCGTGTACTAGCACGGACGCTGCCTCAGACGACATCATCCATGTCTGGAAGTGATTTATATTGAAGACCCGTCCGACCCTGTCTCGATCGTTACGCGATAAGCTTACCTACTTGTCTTCAATCACACCCATATCGAGCACATCGATATCATTGACTGGCAGGAGTCTCCGAATATATAATAGCTTAATGACAAGCTTCAGGATGCCTTCATGGACCTCGATCGCGTTTTTGATGCTCTTCGTTTGTCATTGTGGCATCCGCAGTTTATTCGCAGGTGCGTCTTACTTCTAAGAGGTTCCGCAATACGCTGACCATAGGCGTAGTCATTTCTGACCCTGGCATCTACCTGTATACTTGGAGTGCCGCTTAGCTGCTTCTGCCAGCTACGGTATGATACGAACGCCTAAATCATTCTGTATCATGACTCTCGCGCACTATTGAGCTGTGTTTGGACCCCGGGCCAAGTAGTTCTATCACTGATGCGGCATCTGGATGATCGTGTCCCCTTTGACTCTACACTATGTGCTTTGAATTGAGCCATTGCGAATGAGACTATCTGGTTCTAGAAAAAATCGACCTTCGAAGGCGAGCCATCGTTCTGTATCGCGGTATCTGCTCGAGCTGGAGTGGGAAAACCAACGATGTAGGATCATAAGGTGGTAAATGCTGAAAAGCTCGGTGGTAAGCGGGAAGACAATTCTCAATAAAGTCGACTGCTACCGGCTGACTCGTAATGGTACGTCGGCGAAGGAAGATTTAATTTCTCCTGCGACCTTGATCTGCCATGGGGCAGGCGTAAAAGTAATGACCGTGGATCAATTTCAAATGAACAACAGTGTTGCTGGGACTCCAATGGTCGAATTCGATGCAGTAACTTCGGCGACATAAGCACCAACAACGTCTTTTACAGTCACCCCGCCCGTTACAGAGGTCATTACATCCGACCTGGCTTTATAACATGCATCTGTTAATGGAGTTCATGATGAGTATATCCTGGCACGGCAAATGTATCTAAACAGCGCGCGGTGGCGCTCAGTCACCCTCCACGACATGTGGCTATTGTTCAAATCCGGTGATGAAGCGAAGTTATAGGTCACAGAAACGTCGGTAAAGAAGACATAAAGGAAAAAGAATGAAGACAGGCGGCTGAATGAGAGACAGATGCGCGATGCCGGTCGGATCACACTTGCACTCGCCGGCCCAGGGTAACAGCCACAAGGAAGTACTGAAGCCGGACGCTACAGTTCATTTGCAACCGACGCATTTGGACACGACCTTGAAAGTATATCTGGAGTTTGCGGAGTATCTGAATAAAACCTTCGGGGTGACCTTTTAGCAAATGTGCTATCTCAGAACTAAAGAGAGACAGCTAGGAAATATGAAACAATGCATTCTCACAAGGAAAGTGTAGGTTCTGGTGCCGGAGGCTTCGGCGGCGCTCATCTCTATGCTCAGCCGGCGCAACCTCAGCAACCTAACATATACTTCTAAATTGACGCCTTGTGACTGACGCATGACTGTGCTAAATTAGGCCGGATCCCAGTGTTGCGTCGTACACGTGAGTTAAATTCAAGCTTCTCCATTGATCCTCCATCACTTGGGACATCCTCAGAAGACTTGAATGGCCTTCCCGTGAGTTCAACTCCATCGCAGCTCTGCGTGTTCAGTGCAAAAGAGGACAGAGGTGGAAGAATTCTGCTCTGCATCAATTACATCTTACGCAAGATTAATATTTCTATGTCTCAGGTACTTCATCTTTCCAAGGAATACTTGACTGCGCGCCGGCCTTCTGTACTGTCATAGAAGCAGCCCGGTTAGCGTGTGCAATAGCTGCGTCGAGATTGAAGCCAGCGCCCCGGGACATGGACTTCCAATGTGCTACAGCCACAGTGTATGCACCAGCAAAAGTGTCACCGGCCGCTGTCGTGTCGACAACCTTGACTTTCTGTGCTGGTACTACACGACCACTTTTCGACTCTGCTTGTTGCTTAGCGGTCTGATAGAAGACACCCTGTGTACATACGTCAGTGAATAGTGGCTAAGATCATTGTTGCTTCCACTTACCTCGCCTCCGAGGGTGATGATCACGTTTTGCACACCGCGAGAGATGAAGACAGCTGCAACTTTGTCCCAAGACGTCGGGCTCTCGATGCCAGAAAGGATCGCAGCCTCGGTCTCGTTAACGATCAGGTGACCAAGGCCCTCGTATGCTTCTGCAGGCAGCGGGATCGCTGGCGCTGGGTTGATGATAGTCTCCACACCCTTTTCGCGGGCAGTCTTCATGTTATGCAGCACCTAGTCTCAGTCAGCCATATGTGCATCGTATCGGACATGGACTTCGAGCGTACGACTTCCATGGGCAGCTCTAATTGGAACAAAGCAACGCTGGTGTCATCGTCGACCAGATTCTTGACTTCAACATCGTAGTTCGCTCCAGGGCAAAACATAATCCTGTTTTCTCCGGTGCTCGTCTCAACTGTGATGACGGCAACACCAGTCTTCTTCCCCTTCAAGACCTTGACCGCATTTGTCTTCAAGCCATCCTTTTGCAAGCTTTTCAAGAAGCCCTCATGGAATTCATCGTCGCCGACAGCGCCGACCATGCGGACCTCAATATCAGAGGCCTTACCCTCGGACGCTTGTTGCTGGGTCCGAGACAAGCGCGCGCACGCGACAGCCTGGTTAGCGCCTTTCCCTCCATAACCGATGTTGAAGGACTCGCTGGTCAGTGTCTCGCCCGCTACCGGAATACGAGAGGTGCGGGTGACGAGATCGACATTGAGTGATCCAATGACTGAGATGACTGCCTTCGAACTCATTGTGATATCCTGAAGAAAATGGTGAAGGTGGGATGATCAAACAAATTTGGGGGATTCTTCACTAGCGTCGACCGAACGGGGCAGGGTAGCCGATGTGTCGGATACTCGCGCTTCAAAACCATAGACACCATGCCTCCTGCACAATCGCGACCACAAGAGCGCGTTACTCAGACACAAGCACGTCTTTAGGGCTCCGGTGGAGGCTACGGTATGGCCGCGGTTGTAAATTTTCATCACGCATGACGTCACGCAAATCGGCAGCTCATGATGTGACAAGCTGTCAAGACTTCTCGGCGATTGAAACCATCGCTCTACGACCGCTCTCCTACTCAAGCAATCCGAATCGCTCCCGTAAGATCAGGTATCACAGTCGGGTCATGTGCTGGACCCGTCATGGTGTTGGTGTCACTTCTTCACCTCGATAGTACTCGTATTGTTGGCCCCTGCACCTGGCCCGCCCTTGATGCCAACAGCAACCTGGACCTCAAAACCCCATCGCTTCGCGCGCTCCTCGGCAAGGTTCGCTGCCTCTTGCTCGAGCTGAGCTGCTGCTTCTGCAAGCTTGCCGCCAACCGCGGTGAGATCACCGCCCAGCTTGGCGAGCTCTGCGGCGAGCGCGAGAAGGTTGTCCGGCGTTGTCATTGTGCGCGATTTAACTTTGCAGACTGATGTGTTTGTTCCAAGAGCCGTGTCTACTGACGAACGGATGAGATGGGCCGAGTCGACTTGATGAGCGATGGTGCCCAAGCGCGCGTGTACGCAGTAGTCAAGGCTGAGCGAGTGGAAGGTAGAGGGCTGTATTTTTTTCCAAGGTGATGCCCCAGGTCGCACACTCTAAGTATGGTAGCTCTACGTTTGCGTTGTGGCGTCACAAGCCGTGCATCACGTTTGCATCAGCAGTCGACCCTGTTGGACGTCGTTAACCAACGATTGCCGTAGCACTGCCAAATTCACGAAATGCGATCACAAGTCAAAATTCGATCGATACAAAACTGGCGGCACACGAAGATAATATGGATCAGCAAGTGAAGGAACAGGCCGTGAAGGGGTTCGAAGAGGTGGGAGAGTCAGCAAATAAGCTTGTGTGGGATATCATGAAGCAGGATATTGCAGGCATAAAATAGCCGTGATAGATAGATTTTAAAGCAGTACCCAGCGACTGGCTGTGAACTGAAATAGCAGGATGGACCACAATCTGGTCATGATCTCTGTATGATGTCTTCTGTTAACGTGGTCCACCACCGAGCGAATCACCCCACCGAGCGAATCACTCTGCCAAGACCACAACGCTTTCTACTATTAATTACAATGGCTCAACAACCTGATCTTGAATTACTTTCCTGTGCAGATAGAGTTATACTTGCTACCCAAGCAATAAAATCTAACGCGTCACTAAGCCAGCGACGCGCTGCTGCTATCTACAGGGTTCCTCAAAGTACACTTAGCCATCAAGGCGCTGGAAGAACCCCACAACGCGATACCCACCCTAACTCATCTAAGCTTCAGAAGCATGAAGAGGAGGCAGTTATACAATACATAAGGAAGCTTGACGCTAGAGGCTTTGCCCCTACGCTTAGCCACGTACGTGGAATGGCTGACCAGCTACTAGCTAAGCGTAGTAGTGGCCAGGTTGGGGAGAACTGGGCCTATAGGCTGATCCAACGCCGGCCTGAGGTCAAATCTCAGGTGACTCGACTCCGTGATCACCAGCGAGTCCTCTGCAGTAATCCAGCTATTATCAGCCCCTGGTTCAACCTTGTACGCAACGTTAAAGCCAAGTATGGTATCCTGGATCAAGACACGTACAACTTTGATGAGACTGGCTTCTAGATAGGCGTTGGGGGGTCTGTGAAGGTAGTCACAGCCTCTGAGAGGCGCCTTAAGCCACTTAGGGTTCAGCCTAGTAACAGGGAGTGGGTGACGTTGATTGCCGCCATCAACGCCACAGGGTGGGTTATCCCACCCTTCATCATCTTCAAAGCCAAGAACCACGACCAGGCCTGGTATCATAACCCTCGGGATTAGAGAATAGGGGTTAGCAATAATGGATAGACAACAAATGAGCTTAGGCTTGCCTGGCTACAGCACTTTATCAAGCACACGGAGGTTAAGAAAGTAGGTGGTTACAGACTACTAATTCTTGATGGCCACAAGAGCCACAAGTCACTCGCCTTCCAGGATCTTTGTGAGGAGAACAATATCATTACCCTCTGTATGCCCCCTCACACCTCACACATCCTTCAGCCGCTTGATGTGGGTTGCTTTGCCCCCCTGAAGCGTGCGTACAAGGAGGAGATCTAAGTCTTGGCAAACTGCTATATCAACCACATTAACAAGAAAGCCTTCCTAGCTGCACTTACCCTAGTATTTAACCAGGCCTTCTCAAAGGACAATATCCTATCAAGCTTTAGAGCAACTAGCTTAGTTCTAGATAACCTAGAGGTGGTGCTATCAAGGCTTGAAGTGAAGCCTCGTACACCAACACCACCTTTACCCAGGAGTACCCCTTGGCAGCCTAAAACACCAAGCAACGCCTGGGAAATAGAGGCTTAAACAACGCTGATTCTTAAGAGGATAAGGGACTATAGGAGTTCCTCACCTGAGTCTATTCTTAAGATAGTGCTGCAGGTCAAAAAGGGGTCAACTTTGAAGGTACACTCACACACGTTGCTTGAAGCTAGGATAGATAGTCTTGAGCAAGCAAATTAGGCTGCTTCTGAGCGTAAAAAGCGTAAGAAGAAGCGAATACAGAAGGGGGGGACCCTATCACAGGCAGAGGTAGAGGTAATAGTTACCCAGGGGGATGCTGAGGTTCGACTTGAGGCAGAGAGGCGTGAGGAGAGGGTGCAGGCAGGTGCTAGCAGCAGGGGTATTCCGCGCTGCAGGAGGTGTGGCAACACAGGACACAACAAGCGTACATGCAAGAAAGATACAGTAGAGATAGGCAATTAATTTAAGCTATTGCGCACTATTATATCTTGTTGTTGTGTTGAGTTATTCACGTTCAAAGATATATTGTTGCATTTAGTGATTCGCTCGGTGGGGTGATTCGCTCGGTGGTGGACCACGTTATTATTTTTCAAAGTGCTACCGTGCCGGAGCTCGTGCCGCACGGTTCCGCGTTCCGCACGCGATCACCAAAACAACGAAATATCCTCAACACTACAACTCAACAACGCGATGACTTTAGAAGACGCACTTAAAGACACACGCGCAGCTAATGCGCGCGGTGAACTTTGCTACCAAAAAATTGCAGATACACATGGTGTTGATCGTTCGACGTTGTCGCGATATCACCGAGGCGTTCGCGGCACCATGCAACAGAAGATCGAACAACAACAGAACCTCACCCCCTACGAAGAGCTAGAGCTTGTCGATTACATAGATCAACTCTGCAGAGAGCACCTTCCGCCTACGCGCGATATGGTTCAACATTTCGCCTCTATTATCTGCGGATTTAAGGTCAGGAAGACCTGGGTTACACGCTTCGTCCAGCGGCATCACGAAGCGCTTACTCCACAGTGGACCTCCGCCATGGCCTCCGAACGTCACGCCGCTGATTCCTATAGTAAGTACAGCTTGTACTTTGACATGTTAGAGCTCAAAATAAGCGAGAAGGGTATAGAGCCTGAGCACACATACAATATGGATGAGAAGGGCTTCATGATTGGGAAGATTGGCAAGCAGAAACGAGTGTTCAGCAGGACAAGCTACAGCAATAAGCGCTTCCGGCAGGCCTTAGAGGATGGCAACAGAGAGTGGGTAACGCTTATAGCGTGCGTTGGGGCTTCTGGAGTCGCACTTCCTCCAGGCCTGATTATGGCTGGAGACTCCGGCAACGTCCAAGACGCATGGGTGCGAGATATCAAGCAATTGAAGCATCGCTGCTTCGTCACAGTCACCCCAAGTGGCTGGAGCAACGACGACGCTGGCCTC